ATTTCGAACGAGGCGAAAGGGTTGCGGGTTTGGATCAAAATGGCGCAATGACATTTAAATTGTCTACGAATTTTTCCTTTTTTTTCTATTTTTTTTATTTTTTTGCTGACCGCCCTACGAAACTTGCTCTTGGTTGCTGTGTTTTTTTATTTCTTTCTATTAAAGCCAGAGCAAAGACTTGACAAAATGAAATGCGCTCAAATTAAATGGATTTTTTTTTTTTGGTCGGGGCTTTGGCTTTGCTTCTTTATTGCTCAGCGTATTTTTCTTTGGTTGTTGGGCACCTTTTGTGGTTGTTTGTTTGTTGTTTGTTGTTACAGCAACGAGCGGCGGCGGCGGCGAAAAGGTAACGAACAAAATAACTAGAGAAAAATTATGACTTTTGATCTAATTATGGCTTTGGACCCTATTTGTTTGTCCCGCGGCAACCTTGGCACCAATTTGTTTGCTTTACTTTGCCCAACTTGGTACTTTGTTTATTTGCTGCCGCTTGGTTTGTTTGCTTTGTTGTTGTTTTTGTGATTATGTGATTGCTTTCTCTACCGCATTCTAAGGCTGAGCTAGCCACGCCCACATATCGATATTGCCTGGAAACAATAATTACTGCAGTCATATTTTGCAATGTTTTCGGTTTGTTCGAAATTTTTGATTTGATATTGGGATTGGTTTCTGTGCGATATTTTAAATTGGAGCAGCAATAATCGAGACAAAGAAAAACCAAGAAACATATTTGAGATAACCAAACAATTATCCTCAAGCCGCTGGTCATATTATTTACTGGCTTTATTTTTTGTTTTCTGTTTTTTTTTTTTCTGCAGAGTGCTTAAGTTGTTGCACGACGACGGATTTCTGGGATTTCGGGAGTTGTTTCGGGTTTTTGTTCCACAGTTTTTGCGCAATCTTTAGCGCCGCCAAACGAAAGACTTAAGAAACGAACTTTAGCATTTTTTTCTGCCGCCGCTCGCCTTCTTTAATTTTTTTGGCCAATTTTCTTAGCCACTGCCCCACGGAAAAATGCCAGAGGGGCGTGGTCCAATCAAGGGGCGACAAAGGGGGTTGTCGGGTTTTTTTTTTTTTTTTTTTTTTTTTTTTGTTCCAGCTGCACTAAACAATTTTGTCGCTCAAACGACTCCATTAAGTCAGTCGATGGTTTTATGGCTTTATACTTATTGCCCGTTGATGAATTGCATTTTGCATACCCTAACTTATTTCGTGGTTCGAAAAAGTCCATATGCAATTTGGTTTTGGTTCACATTAAAAAAAATATATATTAGGAATATTGTACAAAATTAAAATTACCAAACTATAGTACTTTAATATTTGATAGTTCTTTTATTGAAATAAATTTTAATTATTATTTATTATTTTTCTGTAGAAACTTGAATATATTTTGATTTGGCGAATGCCGTTTTCACGTAAAGAGCATTGAACATACATTGCTGGGCGGGATTCCTTTGGTTTGGCTAAGCGTTTTTCTTTCTTTTCGATTGCATGGTTATATTTATGTAAATTTCATAGGCGTGACTCAATGATTTGTTGTCCGCGGCTATATAAGCGTCGATCTGCGATCCGCGATCTACATATCGGCGTGGCTATATTTGTGTATTCGAGTCGCGTTGACAACCCGGCGACGGCCCTTTCACATATTTTTTTCGGAATGAACGAACAATCAGCGGCCGCGGATTAGCTGCATCGACATATCCAAATGGGCCTCTATATATGAGCATATATCTCCATAGATATCCATGCTGTCAAATTCGTTGCACTCATTAGGCCAATTCAATTGGCTGCGGGAAAAATGGTAATAAAAACCAAAAAAAAAAAATGTAAACGGGTCTTAATTGTGTTGTTTAGGCCGCCGCTTGGTAACTCGATATGAAGTGATATGTGGCTGGAAAAAATTCGAAAAAAAAAGCCAAACTAAGCCAAGCCTCCGCAAACGTCAAAATTAATCACTTCCCTTTGCTAGAATTTGCATGCAGACTTCAGACTTCAGACTTTCGATTTTTATTCGTAGCTGCGACTTGAGTTCAGACGCCTTTGTGGGGTTTTTCATTCGCTTTTTGTTTTGGTATCAATTAAAACCCAATTAAACCCCGCAGGCGAGTCTCGGAAAATGCGCACCCAGAGCACCCAAAGATAATACCCGTCTGTCTGTCCGTTTGGCCACAACGGGTTTGCTCCACGCACCCAAGGTTACCATCCATGAGCAAAAGGCAAATATTTGTGTCCAACCGAGAGCATATATAGCATATATATTCGAGTGCAGATCGCGGCGAATGTTCCCCGTTGTCAGGCGATCTGTAAATCTGTAAAATGCAAATATCTGGAAGTGGAGAGCGAGAACAGAATGAATCACACAATCGGGGAGTCCACAGATCGAGGCAATTAATCAGACATCAGAAGCCATGGAATTTGAAGGAGTGCGGTGGAATAAGTTGCCTTGATGCAATTGTAAAACAAATTAAGTTGCCTTGCTGTTGTTGCAAAATAAATTAAAATTTAAATTCAAGAGAAAAGGAAAAGTAAAAGCAAAGTAAAAGTCTTGCCTCAAATTAAAATGGGTTTATAATCTCTTCGGACATTTAAAAAATAATTAAGGACTGGGAAACTGCGTATTATCGTTAGGCACACACCATAAACCATTTTGCCACTCGATCATTTCATCCACAATTAAGCATTATTTGCGGGCAAATTTCGGCTATAGCAACAAATTTTCTTTCACTTAATAATTCGCTGAGTTTATCTGGCCACATTCATCATTTGGTGTTTGCCCAGTTTTCATTACTTTCCTTCTCGTTTTTGCCCCACGAAAAACGATTGCAATATTGTTAACAATATCTTAATTTATTTGGCGCAGCGAATGAGGAAACCGTTCGCCGAATGAGAAATATGAAAATTATGGAGGCTGAGAAGATAATTTATACCCAACTACCGCCCAAGTGTTGTGTGTCTGTCAATGTTCGATTTATTGGGCACATGTCGACTGTCCGAATCGTGCCGATTGCCAATCGATAACGATAGGTTCGACAAGCTGCCGCCGCTGCCGTGTGGTCCCATCGATCGATCAACTTGTCGAATGTCCAGCGATAAGATCAAATCGCCATCTGTTTTTCAGTTTTTTTCACATTTTTTTTACCCGCCGTTTTTTCGCCACAATTTTCCTACAATGAAGCTGTCATAAGTTCTTTGCTCTCGATTTTTTCGTTTTCGGCCAATTGACAATTGCATTTGATTTAATTCGATTCGATTCGACTCGATACGATTTGTTTCGGTTCAATTTATGCGCTTCCTGTCCAATCAATTGGCATCAATTATTCGGCATTCTCGACTTAATTGTATCGCCGTCTGTCGGATGACATTGATTGCATCCTGTTGAACACACATTTTTCGACCACTTTTGGGGGTCTGACCAAATGTGGGGCATTCTCTGCGATCTCTGCAACACCGACACCGATAGAGTGCCCCAAACCATCGCCATGTGGCACGCTGCTCATAAGTCGCTTTTATGGCGTTTCTAAAGTGTTTCACATCGCAATTATTGTTAATCAACTGACGGCTAATTGCGGCTCTGGACCACGCCATAAACAGACGAATTATAATCACAATTAAATGCGCTAAGTAGCCTCTTAGTTGACAATGAAAATTCCAAGTAATTTTTTGTTTTTGGCGGAAAGACCCTTGGGAAATTGTTACGTGTGCGGAGTATTGGCAAATACCCAAGTAAATAAATACAATTAAGCGTCCAATTGGAGTGAGACAAATGGCATCTAATTATAATTTAACTTCCTTTTAAGTAGTGCTAAAACCTATAATTATCAGAACCATTTATCTTCGGGGAGACATGAAATTGGCTCAAGAATGGCATGAATAAACGATTCTGAACATCCAGCGCTTCGGCTGGCAATCTTTTTCAAGGGCCGCTGGAAAATGCATTCATTGGCTGTCATAAGCAATGAATGCATGTCGTTTGTCTTGTGCCATGGCAAAGGCAAATAACTCAGACCGAACGATATCGGGTTGGACAAATGGTTGGCAATATGTTTTGCAATCCATATGCCATACTCCGTACTCCGTATTCCGTATTCCGATTCCGATGGCGATGCCATATGTCAATGGCTTCGGCGGGTTCTCACAATTGCCACACATTGTTTTCATTACGGTTGAGGGCAATTAAATGCGATTTAATTATCAGTCGGATGGCTGGCGCAGGGAGGGGGAAATGGAATTATATGTTTTATTTCTTTCGCTGGAATTAAATGCAAATGCAGAGAGCCGCTGCAGAAATATTCGAAATAGTTTCTGTTGCTGGCTGTTGCGCATGCGTGTGACTTGATTACAACAACAACAACAAGAACAACAAAACCGTTGACAAAGACTTTTATTGGCAGGCAACAAACGGGCAGCGGCGCAAAAAATGAAAATTATCGTGCCGCCGCGCAGAGAAATAAAGGAAAAATGCATTGAACGCGCACGCATACCAAGTAAATTATAGAGGGGCCCACAAAACAAACAAAAACCAGACCAAGTGGCTAAATCTATGGCCAAGAAGGGGGCTTTATGGCCACTTGCGTCATCTGGATATATGCATTGTGGCATTTGTCATTACAATTGCGCGTAAGCCTAAATAACTACCGAGTTTGTGTCCTAAGTCTTTTGTTTTTGCTCCCATTCGAATTCGTTACAAGGGAATTGGAAACTGGGAATTGTTAAAAAAAATTAAAAATTTATAGATAAATAGATAATAATACTAAGTTGATATTTAATTTATTGCTTAAAAAATGTCAAGTTCGTTTCCTAAGTCTTTTGTTTTCGCTCCCATTCGAATTCGTTATAAGGGAACTGGAAACTTGTAATTGTTAAAAAAAATAAATATTGAGAGATAGATAGATAAAAATATTAAGTTAAAATTTAATTAAATGCTTAAAAAAATTCAAGTTCGTTTCCTAAGTCTTTTGCTTGCAACTTATATTATTATTTTTTATTTGTTATCTTTCAAGGATCATTCGTTAATCACTTGCTTTAAGGAGCTTAATTTGAATTTGATCAACATGAAAGTAATCTAAATTGGCTGTCACTTAAAGTAAGTTGTTAATTGCTTTGCTTTCAATGTACAATTCCCCTTGAAACTTATCTCTTTATTCAAACCCAAAAAACGTTGCAACAATGTTTATCTGTTAAACGCCTATCTATCTGCACATATGCTCAAATATAATTAAACTTTTTTTCGGCGTCTTAATGCTCTCTCATTATCTGCCCATTAAATCGGTTTATCTATCAATTTGGTATTTTTTTCGTTTTAATTTTCCAACCAAACTACATCCGAGCGAGTGCCTTTTAATTTAAGCAGCCAAAAAAGAAAAAAAAACCCTCAAGCCAGGTGAAATAAAATCGAATCACGAAGCGCAAGCGCTCGGCAAAGAAAAAAAACCGAAAAAAAAAATAATAAAACCATCAGCATAATCTTTTTAATGGCCAAAAAGACGATGATTACGTTGATGATGATGGTGATGATGATGATGATGCGCGTGCCATGGCGCCATTTAGTGCAAATTTGTCGATGCTTCCGGCCAAAAGATTTCGCTGGCCCACCTGCAACAGTAGCAACTAGCAACTAGCAACTGGCAACTGGCAACTAGCAACTGGCAAACAGCAACTTGCAACCAGCAACACCAACGGTGGCAAGTGGCAAGTGGCAACATCAACAGCCACAGACATTCACTTTGGCTACCTTCGCATTTTCATTCAATGCCAAAAAGAAAAGCGCCTCATAATTTCCGCGCCGCTTTTCCATCCGTCGGGAAATGGTTTTCGGGATTTGGATTTTGCGGTGAAAGATGAGTCGGCGCTTTTTTTTTTTTTTTTTTTTCTAGCTGCTGCCGCTGAAATGGTGGCCTTTCCTCACCTCGGCCCATCCATCAATTTGAATTGAATTTCGCCAGCCCACTCGATCCGAAGTTGCCATAAGTTGAGTGGAGTAATTTGCATGATGCCGTGGTAGCTGCTGCTGATTTTGCTTTTGCATTTGCTGTTGCTGTTGCTGCTGCTTTTGCTTTTGTTGGCAATTAAGGCGAGTTGGCCTGGCCCGGAAGCCGTGCCCAAAAGATCGTGTACAGTTAGAACGGCCGGCGGCAACCGATAATTATGGTTAATAAATATTAGCTGCCAAAAGTGCAATAAACCAGACGAACGGAACGGAACGACAAGCGACAAATGCAAAGCAGAAAAGCCAACGGGTCAAAGGGGATTGGGAGGAGGAGGGGGGAGGGGGTCTGCTTCTTGGCCCGGTCATATTTCCAGTTAGTTAATTGCGAGCGACACACATGCCATTTAGCATGCCAAGGCGAATACTCTGCGAAATAATGTCACTTGCCGTAAATTGCTTAAACATATAGTGTTAAGTCTTAATCGCTAATATTTAATTATTATATTCCTTAAATAGCTGTAGCATTTAACAATCCTGTTCACATAAAAAACAAACAAATATTTATAGTTTTACAGAAACAAACCTTAACATTTTGTTGTGTACCAAAAATATTGATAAAACAGCAGGGTGGAGTTGAAAGATTTACTATCTCACGCAGCATTTCAAACAGTGGCCAAAACACTGAAAAAAATGTGTTTTTTTTCAAGTTTGTTTTCAAAAAGAGGATACCTTACCATATTTTCAAAATAATTTTATTTGGGCATTTATTAAATCTTCATATGCAATTTTTTCGCTCGCCAAGAAACATTAAAAAATAATTAATACCCAACTGTTTTTGTATAAAACTTAACTCTAAATCTTAATGTTTAGAAAACTTAAATATTGTACAAGAAATATTTTTATTTAGGAAAATTATTAAAGGTTTTCCTTTATTGGCCCACTGTAACCTTTGGTGTTTCCATTTCGTTGGCTGCCAAAGCGCAGTTTAAACAAACATTTTGCTGGCCGACAGATTGTAACGCCCCAGCGCCCCCTTTCATATCTTTCGGGGGAAGGGGCGTGGCAGAAGTGGCGGCTGCGATGCTTCGGCTGCAAAGCCGAACCAAAAAACCGAAAAAAACAAAGTTGCATGCAACAATTTCAGCGGACTCCTTGTTAACGTTCGACAATCAAAATTAAACATTTATCGGGGACATTATAAGGCCGTACAGAAATGGTAGTGGCAGTGGAGCAGAGCCAAGACCAATTAAGAGCGCTTAGCCCAGACGAGATTTCGCAATAGTTTAATAACCATTTTTCAACCCGATCGATCGATCGATTCTTGAAATTGAAATTGAATTTAATTAGAGCTGAGTACTATGACAAAATGATTAATTAAAGTCAATTCGAAACGCCCACTTGGGGCCTACATAGATATGGCAACATATGGTAATAGTATGCTACGATCCAATCACTATATGGTATAACATACTATATATATATATATATATAACCCGGTACTTATCGGAGTCAATATGGCCAAGTGTCGTTGCTAATGGCTGTGGAAGCTGGCGACAAGTCTGAGCCGCTAAATCGTTGTTAATTTCCATCCATAATTCAAGCCAAGCGCCTCATAAACAAACAACTTTGTTAACAGCGAAATGGGCAAGGGTGTTTTGGTGGCTAAAAAGGGGAAGGGGGTAAGGGGAGTGGGGCAGCCAGGGGGGGGAACTAAAGGGGGGCTGGCCGCACTATCAGTTGCAAGTGTTGAAGTCATAAATCTGCATAATGATCATGTCGCAGTCCGTTAGTGCGTTAGCTTACTTAACATATAGTAGTGTTTAATCGCACGCCGTGCGAGTGGGTTGATTTGGCCAAGACAAAACAGCTAAGGAGCAAAAACAAACAGAGAAAAAAAAAAACAGCAAATACAAGATACATTTGTGCGAATTTTATGATCTGTCATGGGTTCCTTTCACAATTTTAGAAGGGTGTCAGGTTGCCACAGGCCACTGCTGAATCAGCGCAAATTCTAGAACATAGAATGGGTAAAAAAAATCAAGGAGCTTATGCAGAACGAAAGACTTAAGCAAAAAACTTGTCCAAGTATAGAAACCACATAACGTTTATTTTATATTTAGAACATATTATAAAGAGTGTTTTTTATAAACTTAATTTCTTACAACAATAGTTATAAACTTTCCTCGCTCTCTAGATCTTGAAAACCCCTTGCATGTGTATATAATAATCATAATTACAATCATAATAATAACTTGATTCTAGGGCCAAAGTCACTCGCTTTTTGCAGCTTTCACAGAGCTCGGCGAATTCGAGGATTTCTCTGGCGGCGCGCCACTTTTACCCAACCAAGTCATTGTCATTGGAGGTTGCACAGCAGACAGTAGGCACTCGAAAAGAGACACATGTGAACAGGTAGAGGGCCACGCCCACCTGACAGCCAGCTGCCCATTGTTGAAAGCGGGAAAGTTGCCGCTTTGTCTGCCATTTGTTTTTACCGTCATGACTTTTGCCCTTCTTTCACTCCCTGCCACCAAAACCAACAACAAAAACAAAAACAAAACCAACAAGAAAGGAAGCTAGCTTCGGCAAGCCGAAGCTTATATACCCTTGCAGTCATCAAATATGTCGAACAAAACTCATAAAGGCTAGACAACATCGAAGCTAAGACGATTTTTCTATTCGTTTTCCATATTTTTGACTATAGATCATATGGGAGCTATACGATATAGTTGTCCGATTTTGATCAAATTTAATTCGTAATTCAAGAGTCGTAAGAAAACTCTATATTCCAAAAATCATACTTGTCTGATGAAAAACAACGATGTTATAATTTTATTTCCATTATTTCTATATAGATTTTTCGATCTTTCCTATGGCAGCTATAAGATATAGATGACCGATTTTTATGAAACTTTTTTCTCAAAATAAACGTTGTTAAAAAACTTTATATTCAAAAAATCATGCTCGTGGGATAAAAAACAACGATGTTATCAATTTATTTCCATTAATTCTATATATAATTTTCGATCTCTCCTATGGCAGCTATATGATAGAGTTATCCGATTTTGATCAAATTTAATCCGAAATTCAATAACAGTTAGAAAGCGCCATCTTGAAGAGTTCAAGTCAATCTGATCAAAAACAACGGAGTAAGAATTTTTTATTTCATTCTCTCGTATGGGAGCTATCCGATATAGTCGGCCGATCCGGCCCGTTCCGACTTATATACTGCGTGCAATAACTACACACATTTTGGGAAAGTTTCAGCGAGATAGCTTTAAAACTGAGAGACTAGTTTAGGCAGAAACGGACAGACGGACAGACGGACAGACGGACAGACGGACAGACGGACAGACGTACAGACGTATTCCGATTCTACTCGTGATGCTGATCAAGAATATATATACTTTATGGGGTCTGAGGTGTCTCCTTCACTGCGTTGCAAACTTCTGGCCAAAATTATAATACCCTTTGCTCTGCAAGGGTATAAAAACTGCAACTGGAACCGAATCTTGGGCTGAGGCAAAAGCTATTATGGTCTTTGTTTTACGATTCATTAACGCCCCAACGCCTCAATTAAACCGAATTTGTAAAGGCGAACCGCAATTGTCGAGCCACAAAACGCGAGATGGGATGCCGCATTTGCATAATGATCGGGGCTTAATTCTAATGAGGGTTTTACTTCGGATGGGAATCTCAAGAGCACTCTAATTAATATGGGCAGGTAATCATAACGACATCAGTGCGGGTAAATGGAGTACTAATTCTAATTGCTACTCATTATTTAATCATTTTGCTTGTGGGAAAACCCAAAGAACTTTACAATAAGGTTTACATACTTATTTTATGTGTATTTCCTCATTTACTCAAAAATATATTCTAAGCTTCTTTTAATTTTCTACAACCCATTGACATGGTTTTTCGTAATCTAGAAACAATAGAGTACGGCTATATTTTCCAAAAATGATTATCCCACTTTTCCGGCTTGACCGAGTTGACCTTGAAGGTGGCAGGTGGCAAACGGAAACCTTGTAAAAATGAAACGCCATGAAAACGAGATCAAATCGATGGGAAATGGGGAGGGGGGGGATGTATAGCACTTGGCCAGTCAAACGAATCTGCTGTCGAATCATGTTCGAATCTCCGATCGTTATGCCTTCCGTTCACGGCTCGAAAAAAAAAACAACTCTATTATTCATGGGGCAAATCGACGGCGAAAATCAAAGCGAGCAGCGCACAACGTTGTCGGCGATTAAACAATAAAATAACAATTATTGGCGGCAGAGCGTCTGAACCGTAATGAATGAATTCGACGAGTGGATGAGTGCGGCAAATGAGTCAAGTGGCATCCACATCCACATATCCACATCGAATGGCTGCAAGTTGCAGCTTCTGCGGACGGAACTCGTAAATCAAGTGCTTTTGCCCCGGCGATCGGTGTTTGCTGCACCGAAAATAATTTTGTTTTCTATTTACTCAATGCATTTTACAAGAGAAATACAAAATTAGTAATGCATAAAAAATATATTAGAAGTTGATCTTCAGAGGTTTATTTTTCCCACACTTTTTATTAAGGGGTTACATGGGTTTCCTCGGGTAAAAAACGGCCGTTTTTCAAACATTTTTTTTGCATATAAAAAATGAAATATTTCAATGAAACTTTTTATTATTTAAAAGATACATATTTAATAAAGATTTTTTGAAATTTTCAAAAAAAAATATCAAAATGTCGGCCATTACGACGCCATTTCCGGCAGTCCCTCGGAAAAAAGGTGCCTCCGCGTTGTCAGCAGAACTTCTTTCAGGATCATCCAAAGTAAAAATAAAAAAAACGTGTTTCAGTATAGACAATAAACTAGGTATTGGACGAAGGAAAAAAAAAAAAAATGAAAATTGGATTTTTGGCAGACGTTTTTACAAAAAAATGCAAATTTCGATGAAAATTTCTCGACATTTTTTTTTTTTTAAATAGTTGTAATTGAAAAAAAAAAAAATCCTTCGTTCAATACCTTGTAAATGATATCTCGAATACTTGTGTAAAATTTCATTAAGATCGGTTGAGTAGTTTGCGAGAAATTTTGACAACCGACTTTGAAAACATAGTTTTGAGAAAAACGCGTTTAAAGTTTTAAGAGACAATAAAAGTGGTCTCAAGCGTCCACCTTCTCAAGGCTGTATCTCCGAGACTATTACTCGGATCAACTTGAAAATTTAGGACAATATTCTAGAAATGTTATAGAATTTAATAAGACAAAAAAAAAAATCGATTTTTTGAAACCGTGAAACCCATGTAACCCCTTAAGGAAAAGTAAAAATAATTGTTACCTTTTACTTATAAAAATTCAACAAATATATCACTACTACTCAAATCAATTGCAATATTATTTTTTAAATATCTCTTTTATACTTTCATTTTTTTCTGTGTATGATTTTCCAATGTGCAGCATTTGGTGTCCACTTGCCGCTCGAATGATGATCAACACTTCGAGTTGGGGGCATTAAAACGCTCAACGATTAATCGGCTTCGGCGGGACTTAATTTTCGGCAGCTCAACGATGGATGGTAAAAACAAATAAAATTGGATATGCAAGTGCTGTTTAATTGAGGAACCGCCGCCGATCGTGGCACACGCACATGTGCAGTTGCAACACGCCGCACAGATACGGATATAAAGTATCTGCAAGCCAGCACAAGATACAGATACAGAAAACTTAGGGAAATTGCAAAACATTTACCCAGAGTTCCAACTTCAACTTCGACTCCGATATCCGGTTGCCAGTGGGTTTTTATTGTTGTTGTTCGTTGTTGTTCGTTGTTGTTGGTTGTTCGTTGTCCGTTGTTGTTGCCACTGCGTTGCCCGGCGACTTATTAAATCATTTTTGCCGATTTCGCCTCGCTTTTTGCCAGGCATTTCTGATTTCAGTGCCTGGCATACAAAAGCACTGCACGCAGGAAAAAGCCAACTTCGGCAGATGCCAGAAACAATATTGCAAAATCTCAATAAACCGAGAAATAATGCGGAGGAAATGAGGCGAAGCAAAAGGGAGGAATATTACGTGAGATTGATTGCCCGTTTACGAGGAGTTGATATCAGAGCCAAAATTGCAACACAGGAAAAGGGTTTTCTCAGTAATCACTTATTTCATTTAATTAATCTTAACATATACTTAACACATTTTGGTAGTGTGTGAGCACACACAATTTATTGTTGCAAATCCAAGAGCAAACATTTTGGGCAACTCAAAAGTGTATTTAAGAGGCGGGGCGCATTGAAATCCAAAGTCCACTTGAAGCCCAAGTCAAACAACTCAAAGCCAAGAGTGTTGACCAACATTTGACTAATTAACACATCACAGTCAACTGGCTGAGACGACGGGCAGCACTCGATAAATGGGTCACAACTCACACGCTGCGGCTAATGTAATTTTGATGTACTTGGCAAACGACTCTGAGACTCTGAGACTCTGAGAAATGTGTGTCTGCTCACTTTAAATTTCTCTTCTTAATGCGCCAATTACCCAGGGGCAAGTGGAACGGAAGGCAGAGGCTGAGAGGCGCCTCTGCACTGCGGACACTCATCCAAATGGATGGTGACAAACGCCAGGTGTTGCATCCACACACCAAAGCCAAAGCCAAAGCCAAAAAAAAAAAACCAAAATAAAACTTGCGAAACGATGGACTTCCGCCTTTCGCCTGTGGAAATAGTGGAAATCGTAGAACTGCTGCCTCCGCTTATAAATCCCCTAATTAAAAACTCAATTACCCAGCGGATTGGCTTTTTGTGCCACCAGCGGTTTTATTACCATTCTTGTTGATTATATTACGAACCAGAGATCTGTAAATCAGTTCGATTCCCAGTTTCTCGGCTCTCAGTTGTTTCAATTGATTGAATTCTGGGGCCACAACCAATTGGTTTCTTACAACATTATTTATTTACAAAAGAGATATATATTTCATAATAATTAATTGCTTCCCTTGTTTTTATTATTATTATTATTATGTATCAAAGATATAGGTTTAAACTGATTGAAGTTAACAACAAAATTTGGTTTGTTTTCATTTGATATTAATATAAGTATTTCTTTAACCTTTTGCAGTTCCTTGATTGACGGTCAGAACGCTGCGTCATGTTGTTGCTGCCAACGGAAATATGTCCAGCAGCAACAACAACAACAACAACAACGACAAAAGTAACAACAATAAACACTATAAACAACACCAAAAGTTGCTCAACGAAAAGTAATTTGCGAAAATCATAAAAAAGTAGCGTAAATAACTCCCGGCTCCACCGGAATCCAAGTGGAGCAAAAAGCACAAAGGCCAAGCGCCAAAATAGCCAGAAAATTGCTGGAAATCTTTTGGTTCACACCAAAACAAGAAACCCCAGTGAAAAACAAAAACAAAAACATTCAAGAACGACAACTGTAGGAACAACAACAACAACAACAACACAAACAGAGCAACAACAACAACAACAGCAAGTGTCGCCGTTTTCTTATGCACAAAAACCATTCTGTGATATCTCAAGACCCAAAGGTGAGTTGCACAAAAGTATTTTTCGCCACGAGGAAATCAGAGGTGGAAATAAAAACACTTGGCCTGCGGAAACGGAAATGCATTAACCTTTAGAAAACTTAAAAAAAAAAAGGGGTAGCCAAGAATAAATATTTATGTTACTTATGGTTTAGAACAAACAACCCACCAATAGTCAATAATCAATTTCTGTTGTCTCTGAACGAACTAATTAATCAACTAAAAGCAAAAATGTAATGATCGTGTTTATGGCTTCATTATTGGCAGTTAGTAATAAATGATATATTGTGCCACAACACCTAATCTTGAAATTTATTATTTCAACTTTCATATGCGAGCAGTCTGTTGATCGGCCAATCCCATTTTTCATCCATTTTTTTTTTTTTGCTCCCATAAGTTTCCTGGTTAGATTTTATCGCACTGGTTGTCCCTCATGCGACATGATCGCTTTATGATCGGTTCTAGTGGCGATATCCAGTACTATACTCTATATAATTAGTCGATCATGTTGCGTCCCAACTCAGCGGTGGGTGTAGCTCACTTTGTAATTGGAAATGGGAGCCGGGCCACATTGCAAAAATGTGTTGACAATGACAGCAATTTACTTGCACTGAAACAAACAAGTACTGCACTTCTCAGCTCATTTCTTTTGTAATTGATCAATGATCTTAAAATGGTATACCTCTACAAGTACGTCTTTGTAGTAAAATTCTTTAATAAACTGCATCATTGGTTAATTTTGTATTTTTTTGTCAATTTTTTTTAAATTTTTATGATGTAACCCCTTTCCAAATTTCCGAAAATTTTATATTTTGTCTCCGATCTTAAAATGGCATACCTCTTTAATTTTGTAGCGAAATTCTCTATCCATCATTAGTTAATTTTGTATTTTTTTCTCAATTTATTTTTTGTTATTGTTTTAACGTTTTGTATAAATAAAACAAGGGGAAAAGTATTTTTCACGGTGCGGAAACCGCATTCTTCGCCTGTCGGTGACAATTAAAGAGCGAATTATGCTAACTAAATGTGCGACGTGCAGAGCTGAATCGCACAACAGTCGCGGCGGGAGGGCCTCGAGATCGGGGCGTGGCTATATAGTGAATTGATCCAATCCGATCCATTCCAGATCGACGTTGCATAAGTGCGGTTGGGCAATTTTCATTGGCTTTTGCTGAACCAGCGGTGAGAGGCAATTATAATTATAGATTATCGGGTGAAAATTCGGTTCGAGATTCGAATTCGTTTTTTGCGTGGTGGCCAGATTTATTTTCCCCGCGGGAAAACCCGGTGGGTGGGTGGGTGGCCGGCCGGCTGGAAAAACCTGTGGAAATGTGTCACTCGGCTGCCAAAGCACCGCTGTTGTCGCCCCATTGCGTCACGGTAGTTAAAAGGTGTCAATCACCGGGCAAGCCGACCAGCAACCAGCAACTAGCAAGCAGCAACATGCAACACATGCAATATGTGTTGCATGTCTTGCCCCCGCGGGCAATTCGATTTCGGGGTAGCTCAAAACTACGTGATTCATTTGCGGTCTCGGGTGGGAAAAATCATGGAGAGCGCTGCAAAAAGGAGTTGTGGGTTATGGGTCTCTGTGTCACATCAATGAGATAAGCCGATAGGCAAACTTCACTGAAGTAGCAATTGGTTTTTCCTATGCTTAAATACGTTCCATAGCCTGATTGTTATTGAACAAATTCGCCTCCGATTAATGAACAATTCATGAAATAAAATAAAGACATTAAATCAAATACTCGTATTTGCCAATGCAATTTAACAGCTTAGTTTGTTAAGCTTCCCCGCCCCAAAAACATCAATAGTTTTCCCATAAAAATCGAAGCGAATGCTGTCGCCCTTTTCGCTTGAACTGGCACACGAATCGAAAGAGTTGCTAAGTGGCAACTGGAGTCGGTGAACTATATATATATATATATATATATGTATATGCACTCGTTTATGGCTAAGTAGGCAGCTTGTCATTAGGGCAAATTCATGATGGGAATGGGGGAATTGGGGAATGGGGCGAGCCACGACGCGGGGCATTCTGGGCACTTTGCATAATAAAGTTGTTTGGCTTTTGCTGCACGCTTCCCACGCCCAATTCCCCTAGTAATATACCTCATTCCACCGATTTTTCCCCCTCTAATCAAGTGTTTTTTTATTGCCTCTTTCGCGCTGCGCCGGCAATTTCGACTGGAGTTGCAGGCACGCCCATTGGATTTGGTCTCCGAATGACACAAGATTCCGCTTAATTGAGGGGTTCAATATTTCTTGCTGCGCACCAGGCGGCGTATGCGCAATATTCGAGGAATGCCTGACCAATATTACGCATACGCCGCATCGGACGAGGGGAAACAAACTCAACATAAACTGTAACAAAAAACTCCCTCGTAATTGCATCACTTCGCTGTCTGATCAATCAACCCGCAACAGCAATAAAAGTTCCCCCGAAAAACAAAAAAAAATAATAAGAGCAAAGCAATAAACTCAGAAATACCACATTTTAAATCAATGAATATTTTGTAAACATTCCTCGTTGTTTTTGTTGCTGTTGCTGTTGTTGTTGTTGTTGTTATTGTTGTTGTTGTTGCTGGCCCAGTTACGCGCCGAGCATAACTTTACCCATAATAACAAAAACGACGACGAACTCTCGCTTTCACACCAGACCCGACGGAATACAGAATGAAATATATCCAAACACCTGCGGTCAAAATAATAGTTGTGGGTCTGAGGAAAAAGTTTAAGATCGTTCGGTTATTGGTGAATGTTAGCAGAAATATTTATAGCCTAAAATATTTGATTATTTTAATTGAATAATTGGAAGAACTAAACTCGATTTGTTCTTCAACTTTTAAGAGAGATATTCAAACAGAAATACATTCATTGGGCTTTCTATTTAATTCATTTTCTAAAAGCAAGAAAGCACTGCTACTATTTTGAACGCAGTTGTAACTTGGGTTGGTTAATGCACCAACTGCCTCTTGATATTCGTTGCCAATAATAAACAGAAACCAACGAAAGAGCAACGATAATACTTCATAAAAAATGTTGAGAGCTTACGCAAAGTCAGGAAGTTACAGGCACACTTGATACCTTGTAAAACTAATGGGCTTACACGCTATTACTGTAATTCATTAAAGACCATTTCAAGTGCTCTTTAAAAACTTAAGAGGCATAAAGCATGCAAAACCTTTTAACCAAAAAATAAAATGACTTCTAAACAAACAATTCAAAGCAAGAAAGGTCAATACAAAATGATTACAAAATAAAATAAATTAGAAAAGCCAGAATTATTAAATGAATAAATAACAAAATACTGCAGGTAATTAAACACTGATATCAGAACTAATTTAAAAAGTTTTAGACTATTGTTATCTAACACTCTACATCCAGATATTTATGGGGTATTTTCGAGTTGCATTGCTCCTGATTTTGTTGCCTTTTTGTAACTCTCTTGTATACTTGCCACTTTTTGTTTAGTTTAAATATTTACCATAAATTCGCCGAGCAAGTGGCGTCCAAGAAAATAGAGCAAACTTGGGAATGAAGTAAGGCTAAAGCTAAAGCATGGCAAATCGTTGCACAACTAAATCGCATTTATTTAAAATTCCAGACCACTGCGAGTGGCGTCCAACGAAAGGTAAGGTATCAACTGCAACGTGGAACAACAGCACAAATATTTCGCTTTGGCGGCAAATAAATATGTGTATGCAAACCGAACGATCGTCTGGAAGGCAGAGGGGGGCGGTTAAAAGGGGGAGGGGCGTACCTGCAGTGCATGTCCAAAGTTCGGGGATGGGGAATACGGGATCCGGAGGGGGGAATACGATATCCAGGGTAGTTCGCCCCCACAGCGACGCCTCGTGGCGGCTTACTTATTATTATTTTCTGTTTTCCTATTTTCCTGTCTCCGATTTTGGCTTGCGATAACCGAATGACTTACTTTTCGCCGTGTTAAGGCCTCGATTCGGTTTTTAATTTTGCCTAGCTTCAGGTGCAGTTTTTGAAATGATTGAAACATAAATAAAAACAGCCTTTCACTTTGCCACCAAATATTTATTTGTTATAGAACAACTTTAACATTAGTTTGCTTTGGATTGTGTAACAATCTTTGCGTTCTGTATTTCAACATAGTAAATTTAATTATGCTCGGCAGCGAAAAGTGTTACAATCCGTAGACCTTTCCATTCCTATCCATCATCGACCATCGCCGATTAACCTTCACTTCGATTCGGTGTGGCAGTTACGCCCAATGGGACTTACAACATTTTAATTCGGATCTGTTTATGCGGTTACACAATTCCAGCCAATAAATAAATTTCTTTCTCCGCTCCAAATCCCCATATGAAAACTATGTTTCCCATTATCATTTTAATTTAATTTGGGGGCTTATTGTCGATCGACTTGCTCCGCTACTTCTATTGTTCTTTGGCCAATTATTAATTGGAGCACAGCGTTCGTTGACTTGTTCTAAAGCCCCATAACATTGTCCACCCCCTTAAAGCCAATTCCCCAAAAATTCAGCCTTTCAGTTCTCATTCGAATTGTGCCGCGTTACAAAGTGTTGCGGAAATAAGTTTGGTAAACCATACGGGTAGGTATATTATTGTATTAATCGAGAACGGCCAAAGGAATGCCTGAGAAATAATTCAAAAATAACAAGAACAATTAGATAATGTTGAGCAAAAAACACGAATGGCGGGCGAAAAAAAATGAATTGAGTCCAATTTAATCTATGACACCATCGCCCCAAACTGCTTTCAAATAAACTAATTAAATTTAAGTAAAGCAACAGGCGCAGCAACAACAAAGAATTATTTATTGCCAATAGCCAAAGACAACGACGTTGCCTTTCATTCAAAACACAAAGGCCTACGATAAAAAAATGCCTAAGAAAGGCTGGCTTTTCAAGTGAAATCGAACTGAGATACCCTTTGAATTAGTTGTATTTCTAAGTAGATAGAAAATGTGGCTATTTTATTTTTTTGATTATTTGTGCTCTTTAAAGAATTCTTTTTCCAAGTGAGCCGTAAAATATTTGTAATATTTTGTTTACCTTTTTCTCTGTGGGTAAATGTAAATAAAATCCGTTGGCTTATGGCGAATTATTTTAAATTAAGCCACTTTGCAGTACCCTCGTTGCGGTTATGAAAAATGCCTCCAAGTGGCTGGCGGCGACTCCAAGGCTTGGCTTTGCTTCGCCTGGAACTTGGAACGTGGAGCGTGGTCGCCTCTATGACGAATCTCTGGTGGTGCCGCAGATCGCAGATTGGGGATTTGTTGTTGCTGGCTGTGGAAGGGGGTGGGGGAGGGGTAAGGCTGAAGGGGAGTGGGGATCGGGGATCGTAGATCGGAGCTTTATCCACTACAGACACCGTTAGGCACCGACCACTGCGCACGCGAACAGTTTTCATTATTTACTGTTTATGATACTCTACGCCCAAAGCGAACTATATAGCATAAGCTATATAGCATTCCACAGTCAACAGAGTAAATTTAAGTGTATTGAAAACCAAGATCAAAGTACCAAAAATGTATAATTACAATGGACTGGTTTTTAGAGTAACATATCACATAAATACTTTTGCTATAAATTCCCTAGTCACTTTGTTATTATTTTCAAGTTAAAAACATCTTACATCTTGCTTTGAAAAGGATTCCATTTTGGTTACCATATCCAAATTTAAAATCATTAAATATAAATTTTAATTAATATTGCAATTTTTAAGGCGTTCATATAAAATATAATATTATTGAAAAACTTTGAATACGATAATAAGAGTATTTAATTTGGGCCGCCTTTTGTGGACCACACTCACTCCGCTGGCTTTTTGTTTTAACTTCTTTTTTTGATTGCCAAACAACAATTTGGCAGCCGCTGCCTCCGTCCGTGGCTGTTGGTTGTGTGGCGGTTCTGCGAATAAAATAAAGCCAAGAGCTAAGACCCAAGAGCCAAGAGCCGAAATAAAGGCCGAAATTGGAGCGCGGTGGACAGGCGCAAGGCACACGATACAACGCATTCCTAGCGAAGTCCAGTCGCAAAGTCCAGTTTTATGTATAGTCTCTCGACTTTGGTTTTGGTTTTAGCTTTGGTTTCGGTTTCAGTTTCAGTTTCAGTTTCGGCGTCGAATCACGTTCCATTTGATTGTTTCTATTTCTCCTTACCTAGCATATTTATCTGCTTTTTTTGTTTTTTGTTTATTGCACTTTGCATTGTTTTTTTTTTTTTTTTTTTGTTCGGGGTTTGGCAACTGCGCCCAACAACAAAAATGGTTTAAGCTTGGCGCCTGCACTTGTGGGCGCCAATAAAAAAATTGAGTTATATATGTACAAAAATGGATAAGACAAAACCAAAAAAAAGGGGGAAAAAGTCTTCAACCTGTCGCGTTTTTGGTCAATTAGCCACGGCGCGTATGAGTAATAATAATGCCCAGCGACAAGAAGCCAAGAAAAACACAAAGACCAAAAGTAAAATGTTATTTATGATTCGATTTCTTCAAAGCTCTGTCCTTGATTTCGCTTTTGGCATTTTCGGGGCGTCGAAAGTGACGGGCCAACTTGGCATCGAATTGGATTGGATTGTATTAAATTGATGGGCGGACAAGCCTAGGTTCTCTTGGCCATTCAATTGGCGTAAAAAATGAACAACGCTCTAATTGGAGGCACATTTTAATAGAATGCCTTTTATGGTTTCTTCTTGAGTTTCCCTAGTAAAAAAGAGCCTTTGTATTTAACTCTTAATCTTTTATTGGTTTTGAAATATAAATAGTTATAGAATTAAAATGATTTTAAATTCCTCCGCTTTGATCACGAATTTTTCACCTCTTCCTTTTGTTAATTATGCAATCGAATGGCCGAAAAAATCACGTATTTACAACTTTAAAATTGTTCCCCTCTGTTTTACCAACGTTGCGCTCAAGTGCATCTGCAAAAAACGATTTTGACTTCAGTTTTTTTCGTGGGTTTTCTTTTTTTTTGGGTTTGTTTTTTTGTTTTGTTGCAAGCGACGCGTGCTTAAAACTCAATAGCGTGTTTTTGTTGTTGTTATCTGCCCATTCATGTTAATTAACCGTTCGCAACAACTACAACAATGATTGTGAGCGGTTTATCCATGTTTTGCTGGCTTTTGCTATTTCCAATTGATTAACGGCTGAATGAGCCTGCTTTAAGCCTTTGTTTCCACGGACTTTTGGTGATAAAATCTGATGGTGTTTTTTGACTTCAAGGGGATTAAATCAATATAAATTAAAAACAAATAATATAAAACACAAATAGGTTTAACAAAGTTGATTTACTTTGCTTTTATTTGAACACGCAAAAAGAAAGCAGTTTGATAAACTTTATTAGATTCGTTTAACTTGTGGTGTATGCAATCATTTTATTTTTGGCCTGTAACTACTGACTTTCAGTTAGAAGAAAATATTTTACAACTTACAACATGTAACCACTTAAGCTTTTAGTGAAGGTACGTAAGTTATAGATTATAATTGTATCATTTTATTAGCTCACTATAAAGTGAAAGAAATGGGTTTATACAAAACTAGACAACAAATTGAAAGCCTAAAATTAATAAAAATATACAAAAAGTTTTTGTTTAGGAACTTGTTTTAAGACTTTTAAACTCAAGAATTTTGTTAATTGTTTTGTACTGAAAGAAAAGTATATTTTGTAGGGTTTATTTTGCAGTGTAGCCTCTTTTTCAATTATCTTCGCTGGCTTTAATAGCATCCGTTTAACTTTCGTGTTTTGCAGATGGCATCGTTAACCTTGCACTTGATAGTGATAGCTCTGCTGGCGTCGACTGCGCTAACAGCAACAACAACAACAACAACAACAACAGCAACTACAACAACACAACCAGCAACAAAAGCAGCAACTGCAACAACAACAACAACAATAGCAGCATCAACAACAACAACAACAGCGACGCGTCATCGCGGCAGAGGCGCCGCCCATTTGGGGGATGTTCGCTTAGCTGGGGGCGTGGCATCCACAACGAGCACAGAGGCGCCAACGTTGCGAGCGCCACGTCAACGACGTCCGCCCACGACGCAGTCGATCGAACTAACGGTAACGTTGACCCCGACGGGTCGCAGTCGAAGTCGCAGCAACGGCAGAACAACGACGCCCCTGCCACTTACAACAACAACAACAACGAATACTAGAGTGTTGCAACGGCGGCGCAGCAGCACTTCCAGTACAACAACAACAACAACAGCAGCAACACCTATAGCTTCACGATCCACCAGAGATCGGGGAAGTGTGAGGGGTGCGCGACAACCGCGCGATACACCGAACTTAAGTGTTGATGTTGGTAGTGGTAGTGGAAGTAACGGTTTTATTGGAAGTGGTAACAGCATACGACGCAGCTGGCAGTCCGCCCAGCCCACCGCCACCCACTACCACGCCCATGCGCCCACTTCCAGTTTCGGCTACAGTTCCATTTCCAGTTCCAGTTTCGACAACGATGCCCCGTTTAATGCCAGTGCCAATTCCAATTCCAATTCCAGCTCCATTTCCAGTCCCACTTCGACTTCCACGCGCGGCGCCCTGAAAACGTGAGTGATACCCTGCTTTAGGGAGGGCATATCGGTTGTTGCAAACAGCTTGACTGTTTATCATATGCACTCAATAAATTTTTGATTTCTTTTAAAGGGTTAGTGAAAAGAAGTACCTAAAAGTCCGCGAAATAAATATTTCTATAGGTTTTTTAGGTTTTGAATATATATTTGCATTATAACTTAGAACTTTTACTACTCCAACAAGAAATCTTGAGCATCATTTTAACACTAAATGTTGAAATAATTTACAGAATCATCCAAACCTTTTTTTCAAAAAAAAATTGGTTTGGTTTTTTGAAAATAGTTACTTAAATATATCATGAAAAATTCTATTTAAAGGGTATTTCGGTCTTCGATTTACTGAAACACCCCTGCATTGTAGTCTTTTCCTTTTTGAGGCCTGCCAGGCGTCTGCCCATTTTGGGTGCCGCTTTTTGATTTATGTGCCATGACAACCGGGTGTCGCCTCCGATTCCCGATTGCGATTCACAAGCCCAAACCCAATTCCCAATCCAATCTCGATTTCGTTGGCAGGCCGCGAATGATCCAGCGACTGGTGGCCGGTCACATCCACAATGCCCATGGACACTCCACCTACGAGGTGTCGGCGGTGAGCTCGAACAGCTCCTCCTCCTCCCTCAGCTTCGTTCCCTCCACGACGGAGAGGATCACGACGGAGAGGAGTGCGAGTACGAGTACGAGTACTAGTAGCACCTCCTCCACTTCGACCACGCGGCAACCGAAGTCGAGGAGCAAGGCGAGCAGCAGCTACAGGCTGGCCAAGCCCTCGAGCAGGCCGAGATCGACCAGCACGGTGGCCACCACGCGGTTCAGTAATCCGCCCAGCGTAGTGAGATCCACCACGCCACTTCCCCCACTCAGATCCAATACTCCGAATCCGAATCGCTTTCGGGAGTCCAACGATGCAGAGGATGATGACGAGGCGCTGCTCAACGAGCCCGATGACTTCGACAACTGGGACAATGGCATACCAGGCTGAGCGCCGGCTCGGGCAAGGAATCGGAGGCACCGGCCAAGAAGCCACCGAAGGAGGAGCAGAAGAAGACGCTGGCGGATCAGGTGAGGGACGGCAAGTACGGACTGATCGAGAAGGAGCTCTTCCGCCGCGTTCCCAAGCGACCGGGAGTGCTGAGCTACGCGAGGAACTCGGAGGTGCCGCTGGACAACGAGAGGAACTACGGGGGATTGAACGAGGAGGACATCTGGCTGGCCGAGGATCACCTGCTGGTGATCAAGGGCGGATCGCTGAACGAGGAGGCGGAGGACAACCAGCAGGGTCCGTGGCCACCCATCGATGATTACGATGCGCCGGGGCGGCAGATCAAGTTGCCGGCGAATCCGGCGGTGCCGCCTCCATTTCCCGTGCAGCTCGAGCCGCACGGGCCGCTGCAGCTTATCCGAGATAATCAACTCGAGGTCCTCCATCCGGCGGCTGGCAATGGAACGCGCCACCAGATCGACAAGGGCGACCACCAAGGCGCCGCCGGTGAAGGTTCTGTCGCAGCGCATCCTGTTGCCCGGCAGGGAGCGATTGCAGCATCTGCGCCAGCTAAATCCCCGCCAGCGGATCGCGATGACCCGGCCTACGTCTATCCGTCACCCTACGCGCCCTGGCTGCTCTACCCCAACGACACGGTGGCGTCCAAGGGCCTGCTGAGGAGTCCTCCGCTTCTGGGGCCCTGGCTCATCAACGGACTGAATGGGAATGGTTCCTTCCTGGGCGGGGACTCCCCGCTGCCCGCCAATGTCAGCGATTTCGACGAGGACGATCCCTCGCTTTACTATCCACCTGCCTACAGTTTCGTCTACAAGAGCAACTACTCGAATCCCGTGCCGCCGGGTCCTCTGGTGCCTGGAATAGTTCTCCCACCGCCCCCGGATCACTTCACCCGACTGGAGGGCACCACCCGGAGACCCCTGCCCTCGACCAGCAGCAGCACCACCACGAGTACGACCACGAGTACCACCAGCACAACCACAACGAGCACAACAGTCAGACCGCCAGTGCAATTGCCGGCCATCAGGACCTCCTACAAGCCGAAGTACAATGGCATCACCTACTTGCCACCGCCGCCGCGGCAGAGTTCTCCGAAGTACGTGGAACGAGTGCCCGTTCCGGTGGCCGTGCCCATACCCATCTATCCGGTCAACTACACGCCGCGGCCACAGCTGGTCTTTGTGCCCAGCTCCACGGAGGGCAGCCTGCAGGATCCACCGCTCTCGCGGGATCCGCCGCTCTCCAAGTCGAACCCCATCTACTACGAGTACTTCGAGGCCAAGCGGCAGCCGGGCTCGATCAAGTCCAACGTCATCGACGACTTCCTGGCCACCAAGCCGCCCAAGCGCCACCATCACAGCCACAGTCACAATCACAATCACAATCATCAGCAGCAGCAGCAGCAGATCCACCAGCAGCGGGAGCAACTGCAGCACTATAAGGCATCGCCGAGTCCCGCCAACGATGTCGCCGGTGGCGTGGAGGTGGTGAACATCACGCCCAAGCCGCGGACCGCCCAGCTGCAGCTCCACGCGGAGTACGAGGCCTCGCTGGGGCAGCTGCTCCGGAGCAACCTCATCTCGCCTCCGGCGGGAGGAAGTTCGGGGAGGTTCCAGGTATGGATTACTACTCTTTATCCATCTCTACCTGTAATCTGTTTTTAAGGCTATTCCTAATACACAAAATATTATATTTACTTCACTTCTTATAAAAATTTTATTTTACATTTAATTTATTTTATTAAGTATTTATTAAGTAGAAAATCTGTACAGCATATAATTAACATTTTATATAAGTTTAATTCCCTTTTTCGTAACCACCTAAAATGCACCTCAACAGAAATGTAGGCAATGTTTTTTGGGTAAAGCGCCATCTGTGAATAGAACCTGGAACTATTTTTACTCTGTCAGTGAAAAATGCTACAAAAGTTTAACTCTTTAAGTCGCCATTTTCAACTATTTTCAAACGAGTGCATACTTTTAGGTTTGTGTTGTGTACAAACTGTTAGCAAATATTATGCTATCCGATAATTTACCTCATATCTACCGGCCTATTAGATTTAATTACCATTACCATTATCTAGAGAAACATAGGTTTGAGCTTTGTTCGAATTAAACTTTGTAATAAACTTAAACAGCGACGTTGTCCATTATAAATCTTATTAACATTGAACCTTTTCGTTTAAATTGCAGCCTCCCGACTTTGACAAGCAGCCCTTCCTGCCGATGGTGAACTACAGTGCCGATGAGCAGGACCAGAACGCCTTCAAGGCGATCGTTTACCAGCCGCCTGGCCAAAGGCAACGCCACTTGCGCGTGGGCAAACAGCAGCTGCAGCTGGATCCCAATTTGGAGGTGACGCCGCAGGATTCCTACCTTCCGGGTCGCCACTTCCGAGTGGGCAAGCAGCACCACCAACAGCAGCAGCAGCAGCAGCAGCTGCAGCAGCACCACCAGATCTTCGAGCCACAGATTTACAGCACGCCGGTGCCGCAGTTCGTGGAGGATCCGCAGCAGTTGCGGCCACCTTCGCCGGTCCAGGCCAATCCCCTGCAGTTCTGGCAGCGACCTCCTCCGCAATTCAAGAGGGTGCGACCGAGCAGCAAGCAGGGACATCCCCATTCCCACACCCACTATCCACCCTATTACGTGCCGGGATATCCAAGTGGTCCTTCGGCCGGGGAGCACCTCTATCGTCTGGTCCCAGTGGCACAGCACAAACACTGGCGAAGCAACAAGCAACAGCCGCAACAGCAGGTGCAACAGGTGCAATCGCAACCCATCCAGGTGCAGCCCCAAAACCAGGGCTATCCCGATCGGAGCGTGAACATCGGTCACAGCCTGGCTGGCGATATCCTTGTCAACTACAGCACAAACAATCAGTTTAATCCGCAGGCGGAGCTGGTGCCACAGGCCCAACTGGCGGCACCGCCACCACCCCCGCCCCCTCTTTCGTATCAGGCACAGAGCGGGCAACCGTTGTGGTCCGAAAGGGAGCGGGATCGATCCGTGGAACGATCGGTGCGGCAGTCAAGGGAACAGCAGCAGCAGCAGCAGCAGCAGTAGGTTGCAATTACCATACACACCATACACACCATACCATATCATGCCGATAATTTGGTTTTCTGGTGGTTTCTATGTCATTGATAAACGTAGTGTCAAAATGTGATCTATAGGGAGGCCAATCCGCAATCGAATCCCAGCCTAGACGATACGAAATGGAAAGCCGACAACACTTTCTTAGACAACATTTCTCTCTCATTTTCTACCATTCCATACTACTTCATTATTTCCTGAATGTGTGCGCAAACTTTGGAGCCCATCAACCCACGAAACTTTATTATGGTCTCATCCCTCGACGTTTTTGGGCTTTGAAAATAATGTTTCATTTTTTGAAAATTGAAGATATGTAAGTCCTAAAAAATATTAAGTAATTGGGATACACGTTTTTCCGTTTTACTATAAAGCCCCAAAAAAGTATTTAGCAGTAAAATAACTTTTTTTCTGACCTTCGTGCTACCAATCCAATTAACCGAAAGCTCAACCCAAGTTTACTTTGCCTTCTTTGCTACCACTAACATATAGTTACGTTATGTAGAGCTGGTCATTTAAGAGATAAAACCCGATTTGTCCTGCTGCCAAACTCTTGAAGGCGTTCGAAAGTCGATATCATCAAATCATCGAACATCGCTGTCGGAGTTGCAACAAAAACACGCAAATATATTTATACCATATATAAGTACCTATATCCCTACTCGGTAAATTTATATATATACAGACCTATGTAAATAATTAAAGAGTTTAGGCGCTACAGACACCACTTAGTCTTAGGGGCAGTGAAACACATGTACGCATCATCGATATCCTTAGAAAAGAAAGCGTTAGCTATCTGTTTTATCCTGCACACACACACACTATATGTATTATTTTTTTCTATTTATTGTAATCTGTTTTTGAATGTTTTCCAAAATCATTGCAAAACTTTGTATAAAAGCCATAACAACTAAGGTCACTATAAGTTAAAATCACGCTATGCAACTAATGAACACTATGCGTTAAAAAATATCTTTAGTTTGGATACCATACCTATCTATATCTATTTTTTTTGTTAATTGTAAACGAATAAAATAATTTGTAGACGCAAATTCATATTATCGAAATAAAGCAAATTGAAAATATCGAATGTTTTGTCGATGGGAAGACTGGAATGTGGAACGAAAAGATATCGTATCGATATCTAAAGTAATTATTGGTAATGTTTCTGAGAATTTCTTGCTTATATTTAATTTATCAAGATATACCATTTAATATACATTGAACAGGATATTTTGGATTCTCAAATACCAATAGTTCTTACAACGCAACTTTTTCGATAGCATATTACTCCCCTTCCTTTTCAAGCGTTTGTTATCGATACACAACAGCTGGCTGGATGTAAACAACGGTATTTGCGCATGCGTAAACGGAAAAGAGAGCGAAAGAGCGGCTCGCGAGAGAGTTTTTGGGGTAGGAAGGACGAAAAATCGATGAAGGACTATCAGCAGGAAGCTCCAAGGAGCCGATTGACTTTGGGCCGTAAAATGATTACGGGCTAAAAGCTAAAAAATACGTCGCGCGAGAGCGAGAGAGGGCGAACGAGTAAGCGAGAGAGAGAGAGAGAGAGGAACAAGGAGCAACAGCAACAGCAAGCGAAAACTTGGCACAAATCCCCAACTAAAAATACAACATAAATTCAATTAAAAAATCTATAAATTTCCACATAACAATAATCGAACAAGAAAAGCTGCTGGGGCATTATAAAACAAACAATCGAACACCTTGTGTGCGTGTGTGTGTGTGTGTGTGTGCCATAACTCCTTAAAACTTCAAGCATACAGGAAAGCGAAACGAAGGAAGGAAGGAAAAATTGGCAGGAAAAACTAAGTGAAAATCGAGGAGGAGCAGGTGGAAAAAGGCCGAGGAAGATGGCATTAAAAAAGCAAAATGACCCCTAGAAGCTAAATACAAATTCTTTCAGCCATCAAATTGAATCACACACTCTCTCACTTACACGCACACACACACACACACGCACCACACGCACACAGAGGAGAAGTGGAGCGGGGGGAAAGTAGACCACCCCGTTTTTTTTTTTTTAAAGCAGCAGTAGCAGCAGCACCACCAACACCACCACCACCACCACCACCAACGCAGCCACCGCCAGGAACCACCAGCAATCAGGAACCCCTCCTCGCGAAAGGCAGCCGGCAACCCACGCCCCTGCAGCAGGTTTAAAAATAGCCAGAGCTCTGGGAACTGGAAATCGAACATCCCTGGAGTCGAGTTGTCCGGGAAAAATGGTAACGATGAACTCGGAGGCGGACAAAGCACAAGCCACCAATGCCAGCACCACTGCGGCACCACCAAAGACGAAGACGGACTGCAGCGGCAGCCACAGCAGCAGCGATCCGCTGGCGGTCGCCATTCCGGATCCCCCCCAATCCGGCGGACAGTCCTCCTCCCCGCTGCCGAATGGCAGTAATAACGGTGGATTCCTGGCAACCGAAGCAGCAGCCACGGAGGCATCTTCCTCACCGAAACAGGCAGCGGCAACAACAACAACAACCACTTCGATTGCAACAGTAGCAACAGTAGTTCCTTCCCCGCCAGCAGCCACTGTATCTGTATCTGTATCTGCATCGGCAACTGTATCTGTATCTGCATCTGTAACTGCATCTGCCACTGCCTCCACATGCACGGCAACCACCAGTTTGGGAGCCAAGGCCGCTGCCACCAACACCACCACCACCACCTCCTCCTCCCCCTCGGCCACCTCCTCGTCGACGGCGGCGAGCGGCAAGCAGAGCGGCGGCAGCAGCACCGCCGGTGGTGGTGGTCTACTGACCGTCAGCGGGAACCACCACCACCACCACCACGGCCACTCGCAGCAGCAGCAGCAGCAGCAGTCGGCGGGTCAGTCGAACGCCCAGCCACCGCCGCCGCCCACATCGTCGGCACTCGCGGTTCCCGCGACGTCGCACCACCAGCGCGGTGGCAAGAACGAGGATGCACCCAACATCCTGGTCTACAAGAAGGTAATTCTTGTTGTAAGGGTTTTCCGGATGAAGTTGGCTTTAAATACTGGTGAAATTCTAGAACCTTAAGCAACATTTGCTAGCAGAGAAAAGTCGATTTCAGTTTAAATATTCACATTACAAAGTTATTTTGACTTTGAAATATTTAAACATAGGAAAGTTTAATTAATTTGTTAATTGAAAACTTGTTTAATAACACTAGGAGCTCAAAAATTAATTTACTAATATATGTTTTAAAATTGCCTTATTTCTTATACTAAGTTAAAAGCTCTATCTGTTAGAAGATTCAATATAAAGCTATAGGTAAAAGGTATAAGTTATTTCATTTGAAAAGCAACAGGAATATAAATTGTATTTATTTTACTATTTGAAAAGCAATAATGAATAGTTGAAATTTGATTGAATCATTCACAATCATATCGCATTATTTATTTTTTAATTAATTAACAAATGAATTAATTAATTTATTAATTAATATCCCCAGATGGAGGCCATAATCGAGAAGATGCAGGCGGAGTCCACTGGAGTGGCGGTGCGCACGGTGAAGGCGTTCATGAGCAAGGTGCCCTCGGTGTTCACCGGAGCGGACTTGGTCGCCTGGATCCTGAAGAACTTCGACGTGGAGGATGTGACGGAGGCACTGCACTTTGCCCACCTGCTCAGCTCCCACGGCTACATTTTCCCCATCGACGATCACGCGTTGACCGTGAAAAACGACGGCACCTTCTACAGGTTAATACTACATACCCAGTTTATAATTAGGGGTAATAATATCACTGATTCCCGGACAGATTCCAGACGCCCTACTTTTGGCCCTCGAATTGCTGGGAGCCCGAGAACACGGACTATGCCGTCTACCTTTGCAAGCGCACAATGCAGAACAAAACGAGGCTCGAATTGGCCGACTACGAGGCTGAAAACCTGGCCAAGTTGCAGAAAATGTTTTCCAGGAAGTGGGAGTTCATATTTATGCAGGTAAGTGGATAAGAAGTTTGGCAATTAACACATGAAGTCCAGAGTTTGTTTGTTAGAAGGGTATTCTTAGATATGAAGTTGATTTTAATTGATTCGTTTAGATTTATTCACTAAAAAAGTGTACTTTTATTTGTCATAATTATATATTCAAATAATTATTTAAATATTTATAATTTTTGCAGGCCGAATCGCAGAGCAAGGTGGCCAAGAAGCGGGACAAGTTGGAGCGGAAGGTGCTGGACTCGCAGGAGCGGGCCTTCTGGGATGTCCACCGGCCGATGCCGGGATGCGTCAACACCACCGAGATCGATATTAAGAAGGCCTACAGGCGGGGCGGCTCCAGCCATGGAACAGGATCCGCCGGCGCCTCCCTGGCCAAGAATCCTGTCGAGCAGCTGACGAGGATCATTGCCCTGCGCAAGCAGAAACTCGAGCGGCGCACAATCAAAGTGTCAAAGGCGGCCGAGGCGTGAGTTTTTCCAACCAAAAACACATATTTATTAATATTTACGATTTAATTTATCGATTCGAATTGTAATCTTCTGCAGTCTGGTTGCCTACTACGATCAGTACAATGAGTTCGATTACTTTATAACCTCGCCGGAGCTGCCGAATCCTTGGCAAACAGACAGCACTGAGATGTGGGATACGGAGAAGAATAGGTGAGTTATTCTTTAATGGTAAAATATATATGTATTATTATATATAATTATTAATAATCCATTTTCCACCCAACAGCAAAGAAGTTCCTGTGCGGCGCGTTAAGCGCTGGGCATTCAGTTTGCGCGAGTTGCTCAACGATGCAATTGGCCGCGAGCAGTTTACCAAGTTTTTGGAGAAGGAGTACAGCGGCGAGAACCTCAAGTGGGTATCACAAAAATATATAGCAAAATATACTCTATATAGTAATTAATAAAATTACTATTATATATTATTAATATTATATTATTATCCCGCATAAAAAACAACTTCCATTTGTTTTATAGATTCTGGGAATCGGTGCAGGAGATGAAGGCGCTGCCGCAGTCGGAGATCAAGGAGGCCATTCAGAAGATCTGGCAGGAGTTCCTGGCCCCCGATGCCCCCTGTCCGGTGAACGTGGACTCCAAGTCGGTGGAGCTGGCCCGCGAGGCGGTGAATTCGCCAACCGGTCCGAATCGGTGGTGCTTCGATGTGGCCGCCTCGCATGTTTATCACCTGATGAAGAGCGATTCGTACTCGCGATATCTGCGATCCGATATGTACAAGGATTACCTGAACTGTTCGCGCAAGAAGATCAAGTCTATACCGAATCTGTTCGGGGTGAAACGTTGAGATACGCTGCGGGGGTTCCCCGTAATTGCAGTTGGCTAGGAATCGATTCCTGGCAACATGTACTCGATACCGATACTCTCGGTATCTCGGTATCTCGGTACTCGGTACGCATATGCCTAGTTTGTATGTACTTAAACGTTGTTACTTATTTAACTGTCTGCCACTGTGTCGCGTATTTGATCGATTTTGAAGTGTTTATTGTCATTTTTGTATTTGATTGTTTGTTGATCGATTATACGTTGCCTCAAAGTGAACCGCCCCCTTTCCCCCTTCCCCAAATAGTTCCCTAAAAAACAGAAAACAGAAACCAGAAGCCGAACGCCCCCATATAGCCCGTCTCGCCTTATAAGGTGTCTCCCTCTAAATCAGACGAAAAGCAAACACCACTTACGAGGAAAATATGAAACTGCCAAAGGCTCGAATAGGAAACCAAAGCAAAACAAAATTATGTACTGGAGATTTAGTCCGAATCGGTGAAGATTTTCAAACAATTATCTGTTGTCGTCCAAAGGATGGTTTGATTTGTAATTGTTAAGTAATAGCTTTATATTCGAACTAGGAAACTAAACTTCCCCCACCGCGAACAAAAAAACGAACATCTCTAGAAATTCACAATTAAAATATTTTCCCAGAGTTTGTAGTTCCATGCAATCGAGTAGAGAAAAAAAATGATTTCATTAGCCTACTTCAGGGCCGCCCAATAATTGTTTTAAAATCTCTAGCGATTTTCTGTTGAGCCATTATGATATTATTTCATTTAATATCCGAAAACGAAAAGTTGAAGACGAAAGACAACACCAACAACCGCCGAGACCTTATTCTCATACTCATGATATACAAGCGAATACGAATTATTAACTATTAACCGGAAAGCAAAACGATTGCAATCGAAGAAGACACCAAGGAAATATGAAGAGTAACCAAAGAGAAAACCAGTAGAAAATTTCAAACTGTAACCGAAAAACACCAAACTACGCAAATGCAGAAAAAAAAACCCCGAACTTAAGAGGTATATTCAACATAAGAGAATTAGCTTAAAAAATAGGAAGTCAAGGCGGAAATCTAACGTAAATTTAAAATTTAAATCAGCATGCCAAAAACACACAAACATTTTCCAGCTTTTCAGTAGGTAACATTTTAAACAGAACATTTTTGGCACAGAAAACCCCGCCCCCTAAAAACCCTAAAAATCTGATGAATGTGAAAAACCGTTGACTTAAGTTCCTTTACCGCCGTTATTAGGTTATTAGGTGTCTCTTTTCGTCACTTCCCCTCTCTTTCACGCACACACACACGCACGGTCACCTGCATACCCACACACACACTCACATATCGTTAAGGCGCCATGAAAACTAAAACTAATGAATACTAAGATTTTAATAGTTCTATTTTTTTGCCGCTCACTGTGCGCGCTTCTCTGTGCGTGTGTGTGTGTGTGTGAGCAAGGGAGAGGGGAAGTGTTTTCTGTTTCCGTTTATAGTGAATGTTTAGACTAAATTATGTTAATAATAGGCAGTAAATTAGTGGCAGGAAGTGCAAGGACGGAAACGAGAGTGCGGGAGCCAAGTTCGGATGGGCGAGAGAGATCGGCGGACAAGTAGGATAGATAGGGTCAAAGGTGTGATAGCTTGTAGGAAGTTATAAAAAACAAACAAACAAAAAAACAAGTGAGCTTTACAAACAAATAAAGGGGCTAGAAAACTGGGGAGACTTGATGGTCCCAACGAACTTGGTTCTCTCCGATATCTCTCCCCAAGACATTTTAAGATTGGACAACCGGGGTAAACCTCGAAAGTATTACTTCTATAGATGCGGTCAAAAATGTTTCAGTTGGGGGCTTTGGAAAATTGCAACTGGTGGCGCACAAAGAAATTATAATATTAAATGTAATGACTACTTAAAGCAATCATCTGTAAGTTTGTGATTTTAGAAGTTGTCCCAAACGCAGAAGCTATTAAGATCTCAAATTATTTGAGTTCTGGCGCAAAATCTTTGACAAATATACAAGGAACTAAATTTCGACGCCCAATATCTATTCAACACAATTTTTTTGATTAACATTTACGAAGAAAACATTTGAATTAAAATGTATAATGGACGATTTTAATTAACTTTATTTGTACTGTAAATAGACAACTCTTCAAGAGGGTATTTCAAATTGTTATTAATTTTCTCGAAAAATGCCCATAATTAAATCGTTTTGACCGCAACTGTACGATAGTGAGCGGAGCTATATATTTATGTGAAACATCAAACTGATCCAGAGATCTTTCGGAATAGCAATTAGACTTAGGTAAACTAAGGAACTCGGAACTTGGAACTATACACATGTAATTCGCACGCACACACACTCATGCTGCCTACTTTTGGGCTGGATAAAACAGAAACAAAAAGGAAAAAAGGAAAACAAAGGATACATAATCCAGAAAGCCGTATTAAATGTACTTAATTAGGATTGCATTGTGTGTGTCTATCTAATTGTAACTGTAATTGTAAATGTAAATGGTGTCTACAAATTAACAAGCAAATAATAACTATAACTATACAATATGAAGTATACAGAATTCGGTAAAACGTCAAGGTAAACATAAAGATAAACGTAAAGAGTACGAGTATAAATTATAAAGTACGATATGTAATACCATATATCTTGATGTGCGTCTGTGTGTTGGTAGTGACAAATTTAAATCGATTTCAAAATAGCCAAATCTTAAAAACTAGAAAAAAAGAACAGGGAAACCCCTCGTCTCATACACATTTTCCTTTGGCTTTCCACTGTTATCGTTTGCCAGATTATATATAATACATATATGCATATAGGAACTGTTGGCCAACTGTTTTCCCCCTTTTACCGTTCCAACGCCCCCCCCCACCTAAAAGAAAATAACCATTGAATGTAGCGGAAACTATAAAAACTCTAAAAAATCGATGAAAAACTAAAGGTTAGACGAATAAATTCCCACTTAATTTGGAGGAAACTAATTAAATCAAATAATCAAAAAAAATACTCGATATATGTACGTGTACGCAACAAACAAACAGCAAAGAACTTTTTAGGTTTAGCCAACAGCAAAAAAAAAAAAAAGAAAAATCCAACAAAAACAATAATTATTAAATAAACAACAACAACTACAAGCAAGAATAACTTCAAAAACACATAAAGAGGCCGCGTTTATTGTAAATTGTTCAGCAAGAAAAACAAAAACCGAAAACTAAAATAAATAAATAAAAGCGCAATTTAAGCAACAAAAACGGGCATAAATTAATTCAATTTTTTGTGAAAATTTTTAGTGCAGTTATTGAGAATCTTACAGGAATAGTTATCAACGTTGATCAAGTTATGGATTCCAGAAATTAAAATATTGGGTTGGCAAGAAAGTCATGTCGTTTTTTTAGAAATCGTTTTTAATCTAATTTATTTACGACTAATCGAGCACCAGGATCACACGTTTTAGTATCGTTTTAAAGCTTATTGTCTTAGGTACTATCGACGAAAATTTGGTAATTATTCGATAACATTTGTGGAAGCTATAGCAAATTAAACATGGAGGACAAAAGTGAGCATTTTCGGCATATTTTGCTTTTTTACTTCTGAAAAGGAAAAAAAGCGGTCGAAACTCGCGAAAAATTGTGCGAAGTGTATGGTAAAGATGCCATGAGTGCTCGCCAATGTCAGCGCTGGTTTACCAAATTCAGGCTTGGAGATTTTGGAGTTAAAGACGCCCCACGTTCTGGTCGACCATCGGCCGTTTTTGACGAACAAATTCAGGCTTTGCTGGATGAAAACCGGCGTTATTCAACGCGAGAGATGTCAGAGAAGCTCAGTGTGTCGCATACAACGGTTGAAAACCATTTGAAGAAGCTTGGCTACGTAAGCAAGCTCGATGTTTGGGTTCCGCACAACTTAAAGAAAATTCACCTAACTAAGCGTATCAACATCTGCTATTCTCTGCTGCAACGGATTAAAAACGATCCTTTTTTGAAGCGGATCATTACTGGCGACGAAAAGTGGGTTGTTTACAATAATGTCCAACGAAAAAGGTCATGGAGCAAGAAAGGTGAGCCAGCCCAAGCCACATCAAAGGCCGATATCCATCAGAGGAATGTTATGCTGTCTGTTTGGTGGAATTGGAAGGGTGTAGTGCACTTTGAGCTGCTGGGACGGAATGAAACCATCAATTCAGATATGTACTGTCGCCAGCTATCCAATCTTTGGTCACTCGGCAAAAATTAACGGCGCTGAATTGGGAAGTGCTACCACATCCACCTTATAGTCCGGACTTAGCACCTTCAGATTACCATTTGTTTCGCTCTCTTCAAAACTCTTTGAATGGTAAAAACTTTGATTCAGATGAGGCTGTCGAAAACCACTTGTCTCGATTCTTTGCTGGAAAAGACCAAAAGTTCTTCGAGCGCGGAATTATGCAGCTGCCCGAAAGATAGTCATTAGTGGTCGAACAAAACGGCCAATACATAATTGATTAATTATAAGTCCTGATATAAATAAATCATCTTTGAAAATATTGAAAAAAAAACGACATGACTTTCTTGCCAACCCAATAGTTTATATTCTTTGAATTTTCCGGTTAATTCTAAAAACAAGAACTGATTTTATACTATTGGTGATTATATATTGCAAGGGGAATTTTTTGGTGAGTAGTTTTCGAAGATGGAATTTTACATGAGTGGTTGTAAAAGTAGGTGGTTCTACCGAAAATGGGCAAGGCCGAAACCGAATTCTGGCTTTCATTTCGGAGTGGTGGCTCTATCGCCACCCAAAGGTGTTTACCTTTGTTTTTTTCATTTTTACAAAAGTTTATTGCTTTTTATTTCCACCAGCGAGGTCTAGTGATAAGACTAAGCAACAACGACGACTTCCCGTGCCGCAGAGCAGCAATAAAGCTTTGCTGCTCCGTTATCAATTCGTCTCCCGGAATATGGCCAAGTTTATCTGGGGACGCGACTTATCTAATTTGCTTTGGCAGGGCTCTTCAGCCCGGCCGAGATACGAATTGCGAGTAGGGGAAGAGATGCAGGTACGGATACAAGTACAGATACATTTACAGATACAGATACAGATACAGAAGCATGGGACGTGACCAGCATTTCGCGTAAGTTTTCTTCGAAGGGGATGCTTAAGGGGGGGTTGGGGACTTCCGAGGAGCCCGATCACGTTTTCGCCATAAAACCTTAAATGGAACTGTGCCTCCTTCTAAGCCCCGTTCTCTCGATCTGCGTACCTGGAATAGAGTGTCGATCCCGAGTCATTGCACTGGCCATGTGTTCATCGAACTATCTTAATGCTTTTATGGTAACGGTAAGGTTCGGTTCGCCATCGGAGATAGGATCTTTTCCACTTCAGCGTAATACCCTGGGTTATTGTCTATTTGACGCCTCACTCGGGGCATTGATAATCCATTGACCCACATTTATTTTAATTCCACCGATCGCGAGTACGCGTACAATACAACTCAAAACAATATTTGGATGACGCAATCGGCTTTTATTGTCTCAAATTTCACAGATCAAACAAAATTAGTCCGATAAGGGAAAAGGTAAGGTACATTCACGCTTTCTCATACACAAAAAAGGTTTGTTTAAATTAAATGTATTTTCGTACTACCTTATGTTGGCTTAAAGTTCTTTACGTTTTTATTACTAAAATTTATAGAAGCTTACTATTAATACTTAAATCTTATTTTTGTATTATACCTACTCAAACTATTTTTAAATGAAACTAGTTTCGTGTGTACAAAAAGGAAGAGATACACGCATAAAGAATTCTTTATCTTACAGAACTTTATCGCCCCAACTTTTATGACATTTTTCTGCGCCTTTATTAGAGAAGTGTTTCATGTTAAATTATATAACTAGATCTAATGCGGTAGCTCACAAAAAATGTTTATTTATGTACTTCAGAAAACCTTTAATATTATTCTTTGGATCTTATTCAATTCCTGAAACTCCCGCAGAGATTGTGAGTCCAAAGCCCGCGATTAAAATGGGCTCCATAAACATTTCTCGGAGTCAACTATCCGAAAGAAGACACAAATAAATACCAGCAAGTGCAAAATTTCACCACTTGCCTGGCGAAGAAGGTACGGAAAGCGGGAAGAAAGGAGTGCAGAAGACTGTAGACCGTAGACAGAAGACTGAAGAGGTGTCTTCTTATCAGTGGTTTTGTGTGTGCGTGTGCAGATCGTAAAGTTGAGACAACAAGAACAAGCGTTGGCCCATCGTCGCATCAATGTGTCACATTGGCAATCAGATAACGGCATCTCTTATCAGCAGGCTCCCGAGAATGGGAGAGCGAGCGAGAGAGCACTAGAAGATAGAGCAGGAGGGAGATAAATTGCGAAGATAGTTACGACTCACGAAGAGAGCGAAACTAGTTCTACAAATGTTCCCCATAAAGATGGGGATGCCCAAGTGACTAGATCTCAATACTGTGATTTCGATCAGTGTTCAGTGACAGGCTCTAATAAATTATTTGAAAATATGTTTAATAAACATTTTTATATTTAATATGTAATTATTCATCAGCTGAGATTTTATATATGTAAGTAAATTTTTCACTTACTGGTTGCTTTGTTACCGTCTTGATAAAGCTATTTAAAGAAAACTCGATAAAGCCTTCCAGCCTTTAACAAAAAATGCAAGTGGATTGTTAAATTACTCAGAAGCCAATCACTAAAAAAACTTAAACCGTAAAGAATGTACTCAAGGATGATAAACACAAGGACCTTAAAATTTTAAGCCCATTTTATGACTCACAACCAAACACACATTATTTTATAAACAATTTAAGCTGTTAATCTTAAAAAATATTAATAAAACAAGTGTAAGATACGTTTTGCAGATACTATTGACGTTGACCCCTTGAAATTTTGTACGCACAGGTCACAGCATCTCTGCTGCGGAGAATGGAGAACGGAGAGCGGAGAGCGAACGGGAGCATCTTCCGCAGCCCCAACAACAAGAACAAAAACAACGGGAACGCCAACGCAGACGGCGCCGTCTCAGTCGCAGTCGACGTTGGCAGAGGAAGCCGAGGCGCTGGCAGCAGAAACATCGATCTGGCAGTCGCTTCTCAGCATTCTTCGCCTCTGGTTCGACATTCTGACCGATCGGAAAATATAAAGACCGCACATAAAGACCAAGACCGTGAAGAGAGGGGAACGGTAGACCGAAGACAGAGGACCGAAAAGCAGAAAATAACAAAAATCCATTTCTATATACCCGAGATCGAGACCGAGACCGAGATGTGTATATGAACGCAGTTCCTGCTCGTAGACCGGTCGTCCGTAGCATCGTTGTGCTCCACAGTTCCAAAGTTCAGTGACAAAAGATTCGGGTGCGAAGAGTCCGAATCCTGCGCGAGGAAGAAGGAATCGCGAGAAGACTTGTTGTAATGGTGGACAGGCGTTGGATTTTCTGTGAGAGCGGCGAGGATCCAAACTTCAGAAAGGAGCACTGCGAGTACACCCAAAGCCAGCACCGATAAATCCGAAATCTCCAAGAACCCCCTTTCTCTCCCCCCCGAAGAAGTCCATTCAACCTGCTGCTATTTCTTGTGCCAACGATCTCATTTCCAACCGCAAAATAATCAAAACATAACAAAACAAAAATCATCGCAAAATAGAAAAAAGCTACGAAGAACAATTGAAGCGCGTGCATAATTTAAAATATTAAAAAAAAAAAAATTCGGTGCTTTTTGTTTGTATTTTTTATTGTTTGGTTTTTGGTGCTCCTCAAATGTAAAGAACAAGAGAATTGGAGAATTGCAAACCCAAATCGAGAGAAGGAGTGCGTGAGCGAAGAAAAGAGAGGAAGACCAGCAGTGGCCAAAAAAAATTTCGAGTGAGTACATCGAAAATAATATTAACTAAGTAATAATTTTGAATAAGCAATAGATCGGCAATAAAAACGATTTCGTAAACGTCAAAAGTATAGTAAATACGGATGACGTTCTTGCTGATAACCATATTATAATTCATTATCAAATGAGACAGGTTGCGCTGATTTCTCCGAGTGTACGAAATGCCGACAAACATGTTTACCCCAAGTAACCCCCAAAAACCCCTCTATTTCTATGGCTATAAATAAAATGCACAAAATGGGAAAAGCCAAAGGAGCGAAAGGGACGGCATCAAGCTGATGTGCATATCTGTATTTCTCTTCGTTTTTTTTCCTTTATGTGGGCCATGCAATTTGGCAAAAGTTTGAACTACCGATGCGCTTGGAAAACAGGTGTTTTTATTTTCAACGCTTATCAGCAATGGAACAAAGTGCTATTTCGAAATTGCCCCGAGAACAAAACGTAAACAAAAAATCATTTCGACACTTCCCAAATGTTTTTGTTTCACAAAAACGAGAGAAATCGTCAAGAGCAACAGCGGAAAATAAATAAAATTTATTGATAGCTGGCAAAAAGAATTAAATTTTTTCATCATTAGTTTCTATATATAGTATCGTTGTATACACACACTTCTTGCGCAGTCCAGCATGAGAAAAAATAAAAACAAAAATCAAAGCATAAAAGAAGAACTAGCAGAACGAGCAGAGGCACTTTTATTCCTATTTATGACGGCCCCCAATTATTGTCAAAAACTTGACTACGTGACCAAACAGGAAATAGAGAAGTGAAAAAGTGTCCGTCCGTCTGTCCGTCCGTCTGTCCGTCCGTCTGTCCGTCCGTTTGTCCGTCTGTCCGTTTGTCCGTTTGTCCGTCCCTCCGTAAAGATGTAAAGATTTTGAAAACTGATTAGGATTACATTCCTGTAGCTCCCCCCAATTTAGTCAATCAAGAGGCATCGACAAACGAATTCTCCCCCATTTACAATTAGGCGACACTCGGCGATCTGATCAATAAATACATTGATATTGCCTCTCGGTGGCATCGTCATCGTTTCATTTGTTTCTGGTTCATGTAAAGCACTTAAACATAAAGATGCACACACACCACAGACCCGGCTAAGAAAATAGTAACATAAGTTATTAAACAAATTATAACAAATGATCTAATTAGCCTGTATTGAATATTGATTTCGAGTGTACGAGTTATTCTTTCAAATCATTAATACCTTTCAATTGAAAAGAAGTAAGTTCTTTTTAGTTTTCCCGCTGCTGTGCTGCGTCTGATATATCCGATTCAGACTCCCTTGCAAAGTGGGCCAGACAATTCCCAAGAATTTGTTGCCTCGCTTTTTGTGGGCGTCAGTTTCGTCAAGTTTTTCCTTTTTTCTGCTTTAGTTTTTATGATTTTCTTGTCGCGGCAATTAAGGAAATTGTTGGGCTATGTTGTGTGTGTGTGTGTTGTGCGATATAGATTGCCACACATTGGATAATGGTGCGGGAGGTCGGGAATATCGCCCAAGGAATTTTAATTAAATTGTGCATTGTTCTCGGTCATAAGCGAAACTACTGTAGGTAATTTATTTGAGGAGTTTTCATAAGTTAAAACTTAACAGAACATTCTTAACAAAACAAACATACATACGTTTTAATCTTTAAACTATCGTTCAAAAAATATTGTTACTGAGCTTCAAAGGCTCTTAAAATAAATAAGCATTTGCTTTTAATTGTTGACTTTTGAGCAATGAGCTTTAGGAATTCTTGAAAGGCTGGGAAAGTCATGAAAATATGATCCCTTTGAATGGGAATAACAACAAACATGGTATCCCATTTAATCCGGTGAAAAGCTACCCCAATAAGATGCATTTAATATCGTTTTACCCTGGCAACTAATGGGAAATAACCAGTGGCTGAAAAATCCCCGTATATAGTAATGTCACTATATCTTTTTCTGTGGCACTTAAGCTGCTGCATTGTGCGCCTTATCGGGAGCTGATAAGCCGCAGAAGATTCCAGGCCCACTGCAGATGGGAAATATCTAGATACATACAGAGGCATATCTCAGGCACACGGCTGAATCATATGGAATATATGACGCACTTGCTCCAGAAAACAAATAGGGAAATTCAGCCGTCTACTTGGAATCATATACTTTTACGGCCTTGTTATTGTTTTTGTGGCTCGGCTAATTCTTTGTAAATCTTGCATACTCCAGAACAAAAAGAAAAATCGAATTAAATAAATGCGAAGGTCTTAAGAACCAGATAAACCGTAACCCTAATTGCGAATTAAGCGGGAAACAAAAGTGCAGTTCCCTCGAAAAAAAAAAAAAAAAAAACATAAAGTCGAGTCATCAGAAATTGGATATTTCGCATTTAGAACCAATAAATGTGCTGGTGATCTCTGCACTTGGCTGATTTGTACTCCAATTGGGTTTCTGGGCCACTGCTGACGCTCGATTCTCGATCAAAGTCTCTCTTTTCAAAGTCAAGCTCAGTAAAGTAATTGCTGGGGTTTTATTTATACTAGATATGGTATGTACATATATATCTACTCTACCCACGACATAGCTTTTGGCCAGCTTTTCTTTCTGGCTTTCCTTTCGATTTTCCCAGTTCTTGTGGGCGTCGTCGACAGCTAATTTGTGTTTTTAGGCAATCGTTTTTTCATACTGCCAGTCAGCTGACAATGCGCACATGCAACCGGTAAAGTCATACATATACCCATATCAGATATACTATAGCCTCTGAAAAGTCGCCTGGTACTGTTCGTATAATGTGCCTTTCAACATCTGGTCAATGACTTTGATCGGATTTTCGCCCTGGCGCTGATGCAATTTGTGAATGGAAATATGCGAAAAATATTACAAATTCAGATCATGTCACGTAGTACTACGCATATCATCCCCGGATCGAAAGTCTATAGATAGATGGGAAACACGGAAATGGACAGCCAAAGATTGACTTTTATCTTGAAGTTTTGGGTTTTTGTAGATTGAAAATATTCTATAAATATTTAAATAAATTGCATATTTGCAAACTTTTTTTATTGACTGTTATATCCCTTTATTTCCATACATCCCAAAAGATGATGAAACTTTCAGAGTTATTGCAGACCAGTCCTTAAATTTCCTTGAAAGGCAAAGTTTTTTCGGTGATTTTAAGGATTCATGGAATGACAGCCGAAAACATGGAAAAAGGTTAATGCGCCCCGATTTCTTACGCAAATTGGTGTCGCAGCCGTGCCAAAATTGGGTCCTCACCCAGAAAATAAACTTTATAAATTAACAACAGCACTAAATCATTCAAACGAGGCGGCGGGAAGCGGGACGAAAAAAAAAAAAACGAAAAACCAAAAAAACGAGGACAATCAATGACAAACTCTTTACAACCGGTTTATATATTTGAATAAAGTCGGGGCGTTGTCTTATCAGCAAGGACTGATAATGGCTCGGCTCCGTATGTGTATATCATATTTGCATTTGTCATATGATGCATCTGTATCTGTATCTGTATCTGTATCTCAATCTGAATGCGAATCTATATGGACGGCAATCAAGTGCAGTATCTATCGTAGGAGACGAGGTCTCGGCGATTCATTCACCAGACGCAGCTGGAATTATAATTGCAAATTTCCATTGTCTGATCGGCGAGGTTTCCCCTCCTCTGCAAATTTCCCGCAAATTCCCTTCTGCAGAAAAGAGATCTTAGGTCTTTGCAGCTTTAATCAAGTCTTGTCGCCACGCTATCTGGTATATGGTATCTAGTATCTTGTATCTCCGCCAGAGTTCAGACAACTTTCAGATAAAGTTCAGAGTATAAAAGGAGCAATGGCTTGCAACCGGTTCTCTAGATAAAGCCGGATGGCAAGAACCTTATTAACTGGCCCGCTATCATTATTTTCTTGGGCAATTACCACCTCCTCCTCCCTTTTCCACCGCCTTTTCGCTATTGTCTCTTCTCGGTTTTACAAAAACTCAGTTTTTGCTTAGCTTTTCATTCTTGGATTGCAATTTAATGTTTGTATGTTGGTACCCTTTAAAATAAACAGGGTATTTGGGGATTTGTAAAACGGAAAAACTACTTTTTTATGTACTTAAAGAGTAGTAAGGTTCAATGAAAGTAAACGTCGTATTCCATTACAAATATTTATTGTTTACTTGAGTTTTATTTTTCCCCATTAGTAGGGTATATTCCAAGTACTCACACAATGATATAGGGTTTTCAGCTGACATCATATTTCGATTATGCTATATGGCCACTTGGCTGGAGGCTTTTCCAGTCCGATTTCAGCATTTGACCGGCCAAGATCGCCACGAATCGGTTTCAGCCCGACTGAGCTGGCTTTTATTCCCATTGTGTCTTGTGTTTTCCTTTTCTCTATTTGCCTTTATTTTTTATCTTATTTAATTTTTGCAAGTCAAGTCCAATGCTGAAGTGTTAATTGACAGACGCCTTGGTAACCAGTGTGCAAACAATATGCTACTATTGAATCAAATAAGTAAATGTGTAAGAACGGCAAATATTCACGTGCAATTCTTATCGCCGAATGAACTGGATTTCCCCCTTTCAATTGATAAGACCAATCCCAGATGAATTATCGCCACTAGTTTAGCAAATCACGTATAATAAACGCCTTGCGGAGCAACATCTCATCTTGAATTTCGGTCTTATCGCGGTTCGGTGTAAAAAAAACACAACCATAAAGCTCTCCTCTCACAACAACCCCATAAATAAAATGCACATAAATTGCAAACTATTTAAAAAAGAAAAATAAAAACAAAACTTATATAAATAGATATAAATTAAGTGCAGAGAGCCGGTTTCTGTTTACCCAATGATTTATTACAAACAAGAAACAAACGAATTAAATAGTATCAACTTCGAGATACAATTCAAAATAATTCAGCAGTCGTTTCAAGATCGCAGTTCTCATTGAGTAATATTTTGTATAATTGGTTTGAGGCACGCTTAATGTTTTAAATAAGTGTTAATGAAAATCATTAATAGCTCTTAACACTTGTTTAAATCAACTCAGTGCTCAAAATAAAATCAAAGTGCTTCCGTACTAAAATAAATTGTAGATATATTTAACAACAAAATAATATAAAACCAGAAGCACATTATTCTTACTTCAGATTGAAATGTCTTGGAGTGTTCTAATAAATTTGAAATTGGATGCTTGTTAATTAACTTATTATGAACGCTCTCGAACTTAAATGAATTGTTTTACCATGAATCCAATTTCCACAATCGTTGCCACCCTGAAACCATAAACATCAGACCCTGGATGGCTGCAAAATCAGAGACTGCAGCAGAACTCAACCCAACTCATATGTCACACTCAAATCATTGAACGAATATGCCAGCAACAACAGTATAAAGTCAGCAATAAATTAACCAATTGATAGCAATAAAAGCAAAGTTGAGAGCGATCGAAGAGGAGGAAGAGCGGTGATATATTATATTATATTATATATCGAAATGCGCGCCGTATACGACTTGTTGCTGAGCAACGCCTTTGATCCCAGGTACGATCGAGTGGTATTCGCCGTATATAGCTACATATATAGACCACAATCCCAATCGGAATCGCATATGGTATGGGCATATGGGAATATGATACATCTTGCCCGGTAATTGAATGCTAACCAATGTTAATTGGACTCCGAACGAGAAATGCTTAGCAAATATTTGGTTTCCACCGTCTGCTCCCCAGTGACGCAGTTGATTTTATTGGGAGGGGATCGGAATTGGGATGGGGATGGGTATGGGTATGGGTATGGGCGTTTATCAAATGTTTATTGTATTATTAACCGAATGCGAAGTACACAAAATATTTGCCAAACAAATTGAAAACAGCAATTAGGCAGGAAAGTGTTCGTTCGCCCAATATTCGGATGTACTCATCGATTTGCATGGTGTAAGAAATGCTTTTAGCAAGGTTTCAATGTTTTAATGTATTATTCATTATGGTTTCCGGGCTTCTAAGTAATTTGAACAAAATACGGCAATTAGATTTCTAAATACGAGTAGTATTCGTTCTCAATTTTGAATTCTGGTAATCCAACTGAATGGACTCTTATGAAAATTATGAAACTAGCTCAGAACTATTCAGTTCGTACGGCGAATATAATAACCCATTGTCTGGTTATTACAGCTAGCGATTACAGTTAGCGATCGGAATAGCTACCAACGATTCTCATGCCTATTCATTGGGTATTAACAATTGGGAGCCTCCAATTACCCGCCATTCCCATCGAATAAACATGAACCTTTCGGCTCCGCCACACGGAGAAAAAACAAAGATCGTATTATCAGCTGTTCTCAGATCAATCTTCATCAAATTAATATGAATACAAATTAAAATTGAAATTTATTTAAATGCTATAACACAGTACAACTTGTTAACAGAAAAGAGGAATTTAATTCATGTGGGCATGGGGTTATTTTTAAATGTTTCAAAAAATAAGTAAAAAACTTTTAGGAATTCAATTATTTATTAGTAATTTATGCCAACTTTGATTAGTATAGTGAGCATATCTTTGTAAGCCTTCACTAATGATTGGGTGTATGTTATCTCCAAGCAATCCCCTTCATTTCTCCCTGTGTAATCGTGGACTTTCCCTTCCCTTTTCCAGAATGGTGCTACAGAATCACAACACTGTGGTGGCCCGCTCCACTTTGACCCCGAATAGCAGCAGCCAGAACTTCGGCTCCCATTCGGTGGGCCACCATGGCGGACAGGGAGGCAATGCAGCTGGTCGGAGTCCTCTGAACGCCGGCCCAAGCACCCAGCGACCGATTGTGGACCTCCTGGTGGCCATGGTGGCCGTTCCGGTGCTCATTCTCTGCGCCCTCCAGCTGGAGAAGAATCTGCGGGACAACAGCCTGGAGTCCCGCTGGCTGGTCTTCGCCTTGGGCATCGGGATGCTGGTGATCAGCGTGATCATCTGCGGCTACGTCACGCACCGCATGGGTGTCTGCATTTGGGCGGGACCCATTGACGAGGCGGGAAATCGGGCCACAAATGGCGGCATGCCACATGTGAGTGTTACGAACCAGAAATACCTTAGAGAACTGCAAGCTATCGCTATTTCTAGTCATTACAATTCACTATGTTTTTATAATTTAAAAATCACTTACTTTTCCGAAGTAGTACGAATTATAGAAAACAAAATTCTTAATCCAAATTCAAAGGTTATACCTCAGAGCTTTTCTGATAAAATTCCTAAACGATCTGCTATTTTCATTTTGGTGAAGGAACATATAATATTTTGACCCCTGTTCATTCGAGATTTTTATTGTGATAGCTTCCTTTCCTGTTATATTACAAATTTAATTTAAAATATGTAAAAATCTTAAGTGTCTGTATTATAATCTCAAATGTATTTTCCAGATCAACTCGCAGAACGATGTCCTACGCATTGTGGACTCCCTGCCACCGAGTTACGATAGTGTGGTGAAGTTCGAGCTGCCGCCGCCGGCCTACGACTGCCTGGTTATCGAGATGGATCAGGGATCCAAGGATCTGGAGTCGCCGCCGACCTCCGCCAAGTCAGGAACCGGAGGAGCCGCCTCCCCGCCCGGCGCCACGTTGCACATCTAGCAAGGAAATCCAAAGGAGCAACAGGAGCAGCATTCGGAGGAGGAGGAGAGAGAATTAAGAGATTTTTTTCGAAAACTGGCAGCGCAACGGATTTCCGAACCTGATCCACTTAAAATCTTGTATAACCGCGATTTCGATGCGTGGTATTCTGGCCACTCTGGTGTTTTCAAATGAATGTTTAAATGATTTTGAAACTCCTAGAATACCGCCATATTATCCGTATATCCATTATCCATTGTTAAGTTTGGCCAGCTAACTGGTAGTATAGCTTGGCAAAGCATTATGGCATTGTATTTACTTTGATTTTAAGCAGCTAGTATTTTAACTGTAGAGCCCTCAAAATCTCTCGCATTGTACATACATTGAGTTCTTTGAAACACACACACAGCATCTAGTCCAAAGTTGTATATAGCCGAAAAAGAAATAACTAAAACACAAGATGCGCCCATACGAAACCATTAGGGAAATATATATACCTACTGTATATTAACTGAATTGAATGCCAAGGCAGCAGGGCGGGAATCAAACTACAAAACTACAAAACTACAGGGTAGCACATAGTCTTAGTTTTAGCCTAACGTCTGTATATAATTATGTATATTACGATTACAAATATTACTATTTTAATTGCCAACAAATGTCGGAAAACGTTCAGTGTTGCTTTCCAGAAATAAAGAATTCCTATTAAGTTTATTGAAGTCCAAGAAGGTCTTTAGCGCCTATTGTATATTTTTTGGGGAAGTGTGAAAAATAATTCCCAGAAAAACCATTCGTTGCATACTTTACGGTTTATTCGATTATTTTGTGTTCTTGGCATCTTAGCCATTTTATAAGTGTTTGTTTACGGAGATCTAAGGGGAATTATCTTATTCATCATCCGATCACTTAAAAGGTAAATGCCAGATAAAATCCATAAATGCCACTAGACGTTTTAGTTCAGCATAGTTTTACACATTTCAACCAGTTCTATCAACTGGAAGTTATTATGTTTTTGATTAATTGTATAGGATGTTCTTTATCAGCATTTTAAGTCGTCAAGACTTTAATATACATTTTTTCCTGTAAAATCTAACAGACATAAGTTTCATTGATTTATAAGACTACTTTTCTGAAAGTGCAAATATGTTTTGTCATTTCTTTGGGTTTCTTGAAAACATTTTGCAAAGATTGTGAAACCTGTAATACAATTCGCTTTGTTGGTTTTCTCTTGGTTTTTATTGTATAAGGTAGTAGTTAGGTAGTAGCATATAAATTTATATAACGTACGATATACATAGTATGTAAAAAAGACATAGCTAGCTTAAATACTTTTCACTTGATGCGAATCGATCTGCTCGAAGACCACTCTATAGACCAGAACGGCCCAATATGGTAATTTGGTTTCGCGTTCATTTATTTTCTTCCTGGAAATTGCTCTCTTTTCTGGGCAGTTCTGCTCTAATCTCAATGCAGTGTCTGTGTGTGTGTGTGTTGTGTGTGTATGTGTGGTGGTGTGTGATGTATGGTTGTGTGAATGAGTGGGTGGATGATTGAAGGGACTTTCTTCCTGGACATCCTAGAAACCAGCAACTCCGCCACGTTTGCGGTAATCCGCATTCGCGTAAATGGCCGTGGCATTCCGCGAAATTGCCGTGACCACCGATCCCTTTGTTGGGGCAACGACCTTCAACTTGTGACCCCGTTGGACGAGCAGCTTCAGCAGCGACTCCGGGAAGCCACCCTCCTCGTACTCCAGGACATCGGGCTGCAGCTGGTGGTAGAAACGGGGCGCATTGATCGCCTGCCGCAGATCCTCGCCGAACCAGAGGACATTGGCGGCCACCTCGACCACGGCGGGAATGATCTTGCTGCCGCCGGCTGCTCCGATCACCAGCCGCATATCGCCGGACTTGTCCGCCAGCAGGATCGGCGACTGCGAGGACATCGCCCGCCGGTGGCCCTCGATGGCATTGGCCTGCGACGGCGGCAGTCCGAAGAAGTTGTTCTTCACGGCGAAGTCGTTCATCCCATTGTTCAGCACGATGCCCGTTCGGGCTCCAATTAGTCCGGAGCCAAAGCTGAAATAAGTCAAATATGTTACTAATTATTATATTATATATTATATTATATTATGTATATAATATTATATTATATTATTTATATTATATTGTGTATTATATATTTCAGGGATTTGCTTTTAAAGAAACAGGAATTTTAAAAAATGGCAACTAAACCAGAACATTTTCTTTTCCTCTGCTACAAGCAACATACTAATTCCTTAAAATTAAATATTAATAATTATGAACTGCCTGGAATTTTATAATCTATTCCCATAACAACACTTTCAAAAGTAGTATGTACATTTAAAAACGAAATCTGTTCTTTAACCAATGGTAACTAAAGCAGAACATTTTCTCTTCCACTGCTACAAACGATATTATAATTCTTAAAAATGAAATATTAATAATTATGAACTCACTGCAATTTCATAATTTATTCCTGTAACAACACTTTTAAAAACGAAATCTGTTCTCCAACCAATGGCAACTAAAACAGAACATTTTCTTTTCCACAGCTACCAACAATATTATAATTCCTTAAAATTAAATATAATATTAATAACTATGAACTCACTGGAATTTCCAAATCTATTCCCATAACACCACTTTCAAAAGTAGTACTTTTAAAAATAAAATGTGCAACTAAAACAGAACATTTTCTTTCCCCCGGCTACCAACAATATTATAATTCCTTACAATTAAATACTAATAACTATGAACTCACTACGAATTGATGGAGCTGGTCACAGAGACGGCATCTCCGTTGGGGGCCAAAACGACCAAGTGCGATGTGCCATCGATGTCCTCGTTTCCGGACAACTGAGCACCGTAGGCCTGAGGATCTGGCAGGACATACGAGTCGTTGATCTTGGCCCGGTTCTGTTCGCCAAAGTCCGGACTGTTCAGCCGGCTGACGAGCTCTCGGGTATCAACATAATGGATATCGCCCAATTCGGGCCGTTGGGCAAAGCCGAACTTCATGGCCTCGGCGAACCGATGGATGGTCCGGGCCCTCAGCTCCTCGGTGGACAGATCCTTTGCGGTGAAGTTATATCCCTGCAGGATGCTCAGGATGTGAGCCACCACCGAACCGGAGCTGACCGGCGGTATCACGTAGAGGGTATCGCCACCCAAGTCCATGGTGATCGAATTAACCACATCCACCTCGTAGTATTCCAGATCCGCCAGAGTGATGATGCTGCCCATGTCGCTCAGGTCCTCCGCCAGCAACTTGGCCACCGTGCCATTGTAGAAGTCCATGGGTCCGTTCTGGGCGAGCAGTTTGTACGTGGTGCAGAGGTTCTTCGGTGGCTTCACCACCGTTCCGGCGACATGTGGCTTGCCCGTCTGCTCATTCAAGTAGATCCTGTGAAGGGAGTTCGGAAAATTCGATTTGAAAGCGATTTGAAATCACTCTGAATTACGAAACATTATCTTGAGTTTTAAAAATGACGAAATAAAGTACAGAACCTCCTCTTTAATAATTCATCTATCAGAATTCAGCTTTTAAAAGGTTAACCAAAAATATGTTGCAGAACATATGGCTTGGTATTTAACCTTAACCTATGTTTTTATGTTTATTATCTTGCATTTGAAAGATTTACTTTGCGTTATACTCTCCTTATTTTTTTTTTTTTTATGAAACCTTTAGATATCTCTGTGTTCTTACATCTAACTTTTACTCACTGGTATTGCTCGTGCTTTGTGATGTAAGGCAACACGGAGTGGAGGGCCCGTTCCATGTGCTGCGACACATGGTAGCCCTTCTCGCAGAGCTCCAGCGACGGGGCAACCAGATCTGCCCAGGGGAGCCTTCCGAATCTCTGGTGGGCCGCATGGTAGCCCATCACCTCGCCGGGCACCGAAATGCTCAGCGGCCCCTTGTACGACTTCTCCGGATCCTCGGCGAACATGTTCGGCTCGGCGGCGTACGGAGCCACCTCGCGGGCATCGATCGCAGTGGCGTGCTGCTCCTCGCGGTCGTAGATGTTCATCATGTGGCCGCCACCGATCCCCATGCTCTGCAGGGTCAGCAGTCCGTTGCACAGCATGGCGGCGATCGCCGCATCCACCGCGCTGCCATTCTTCTGAAGGATCCCGCTGCAAAATGGTTTGAACCATCAAAAATTGTTGATCAAAAACTCCTTCGAATTGGGTTTGCCATAAGGCGACTCAAAACCTGAACTCGCAGCCCATAGCTTTTGCAGTTAAATTCTGATCCTAAAATGGCATACCTCTAGAAGTGTGTAGTAAAATTCTCAATTAAACTGCATCATTAGTTAATTTTTTAATATTTACGATGTAACATTTACCATTTACCATTTACAACATTTATTTAACCTTTCCAAATTTCTGGAAAATGGGTTTGCAGAAAAATTACCAAAAATAAGTACTTTGAAGCCCATAACTTTTCTATTTTTTCTCCGATTTTAAAAGGGCATAGCTCTACAAGTTCGTAGTGAAATTCTCTATTAAACTGCATCATTAGTAAATTGGGAAATTTTTTGTCAGTTTCTTTCAATTTTTATAACCCTACCCTGTATTTTTTATCTGTTATATATGGAATATGAGTTTGCATAATTTTCTTGAATGCGTGCTACTTTTTTGTTTGAACTCCGATTGTCAAGTGCTATGCCTTCAAAAACATGTGGCTTCTTTCCCCAAATATCTGGGTTTACGATTTGGATTGCAGTTACGGGTAACCGGCACTCCAAGCCACCAATGAATGCTTCGCTCACCTGCCGATCTTGCTGCACTCGAGGTTGTCGGAACTGACGGCGCCATGTTGGTAGACCCCGAGCACCGACTCGAACTGATCGCCGGTGTCCTTCTGGATCTGATCCGCCAGCCAGGCGGGGGCCTTGGCCGTGATCGAGGCCGTTGAGGCGGCCACGTTGGGCAGGAGGTCATCCGATGGAGTGGTGGCCAGGTTCAGGTTGCCAATGCCATCCGTTTCTGGTTGATTTGCCGTTTCCGTTTCCGTTTCCTGTTGCTGCTCATCTGTTAAATGAAATGTTTTAAGTGTGGGACTGGGATTGCTTTCTGTTCTGCTTGTTGTTGTTGTTGTTGTTGTTGGTGGTTGTTGTGTACTTGTTGTTGTTGTTGTTGTTGTGGAGGAGGTGGTGGTGGTGCTAATTGTTGTTGCTGTTGCTGATGGTGCAATTGTTGTTGCTGTTGCCGGTGGTGGTGGTTGTGCTGAGCTACTTGCAATATCTGTTGTGCTTGTTGCTGCTGCAATTGCAATTGCAATTTCTGTTGCTGTTGCTGTTGCTGCTGTTGTTGTTGTTGTTGCTTCTGTTGTTGTTGTCGTCGTCGTTGTTGTTGTTGTTGTGCTGTTTCTATTCGGCGTCGATTTTGGCCAGTCTTCGTTGTTGTTGTTGTTGTTGTTGTTGTTTTTTAGTGAGTTAGGGTGTAAAGTTTTTGGTTGGGGTTTTGTTCATGTGAATACTTTTTGGTGCCACAATAGAAGAAATTATTTTGAACTAGATTAAATGCCAGGTGCTTGGTTAAGATGGATCGAAAGCATGCAGAAAGAAAGCAATACATTCTATTTTTTTTGTCGAGGATCTAACTAAATTCAGTCGCAAGGTCCAAAAGTCTGTCGGGTGGTACACGAAATACATCTAATATTTATAATACAACTCCATCGAGGAGATTTGTGTATTAGTTTGCAGTGGGTGAGTGAATTGTTAGCTGGATGTGGTTGGCGTTGTTCCGAAACCGATCTCCCATACTCACCACTGAAGCACAGGCTAATGATCACGTAGCTGATCAGGGCAATGCCAATAAAGCAGATCAGCACGATGGTCAGCTTCTTCATCCAGGCCAAGACTTTGACACGCCTAAACGAGAAATAAAATACAAGGAATTGCAACTGACTCAAAATATCATCCAAATAAAGCCCTGCATAAATAATATAATATTCAGCCAAGTACAAATATATAATATTTTAAAATATACTGAATTTATAAAGTGTTTCATATTGAAGCATCAATTGTTAGGAGTTTTAAATAATTCTTGAATATATAAGTAATTTTAAGAAACTAGAAATTATTGTTATTTTTTATTGAACAAATAAACAGAAGGAGATTTTTAAACGAGGAAAAAAAATAAGGAATTGCAACTGACTCAAAATATCATCCAAATGAAGCCCTGCATAAATAATATAATATTCAGCCAAGTACAAATATTTAATAATTTAAAATATACTGAATTTATAAAGTTTCATATTTATTCAAGCATCAAATGTTAAGAGTATTAAATAATTCTTGAATATATAAGTAACTTTAAGAAACTAGAAATTATTGTTATTTATTATTGAACAAATAAATATTAATGTATCAGTTAAAATCAACGATTTTCTAACTACAAGCTCTTGAAGAAAGTTCACTGAATGTGATTTTTATGCAAACATATCCAGCCTCTTGGCTGCCACAAAATGCCAGCGAAGGACACTTGTAACGTTAATGCCACTGCTAATGTCCTTTTTATGCTCACATCTGCTCGCGTCTCGCCTCCTCGGCGGCGGCGGTGTCCTGCATGAGTTCGCCGCCATTCTTCTCCTCATCGGAGTCCAATCCGCCGGCGGACTTGAGTGGAATCTTGTTCATGGCATCCTCGTTGCTGTGGTGCACCATCTTGTGAGCATCCGCTGCTGCTGCTGCTGCTGCTGCTGCTGCTCCTGTTCCAGATCCCGATCCCGATCCCGTTGTGATGGAGCTTCTGGAGGTAAACAGAAGCAACAGTTAATAACCTCAACGCTCGAAAATGTGCAACAGTTTTCGCCAGCAGGCTTCAACACCAACTGAAACTGAAAATGGCAGCGCTCGAAGCACCGACAATCTCAAGCAATTCTCAGTCATCGACAAACGACAACGACAGCTACAGTGGATACTACATGAGTGGATAAAAGTTTTAGCATTAAAGTACAAAACAATACTGTACTGTATATAAGTAACTTACATATACTTTAGCGATTTTAAAAAGCTTAATAACGTTACCATAAAATTGAAATCTGTCTTACTATATTTTTAAGTAAGGAAACCAATACTTTCATTTGTTATAAAATATCTGCTTCCAAATATTTCTTGAAAAAAAAACATCAATCAAAACCTAACCCTTATTTAAGGCGGAAGTTCATGTTTGGCAAGCTCCACTGTTCAAACTAAAACAACAAATATATCGCTGTCGTCATCGGCAGTTTTGATGGCAGGATGTGGTTTGTGTGCTCGGCTACCCGACACCACCCACCAACCGCCCCCTGTTCCTTGAAGTGGGCGTGTCCCCCGCTAAAAAATGGGTCAAACAAACGTCAACATCAACGTTAACGTCGACAGCGACGCCAGCAGAGGCAGCGACAGCGCAATGCATTTTCTCCAATCGAGAGTGGATTTCCTTTTGTTGTTTCGGCCATAACCATAATTGAATGTTGTGATTGCGATTGTGATTGTGAGCTCGCGTGGTTCGCGGGATTTTGTGGGCGGAAGTGGGCGGTGGTTGGTGGGTGATGTTGGCTTGTCGCGGGCTAAAGTCATTGCTCGCGGGAATTGGGTTAATTGCTGCCAGCAAAAGTATAAAAGGGAAAAACACTGGACAGAGCAGCACCTTTTGCACTTCGGTCCTGACCTGGGCTACATTTGTAATTGTTGACGTCGCCACTCGCACAGTCGCACACACACGCACACACGATGGCCCCCTTAACCCCCAACAGCCCCCCTTAACCCACCTAACCCCCTTGCACAGATGACGACACTTGCTTAAGAGGGAAAGCCCCTCGTAAAACAGGGTGCTCAAAAAACAGCCACCGGGTTAATCAAGCTCGAACTTTTAAACAGATTACACACAGAAAAATGTTTACTACGCTTTAGAGCAAATAAATATTCAATCAGATCAAATAGAGCTATATTTATTTTATTTTTAATAACAACAAGAATAACAAGTATTTATACTCCTAATTAATGAGATATTTTATTCTTTTTTAAAATGTTAAACATAGTTTTTTAGTGCACACTATTCGAAATATTTAAAACTGTTGCATAGCTGCCCATCGAATGGTTGACCCCTTATTATGTGCACACTTTTTACTGCTCCCCTATGTTTTTATTTTTTTTTTTTTTGTTTTGTGGTTAATAATACTTTGCTGCTGCCGATTTTGTACGGCCAGGCAGGCAGGCATTCGCGCTATTTTTGGGTCAACTGCATTTAATTTCGTTTCGTTTTCGTTAAATGGTCGGTGGGGCGAAAGAACAAACCACAATTATGAGGCATTCGGAATGCAATTGGGGTTTACGATCCACTTGTTCCTCGCTTCGCCCACGAGAAATGGCACATGGAACCAAAATAGAGAAAATAGAGTTGCCGTGCCATGACGACTGCAAATGAAATACCCAGAAATATTTCCCATTTCTCCCTTTCATTTTATTGATTGCCGTTTGCACTTAGTGGTTCGCGGAAACGAACGACAGGTGGCGTGTTGGTAGTGGTCGTTAGGCAAGGATAATGACTCAATTACGGGATTACTAGGGAACGACTTCTAGAGTAGATTACGATTTGCAAGGTGTCTAAAAAATATATTTATTTGGTTGCTACTCTTGTTTTAAAAACCTAACTCTGCCAAATATTTGGTAGAAGAATTTCTCTAATATAATTTAAACGAAACTCATTTAGTTTCTGATTTTGGCGCATGCGCAGCGCCTTCGAGCCAAAATAGCGGCAAGCCAACTAATTGAAAATCATAATTGGAATCGGCTGTCAATAATGCTACGTGAGCATATTGAACAATGAGCACTATTTTTTTAAAGAGCCGAAATGAAATGCGAAATAAGCCGGCCATCGGATACTTTCGTAGGGTGGGCCAAGCCCTAGACGGAAAGTGGCCGACAAGCTTTATCGACAATAAGTACATTCATGTCCAAAAACATGGCTACATGTGTTGTAAATTTCTGTGTACACATTATATAAATTACCCATTATATTTACAAGGCAGTGGAATGCTAGGATCGCTGCCAGGCTTTCATCTTTAGCCGACTTTCTTATCGAAGGAATAACTTCGCGAGGCTGCGGACAGAATCAGAACGAGTGAAAGCGGAAGTGACGGGCGATGGGTTAAAACCAAAGATATGGGTCAGCTACTACTGAAAGAGATATACGTTTTCCGTTGTGGAGGAAAAAAATCAATTGTGAAAAGCTGTTGCTTTGGCGCTGTTAGATTAACCACATGTTATTTCGCAAATAGTACCAGATAATTATTGGTTTTTCGTCGAGGGGACAAGGGCACATGGCATATGGCCATAGATCACGGTTGATCGGGCATATCCAAGCCCATCGAACGGCGGCACCAATCCAATTTGCATTTCGGATGCCAAACGAATCGCTTCGTCGGCCAATTAAATCAATAGTTTGACAAAACAAATACAATTAAAATGCACGAAGACCGGCGCGAATAAATCAAAACTCGTCGGACGGCCAGTACGCTATACATAATTTAACTCCGGCTGACGAACACTTCGGCGGGCCACTAAAATATTTTTAATTACAGTGCGTTAAAAGTTGTCAGGTCCAACAGCTGACCAAAAAGACGCAACAATTTTGCTTTTTGCACCCAGAAGACCCCCAGTTGACCCCATTCCCCGCTTTACGAGGAGTCGCTCGGTTTGGTACTATTTTTATTCCCTTTCGTTTGAATCTTCCTAAAAAACATCTTTCGAAATCGAATGGACAGTGGAATCTTGGAAGTATTCGAGTGATAATTCGCTTGGTTGCACCAAAGACTTTCGTAAAACTAGAGCAACCATAAACTTAAGAGATCATAATATTTAAAACTTATTGACGCCTATTAAACTCATTATTTTCTAAATCATTTGCTTTAATGACATAAACAAAGTGGTTTCCTTTGAACCTATACGACATACAATAAAAGCTGGCAACAAAAGTTTCATTTTACTATTGAATGTCTATTGTTCGTAACCCCCTTTAAATTATTTTAAATTTAATAGTCATGAAAAGCTAAAATATTATAGAGATGCGTCAGTACAAGTGGTTATGTGATGTTTTAGTTTTCGAACCCTTTCAGCACACAGATAACCACTTCAGTTGGATTAATGGCGCCCAACGCCGCAAAACCGAGACGGAATAAGGAAAGGAGGCAGGGACCAGACCACCAGAGACCGTCTATGGAGATAGAGATAGGATAGAACAAAGATCTGTCATTGTGGGGATTTCGACACATTTTGCATTTTTCCAATCCCAATTGGTGACAGTGCAAATTGATCGTGCCCAAAGTTCAGGGACGCAGCCAGCGGATAAGTAGCGCAGTCTAAATGCGGGTGCACATACCATATAGTATATAGTATATAGTATATAGTATGTATGAGTGTTATAGATAGACACCCAGATCCAGATATTAGCTGGCATGGCCATAGACAGTGTCGTGTTCTATATGCCTTCCCATCTCTTTTTTCTTTTCTTTTCATTTCATTTCATTTCATTTTTTTTTTTTTTCTTTATTTTTTTTTTTTCCTTTTTTTTCGTTGATTAAGTTGTCAGCAATCAGCAAGAGGCTCCGAAACGAGACGAAACGGCGTTTAGCGTCGATTACTGTTAGACTAAGTGGCCCGATCCCAGATCTATTGGACTAACAATTGAGCGGGCTCTTGGGAATTGAGCTTGATAAAAAAAAAGAAAACAGAAAAAAACATAAACCAAAAAACAAGGCAAACAAACACTGCACTTGGACTGGAAAAATGAATGAAGAATCTGTGTCGGAGAGTTCATGCGGGATCAAAAAGATAACCCGAAAACAAAGGGAGTCTGAACTCGACCTCATATCTGAGTTCTTTTTGTCCCTCTGTCTTACACTCGATTATCTTCACGTCTCCACTGATCCCCAAAGTGAAGGTCAGGGTCTTGAAGACCACCAATAAAAAGATTTAAGGGTTTTATCACTGCTAAAAATAGGCACGTCAAATATGTCCACCTAATCCGGCAAGATCTGAAATTGTTGGGCTCTTTATTTCGCATCTTAAATTACGCGTACCTCGTGTGTTTTGCGATTCGTTAGAAATACAATATTTCTTCAGCTGCGCCTTCGTGATTATTAGGAATACTAAAAACTTGTTGACAATTGCCTATCTTATTAGTTCTGCCTCTGCCGTTCCTCTGTTCAACTTCTTATCCTTGTTTTTAAAACTGACAAAATTATTCATAACTTCCGCAAAAACTTATCGAAAATATTTTTTAACAATGTGAAAACATATGTGAAAACAATGTTTTTTTTCCCAAGAATGGCTGAAATTTTAAATTTTAATTAATGGGATTGCATTTGTTTTGGATTTACCAAGATTTCGCTAAAAATCTTTTGGCATTTTGGGAATTTGTAAAACCCACTCCCCAAATTCGAATCTAATCAACACCCACGACGAACACATATATAAACTCCAATGACCTTCGGCAGAAACAACAACAGAGTGCATTTCAACAAGTGTTTGCTCTCCACTTTCCCTGTTTTTCTTTTTTAGTTAAGATTATTATAATTTTTTTGGCGCATTTGGCGGCATTTCTGGCGTCTGGCATTTATTTGGCTTTCATTCTTTGGCCGACGCCTTTGTTTCGCTGCTGCTCCTCGGTTATTTATAAATATAATAATTGCAAAATGAAACGGAAAAGACACGCTGTGTTTTTGGCCCTAGACTTGGACTTGGACTTGTTGCTGCCAACGTATCTTTTATACATATATCGTTTTTTTTATAACATTTCTGGTCTGTGGTGGACAGTTTTTTGTTTCAGGTGGGCGAACCTGGCGAATGCCGGCCCAGCATTAAACCAAAAAAAAATACAACAAAATTAAAACACATATTGATGTTGCGATCCTGATACGCACACGCACCACAAAACAGGAACAACAACAGCGAAATGGAATAAAAATTATGTTTTTATCACCTCTTTTTTTTAATTCAGTTGTGTGATATTTTTTTATTTTTTTTGAAAACGCGCGCTTTTTTGCAGTCACTAAAAAAATCGCGGAGCTCAGTCGAGATTTTTGGCGTGGGATCTACGCATATATATCGTTGCTATATATAAATGTGTAAGAATTCTATAATTTTCAATTATATTTTTAACTTCTTTTTAAAGCAATTTTTTAGTCGCGTGTCGCGTCTGCGACGTCGTCTGCGTCTGTTGGTCAACTGAATTAAGAACGGCCGCTGACGATGACGATGACGCCGGCGCTGCGGCAGCGTATTGCGGCGACGTCGGCAGAGCAAGTGCTGTCACTCTGGCTTTATTTCCGCGCATTTTCTTAATTTTAAATTACATTTTAACTTTCAGTATTCAACATTTCAGTAAACAACATTTACAGGGAACCTACAAAAAATGAAGCAGCAGGTAAGAGTGATTAGGGTTTTAACTACCCCTCAAGTTAAGTTACAAAGTTTCAAATTAAAAAAAAAACACAAATTTTTTATTTATTTATTTACAAAGATAATTACTTAAAGATATTTAAAAAACCTGTTTAAAATATTTTGATGTTTAAAATTCATATTTTTATTTTGTTTTAACAAAATATTTTTTGTATAATATTTTTTATTGTTAATAATTTTTGTTGTTATATTTTTGAAAATATTTTTTTTCCATTACGTAGCTAAAATGTTGAACATCTCTGACTGCGACTGCTTTTCGTCTAGCCGAGTGGGCAGCAAAATTGCTTCGCTGCTGCAGCGCTACTGCTGTTGCTGTTGTTGCTTTATTTGTTGTTAGTATATTTTAAATTTTTTTTTTGCCCTGTTCTGCAGTGCAAATTGTTGCTGGCGGTGCGGAAATCACAAAAAATTAGACGACCCCGATGGACACACAGCTCCCGTGATTGTCATCGTTCTGGATGCTAGTTTTGCGAGTTCTGGTTGGCTTTGGGGCTTAGTTTTGTTTGAGTGTTTTTTTTTTCAGTGGTGAATGGGGGGGCGTGGCCACCACCCACCCGCCGGCGAGCCATTAAGAGCAATTTGTTGACAGTGACACACAAAAATGGACACACAAAGCGACGCGAGGCGACAAAACAGGCTCAACCAAACAAACAAACCAAAACTGGGCAAAAAAAAAAAAAAACAAAGCACAAAAAAAATAAAATAGTAATGATAACGCGAAGGGAAAATCGGAAAATGTGAGACAATTCCATGACATCATCAAATCACTTTAATTGCAATCGCCGCGGAGTTGGGACCAAGGATATATTGCCGTGCTTTTATTTATGTTCCTGACAACTTTGATTTACTTCCCTTTATTGAAACGTCCCTCTATCTGTTGCTCCTTTTCAGGCTTTTCCGGATGAATGTTTTTGAAACTAGGTTTGTCTTCTCTTTGTGAACGAACAGGTGAAATGAAATGATAGTGGGCAAATTAACTTGGCGGGTACACAACTACAATTAAGCGTATAGGTTTTATGATTAAAAATCTAAAGGAAAGGAATTTATCCCATACAAATTATAGTCTATATTTGTTATCTAGATATTTCCTAAATTTCAAGATTGGCTATAAACTATATACAAATTTTCGGGATAATTTCAACGCATATTTTTTTAAAAGAAATATTTAACCCATTTAATTTTCCCAAATATTTATGTATTACCCTTTGCATTTTATATTTTATTTTCTATTTTATTGTTTAGAGGGCTATTGACGTGACCGCTTTTGTTGCCTGATTGTTTCACTGTTCGTGTTTGCCGCAGTGGCCATCGTCTCCACACATCCGCTGGGCATAAAGTATCTGATGTTTTACCATATAGCATATACCATATACGATATTCCTTACTTCGCATGCCCTCTTCCGATGTGCGTCTTTGTGGGGGCACGCAGATTTCCGCTGCAGCCTGACATTTGCAGTTGCCTATGATAAGAGCAGCGCGCAGCGGACAAAAGGCAACGCCGAAGGAGGATGATGATCATGGAAGCATGTCAATTGCACAAAGATACAGATACAAAGATACATCTGTGGCCAGCGAGTGCGAGTGCGAGTGCGAGCAGAGCACAACTTGCTTATTTATTTTTACATTTTACATGCGCGATGTCGTGCTGCTAAAGCGTGCAATTTGCCATGGTGACCACTATATAGTGGCTGGATCCAGAGACAAATCAAAAGCACACCAGACGGACGACAAGCGATGAACGCGAAAAAAATGCCCACGGAAAAAATTAAAATGTGTGTCAACAAATTGTACGAATTATCACCAAGTTGCGCTATAGTTGAACTAGAAATACTTAAAACCTGAACCCTGCAGATAAGATAGGAATTTGCTTCCGATTTATTTGTATTTTTAAAAGTAACATGAAAAAACTGGGTAGCAAAATATTTACTTTCCTGTGAGCAGATGCTTAAAATAGTTTAAAACAGGGGAGGCTCCACTGTACTTGAAGTGCACGCTTGTGGGCGGAGTGGGCGGCATCGCATCAATCCACATGACAATGGGATAATTACGGGGAATCCATCACGAGGAATCATCCCACTATTTGAACGAAATAAAAATAAAACTCAACACTTGACCCTGCTCCTCTGCCCTTTTAGGCTTGGTTTTAGGTTTTGTTTCCAATTTTCCCATTCCACTCGACTTCGATTTGCATACTAAATCACAGCTACTGTAAACACAACTTTGCGTAGGCCTTTTATTTATGAATGATCGACTAAAGGCTGAAAGTCGAAACACAGAGTGAAATATATGAGCAGGCATAAAACAAATTATGTATATCTTTACAAAAAAAAAACGTTTCTAAGAGTTAATATTGACGATACAGAACTAAAATTCTGAGTCCATTGAATGAGTTTGCCAAAATGATCTCCAGTTTGATACAACACATTACAAATTTCTTGGGAATATTTCTTTAGAGCTGTTTCTTCTACAACATATTTTATTTAAAACCAAGACGACCATCCCCAATTATCTAAAAATAAAACAAAAATAGAGTGCAGGAGTTTCCTCATCATCTATTTATATATACATCTCCAAATATTCAACTACGATCCCCAGCAAAGCTGCCCATCAATGGCCACAAGCCCAACCCAAATGAAATAAATGGTTTTTTTTGCTTTTTTTAGGCGCGAATGCAAAGGAAAAACACACATCCATCACTTGCAATTTTAATTTTTTATATTTAGTGCGTTGGTTGCTGGCGACGCCGACGCGATGACGTCATAAATTTATTTAACCAGGTGCCCTTGGCCGATCTACCCTCTCGCTCGCACTCAAACTCAACAACGGGGCGCGGAAATCAAGATTTATATATTTTGTGCATTTCCACAGTTTACACCTGAAAAATATTCGAAATCTTTGCTGAAAGAAATTCTTATATCAAAGAATTTTAGGAAAATAGTAAAATATAGTTTGAACCGAGCTCAAATTAAATGCAACATTATCATCATAATTAGATAACTTGATAGAAAAGAACTTCTGCTACATTGTATTTAAATCAAAGGATTTTCCCTGCAAAATCCCAACGATTATCTTAAGCTTTTTCCAAGTGCATATTTGAACTTGTCACTTGCCTGTCGGGGATTTGAGAATTGAGAATTGGGCAACAACTTGATCGGCACCGCCCATTAATTCCCCGGCACCTCAGCAAAAAAAAAAAAAAATACAAAATAGCTGGAGGCACTTGGCGGGCTCATTAAATGGCGGCTGTGGAAATGTTCTCTTCGCGTCGTACTCCATGTTTTTGTTTTCTTTTTCGGGTATGTTTTTTGAAGTGCCTCGCATTCTGTTGCGCTTTCATGTGGCATGCCACACCCCCCGCCCCCGAGAGCATCCTTAAAAACTATTTTCGGTTCGTCTGACACACATCGATGGGCAGGAAAAGCGAAGGAGGGGCAAAAAACAAAGGGGAAAACAGGGGAAATGAGCGGCGGGGTGAGTAATTGTTTACATTGCGCTTCTTGCGAGCTACTTTACGGCCCAGCGTGTGACCCCGCCCCCACCAGTTTTCCACCGATTTTCCGAGCCCCGCACCCACACCCCAAAAACAGCAAAATTTTACTTGTTGGTTTTCCACGCCCCGCACTTCCTTTTCTTTTCCTTTTTTTTTTTTGATGGATTGTTTTGCGGTCCACTGAGATCCACGGAACTTAAAGTTCGAATTAACAGCAAGAAAAATATCCAAAGGCAACAGTCGTACACACGAAAAAAAGTCTGGCATGTAAATGTAAACAACGTTGAAGCGATTTGATCTTTGACTACCTTGAATTCTCTTAAACGTTCCGAAGATATGTAAACAATTCGTTGCGTTATCTTTGAAAACATAAAAAATATCCACAAGTTTGTTTATAAGATGATGGGTGGTTTGTTTCTGAAACTTCTCTCGAAGAATACCAAAAAAAAGATACAAAACTAAAACAGCCTTGAAACAGTTTTTAAATTAATATAGTTTCGTAAATTCTTCTCCTATTTGTAAGGTTTTAGGAACATGTTTCCCATGCCAAAGGATTATCTTTTTTTTTCTAAATTGCTAATAAATCTATATCTTGTTTGTGGCTGTATTTCTCCGAATTCTAGATGACCCCGGGTGAACTTACGATTGCAGTGTTGAGAGGTTTGTGGCCGAGGCACCTACGCCGCATGCCGTGGAATGCATTTTGCAACTTTCGCCGATTTTATTGTGCTCTTTATGGGATTAGCACCTCCTCCAGCTTTTGATGCCGCCAGCTGGCACAATTCGCGGAACAAAAGGTATATTCTCGATCGCTTATGCCAATGCACGCACAATAAAAAATTACAAAAAAACAATCAATGGCACGGTTGCCTTGGATTTTCACAAATGGCTTTCAATAGGTGTTCTTAATGGATTTGCGTATAGAACTTTGATCTTGCTGGTATCGTTTAAGGTTGCTAGTTGCCAGTTGCTAGTTGCTAGTTGCTAGTTGCTAGTTGCAAGTTGCTAGTTGTCGCAACTGTGGCAGCGACAGTTTTTTGATGGCGGCGGCGTTCGCGACGTTCAGTTTCCGACTGAATTCTCACTTTCCGCCGGAGATGCCGCCCGGAGATGCGGCGGCAGCGACGCCAGCGTCGGCAGAGCCCGGCCCCATTTCCCATTAACATTACCATTACCATTCCATGCCACCTCATAGCTATAGCCGCAGCTATATACAAATCCGAATCCAAATTCACCCACGTGGGCCGGCCAATTGTTGCTGCCGTTAGCATAAACATTCGAGAATCCACAAAACACTGCGCGACGACTCTGTAAGGCTACGAAATTCAGAAATTCCGATACATAATACTATTATTTTGGTTAAGTACAAAATACTATCCGCAACTCCTACCATTATTAGATTTTTTACACAACTAACTAGGCACTCAAGTATACAATTGTTTCATAATAAGTTTTAATATTTAATATAATATTTCAAAAATGTAAAGAATTATAAATACAGAATAATTATAATATTTAATTTTATTAAAACATAATAAAACATGTATAGCATACGGCTTATTTAATTGTATTTTGTGTTAGCATTATTTTTTATTTTTAAATCCGATGTGTTTGTTTTGTAAGCTCGAACTACACCGTCCAAACAAGATAAATAACCAAAAGGAAATGACTGAAATGACTGGCGTTGCCGGCGTTGTTTTTCAGTTTTCCGTGTAGGTGAGCAATGCATGTCATTGTTTTATTTTACCATACTTTAACGACCCGAAACATCGAAAGAGCAACAGAAGACCTACGCGGCGTATGAGCAATGTGACTAGCCATTAATCAATTGCGTTCAAAGTGAAGCGAAGAAAATCGGGAAAGGCGTGGTCCAAAATCGAATTGTCTTAGAAAAATTAAATTTAAGGAGTGCAAGCTAAATAATTCGAACGAAAAAATGTACAAGCTATCGACGGACTTTTATCCATTCCAGCAGAAAGTTCACCCGATTCCGCGAACTGGCACATGTTGTTACTTTGCGGGAATTTCTGTGGCGGCATGAATCGCATGAATCACGGCTGGATAAAATACATCCCCATAAAACTGGAGGCACCAGACAGTAAAACGTTTCCAGATGAAAACGTAGTCTAACTTATAGTGTACCGAAGAGCAGACCGAAAAACAAAATACAATGGTGAACAGTAGAGCCTATGGACTGACCCACAAGAAGTTTGATTTGTTTTTGATTGGTCATTTATACCAGAAGTTTTTAGTCACAAAACTAAATATTATAAATAATAGATAGATAATACCTACACTTTAAAAAGTATTTTTTGAAATATAATAAAAAACTGTTTAAAATCTAACTTGGCGTAACTAATTTTATTTTAATTTTAAACTTAGACGTAAAATGTCCATCTCTTTTTGCCACTACGTCCCTGAAGAAACCTGTAAACAATCCGCCACTTGTTTGTTTATAATCCCCATCCGAAAAAAGACAAATCCCAAAGCCAAAAAACCAAAAAACCAAAGCTGAAATCGAAAAAAGAATTGGGAATGCAGCGCTATGTGAGATACTCCATCTGGCCGTGTAATAAAGATTCTTACCACAAAAAAAGGAAAAGGAAAATAAAATAAACTATGCCGCGCGGGCAAAGAAACGAGGGGAGTATCTAAATCGAAAAGCAAGGGGAAATCGGAAAATGGGAAAACGGGAAAGTGAGGCACTTATGTACTTAGAGCGATGTGAGATGTGAAGTCGAGAACTCGCCGAAACAGACACACCCGGCCACTTGACATTGATGGGTGAGGATTTTCAGGAGGAGATCGAGTGGTGTCGCCTCAGACGCCCCAGCCATCACCCACCATTAGCCCCCCACCCATAGCAATCAGCTCGTAAAATCCAGAAATCCCAAGAAGTGACATCAGCCCCGCGAAATTCTCGCTCGTTTCATGTCCGCGTTTCGCTGGCCAAAAAAGAAATCCGTAACAAATTTTGGCCAATACCAAAGTTGTCTCTCAATTAAGTTTCAATTGGCACACAATGAGCCAAAAGAAAAACGAGGGCAAGTCGATGGATACGACGAACTACAAATGCCCTAAAATATACATATTAATTATTATTATTATTAATTAAGAGTTTTATTTTATATTTGTATAAAAATGTATTTACTAAAATTGAATAGGAAATTATATTGTTTTGAGGGAAACCTGAAGTATAAAAGCTTATTGTAGATATTTAAAAAACAACGCAAGAAACAAAATCGATAAAACAAATCAGACAAAGGTGTATTTCCAATAGCTTGCCACTTTTTATAATTGGTGGCGCGACCGGAGAAAATGAACAAGGTATCAATTAAAATTGGAGTCGCGTGGCGATTAGCGCCGACATACGATATCCGCAATCGCAGTGGGCGTGGCCCGAGTTTCCGGTTCAGCCCCCACGTTCTCGCCCTCTTTCTCCTTTTTTACACGGAGCAAAAATGTTATTAAATGTTATTAAGCTCCAATTGCTTTTATTTTATATCATTATTAATTATTATTTAAATTGTTGCAAGGGTTTTGTTATGGCGTAAGATTTAACATACAACTCTTTGTTTTTTATTTTTTATAGTTTTATTTATTTGATTTATTCCAGGTACGGATAGACAGGTGGATCCACTGGATTCACTGGGTCCACTGGCCGAACCTGAAGCATCTGCCAGATTCTCCTCTTCCCGCGACTCTTCTGCAGATCACTGTAGGCGGGTGGCGGCGGATTCCGGTTGATTCCGCCGCGATTACGGCGGAGAATCCTGCGGCCGGGCAACCGGACCGGAGTCAGCCAGCGGAGCTGCTCCAGGCGACGCGAGTGGCGCTGCCTGAGAGTTCGCGAGGCGCAATACGGACGAACGGTGATATAGAAGAATATCTCGATCACGGAGAAGATACTGAAGCCCATGAAGAGACCCAGAAGGCCTCCAGTATTTGCTGAAGGAAAGGGAGGGGAATTTTATAATTATTTAGATAACTAATATAATAAATAAAATAAATAAAATAAATAAAATAAATAAAATAAATAAATAAATAAAATAATAAACACAACTTTCCAATTCCTCTATGAACTTCAAATACATAATATAAAAATATAAATAGGTACATAATATGAAATAAAATAATAAAATAATAAACACAACTTTCCAATTCCCCTACGATCTTCAAATACATAATATAAAAATATAAATACCTAACAAAAAAATTAAATAACAAAATAATAAACACAACTTTCCGATTCCTCTATGAACTTCAAATACATAATATAATATAAAAATTCAATGGTTTACTCACACAAAAACTCGGTGAAGCCAAACATCTCCGACTTGGTGGTGCTGCGAAATATGTTGGTCATGTAGTAGAAGTGCAGGATGGAGATCTCGCTGGCGTTGCTATACGGTCCGTGGAAGATATAGTCGGGCAGGTTCTCGCCGGCCTGGAATCGCGGATCCGAGACGATCGAGGCCGTGGAAAGAGTGGCCTTGTAGGTCAGCTCAAAGCAGCCCGGCCAGCAGCTTTCGCAGGACAAGTTCGTCAGCGAGGACTCGATCTCGGTCTGCACCCGATCCGTGCAGAGATTATCGTTCGGCCCACACACCCTGGCCAATGGATCGATCCGGGGCAGGTAGTAGAGGACGCAGCTGCACTCGCGGAGCAGCAACTTGGCCTCGCATTCCAGCTCGCAGTTCTTGCGCGAATAGGTTCGGTAGTAGGCCAAATCGTTCTCATCGGAGAAGAGGCACCGACGCACCGTCTTCTTGATGGATCGAATGGAGGGCAGGGCGTCCTCGTAAACCGGCTCGATGGGTATCCGGGCCTCCTGTCCGCCGGTGACCACGAAGCCATAGTTGCTGACCTTCGGCAGCTCGGCGGGATTGTGGACAAGGATCTTAAAAAGGATTTATTAAGAATATTATATTATTTATATTATTTTAGTATTATATATTATATTATATATATTATATTAGTATTATATATTATATTATATTTATTATATAATATATTTTATTATATATTTACTCTAGCATAACTCTGATTCTGATTGGAGTACAGCTCACCTTGAAGCCCACGCTCATGGACTTGGTGCAGTAGTACTCCGCCCGGGAGGCGTTCAGCACGACGGTGAGGCCCATCCGGATGCCCGTGCCACCGGAGGTGCGCGGATAGTAGAACTCGGGCAGCTTGCGGGCATAGCCCTTCTCCGGCGTCCAGTCGATGGGCTCGTAGCGGGAATTCGGCTGAGCCGGCTCCCAGCGCACGTCGTCGCTGTAGTTGCGAATGAGGTAGGAGGGATCCAAGGCATTGAAGTTGCAGCACAGCCCGTCGTCCGTCAGGATGGAGTTAAAGAGCAGGGAGCACTCCTCCGCCCGCGAACCGAACGTGCAGTAGAGCAGCATCTTCTCGCACGGCTGGGCGACCTCCACGAGGATCGCCTTGAAGTACTTCCAGGTGCCGATGTAGGAGATGGTCGTATCGCCGCCCTGGTCGCACAGACCCATCAGCAGCGAGAAGTTCGTGCTGGTGCGCGAAATGCGCTCCACCTTGCTGAGCAGCGCCTGGTTGAGATTGCAGATCGTGATCGCCGGGAAGGGCATGTTGCTGGTCAACTTCTGCTTGGCACTGGTCGATATAATTATGGGCGAAGCGCTCCACTTCACGTACACGTTGGAGATGAAGAAGCCGGACAGGATAACCACCAGCACAAAGGCAATGCCGAAAAAGACTCTTGGAGTAGGGAGTACAAATGTAATAAGTTATGTAAAGTATAAAGTAAAATATGAGTTATGTAAAAAGTATGTATGTATATTTTTTTAAAGTATTATTCAAACAATTAGGTATGTAAAGAATGTATGTATCCATTTAATATAGTTATTTCAACTAGATTTGTTTCCTTACCGCTCCGTAATTGTGATACTCTCCTCGGCGATGTACTTTAAACCATGAAGCGTACTATTTTTTAGGTAGTACACCACACTTCGTTTAATCGCCGCACGGCTACAGATGGAATTGTCATCGCCGTCCGATTCGGAGTCGTTTTTCCTGCCCATCGAGGTGGCACTGTGCCGCCGCCTGTTCTCCGTCCACTTGCTCATGATGCACTGTATCCTGACTTCTGCGGATCGACTGTATTTATAGGTCACTGCTAACTACCAACTCCACTTGCACTTGCCATTGCATTGCGCTCATCAGCTTTAATCATATTGACCCAATGCAAACAAGGTCGACCATTTGCAGTGATAACTGCCAAATTGATTTTTGCCCCCCTCTGCAATCCGCAAATGTCGAAAATCAAGCAGATGGCCAGAAAATACGATTACACGGCAGCATAATACACTTTACACCTGAAAGTAAACAGAAATTCCCGCACGCTCTTCCCTTCAAAAGAAATAGACAGCATTGAATGAAAAACAATTTTGACTGACTGGCAATCAAAAACATAATTTAAATTTTCAAGCAGATTTATAATTTAAACCAAAAATTTTAAAACACACAAGTTTCTGTGTAGTGATGACATCATAGACATTAAACTGAATTGACCAAGATTTTCTAATGTTTTAGCAAATAACAACCCATCCATTTTGGAATTCAGAGTGGCTAAATTCATTTAATGGGCATCTTTCGTGAGCCAGTTGAGTACTTCATAAATAATTTCAATCGGCAACGGGCGTTTTCGATCCCTTATCCATTCACACTTAGCTACTAATTGTTAGACATTCGTGCTTTCATTAGCAGTAGGTGTGTATAAAAATAATTCTTAGGCGAGTTTCGATTTTCGGATTTACAGTTTCAATATTTTTCTGAGGTAGTAATTAAAAAATATTTAAAAATTATCTTAACCATATCTTATCATTATATTTACACAATATACAAGGCTTCATTATTTTATAGCAAATTTCATTGAATTTCATTTAAAATATATACGGCGAATAAAAAAAACAATTCTACTATTATAAAATTCATTAAAATTTCGTAAAAGACCATGTTTGTTTTTGTTTTTGTTTCAAGACAATCGTATTGGCAATTATGTGCTGATTTTTCGAGTTTTTAAATCATTGTTTTGTTTCCAGATTCAACAATTTCAATTTGTGTAAATGTCTATCAACTCATAGCATTCGTACTACTGAGATTTTAAACGGCAACTCCTTAACTAATTCGGATTGAACTGGAAGAAGTCCACTTTGAGATCGAGAATCGCCTCCGTGTTGGGGGGTTTCCTTCATGGTTAGGGCCTCCACCGCATTATCACTGGCATGATCGTAGCCATGGTTTACAGTCGGAGGAGCAGCTGCCACCGGCGGCTGCATGAGATCGCTAACATTCCGAAGCAGGCTCTCCTCCGAAGGCGGATGAAGTTGCCCGCCCGCCGACAGATTAAGACGCTGTGCAGCCTCGTCCGTCAGCGGATCGTCCAGCGACATGCTCAACTCGGCGTAGACCCCCAGATTGTGTGCTACCGCGCCGTCGCCACCTCCGCCAGCAACCAAAGCTGCAGCCTCTGGTTCCGGTGTGGGAGCCTGCGGCGATTCCATGGCCGACATATCCAAGGCATACTGACCTTCGGGTATGCCCAGAACTCGTGCGGTCCGAGCATTAACAAAATGCAATCCTGAGGTATTACGTATGAGTCGCTGGCTTCGCAGCTGCAGTTGCTCAACAAAGTCGTTCAGTTCGTTCAAGAAGAGATCAGAGCGCTGCTCCTCGCTGAGATGCGAATGACGCTGCAGCTGGGCAGTTAAAAGGCCAAAAAGCGAAGGGGTAGAGGGATGTGCTGCCCCTGAAGACGACGATGCTGACGGCTGTTCGCCAGGACGCGGCATATGCTCCGGAAACTTCACAAAGTGCCGCTGCAGCCGACGTCCCAGGAAGATCTTTCCGCAGCCTGGGCAAACTGAGTCCTTGGGCACGGCTCGTGGTGTGGGCGTTGTGGCAACCTCCTGGCTATTGCTGATACTTTTTGGCGCTGGCATAGGTGCACGGTAGTCCTTGTCCCGCAAGTCAGCTACCAGCATATCCAGCATTTCAGCTGAACTCGGCTCCACTGGGTGGCCATTGATCACGGGAGCAGGCTGCGGCATGGATCCACGCACCTGGCGACCGGAACGAGTGCGGTGAATATCAAGAGCTGGTTTCTCCTCCAGCGGTGGGGGTTTTTTGGCCGCCGAGGCTGTAGCATTCGATAAACTAACTCTTTTCAGCGGCCTTCCCACTTTGGGCGGCGGATTTTGGGCATTTAGTAGTGTCGGCGGACGCATGCCCATACCAACGGGATCCAAGCAACGGTAAATAGTCATTTGCTGGGTCACCGCATCTGTGCGTATTACCTGATTGCGCTTTCTACTCGGAATTGCAAAAATTTAAAGTTTGAATTGCCATTTCAAGAATTACTACCCACCGATCGATGACTATGTGATCATCCTTGGCAAGCTTGTGCAGGTTGCAGGCTAACTGGCATAATGAGTCCTTGTCTTGCGCTCCTGAATCCGGAAATTCCTCAATGGGCGCGGACTTCTCGGGCGGATTCTTAACATCCTGCTGTTCATCCTCCACAAAATCTTGTTTCTCTGACAGTGCCCTTAGTTCAGCCAGTACGAGCGGATCCTCCATTAAATGCTTCATTGCATAGTGTGGATCCTTGTTTTTAAATAAATGCAAAAATAGAGGAAAAAAATCAAAATTCAGTGTCAGTGTGACCGCTGCTGGTAACAAATAACACACCAAAAACCTAACAATTTTATTGGCAATATAAAAATTGGTATTTAATTTTTTATGTTACAGGATAAATTATTTTACTTGAATATTTTTTTTTAGCTCCGGCGACATCGATGTAGACGGTGTAAATCGATGTTTTTTTAACTAAACTAAAGCACAATACTTTTTTTTTCTAAGTGGGGCTTTTTTTTCAGTAGAAATCGAGTTCTGAGGAGACCTTGGGAAGGATGGTCGACATTAAAGGTGTAATAAGCCTGCCTTGGCAGCAGCACAGACACTATGGCCCATACGATCGCCCCTTTCCGTCGATGAGCCAGCCGGAATGCATCGGCGTCTGCAGCATCGACGCTAGCCGGAATTTTGTAGACGATGCCAGCGGCGCCAGCTACTTGGCTGCACGGCCCTGGCCAAGTCTTCCGATTGATCTTAATGCGGGCATTGAAAACGTGATCCGCAAGCCCGCGGATTTCGCAGCCAAGGATCTGGAATTCGATCTCCTCTACATCCGTCAGCACAAGGATGAGTTGCTTCGCCCTAAAAAATCCGATCCTGGTAGCCTGGAACTCGCTGCGGACTTTGTCACATTGCGCGGCATTCTGCGAAAAATAATGTGCTTGCAGTACGAATGGAATGGTGATTTCCTCATCAAGGCGACGCTGCTGAACGGCACCGTTTACATGGCTAAAGAGGACACGCCGGAACAGAGGCTGATAAACGAAAACGCTACGACGGCCCAGCTGGACATGTGTTCGTGGGGCTTCAAGTTCGAGCAGTACTTGACGAGCGTCCAACCGCAGGGCAAACCGGTGACCAATGTCCCAGTCAACGAGGCGGAGGAGTTTATGGGCATGTTCCGGACAAATCTGGAAGGACTGCGCCTGCTTTACGGCGCCGAAATGGACTGCGTAGACAGCCAGGAACCAGTGTAAGTAGATCCAGGGCTTGAATTACAACTACTGGCCTTTAAACTTTCCCAGTTAAATGACAGAATTCCTTTCTGTCTGTTAAATGCATCATTGATAAAGTTCTTACAAAAAATTAACTCTTTACCTTTTTTTTTAGTGACTTTAAAGATCCCAAGGTGCTGAGGTCTCTGAAATTTGTGGAGCTGAAGACCAGCAGTAACACTAAGAACCCCAAACAAATGCGCAACTTCGACAGGTACAAGTCTGCAAACTGGTGGAGTCAGTCGTTCTTGGTGAACATCAAGACGATCTTTGCTGGATTGCGGGACGCCAAGGGCCAAGTGACGGAAATCAAGGAGTTTGATGTCCGTTTGCTAGCTCGCAACAAGCCGTGGAATCCCTCGGCAATAACTTGGTTTTTGGAGCAGTTCCTGCGAAACCTGAGAGCGCTGCTAATCGCCATTAATGATCCGTTTGCCGTGGTCCAGGTGACTTTTCGGGAAAAACGGGCCTACTATGAAATATTGCGCGGATCGGAGCATCAAATTTTACCGGATTGGTATCGAAATATTTTTAAGACGAAATGATTGATCTAAGAAAAGCCGTAAACTGACCGATCCACAATTAAGGCATTTATTTTAATAACTAAAGATAAAGAATAGAAATGCTCAAGCATTTATCACTTTAAATCGTTGGTCTCCAAAAGCGGAACGGCGCTCGATTCCAGTTTGCAGCTGGTCGGACCATAGCGACGCCTATCCGGCGGACTGCCGGCGTTAAAGCCACCAATGCCATATGGATGGTTACCACTGCCACCCAAGGATTCGCGTTTCTCGATCACACAGTCGAAAAAGCGGGACAGCTTGACGGCATCTGTGGTTCCTGCTGCCAGACTACGGGTGTCCCGGCAATTTAGCCAGATTTCCTCGGCGCCACATTTGTCAGCTAGAATAACAATATACACTAAATAACTTTGAGCTAGGCAACCTTAAGATATGGAGAAGTACCTATTCCGCCTGCCTTTTTCACCGCCGTCTTGGGCTGACGCTTTTCGTCGATAAGGTCCAGCTTGGTGCCCATCACTAGAATCGGCGTTTGCGTGGCGCCCAGAAACTCCTCCATGTCGAACCGCACGTGTCCATCGGAGGTGGTCGAAGTGTTCGAGGAGAAACTGCCCAGCGGGATAGGCGATGGGGGCAGGGAATTGCCCCTCGATTTGTAGGTATCCTTGCCCTCCTTGTTCACAATTTCATAAAGCCAATCGAGCAGCTGCTCCTGTGATTTGCCATTGGTGAGATCGTGCACCAGGATAATCCCATGGACGCCCGTATAGAATACGCTGCGAGTGTTCTTGTGGCTCAGCGATCCACCCACATCAAAGAGTTCCACAAAATAGGGGCATTGGCGGGCTGTGCCCTCCTTGAACTCGTGGATCTTTACCTGGATGTTGCAGCCAACCGTCCATCCCGGTCGTATTAGGGACTCATTATGGGCAATCAGGTGGGTCAGGCACGTTTTGCCCACACCTGCAGAGACAATTTTCGGGGATTAGGGGTCCAAAAAACCTTCGATTTACCCTTTATTTACCAGAATCGCCAACCACAACAATTCGCACTCGATTGTTCATCGCCATAGTGTGAGTTTGGTCACACTATTGCGGCTTCAATTAAATTCCACCAAACAAAATACTAAAAACAAAAAAAAAATAGTTACTTTTAGTGCATTTTTGCGAATCATACGATATTATTAACTTGTCACGCAGCGGGCACACTGGCTAAAAAAGCTTAAAAAAAACACTTGGCAAAATTGAGATAATAAACAAAATCAAAAATAGTTGAATTTGTAAAAGATGGAATACGAAAGTGTGCTAATCGTGAAGCCCGAGGTGTTTATCTACAAAATACCGCCCCGTGCGAGCAATCGAGGCTATAGGTGAGTCAAACAATCGGAGTGGAAAAAAGGTGACTACTTTTTTCTCCCGTTTTTTGATCCAAAACTGAAAGTTTTCCGTGCATTTCAACGCCCCCACATTATATACACACTTATAAATACATATATAATGTGTGTTTGGGGCAAGAGAATGCATTAATTATGTTATTTTAGCCAAGGTTAAAGGCACCCGTCTTGTTGTTCTTGTCGTGCAGCTAAAGTTCAATTTCAATTGATTTTTTTCCGTGCAATTATTGTTGTTGAACATTTTCTCTTACACGTATCCCAAAAAAAAACGGGCGGAAAATAAGCTTTGCTGGCGTGTGTGTTGTTATTGTTGCTATTGCTGCTCTCTTTGTTTTCCTTTTGTTGTTGTTAATTTCACAGTTAACTGCGCTCAGGTGAGCAAAAATTATATATTAACAGAATGCCTTTAATATTAGGGTATTACGAGTGCTTTTCTGAGTAAAATTCCTAGAAACCAGATTATTCCTAAGTTTGGTGGAATATATAAACACCAGGAAGTTATGTCGCTCAAGATTGTTCCAAGTACTTTCCATTTAGTTAAGGTTCTCAAGACTACAGCTACTGTTTCTGATAAAGATAATAAAGACATTCAGATGGATAGATAATATTACATTTTGAATATTTTGTAAACCATCCATAGGGCGGCAGACTGGAACTTGAAGGAGCCCACCTGGACGGGCAGGATGCGACTGGTGGCCAAGGGCACCGCAGTTATTCTTAAGCTGGAGGACAAAACCAGTGGCGCCTTATTCGCCAACTGCCCCATCGACACATATCCCGGAGTGGCCATCGAAGCGGTATCCGACAGCTCCCGGTACTTTGTCATCCGGGTGCAGGACGACAATGGACGATCGGCATTCCTTGGTCTAGGATTCGGCGATCGATCGGACTCGTTCGATTTAAACGTTGCGCTGCAGGATCACTTCAAGTGGGTAAAGAACCAGGAGCAGATCGAAAAGGAGAAGTCAGAGCCCAAACAGGAGCTGGATCTCGGATTCAAGGAGGGCGAGACCATCAAGATCAACATGAGGATAACGGTATGTTAAGCTAGCTGGCTAGCTGACTAATCATTTACCAAATGAAACTTTTTCTAAGCAGCTTGTTAATCTTATTTGTCAACAAAATTTGTGTAATCCTATCCATCAACTCAAAGACTAGATGGATGCAAGTCTGCGCATTTCTTTTTGTTGAATCAGCTATTCAAAACGAGATAATTCAAGCAAGAAAAGAATATTCTTTTGAAGTAGATAACTCAAGCTGTATTGGGTGTTTAATTCTTCATCATCATCTGCTTTTCGAAAAAGATAAACTTTTTTATTTTTGAGACCAAAACAGAGCTGCTCTTTACTTGATTCAACTTGATTTCAGAAAAAGGATGGCTCCGAGGGACCTTCGCGCACTGGCAAGAACAAGGGCACGGGCGTCCTTCCACCGCCGCCTGGTGGCCTTGGAAAGATCGCTCCACCACCGGCAGCCGCCGCAGCCACGACGGTACGGCAAAGTCCCGGCGTTTCGCCCGCCCACAGACCCGCTGCGGGAGGATCGGAATGGACTGACTACGCATCCGCTGGGTTAGTTTTTGACATATGTATTATTATTTTGACTAAAATTAAAAAAAATTATTGGCTTTTTTGTTAAGTTAATGATTTAGGTGCCAATTTTAATCCTATTTCCTGTACTTTCAGTGGCAACCAAGGACAACAGAACTCAGCCAACGCCAACTGGGTGCAGTTCTAGATAGACATCCTCCGGTTCCTGCTGCTGCGCTTCTACCCCCAAAACTTTATGTTTTAAGACTCTTCAGATATTTTTTTATTTTCCATTTGCAAGAAAACTATTATTTAAATTAAGTTTGTTTTGAATACGACCAAAAGATTGAACAGAACATTCAGCGAAGGCGTCACGCGTTAAAGTTAAAGTTTTTTAATTAAATTGAAATTGTGTATTAGTTTCTTCGCCCACCACTCGCTCTATTTGTCTCTCTCCCTCTGTCTTTGCTTCTCGCTCTAACTGAAGGAGAAATGTAATAGCGGAACGAGTTCTCAGTGGGCGGGGATTTGTAGCAAACTATTTAGCCTGGTTGTTAATTGTATAAATGATGATAACGATAATTTTTCAATGAAAATTATCCTAAAATGTAATTTGTTAACTTCGAGATAATGCAACTAAAAATGCAAATTATGTTTAAATCAAGTTAAACACTGCAAAAACTGTACTAAAGTGAAATATTCAAATTTGAGTACTTACATACGAACATAAATACACACGTGAAAGGACATTCCGCAGATGAAAGATAGGACGCATAACATACCAATTTAATTTATTGTTAAATCTACTAAAATTATCCCTGATCATCATGTTTTACACCACCTTGTATGGAATACCACAAGTTATACAGTTCTATCGCCCTGTTCCCGCTTCGGCTTTGATCAGATTATGTAAAACGAAAAAAGCTTGCTCTACATATTCGGTTAGAGAAAACATTTAAAGGAGCCGCAATCGGAAAGAAGGAGATATATATATATTTTTTTTTGTTTAACACATGCATAGCAATTAAGTAAATCAAATGAATTATATATAATATACAATATGAAGAAATATCCATATGTATTTAATAAACCACATACTTGTAGAGAAGGAAATCGTACTAACTCTGAATTGTTGTTTGAGCCCCAAGAAATTGATTCCCCACCCTAAATGAATATCCTAGACTAAACTTTGTGTCCCAGCTCTTTGTTTCTGTTGCTGTTGAAAGATTAGCAAATGTCAAAAAATCTAAAAAAAAAAATAGTTCTATTTGTTCCATAAGGTTTATAACTAGAGCTGCATCTGGCACAGACATTCATGGTTTTATCTACTGTATATCTATGTGAAAATTCCTGAACACTTCTGGTGGAGACAGCGGGTTTTAAAATTATTTTTCAGAATTTTTAATTGATTGTCGGGCAAATTTTTATTTTTTTTTTTTTACGGGAAACATTTAGAAAATTGTATTGTTCGATTTCTGATTATTAAGAACAATAAAGTCTTGTATATCTTAAATACATAAAAGGCACGTTGTAAAATATTTTGCGAAATTTTTGGTTGATGGTTTTTAATTTTGTTAGAAAAACGCTGTTTCCACAGGCTTGCGGTTATGGTTGAAAACCTCAGAGCTGCTAAACAGGACTTTTTCATTGCGGCTCCCTTTTATTTCACTCGAGATAACCTTCGAAACGAACATAATCGCCAGCTTTGAGCAGCCAACAAAATCAACAAACGAAACAGAAATTACATGGAAACAAATAAAGAATATATGAATATATATATAGATATACACAAGATATATACAAAATGTAATTAAAATTAATGAAATACGAAATAAAAATAGCAATGAATTTCAATGTGAAACTAGTAAGGCTATTTACTTTATAGAAAAATATGGATTGAACATAAAAACAATAGTCCCCTAACAAAACAAAAACTACATTTAGTTAACTTTTATGTTTTTTTTCATATGTTTTTATTTAACTTACAATTTTGTTTTCGGTTTTCTTGTAGTTTGTTTTTTAAGATGTTCTTTTTTTTAAGATTTTCTTATAAATTTTTTTTAAATAATTCTTTAAGTTTTAGTACATATAATTACAACGCATTATTTTCATAGGACTTCGATTTTCGACTCAACTGCCGCTTGACTTCGGCCCGATACACATTTAATTTAGCCAGCTTCCTGATTCCTTTCTATATATTTTGCTTTAGTAATTTGCTGCTTCCGGGGATTGTTCATTATAAGATATGCCGAACTACATGGATCAGTATTACATCATCGTATGGTTTTCATATAGATAGCTATATGTATAATAGATGCTGTGTATATGGTATAAACTGTCTAGCTTGAAGTAACAATCACCACAGATTGTATAGTTATAGTTTTTGTTTGGATTTCAGCGACCTTTTTAACCCGATCCATCTATTGGCTTGGCAGACTCCTCTTTTCACAATATATAATAAATACATCTTCTTAAGGATAATCTCTAAAGACTTTAATTCACCAGACGTCAAGCCAATCCATACCAATAACTTGATCATGGTTTTATTTCCGCATTCAAATCACTTAAATTTTGGGCTTCAGATTTTTTTTTAGGTGGAATTTTGTTTTCTGTTTCGGGGGAAGACACCATATATACATATAAATATATAGATATATATATTTGCATCTTTAGCTGTATAAGGATTCGGAATATGGGAGAAGTGAAACGGGACAGGCGGCTTTAAGTAGCATATATAAATAGTATATATGTAACATTGTATTTATGTTTCGGTTCACTTGCGGTGTCTCTCGATTTAGTTATTTACACAGCTTCAATTGTGGTTTATGTAATGCCAAAAAGGGGTTTGTATATTTTACAATACCTTTCACTATTACAGCATTCCTAAATCTTAATTTAGACACACAGCTGGCCTATAACAGATATCGTACTCCTAAACTCTTCACTCCGCTGGTTGTAATGCTTGATGACAATGATCAACAGTTTGTGTAACAATGCCCGGTATTGGCATTGTATTCATCAACATAAACATCTTCAGCTGTCATTTCTATCAGCATGACTTGTTGTTCACTTAGGTGCTATTAACTATAACATAACTTAGTCTTATGTATGTGTGATTTTTGTGTGTTTTACGTACATTTGCTGTATGTAGGTGCAAGGAGTGAGGAGAAAGGGTTTCTTTTATGTAAAAAAAAAAAGGTATATGGTAGGCAAATATCGAACCGAAAACCTAAACATATATTAACATTATATGTTTTCGTAAGCCTTTGACATCCAATCGGCCGTTCATTAAATTTTTCGCGTTTTTTTTTTGTTATCTTTCTTGAATCCAAAAGTCGGAGTGGATTGGTGTTTTGATGACCGGGAGCTTAGCTTTAGGCTGGGATGCGATCGGTACAGGATTACATGAAGCGCTGACGTTTGCTGCTATAGTGGCAAATGTCCATCTTGTCGTCAATAGGACTGCCGGGGCGCTTGCAATGGCGCGCTATTTCGTTGGCAACAAATGCAAAAAGTTCCGGACCTCTGAAATATAGAAAAGTTACTAGATTAGGAAATGCTTACATCAAGACTCTTTCTCTAATTCTGTGTTAACCATTGAATCCCTTAAACTAACCGTGGACGCAGAACCAAGGCCTCCTTAAAGGTGTGCAAATCGTCGCCGATTCCGCCACCGGGAGCGCTGCCCGTTCCCTCCTGACGGCCACCGGCTGTTCCGGCGGACAGCAGATGCCCACCACCGGTGGCAGTCGGCGGACCACCTGCCAAACCGAGTCCGGAACTGTGGAATCCCAGGCCAGAGCCTCCGCTGCCGCTCTGGTGGTGATGCTCCGGCTTCGGTGAGCTGCAGAAAATGAGGTGAGAAAACAAGTTTTAATAGGGCTTGTTCGGGGTTGATTGCAACGGCGACTCACCGACGATTGGCATGTGGATTGGAATTCGATGGCGGTAGGGGCTTTCCGGCCAAATAGGCCAACAGATCCTCGCGCCGTATCATCCGGCGTTTTTTGCTTCGCGCCCAATCGGCCAATTCGCGAGTGCGTCTTTGGTAGCCGCACTGAATGGCAGCGTCGCTGGTGCGTTTGAGACCATCACATGATTCTGGTGCGAATCGAATAAAAGGATAATTACATATCATTATCCTAAAGAGGACATTTGAAACCAACCTTTGTAAAGTGTTGTCACAGTGCCAGCTGCGGTCTGGAAGGGCAGCCAAAGGGCGCCTGTGTCTGAGGAAAATGTGTTTGATGAGCGCTCTGCAAGACAAAATTAAATACATTTAGGATTGTGTGGATTTTTTTAAATTAAATTTTTTTTTATTTAAAATTAATTGCTTTTAAATATTTTATTTTGATTCTATATTTTGATCCAGACCGGAATAAAAATTTGGAAAAGTGTATAGAATTTCTGCTACAATAGGCTATAAGATAATTTAAGTGATTATAAGCGATTTTGATTTGGAATGTGAACAATTAAATCAAACATGTTGGAACTGTCGATCGTTTTTCCCTTTCTCCCTTTTCTCCCCTGCTTCTTGCACACCTGCTGCACGAAAGGACGACAAAGGACGAAAGAAAAAAAGAGGGAAAGGGAACTCAAAGAGACGTTATCGACCCGGAGGAAGAAGAAGAAAGTGGTGCAAGAGGGATGGCAATAGACCCTAGAAAATTTTAATTTGCAACGAAATAAAAACAACAATGCAAGAGCGAAGAGCAAGACAGATTAATCTTCCACTTATTTTCCCCTTTACTTTATGCCAGTCGAAAACAATGACGAAAGCAAAACAGCTGTTCGACCCACACACGCACACACAGCCAAACAAACACTGATGAACCTGCACGCACATGTTGATTAATGATATCAACAACAACAATAACAAATTTAGGGATAGAAAATTCTTTAAGGCGACGCCTTTGCCCTTTTCTCACATCTTCCTCTTCCTCTCCCCGTTCCATTGCCATTGCACTTGACTCTCGCCGTCCCTTTTTTTTATCCCCCTCTCTTTCTTGTTCCCTTGCTGTTCTATTGCATCTTGCCCCCCATTACTGCTCCACCCGTTCAAAACAACAACAACACTGGAGCCCTTTCTGCATTTTGATAATGCGTAGTTTAAGGAGTGAGCGAGAAGGGGAGTTGCATTTTCATGAAAGCCGGGCTGTTGTCTCTTCTTCTTGTTGTTCTATTAATACCTCGCCCAAAACTATTTTTGAAGAGAGACTGCACACACACACACACATGTACGCAGATAGACAGGCAGACTCACACGGATAGAATGGAAACACAAAGAACACTAAAAAAAAATGTTGAAACATGGAAGCCGAAGCCTACGCCCTGGAAAGGGATAACGGGATCCCTCTAGTCAACCACACACTTGTCTCACCTCTATAAAGCTGAGCGACGGCAGTTGCCGAATCCTGGAATGCTCCCCACACTGTGCCCAAGTTGTTGTCCCTCTGACGCACATATTCACGTTCGAACTCGTCGTGCTGACCATGTATTTCTCGGTGACACTGCTCCTCCAGCCAGCTCTCCTCTCCACCCGACTCCGGTTGTTGTTGCATTTCTCTCCTCTGCGTCGCACTCCCTATCTCTCTTTTCGGGCGAGTTCCAAAGTTTCGGTTCCTTTCCCGTTCCGGCAAATGCCTGGACAACCTTCTTGTGCTTCCGCTGCTCCTTTTCTGCTTTTGACTCTTCTTCTTCTGCTGGTGCTGCTGCTACGACGACACACGCACAAACACACACACGCGAAACGCACCAACACACTGACGCACTTTGGACCACTGTTGGGGTTTTGGTTTTAAATTAACCAGGAATTTGGGTAGTAATCCCTCGTTTTAACTGTTTTTCCGAACCGATGCCTCTTCTGGCAGCTCGTTTGTAAATTATTTTAATTTATTTATTTGCTACAAGACGAGCAAGCAGCACTTTTATGTTGTAAACCAGCACAAAAAAGAACTCACACTCAGTGACAGCGTTGCCATATTTCCGAGATCTGTCAAAGGAACTTATTCTAGTTCGATTTCTGGTAATCAGTTCTGCCCCGGTGAACCAGTCACGATTTTAGTGTTATTAAAAATATATATGGTTGATAAATGCTCCATGTTTGATATTATTACACTGTTTTGGGGTATTTTAAATAATATATATACATTTTACATTATACATTTTATAGGTATAGGTAAGTATTTTCAGTATTTTATTTTTTGTTCTAGATTCCAGACACAATTTAAAAAAATATAAAAAAAAAATAACTTCTTTGTATTATTTGTATATAATTTAACATTTTGGAAAATTTTATTTTGGGTCGAAAACATTGTACTAGGTACAAATTAAAAATATTTTTAAATGACAAGATAACTGTTTATTTTGAAGTATTTGTATATAATATTTTGCAGCGTCTTCTTTATTTTATTTATTTATTATCTAGCTCTCTCACATTCGATGGAAGCGTTTTTTGAATAGAGAAAATGGTTTAAAGTGATTCATGCAAGTGTGTTTGGCCTTTTACATTAAGAAAATTTGCAATATTATAATACACCAACAATTATATATTGTAAGTTCCGTGGGAATCAGTTCCCAAGCTGCCAACTTTTCGAACGAGGTGGCAACGCCGCGCAACTTGTCTGCACGTTTTTAAAAGCCGGCCAATCCGAATCCAAAACAAGAACAGGATCAGTACACACTCGAAAAAAGGACGATGTTTATGAACTGCAACCTCTTTGAGCCGGGCAAATCAAAGCCAGAACGGAATTTTGTTCAGCTAGCTGTGAAGCAGAATCAGCGCTGTGACGGTCGGCGCTCCAACGAGGGCCGCGATGTGGAGGTGACTTTTGGCTCGGATTGGGGCACCGTGGCGGTATCCTTGGGCGAGACGAAAGTACTGACCCATGTTACCTGCGATTTGGGTGCACCGACAACATCCCGACCCAACGAGGGCAAGCTCCAGTTGAACGTGAATCTTGGCGGTGTCGCCTTCTTGGACGAAGCGCAGACTACACATGACCAGCGATCCCTCACCTTGAATTCCCTTTTGGAGAGAACCTTTCGCAGCTCAAGGTGTGTTGATCTGGAGTCTTTGTGCGTAGCCGCCGAGCAGCATGTGTGGTGCATCCGTGTGGACATCAATGTGCTAAATCACGACGGGAATTTGTATGGTATGCAAAAAGAATATGTGATATGATTTGATTTTCAACATAACAAGGCAATTAATAATTCCAATGACTGTTTCTTTAGAATCTATAACTTAAATGGTTGTTTTTTTTATATTCATTGAAACTTTATTATTTTGCAGATGCCAGCACTATAGCCACTTTGGCTGCTTTGATGCACTTCCGTCGACCGGATGTTACATTTGCGGACGATGATCTGCGTATCTACACAGAGAAGGAGCGGGAATTCATTCCGTTGTTATTTCTCCACTATCCCGTGAGTGTTACCTATTGCATTTACAAGAGCAGCGGCCAGCCAATTGTGGATCCTACGCTGCTGGAGGAGAACGCCGCCGATTCTGTTATTGTGTTGAGCTTCAACTCCTACCAAGAGTTGTGCACCCTAAACGCCGGAGGCACAGCACCAACAAATGTGAGAACGATCATGCAATGTGCACGCAATGCAGCGACTCGCGCCAAGGCTTTGGTCGATTTCATTCGCAAAGCTTTATCGCTGGACGAAGAGCGTCGATTGCAGGGCAGTCGCTTGATCCAGGGATTGGCGTCTCTTTTTGGAGAAACGCCACATAAGCTGAGCTTCAAGAAGCTAATGGGACAACAAAAGCAGGAAGCCCCCTTAGTTGATAAAATGGAGGTGGATAGCAACACTATTTTAAGGGCAGATATTGAGGAAACTGAGGCCAAAGAAGAGACGTCTAAAAAGCAGACAGGTAAGCCATAAATCATGGCTAAAAAACAACACAGTTATACATGGTTATCTTTCCCAATTTCCAGACGTCCCTCTGGACGCCACCAGTTGGCTGCCGCAGGATGAGAACTCCCAGGAACTGCCTACGCCCTCGCAGGCGTCCACATCGAAGGCGGGCAAGGGCAAACAGAATCGGAGCAAAGGCAAGGCCAACAAAAAGCAACACGCAAAGAAACAAAGTACGTTTCAGCCAATTCAGATTGTTTACGTAATGAATAACAATACAAATCCCTTTCAGATCACAGTGATTCCGAGGAGGAAACCAAGCATGTCATCTAGCCGATATGATAGTCTTGTAGTTGAGTGAAAATGCTTTCTATTAAGTTTTATTTAGGCTTAAATATATGGCTAAAAATCAGTCTAGGCTTTAACAGAAATCGTTTAATGCGGAATTCCAATTGATGGAACCGATGTTCATCTTAGTTAGGCTTAAACTAGAGCTCTAAATATAAATCCAACCCGCCGGGGCTAACGAGACGATGTTTAAGTTTAAATATTGCAAGTGGTTCTCTTACAGCAATAATGTGTCGGTTTCTTTTTCATTCTTCGTTATTGTAGTTGTGCTTCGATTCGTTAAAGGTTTATTGGAGTTTCTGTTTTTGTTTTGTTTATTGTTGTCTAGCCATCCCCCACTTAACTTGATTTATAATACAAACGATTAAATGAACAACATTCGCGACGCCAGCCTAGGCCTAAGAATACGAATTGCTATTTGATTCAGTGTGGTGTGTTTTCTGTTAATTCTCTTGTAAATTTACATAGTTTATTTAATGTAATGTGTGTATAAAGAGCTATTAACAACGGACCAAGGCTAAAATCAGTTTTGTAAATTTTGTTTTCCTTAAGGTTAAGATTACTTTTCATCGCTTTAAACTATTTTTGGGAGCACCAGTTGCCTTTTTCCTTACTTTTTTTTTTTTGCGTTCTTTTAACGTTTTTTGTTTTTGTTGCATTCCGTAGAGTTGAGGAAAGGATTTTGGGCAGTGGTGGTGTAGGTTCTTGGTGTTATAGATGAGAGGGATATTTCGCTATCAGTATTTTCGTTTTTCCTTATTCGGGTGAACAATGCCGACGTGCAGCAAATGCAGCAACAACGTGTGAGAAGTGTTTATTGGCGGCTGGCAAGCGTTAGAAGGAGTAGACATCGTCGGCGTCCTCCTCCTCCCTTCGCCCACCGACGCGCCTTCAGGTGGTGTCGTTGCCAAGGCCGTTCTTTTGGTCCAGTTTATTCGAGCCCATCTTCACCATGTAAACGACTTTTGGCTCGGATTGGGGCACCGTGGCGGTATCCTTGGGCGAGACGAAAGTACTGACCCATGTTACCTGCGATTTGGGTGCACCGACAACATCCCGACCCAACGAGGGCAAGCTCCAGTTGAACGTGAATCTTGGCGGTGTCGCCTTCTTGGACGAAGCGCAGACTACACATGACCAGCGATCCCTCACCTTGAATTCCCTTTTGGAGAGAACCTTTCGCAGCTCAAGGTGTGTTGATCTGGAGTCTTTGTGCGTAGCCGCCGAGCAGCATGTGTGGTGCATCCGTGTGGACATCAATGTGCTAAATCACGACGGGAATTTGTATGGTATGCAAAAGGAATATGTGATATGATTTGATTTTCAACATAACAAGGCAATTAATAATTCCAATGACTGTTTCTTTAGAATCTATAACTTAAATGGTTGTTTTTTTTATATTCATTGAAACTTTATTATTTTGCAGATGCCAGCACTATAGCCACTTTGGCTGCTTTGATGCACTTCCGTCGACCGGATGTTACATTTGCGGACGATGATCTGCGTATCTACACAGAGAAGGAGCGGGAATTCATTCCGTTGTTATTTCTCCACTATCCCGTGAGTGTTACCTATTGCATTTACAAGAGCAGCGGCCAGCCAATTGTGGATCCTACGCTGCTGGAGGAGAACGCCGCCGATTCTGTTATTGTGTTGAGCTTCAACTCCTACCAAGAGTTGTGCACCCTAAACGCCGGAGGCACAGCACCAACAAATGTGAGAACGATCATGCAATGTGCACGCAATGCAGCGACTCGCGCCAAGGCTTTGGTCGATTTCATTCGCAAAGCTTTATCGCTGGACGAAGAGCGTCGATTGCAGGGCAGTCGCTTGATCCAGGGATTGGCGTCTCTTTTTGGAGAAACGCCACATAAGCTGAGCTTCAAGAAGCTAATGGGACAACAAAAGCAGGAAGCCCCCTTAGTTGATAAAATGGAGGTGGATAGCAACACTATTTTAAGGGCAGATATTGAGGAAACTGAGGCCAAAGAAGAGACGTCTAAAAAGCAGACAGGTAAGCCATAAATCATGGCTAAAAAACAACACAGTTATACATGGTTATCTTTCCCAATTTCCAGACGTCCCTCTGGACGCCACCAGTTGGCTGCCGCAGGATGAGAACTCCCAGGAACTGCCTACGCCCTCGCAGGCGTCCACATCGAAGGCGGGCAAGGGCAAACAGAATCGGAGCAAAGGCAAGGCCAACAAAAAGCAACACGCAAAGAAACAAAGTACGTTTCAGCCAATTCAGATTGTTTACGTAATGAATAACAATACAAATCCCTTTCAGATCACAGTGATTCCGAGGAGGAAACCAAGCATGTCATCTAGCCGATATGATAGTCTTGTAGTTGAGTGAAAATGCTTTCTATTAAGTTTTATTTAGGCTTAAATATATGGCTAAAAATCAGTCTAGGCTTTAACAGAAATCGTTTAATGCGGAATTCCAATTGATGGAACCGATGTTCATCTTAGTTAGGCTTAAACTAGAGCTCTAAATATAAATCCAACCCGCCGGGGCTAACGAGACGATGTTTAAGTTTAAATATTGCAAGTGGTTCTCTTACAGCAATAATGTGTCGGTTTCTTTTTCATTCTTCGTTATTGTAGTTGTGCTTCGATTCGTTAAAGGTTTATTGGAGTTTCTGTTTTTGTTTTGTTTATTGTTGTCTAGCCATCCCCCACTTAACTTGATTTATAATACAAACGATTAAATGAACAACATTCGCGACGCCAGCCTAGGCCTAAGAATACGAATTGCTATTTGATTCAGTGTGGTGTGTTTTCTGTTAATTCTCTTGTAAATTTACATAGTTTATTTAATGTAATGTGTGTATAAAGAGCTATTAACAACGGACCAAGGCTAAAATCAGTTTTGTAAATTTTGTTTTCCTTAAGGTTAAGATTACTTTTCATCGCTTTAAACTATTTTTGGGAGCACCAGTTGCCTTTTTCCTTACTTTTTTTTTTTTTGCGTTCTTTTAACGTTTTTTGTTTTTGTTGCATTCCGTAGAGTTGAGGAAAGGATTTTGGGCAGTGGTGGTGTAGGTTCTTGGTGTTATAGATGAGAGGGATATTTCGCTATCAGTATTTTCGTTTTTCCTTATTCGGGTGAACAATGCCGACGTGCAGCAAATGCAGCAACAACGTGTGAGAAGTGTTTATTGGCGGCTGGCAAGCGTTAGAAGGAGTAGACATCGTCGGCGTCCTCCTCCTCCCTTCGCCCACCGACGCGCCTTCAGGTGGTGTCGTTGCCAAGGCCGTTCTTTTGGTCCAGTTTATTCGAGCCCATCTTCACCATGTAAACGAAGAACGTGATGATCTCCTTCTCCTTAATGGGTATTGTCTTGAAGTGCTTCATAATGGTCTGATCGAAAAGAGTGGTGGAAAATATGTTAGTATTATGTCCTAGAGTACTTTAAGTCAAATGCACCCAAGCTTTCACAAGGAAGTGATTGTAAATGCAAATGCACTGACTTGCAAGCCTACAATCTACATAAGTCTACTGACAAGAAAGAAAAGTAATAGAACCAATAAACTACATTTTAGAATAACTTTTCTGACTTGTCGCTTACTTAAGGCACGGAAATCACGTTATATTCAACAATAAGGTATGAAACCCCTATCTAAACCTTCGATTTACCCAGTAATTTCCCAGGGAATTGAACAAATTGGCAACGAAACCGAAGGTGGAACCATCTCGCATGGACACTCTACCCACCCCATCTTAAGTCCTAGTGCAAACTCACATCCGCCAGCTGTGCCCGCTTCATGCCTTGCCTCGTCTGGACCTTGAAGTGCCGCTTGTAGCGGCGCAGCGTGCTAACGCCCAGCTGGTAAAGATCGGGGAACTCGTGCAGGTCCGTGTCCGTTTCGTTGCTGTCGTCCTCGCTGTCCTTGCGGCGCCGCTTGGTGCGCACCGACTGGATGCGCTCCTTGTGGTGGTCACAAATGTAGATATGCTGCGCCGCCGGATCGCTGCTCAGCTTGAGTCGCTTCTGGGCGACCGTTTTCTGGATTCGCTTCGAGTAGCTGGCGTAGCCGGCTTGGTTGCGACACCGCTCCATGTCGTCGATCAGGCAGCACGTTTGGTCCGTGTGCCCGCGACTGTCCTCCTCGCCGGTGCTAAATCCGTTGTTCATCCTGTGCAGATATTCACTTCTAAAATCCACTGCGCTTTCCTGCTTCTGCTTTTGTTGCCTCTGTTTTTCGTCGTTCTTTCTGTTTTCCCCCTGCGCTTTGTGTTTGCGACGTTTTCGTTTTGGTGTTACCAGCGTGGACGAGTGCCGAAATGACGTATTTGCCTATCGAATAAAACGAATGGTTTCGGAAAATTAAATAATTTCCATTACTATATTTCCGGTTTAGTTACACTTTATGGCTTTTGCTAATTGGCTAAGAAACATTTTTTAAGAGCTTTCTTGGGGCGTAATCAAACGTGATTTCTTATTATTTATTTGTATGTAGAAATCTGAAAATAAATATGAAAGTTGAAACATTTTTTTCTGTACTTCAATCTGTACTAAAAAATCACTCTGAGTTATTTCGTAACTTGTACAGCGTTCAGTACTTACATTTTCAGGGTCTACCATTGTACAATTTTTTATTTCTTTTAATTTTTTATTTTTTTACACATTTGCTGCACTCCCCAAGGTAGCTCTTAAAAAAAAAATTTCCAACCCATTTTTTGCAAAAGCCTTTAAAGTGCAATTTTACCAAATTTACTTAAAGGCTTCTATTTGAATTTGGTTTAAAACATAAAATATAAAACAATATAAACGCTTACATTAAATATATAGCAACTTAACACGATAGTTTTGAGTTGTTTTTACCGACTCAGTGCCGTCACTATCTTTAGTTTCCGTATTCAATTGTCCAACACTGGCCGGGCTGTCACATTTTGTTTGAAACGAGATTTTTTTGCCAGAATTTATTTCGAAAATGGCGAAAATGCCCGGGGCACCAGTAGCGAGCGATAGCGACATAGAAACCGTGCTGGAAGAGTTCAAGCAGCGCCAGGAGCGCCGCAACAGCATAGGAACGGCCAAGTACACCTGCAGCGTCCCGAAATGCGAGGCAACCTTCAAGCGTCTGGACCAATTGGACCGCCATGAATATCACCACACGGGAATCGTAATTATATAGCTTATTTATACACCACCGTGTGGCTAGTAACATCCGTCCCTTGCAGAAAAAGCACGCCTGTTCGTACGAGGGCTGCGACAAGACGTACTCGATTGTGACCCATCTGAAGAGACATCTAAGGAGCACCCACGAAAGACCCGAGGCGGCGGCCAAGAAAACGGTTAAATGTTCGATAGAGGAGTGCAGCAAGATGTTCGTCTCGGTCAGCAACATGACGCGCCACATGCGCGAAGCACACGAAAGCCCCCGCGTTTATCCGTGCAGCCACTGCACCGCCAAATTCTCGCAGAAACTCAAGTTGAAGCGCCACGAAATCAGAGAGCACACGAAGGCGTATCCGTTCACCTGCGGAAAATGCTCGCGCGGATTCTACCAGGAGTGGCAGTGCCAGAGTCACGAAGCCAGCTGCAAACAGTATGAGTGCCCGGGATGCCCGTTGAAGTTCGCCAAGTGGACGCTGTACACAAATCATTGCCGCGAGACACTGCACGGCAGAAATCGCCACAAGTGCTACCACTGCGGGTGCGCCTACGACAAGCCCAGTGATCTCAAGCAGCACATCGAGGCCAAGCACAAAGACAAGGACGCAGAGATCTCGTCCGCGTTAGTTTGCCAAGTGGAGGGCTGCGGCAAAAGCTATTCGTACATGCGGAATCTCCGCCAGCACATGACTACCGCTCATTCGGGTCGGCGTTTTGAGTGCGTGGCGGTAGACTGCGGTCGCTGCTTCAGTAGTGCCCAGAATTTGTCCAGACACCTCATTAAAGCTCATAGGGATGGCAATAAGGAGAAGGAAGAGAAGAAGAAAACTGTAGAAAAGAATCAGAAAGAGGACTCAAAAGAGCCAAAACGTAATCCTCGCAAGCGACGTCGTGATGCCGGACGCAGCAAGCACTCGCAGCTGTCCAAGCTGGCCTGTTTGCAACTGGACAAGGAGGATGAGGAAGCGGTGCGCGAACGACAGCCGTTGGCCCTGGAGAAGGTCGCACTAATATTAACCAAAGAAGATCCAATTGAGGAACTGCTGGCTCAGACCCTGCAGGATGAAGAGGAAGCAACGCACTAGTAAGGTACAAGCTTCTGAGAAATCTAAAGAAAGGAAGGAAGGTCAGAATCCAATCCCAATAAAGAGGCTCAAGCTTGTGTGTCAAAAGAAAACAAGGAAGGTTCGGCTTTAAGCTACTTTAACTTGAATGAAAAGCTTCTTAAAGCCAAAAGACATTAAAAAAAACTCTTAGTAATGTTCATTTATAAAAACACAAATCAAATTGATCGAAACCCTTACACACTTTTGCCATCGCAAGCATAAACCACAAACACACTTTGGAAAATGTACAAAAAAAAATAAATTACGGACCTTCCTTCCCTATTAATTGTTGAGTTAATTAGTTAAATCAAAAATCTCCTGCCGCCTTGATAGGTTTATATTATTAAACTGTAAGTTAAGTATAAATCCCATTCCCTGACAAATATTTTAATTTGTCAAGCTAGGAAAAATTTTGCATTGCCCTTCTACAAATATTTTTTGTAAATATAAAGCGTAAAAGTCACGATCTTTTAATTAAGGTAGCTTATGTAGCTAAATGTAAATAACAATGGACACATTTTTCCACATTTTCTTTTGTTTTTTTTATTAAACAATTTCCTAAAAACAAAAAAATGATTAGTGCGATGGCCGAGGATTTGAAAAGTACGGATCGGTAGAATGGAAGTGGAATTGCAGGGATCTACAGCGAGCTGATAATCTTTCGGCTGCGCATCTGCTCCATCCATTGCTCGTACTGTTGCTCCGGCGTCTGTGGCTCCTGGTAGTAGTGCTGCGGCGGCTCGCCCTCCTCCAGCCTCACGAAGTAGTGACAGTGCTTGTACTCCACCTGGCCAAAGCGACCACGGGCATGGCGCCTCACGCCCTTGAAGACGCGTCCCTTGCCCACAAAGGATTCGGCTGAAAGGTAAAATAAGCACATATTAATTTGTAGAATAAGGTGCAGATTGGTTGCAGCTGCAGAGATAAGAAATTTGATAAGGAAGTTTGCAAAATGTGGAATTCCCTCCCGGAAACTTATATTCAGAGTTCCCAAATCAGTTTCTGGGCCAACTTTTTACCTATCCACAGATTGCTCTTGAATTCCACATTGTGTCGCTCCACGGCCATTTGCTGGGCCTCCAAAATCGTCTCCTTGACGTCGGTGGCTCCCTTTTTGAGCACAAAGTTCAGTTGTTTAAGGGCCTCGTCGACGGACATTCCGCGAACGAAGGCAGCGATGTACCACATCTTGTCCGGACTGTATTTGATGTTATTTCGCATATGGCAGACGTACTAAAAGTGAATTTAAGTGAAAGATTAGCTCTGATAGATAAGGTGGTAAGCTGGTTTTCTTACTGCTTTCCTGGGCTCCTCGTCCGCTTCCTGTGGCGGATGGACCGTTTTGTTGTACTCCAGCCATTTGCGGGGTCCGTAGTTGTATTTGTTCCACTTGGCACACAGAACGCCGGTGGAAGCTCCGGTGTGCAGGGATTTCACTTGGAAGGCAGGTGGTGAATTCTTATGGCTAAGCAGGGAGCTTTGACTTTCGCTCGGTTTAAGGAGTACTGCACCCTGTGGCGCCTGCAAACGCAGCTGGGACATCTGGCGGATCACCTTATTCATCTTTTGGCTGGCCAAGTCAGCGGTTTCCTCACTAAAAACCTTGCAATTTGATTGAATCCGGAACAGCGCAGCCTTCTTTCGGTCGCGTAATCTGCCAGTGTGACCAAAAAGTCTGCATAAACAATTCACTTAAATTACACTGCGAAAACGGCTGTTCTGCTGATGGTCTGGCCACGTGCTTGTAAATCCATCTGGCACCCCTTTTTCGTCCTGTTTTTGGGCATATTTTTTAAAAATTTACGTATTTGTACAATTATTTTTGAGTAGATATTTATAAATTTCCGAAACCATTTTGGACCAAGATGCCGCAAATGTTTCTCTGAACTTCTTGGACAAATTGCAAAGAAGTGACCTAAAAAAGCACTTAATATTGTTCATAAATTTCACTTTGGTTTCTTCGAGCTCTGAAGATCCTTTCGCGCGCACATTTGAAACCTAGAGCGGTCCGGCATCCCCGCTCGCCGAGTATCTGGCGGATTGCGCTCGACCCATTCGTGCATTCGGTCGGCTGAAGCGTAACTTGGCTGATGTGAGTTCGAAGCGCTCGCGATCGAAACGGAAATTTAACGGTCACCGGATTTAATTTTAGTTCGAAAATTGCAAATCCGTTCGCGTATGCAGATTCAATCGATGGTAATTGAAAGGCGAATCCAAATTACTTGCGTGATACTCGAAACATGATATCAGATTCATGAGTGGAGTCAAAAGAGCTCAGTGATTGTTTCTATTAATTTACATTTAACTTTGCTCTGCCTCGGATCGCCGGCAAAAATGCCTGCATGATCAAATTGCAATAGATTCCGAGATCTAAAGATTGCGAATTTAAACCATCTGGATAAACGAGCGGCCCTATTTTGTTATGGTGTTCTAGTTTCAAAAGGCGATACGCTGTACGCAAAACAACACATAGAAATTTCTTTTAATCCTTTAGAATTTGTTTGAATAATAATTTTTTATAGCCTAGAGTCAAAAAAATTGAAATGTGCATTATATAAAGTAATTAACTTATTCTAATATTTGTACAGCAAAAACATATTTATAAAAAATGGATTCATATTAAATGTGGATCTTATAAGAGGCCCAGAATAAACAGTCGTGCATATATGCCAACAGAAATGACACATAAAATGGTCGAAACTTTTGCTAACGGAAATTACAGTCTTCCCACTCAAAACTCACCTTTGAAATTTTTTTTCGAGTGGGATGCTCGCTCGTAGATAATGAAAAAATAAACTTTTGCTATCATTTTGGTTGTTAGAGAGCTTTGAGTTTGTTTTCCGAGGCTGCTCTCCGGAGCATAAAGTCGAAATGAGTAGGCGAGCAGTTCACCTATGTATCTATCACTGCGCTAAGATGTATCTTACAGATATTTTGCGCCATTAGCTCGCTCTCCTTAGTCGCGGTTTAAATCTTGCTGCGTGCGCTGTCGAGGTAGAGCATTAATAAAATGAAATAAAAATAAAATAAAATAAAAGTGAACTTTGCTAATTACAAACAAGAAGAGATAATAAAAACGCAATCACGCGGCGTGCTAAAAATTTGTTTTTGACATTTTTTTCAAGTGATGGAGCACCAGTGAAAAGTGCAGCCACAAAATAAATATATATGTACATATTTTTGTACACACATATTTTTTAAACAAAAAACGCAAATAGCCAAAATCAATAAAGTGAAGCAACGCTCTGAGGTCTCAGCTGTTTTGGCCCATTTTTCGTGCAGTGTAGAAAAAGATCTGTATATGCACGTCTATATATACATGTGCATATATACCTAGATATAGGCGGACTCTGCTGGGCGTAGCACACAGCATCCAACTTTTTAGATTTATTTTTAGATAAATGATCGGGTGTGCGTTTTTTCCACTAATTTGATGTGCTTTTTTTGTATTGAATACAAAAATTCATATCTTAACCATCTGGGCGAGATTGTAAGGCAGTTCCAGCAGAGGCTGCGACTAATTACCTCAACTGCAGGAACAAGAAAAAAAGAATCCTAAAATAAGTCCAGGAGTCTAACTTTTTTGCCATCAAACAATCCGCCACTGAAGAAGATTATCAGCATATTTATTTTTAAAAAGTCGGCTGGAAGTGCGAGCAGTGCCATAAATTAAAACAGTAAATAAAGTAAAAATAGAAAAAACGTAGCAAGGCAACTATGTTAAGAAACTTTCCAAACGATTTGCAAATAGCTTAGCGTTACTTCTAGTCTTTTTTATATTTCTTTTGCATTTAAATGCAAATAGCTTGGCTACGAGCTTAGTTTTTTATGCAAATTTACTACTTTCTGCTTACAATTGACTTTTGCCTGGCGTTTCGTGGGGCACAGAATTAACTGACTTATTTATATTGGCACAGTCGATTGGCATTGTGAATGTGAACCGCATGATCAATTGTCTGATCGTTAAATTGCCTTCACCATATGGCAGCGAATTTTTTTGTTTTTTAATTATAATTCATTTTCGTGTCTATGAATGAATGGCAGCCGCCCATCAATGAACCAACTCGCCCACACGCTCGCCGGAAAAACTAGGCATAATGCATGCTAGTCGTACGGTGGAAAATGTGTCAAATGTCACCTGCTCACCGCCTACAACTTGTTTTTTCTTCTTGTCAGAGAAACTCAACTGCACAGTAAAAATAAATCTCCTTAAAATGGTTGAAGTGCTCTATTCATTTTAATATTTTCAAGACAAACTGTCAAGCTATATGGTTATATTATTAGTTTTGTTAATCTTCGTTGAAAGTTATCTGGAAACAAGAGCAGGTTAAATTTTATTGTGTGGGAAGGGCTGGTTGCCCGATTTTTAGCCTGGCCAAGAGTCTGCTGACTTTGGCCGTTATTTTGTTATTTTGGCCAACCTGTTTGACGGCTCATTACGTCACCATCGTGGCTGAGCGTAGAACGCGCCAAAATCTTAGCATAAAGCACAAAGAGAACCCGTCAAAAATGTCAAAAAAAAAACCAACAAATCTGATTTAAGAATTAGCCAGAGATAAATAAACGAACCTACTGATACCCTAACTTTCGCCCAAAGATAACCGAGAAAGGTGTACAAATATATAATTGCAATGCAAAAAAAGATAGTAAAGTAAACAATAAAATTTATTCAAATAAAAATTCGTTTTTTACTTCAGAAATAAATATATAAATAACTTTAATGAGATACAACCACTTCTGAAATCAAATAACCGTTTATTGGATTTTTGGCATTGAAAGTCGAAAATATAATGTAATGGGAAACTGAACCGTGTAATAAAGACGACTGATTTGGAGCAGCCGTAATTGCCCCGACTTCCGACCAAACCAAAAGCAAAGCAAACCACCCCGCCCACCTCGCGATTCCCCAAGGCCAAGATATCTTGATGTTAAGAGCGCCGAGCGGAGACAAGCGTACAGATAGAGATATATAGAGATATAGACGCTGAGGCACAGAGACACTCAACATTTGCTGACTTGAAGAATATAGTAGTCTTTTTCTGTTTTCTGTTTTTTGTTTTTGTTTTTGGCTTTTGTGTTTTATGCTCATTTTTTGTCGTTGGTTTCGGTTTTGGAATCTCATTTCGGCCAAGGTTGAGTTTATATAATAAATAAAGTCGCGTGTGTGTGTGTGCGTCTCTTTTGACCATATGTTATAATAATTCTCGATCTCGATCTCGATCGACAGCTGTGAAGATGCAAGCGTAAAAGTGCAAAGTTCCTGGATGCAAACCCAACGAAATCGATTCGAAAGAAAGTAAAAACCCAGAAGAAAGAACTCAGCGAAAGAAAGTCGAACGGCGAACGGCGAAATGAGTGGATCGCTCTTCCAGCAAGGGATGGGTCAATCCCTGCTCCTGATCCTGCTGCTGATCGCGGTGTCCACCGATGGCTATAACCTCGACCTGCCCAGTTACGTCCGCTTCCGGCAGGCGACCAACTCGATGTTCGGATTCAGTATCGCGATGCACAAGGCTCGCAGTGGATTCTTCGGCAGTCAGAACAAGTAAGTCATCAAAATCCAATCAAAGTCCCTTTGAAATATCTACCGATGGGTATACGAATTTATTGGAATTTTAAACTTACATTTAAAGTATCAGTTTTACTTGAAAACATTTCTAAATAATTTTTAGTTTACTTGGATCTTGTTTCTTGAGCTCGTCATTAAATATAGTTATTTAATAGGGTCATTTATTTCCCTCTGTCTTTCAACGACAATCTTGAACTTTCCCTCTGTGATTTTCTTTTCAATGAGTTATCTTCATTGGGGGAAATGTGCCCCAAAATCAGTCTCATTTAAGATTAATCATATAAGACGCAGCACGCTTTGAATTTAATAAAGAGCTACTGAAATTCGTCATTTCCCTAAATGTGATAAATTTAAATTGAAATTCTCGTATTTCGTTTTTTATTTAGTATATAGTTTCGTATACTAAACAACTCAAAGATACGTACACTACGTACATTAAATCTTATCAACCTCGTGGAAAACTGAGAGATACCATTTGGCAAGACAATGCCGTACTTAGCCCTCATAATCCAAGATACGAGTATCGCCGCTCATTCTGGGGGATAGATAATCCAGTGACATGTTAATCTGTGAGAGGAGATTCCGGCTGCACTATCTGCACTCCCAGCTCCCAGTTCCCAGCTCCCAGCACGCAACCACTTTTCTTTTCTCGCTATCGCTATCGAGGAGCGTGTGGAAATGCATTCGGAATACTAATACACCCATTAATTTCAATCGGCACAAGATATGGCAGCCGTTCCCTTCCCTTCCATTCGGAGATTCATTGATAAATTTATGGGAGAGTGGCGCAGTGGCCCATTGCACTGTGCAGTCATATAAATCTATATGGGACACTCTCCATACGACTCTCGAGCGGAAAGTGTTTTGGGCCGAGTGCCTGACCCCTGACAAATGGCGAAAAACATATTTCCCGCCTCGCCCAATGCCCAATACTTTCACGCTATTCATGTGAGCCGTTCGATTCGCGCGATAGCCTTTCTGAACCCGCAAAGTTCAGCTTGATGGACCGTGTTAATCGCATGGTCTCTGGACTACACTGAAAGAAACAGGGGAAGGAAGATCTAGTATCATGGTAGGAATAAAATGGGAGATTCCCTTTCTACTTACCTTAAATAAGTTGTATAAATTCAACTTTGATTTCGTTTAATATTGTTTGATAACACATAGGAACAAGATTTTTCAAGATAAGAAAATAAAGATTTCATTTTCATCACTTTTTAAATGAAGTCATATAAATGTAATTTTCCAATCATTTAAAATTGTTAAAAATAATAATTTAAGTTCTGTGCATTCTGGATGCATTCTGGGATGCGCTGGGATCTCTAGTCTTCTTCGACTTTTCGCACGTTAGTTGGATGGGAAAAGCAAGGGGGTGGGGTGGGGTGGGGTGGGTAGACTGAAACTGAAGAGAGCTGGCGGCAGAAGACTGAAGAGCCGAGGAAAAGCCGAAGATACGTTCCATTGATAGAGAGAGTGGCTGGGTGAAAGAGTAGAGTGGCGACCAGGCTATCAGACCAACAGCATCTTTCTACGTGTCTGAATGGCCTTTTGGACGTTTGCACTTCTTTCTTCGCCATAAGTTTTTATAATCCATATACACACACGACCGGCGGAGCAGATCCAAAAACTCAACACAACAAAAGCAAAAAAAAAAAAACTAGAGAGAGAGGAAGAAAAAAACGAGCGATCGCGCTAAGTGCACTTAAAAGCAACGAAAATTATTTAAATGCAGCGTTAAAAATGTTTACAATTCAATAAACAGACGCAAACAGACTCGGAATTTGGTTAGACCCTGCCCCAGAAGAGGCGACACTTCGAGATTCAGATACATAGATACATAGATACAGATGCAGAACAAAAAGTTAGCACCATCCGACTTCTGACCCAAGATGCTTGAACTTTGGATACTCTTTTCTCAGTTTGCTGAGAAGTATCTCAAAGTGTTTAGCATGTATCTTGTTCAAAAACTATATAGCGTAATTGAAACTATATAGTTCTGGGAAAAATACAAATAATAATAAAATAAGTTCCGTTTCCTAGCTTAAAATGTTACTCCAAATCTTGTATTCAAATCTTGTTTATAATCCGAAAGGTTTGAAACCATTAAGTCTAAATGACATAATGTAAGCCAATAAATATATATATACCACTTTGCTCAGACAGTATTCATATTGATAGCACTATCTGCCAACTCAAATATATATAGTAGTATAGTATAACCCATCTGGGGATGGCTTATCTGGGAATTGGGCTCTTGGCAATCCGCAGAGCATTACTGCCCAGCTGCCGAAGGGCATTACCACTTTGGAGGTCGGCGGTGAGGGGTCTCCCCACCGCTAAAAGCTTAAAATTACCCGACTCCGTTCTGCGGCAGCCTCATGAGATAATTGTGTGCCAACTGGGGAGACAAAAGGCCGCGGCGACAGCGAACAGCGAAGTGAGGAAAGTGGTAAACACAAGGTGGCTAAGTAACTAGTTGTGGTTATTGTTTATAAGGCAACGGCCCAAAGCCGTTGGCCAATATGTGGTTTGTGTGGTTTGCCCTGGCGGTGGCAATTAATACATCGCATGGCGGTGGTGTATCCGTATCTGAATCTCAGCCTCTACCTGTACTTCTATCTGTATCTGGATCTGCAGAGGCATTGCCACCTTGGCGAATGGATCTGTATCTGTATCTGTATCTGTATCTGTATCTGTATCTGTATCTGTATCTGTATCTCTATCTCGGTGCGACATAGTTTCGTGTGTGCTATTTACGGTCAAGTGTTTGCGAGCGGCAAGGTTGTCACCGCCGCTTCACCCAATTGGCCAAATAAAGTCGTTTGTCCGTTATCCAGAACGAGAGAGTCGATCGCTTGGCCACAAGTTTCCTTATAGACGCAAAAATGGATAATGGATAATGGCCAGGCCGACTCATTAGCCTCGTTGGCCCCGTTCCTCGTTCCTCGCCTGCTTTTGGGATCCCTGAATGCTGCATCTGCTCCATCAGCTTCTTGGCTTCTTGGCGGGATGCCTTTATTAAAGGCCAAGTGAAATCTTTGTTGTTTCAAGAACAATGAGTAAACTTCTTGAAGGTTAGTTCTATAAAGAGTTTTCTTCCTTTTAAATAAACTACTTATCCAGCTGACAATTGTTAATCCTCTACAGTGAATAATTTCATCAATTAATTCCCATTTATGTTAAGGGGATGAGCAGATGCACTTTTCACTAATAACTACGACACTTTCCATTAAGGGAAAACCTTTTTCCCGACCCGCTCAGCAATCGCATCTCGAAGATAGCATCTACAAAGTCCCGCTCAAATTATTTTTAGCTTCTGCAGTGGGCCACCAACATCGAGACAATCGGAGATCACTTGAGGAGTTCACTTGGGGTCTCCAGCCAGCCCGCTCCTGCTATATTATATAGCTCTCCCCCGATCTATCTATCTATCTATCTATCTATCTATTGCATAAACTCAAATAAACTACTGTCAGCTGCAGCTGAGATCGTATCGATCGATCGCTTGTCTCTCGGCCTTTTTGTTGTGGTTATGAAATGGCAAAAACGGCGGCGGCCAATGAGAAGTGTAATTGATTTCAAATATTTATGCCGTACTTGCAGAGAGAGCAAAGTATCACACTTTCTTTGAAATAAATAAATTCAAAATATACCAAAACTTACTTATAAATAAAACACCTTTCTGTGAAATAAAAAATACTCTTTATAAAATATTTCATTTCCTTAAAATAAATAGATTAAATAAAGATTGTCCTCAAATTCAATCAATATCAATGGAAATCTTAAGTTATCGTCTTCATATTTAAAATGGAGTATTACTGCACTACCATTTAAATAACATATTTTCTTATTTGGTCAGCTTTTTATTTCTCTGTGTACGCGGTTACTTTGGCATTTTCGTTTGTTTGGCCGAACCGCCTTAATTGCCGCTTGATTGCGGAGTCTCGAGTGCCGGGATATGGATATCTATCCATCGGAGATCGTCGAATAATAATCCAAGATCGCAGATCAGCTGGCGGGGGAAAAACGGAAGTGTCAATGTGTAAAAAAGGTGCCGGCAAACCGCACACGCACTTCGGTTTTAGGAAAACGCAGTGGAAAAGAGGGAAAATAGTAAATGGGGAAATGGAAAATTGAAAATGGTAAATGGTAAATCGCTCAATGGACAAAACAAACGCCGGGCCTCTGTCACGTGTGCAAGGGTTTCAATTTTCCCAGACCGCCGGGGGGCGCACACATGTTTAGCGCCGACACGCCCTCGACATTGCCCACTTTTCCCCGATATTTCCCCGGGGTTTTTCGTTGTTGTGCCTATCCTCACCCTCATATCGCGACTTAGGTATCCTATCCGATCCGATCCGATCGTTTCGGTTCCTTAAACGCCGCCTGACTCCGCAAGTGAGTTGGCTCTTTTCGATTCGAAATCGAAATTGAAATGCAGCCGTTTTTATTATTTACTCAAAAGGTTACGGGTGACAGTCTCCCCGAAAAGTCAGTCTAGTTCAGCGGAAGTTGGCTGAAAAGTTTCAACACAAAAGCATTTCCTTGGAATGGGGGAAATAAATTCAAAACTTGAAATGCAGTTTATGTGATTATGAAGTGCTGAGCGAATCAACGGAAATTGGAGCGATCTCTTCAAGATTTTTATGCTGACAAGATCACTTTGAGAAGATTAAAGCCCAAGAGATTCTGGTATGCTGATGATAGCGAAACTTCTCAAAAGATATCAGAACTTTGAAGTGGTTGTAAGCCAAGGTATGATCTTGCCTTGTTGAATAGGATATGATATCATGATGATATATTCAATTCAAATTGAATTCTAGTTAAAGCTTCCTTGAAGTATTTAATTCCCTCGTCCGCTTACTTCTCTTCTGCACTGTGAATCGAGTTCATTCAGGAGAAAAAAGAGTTATGAGGTATGATCTTGCCTTTTGAATAGGATATGATATCATGATCATATATTTAATTAAAATTAAACTCTATTTAAAGTGTAGATACTACAGCTTCCTTGAGCTATTAAATTCGCTCGTCCGCTTACTTCTCAGCTGCACTGTGGATCGAGTTCATTCAGGAGAAAAAAGTGTTATGAGGTATGATCTTGCCTTGTTGAATAGGAAATGATATCGTGATCATATATTAAATCAAAATTAAATTAAAAAGTGTAGATACTACAGCTTTCTGAGGTATTTAATTCCTTCGTCCGTTTACTTCTCTGCTGCACTGTGGATTTTATTCATTCAGGAGAAAAAAGTGGCAGGAAGCATGCGCAGCTTCACACGAGCCCTTCACCCACATCACATCACATCGCTCGTAAAGTGAACTGGAGTGGGTCTAGAAATCGCACTGGGACCTCAACGTGTATATATATATTTACCGTATATACGTACCAGTTTATGTACGTATATAGCCGCGTCACATCCTGCGAGCATGTGTTCGGCGAATGACTCGGAAGTCGGGGGTTAAGAGCGGTTCGAAAATTACTCGAAAATGTTATTTTTAAAACATTATTTTTATTGCGGCTGCTGCACGCGACGTCGAAGTTAAACTCAAAGTCGAAGTTGAAGTTGAAGGTAATTCAAGACGGGTCCCTCCTGGCCATCCTCAATCCTCAATCCTCAATTTAGCATTCAAGGCGCGAACGAACAGAAGGTTCTCATTCTACACCATTTATTTATTTTATTGTATCTTCTTCGACGGCGCTCCCTTTTTCCCCTGAATTCTGTTCTGTTTCTGTGTTCAAGACATGTGTGCGGAAAATTGGTTTTCAATCCATCTATCTATCTACTAATTCCTGCCTGCGGTCGCTCCTTTTCCCAATTGAGACATTCGAACTGTATCTGTATCGAAATCGAAGATCGAACAATCGCATTTGTTGGTTTGGCGCCTGGCTTCGTGTTTTTATACACTTTTCAATTGGCTCGCATTGATTTTGATTATTTTAGAGGCTGGCATTGTGTGCGGTCGGGGGTTTTGATCTCTATAAGGTCCACTGAGCACCAAAACAAATATAATATCATCGCATTCCGTACTGACGCGTGCTCACCAATTTACAAATTAAAATTACGTAAGCCGGAACGCTTGACTGCCTCAATTTCATTTGGCAATGGGTGGAAAATATTCACGATATCGAGAATATGTTCATAAAAGTTATGCAATTCCAAGTAAGATAAGTTGTTACTAAGTTTTAGAAATGTTAGTATAGAAATCCAACCAACTGATAATGCATTAATTGAAAGAAAAGGGCGAGCAAACAAACTGATATAATGCTCTATTTATATTTTTCCTGTGACGTTTAAGTAAATTGCTCGATTCCGTGGTATAAAAATAAATATTGGTCTGGGCAATTCTGGGAAGTCAATTGAAATGAGTCAAATAAACAAATATGCATTAGTCAACGGGTGAAGAAAGGTTTCTCTTCTCCTCTGTTCAGAATTTCTGTTATTCATCGATTGAGTTTAATGAAATGCAAATGCGATCTGCAAGGCGCCCCCTCAAATAAAAATTGGTGGAGGATGGGGAACCTGTTTGGGTTTGAGCTTGTGTCATTTCTGTTCGTCTGTTCGCCTGTTTGGCTGTTTGTCCATAAATTAATATTAATTATAGCCAACTGGGAGCGAGAGAATGATCGAATCGCCGCCGTTCGATGAATGCCAATGATGTAAGCGCTGAGAACAGATTTCAAAGCTATATTTCTGAGTGAATTCTGGTTATGAGAGAGAAAGCACTGAAATAGAGCTTTAAGGTATGGGTTTTACGGCCCGAAACCCAAAGAATTTCCCTTGCTCTGTAATAAAATGCAGCTGCTTGTTTGTGCAATTTAAATCATTTTTAAATACATTGCAAATGCTTGCCAACTTCCAAGGACCCGCTTCATTCATTCGCTCAGAAACCCTCCCATTTGTAATGCACTTAAAAATATATATATTAAATATTATATATTATAAAATATATATAATATGTATGTAATAATTAATAGATCTTACCTCATTGAAAAATTAGTACTCTTTTTAAAAGCATCTTAAAAGAGTTTGTGCTGTTAATATAATGTAATATGTGTGATCTTCATAGTGTTGTTAGTTTATTTTTAAATTCTAGTATGGCTGTGGTTCATGGTTTTTTCGCTCAGTGTAGCCAGTCGCCCATTCATAGGAAGTTCCGTCCGCGATCTTCTTTGGGTCGCTCCCTCTCGAGTTTCACGCATCTGTGCGATTTTTGCTTTAGTGAAGCGTCAAATTGTTGCATGTGGGTTGAGCAGGTCGCTCAATAAGGGGGCGGATCAGCAAGGGGGTGGCTGAGGGGGCGGGGCATGGATGGGCGGAGGGGGAGGGGCGGTGCTTTAATCAACTCTCAAGTGTTTGATTTGGACCGTTTGCGGCGTGCCTTCTGTAGCATCCGCAGAAGTCTCTTTACACGGAAAGAAAACATGAGAAGTTCTATGAGATATTCAGAAAAATGTATGCTAAATGAACGAAAATACAGATGGCCAATTAAATTAAATTTTTAATTAAATTTTGTATTTATATTATAGATATGTATTTTTTGTTATGCTTTTCAAAATTTACATTAAACGTTTCCATAAAACAACTTGAGAATTTTATTATAAAGTGAATTAGAATCAAATTGATTACTTAATTTTCGACTGTGCATGCACTCACTTTCGGTTTTGTTATTTTCAATTTTAATGAAGACCCATTTAGTGCACCCTAGGGTTAAAGCCGACGACCATCGGCCGGGCACCCTTTTCTTCTCCGGTCTTTTCTGTTCGCCGCACTTCCGCATTCAATGCTAATGACAGCTGTCAATGTGCGTGCCATGATGAACTGCCGCCCCTGGAGGAGAACGCAGAGCTACTGGAGAACCACCAGAAAAGCCAGAACCACCAGAACCACTAGAACCACCAGAACCCAAACCACTGACTCTCGGAAATTCAGAGTTTTCAGGGGAGAAAAAGATCGACGAGGGTGCGGGTTGCCAAATGGCGAATGGCGATGGCGATGACGATGGCGAATGGGGAGGTTTATCGGCTTGCTTGAGGGAACTTCAGGAATTCAATTTAAAGTGCTAAAAGAATGCCCAGAAATACCAAACACTGGTGATCATAAATGGCTTCGAGCGGGGTTGGACCTTCAAGAGATGATTCAACAAATTGTTAAATTTTCAATTAGGACAGACACTTAAATTTTTATTGAAATAGCGAAGCGTGTTCTTTAATTTCAGAAAACCATGAGTAGGGTTTTTAATATAAAAACTTACAAACTTATATAGAGTACCTATTTTATCCCAGTTTTATTTCACACTCTTAAACCAATATTATTACTTTATGTTATATGAAACAACTTAGCATGTTTTTAAATAAAAGTATGTTTTAAATTGCATTGTTTATCTTGCTATCAATTTTGCAGCAATAAACACATGTATATAGTATTAAAAGCCATGATTATTTCCCATTCTAACCCCAATATTCTCCCTTGCAGTGTCAGCCTGATCGTCGGAGCCCCCAAATTCGATACGTCCCGCTATCAACAGGGCGTGACGGAGGCCGGCGGCGTCTTCAAATGCAGCCTGAACGACGACGACTGCAAATTGGTGCCATTCGATTCCAAAGGTAATTTAATCGAAGTGAAAAGGAAGCAAAACGCGAGGAGGGTAATACCCAAACGAAACACTTAAATCGGGCAGCCATTTCGAGTCTGTGTCTCTGGGTTGCCCGTGTGAGAGGATGGCACTTCTCTAGCGGCGAACTTGGCGCCAATTCGCTCCTTAAAACTGGCGCCAGGGAAGCGAAAATCGCAATTAGTTTATTTATGGCCTACGCGCATGCGCAACCTTTTAGTATGCAAAATGCGAAGAATGCCCAACGTGCAGTGGCACTAAAAAAAAAAGAAAAAAAATGGAAAAAGAATATATGTACAGCATTGCAATAATATATTTTTAGACAATTGGAGGGAACATCCTGGGCATAAAACGGAAATGATAAACTTACTCACCAACCTCCCAGTAAACTTCCTCTTGCGCCTCACGCTTTCTGCTTTTGCATATTTTTCCCATTAACCGACGACGGCTCTCCTCCACTCTGCGTTTGTCTGCCATAAATACGCAATTTGATTTTGCAACGTGAAAAAAAAGAAAAAGAAAATCACCTCGGGGAAAAGTTATTGACACGTGCCCCATCAGACTGCAGACTCGATAATGGATGTTGGCGAACCATAATGCTCACGGGGGGTGTGTCCCATAAATTCCCCACAAGTCCTCACTCCTCAGCTCCTCAGCTCCCTTTCAATTTCGCTAAAATAATGTATAAATCTCTGCTCGAACTCATGCGTAATATGGCTTAAAAAAAAGGAGTCAACAGGTGCTTCATTCAGCTCGCAGGTTCGTTTGGTCATCTACTTAAGTGATTCATCGGGCATTCTGTCATCCATCCATTAGTTGTTAGATCTTATTCACCTTTCATCTTAAAAACGCGTTGGCTTATTTCAGTTATGACTAAAGATACAAAAAATGGATAAATAAAATCACAACGGAAGGAATTGTATTTCCGTTTTTTGTGACTAGTTCATTAATGATTGATGAAATACAAATGATTTGCATACTGGTGATTCAGTTTTGAATTCATAGAATTTCATTGAGTGTTCAATATTTGTATTAAAAAAAAAAAAAAATACATACATGATATTTAATTTTCTTCAATTTTATTTTTCTACCTTTTACCTAAATTTCCCCTAATTTTTGTACCTCATCCATCACTTTTAATTAAGATTCCTGATGGATTCATCCGTGGGCCATTTATCCCTCATTAGGAATAGAAGCACCCGCCCAAAATTTGTACAGTCGCACACCCCAGCAATGTTTTCTTTTTTTTTTTTTTTTTTTTTTTAGCCCCTATTGCCAATTTCATACCCCCTAAGCACCTCACTCACGTTACCCCCGAAAATCGTGTCATAAATCACCGACTGAAGGAAGTGACCATCATCATTACCCACGTCGTCCTCAAGTGTTCTGTGTTCTCTGTTTTATTTTCTGTGTACTGTGTTCCCAGTGCAGCTTAATTAGTTTGCCTTTCTCCCCTGCTCAATAATATGTACATATTAATTTCACTAAATTGTTCATTTCCGTCTGAATTATTTTTCTTCGTCTTTGTTTTCGCTGCCTCTGTTTTATCTCAATCTTTATTTGCCTTATTTTGGGGTATTTGAAAATTAGGTTGTTTAAGTTTGCCGTCGCTGCATTGCTATTTTAATTTGCCAAAGACCTCTGTTATTTGTTTGGAGAGTTAATAATATGCATTTTTCTTCCCAAATCAGGCAACAATTACAATTCAGAACATGAGGTCGTGGACAGAAAATCCTATCAATGGCTCGGCGCAACGGTGGTCACAGGACGAGATAGTGATTTGGTTGTGGTAAGTCCCTAATACCTTTTAAAATAGTAAAATAATATGAAATGTGAAAATGGCTGATCGTCATTTTTCACCAAAAAATGCAGTATTTTTGTCATAAAAAGTGAAATAATGGACAGAATATGGAATGTGATGCCTCGTTAGACTCGTAATAAGACCCCTAATCAGTTGGCATTCAAACCAGAAAATTTTAATTTTTCAAAAAATTTTTAATAAAATTTGCCTTGCCAAAAATGTAAAAATCGCTAGTCGTCATTTTCACCTAAAAAACGAATATTGTTTTAGCCATAATAAGATAAATATTGGGCAGATTATGGAATGCCATACCTCGTTAAGCTCGTAATAAGATTCCTAATCAATTGCCATTCAAATCTAAAAAAATTTTTTTTTTTAATTTTCAAAAAAATGTGACTCACCCCTTACCAAAAATGTAAAAATGTCTGATCGCCATTTTTCACATCGTGTAGATTTGCATCCTTAATAACAGATACAAAATCGAACTAAGCTTCACTTTACCATTATTAATTGGTTTCCCTGTTATAAAACAATAGAGTTCCATTACCGTACGCCACTTCCTTTAGTATGCTTTAAAAAAAAGTTAAACCTCCCCATTTATCGCTCTTTGAAGCCCCATTTAATGGAGCAAACAAAGTCAGTCGGTGTGGGGACCAAACAGCAAGATACTTTCATTTTCCGCGGACCGCAAGACGACCTACTGACTGAAAACCGAAAAGCCAATCGCTGGAAAAACCTTGTACGATTTGATGGCATCATCATCCGCGGCGACAGAGCTCGTTAAAATGTCAAATTGCATCGAAAGTGCAAGGGAACTGAGGCTAATGGTATTCAGTTCGAATGTCGGGCACTTCGCCCACATTATAGCACTAGCATATAACGTAACCGACACCTTTTCGATCATATGCCAAGGAAATCTCTGTGGAAAATCACCATTTTTATGGTTGTCTTTTGGGTTTCGAGGTGCTTTTCCCCGTTAGAAGTCAGTGGGTGTTCGCTGGTTTTGTGTTTGGGAAAACTGTGTGTTCTCGATGCGTGTGGATTTGGATTTCGGTTTTCGGTTTTCATAGTTTCTCGTTGTTTTGTCATCACTGCGGTTCGCCGGTGGATTGCGTCAAGTAAACCGTAAACCACAAAGGAAAACCAAGGCAGATAGAAAAAACCTTAATAAGATACCAATGCTCAGATACAGTGCTTTGTTGCCACACAGAGAGAAATCGGAGAGGTTAACTAATTGAATTCAAAAACTATTGCATACTTTTGGGTGGCTTCGTTAGTGATTTGAAATCTTTCAAGATTAGTTATCTTTAAATCTACTTAGAATTTAATTACTTGAACTATATACGTTTGATAAATCTATATAGATTTTGTGCAAGTGTGCTGTGGTTTTGGTGTGCTTTTCTGCTTTGGGAACTCGGACTCTTTAAGGTGCGCCACGTCTCGCAACTTTGGTTAATTGCGTTGGCGTTGGCTTCTTTTGTTGCCCGCTTGTTGACCGCCCACCCACCATAAACATTTGATTTTCACTTTAGTTCTCAATTAACTTTGATTTGGCCCATTTGATTTTGGCCCTGGCGCACCGAAAAAACCGTTAACATTGATGGCCAGTACGTCCTTTTCAATTCGTGCATGGGTTTTTTTTTTCTTCATTCCCCCCGCTTGATGTTATGGCCAGGTCAGGTCACTTCCGCCACGCGTTCTCCTCGCGAGGATTGGGAACTGGGCACCTGGAAATGGCAAATGGGAAATGGGAAATGGGGAAATGGGAACTGGGTCTGCGACTGGCCTTCAAAAGCCCATTAACCGGATGGGGAGGAGCTGGCCATCGATTGGTTTGCCCCGCAGAATTACGCGGACACATCATCATCCGGAATTACATCAGTCGGTGATGGGTGATGGGAATCAACAAACTATGTTACCTACTGGATATAATTAAAGAAATTCTATAGCCAGCTGGCCAGTGTCTCACCCTTTTCATTAATTTGGTTTCGGATTGATTAAAGTATTCAAATGTTTGTGGGTTTCTGTAATTTTATTTTGTAAGCATGATTTCTCAGCGAGAAAAGGAGACCCAATTGTATTCCCTTTTATAACTCAGAGCAACTCGAATTGACCTTTGGCCTGTCTCATTTTTTGGTCATGTCAAGCGAATCCATTCTTTAAAACCAAATTGTTTTGTCGTGTTCTCCTGGCTTATTTCCTTGCAGCTTAACATATTTTGAACGATTTTTTGTTGACTTCAGCGAGGCTTTCTTTTTGTTTTTTGTTTTTTTTTGGCTTGGTGTTAGTAGTTTTGAGCCCGCTGTCTGTATTTGGGCTTTTGTTTTTTTCGGCCGATTTTGTTGTTCATGTGGTTTATTGCCCATGTTTGGAGCAGAGTGCATACCAAAACGCCAACGATAAATTTTTGAGACATTAAACTGCACTTTTGCAGACGCCGTTCGCTTCTTCCTGTTGTTGTCGTTTTTATTGTTGCTCTTTTTCCCTTTTTGTTTTTGTTTTTGTTTTGTTTTTTTGTTGGGGGAAGCAAAGGCAAAAACAACAGGCAAAGTCAAAAGTCAACACGTTTGACATGGTCGACATGCAGACGATACCATTGCGAATTGAAAAAGAATATCTGAGGGGCTGCGAACCAGATGCAGATGCCAAATGGCCAAATGGCTAGGCCCATGGGCCAACCTCCAACCATCCTCGATATACTCCGATCCCCCTGCTATATACAAACATAAATCGGTGTGCGAGTGCCCCAGCCATATTTAAGTTCAATAGCGCTGGCAATTCCACCGATCGTGTCGATGATCATGTCGCAATCGAAATGCTGCAAACGAACCAACATCTCGCAAGGCGATTGAGAACTTCAAACGACTGGGGGATACCATAAAATAACTGGGTTCCATATTCTTCACTTAAGAATATATCTACCCATTGCTATAACTATATTACTATATCAGAAGTGTGATTTTTTAACTGTTGTTTGTGCTGGGTTTTATACCCTTAATTTGAGAATATATCTATACATTGCTATAACTAACTTAAATCTCAAATCAAAATCATATCATAAGTTTTATTTTTTAACTGTTATTTGTGCTTTAGATCAATGAGTATATAGTATATACCCACTTATTTTTTGGAGTACTGGGTATGGGAAATAAAAACGTAGCGAAACGAGACCGCACGACATGCGGCACATGCCCCCAAACGAGGGAAGCTCCCAAAGAGTATGCTATATAGCCATATAGCTTAGCTGCGGGAAAGAGACGGGCGATGCAGTGAGTTCACTGTGATGTCACCTTGCTGTTGCTGTTGTTGTTGTTGTTGCTGCTGTTGTTGTTGTTGCTTTGGGCCGTTGATTGCCGATCATGGCCATTGTGGGCGGTGGCGATGACCACCCCGCCCACTCGGCGACAAGTTGTTGATTGGGGCCACAGCCGGAGAAAAGTCAAAAAGTGATCTCATGCCGATTTTTTTTTTTACTTTTTGGGTCCCCAGCATCTGATCCTTGGCCCAAATTCACGGCAATTAAGGCCGACCCAATTTTATAAGATTTTTACAATCGTTGAAGTCATACGTTGCTGGGGTTTATTAAAAAAGAATATCTTATTTGATTTCCAAAGTCCATAACTCTATTAATTGAAGATCGGAATCCAGTGTGGCACTGGATGTTTTAAAATAATTTTTTGACCGATGTTTTGCAATTTTTATGACTCAACCCCCTTTCATTTCCAAGTCCATAACTTTTGTTACAAGACTCCGATTTTGAATTGTTATACTAGCAATAACTTGTGGTTTGAGTAGCTAAAATAATTTTAAATATAAAGTTTCCCTGCTAAAACTGCATAAGGCTAAAAATGACTGAAAAGCATCTCGAAATGGTAGCGAATCGGCATATATCATCCGCCACTCTTGGTCAAAACCCATACTCATAAACATCATTTCTGATTTCAATGCTCAAGATGGGGAGCGAGATGGGACCTGTTTTCGGGATCCATTCTCCACCGACCGCTCCTCATTTGCATATCTAACTATTTTACCGCGAACTGCACAAACTGTGTGCCTCAAAGGCCGCAAAGGAATCTCTCTGGCGGCCAACTGATAATAAAGTTTTTAATAGGAAATTGCTATTAACTTATTGATCATGGCATGGACAATGGTCCACGAGGGCAATTGTTGGGAATTTCAATTGAATTGTTCAACGCTCCCCCGAGTGCCCAGCGGCAACTCGATTGTCTGGCTAAAGTCTCAGGTTCTCGTTTTTTGTTATATCCCCATTTCTTGCGGATGCACTGCGGAAAAAGAGTTGACTTAAGTACATCAAAACTGGAACTAATTGTACTACCATTCTAATCTTTATTAAATACCAAAAAAGTACTTGAGAATTATAAAAGTTTTGGTGAGCAGTAGAAGACTACATATTTTAACGCATTTCATAACACTTTTTGTTACTTTTTGATTCATTCAAATAAGATTTCTGTTCCTTGTGTGTTTTTCTGCCAGTGTAGTCTTAGCTGGACTGTGATTTTTGTGCTGGCCGCTTGCATAATATGGCCTGGCCCATAGACTTTTGATTCAATGGGGCATTTGAATGGCTCGGCCTCTCCATCCGCTCCCATCCGATATCCGATCAGCATGCATTTTTGGCGATAGCGCGTCATTTTGAGTTTATGTCAGAGTTGCCACAAAAGGGGAAATGAGGGTGGTGTGGTGGTGGTGGTGGTGGAGCTGTGGATATCGGTGGTTCGGCGGAGCGACAGATACAGAGAGCCACTGGTTGCCATAAATGGCACAATATGTATAAATTTGTAAAAGTAATTGCAGTGCGGAGACAATGGCCCGGCCTAAGATCTTGACGCTGATGTTGATGTCCCTGCCTGCCTTCAGTCTTCCACTGCCTCTGCCTCTGCCTCTCGCTCTTCCTCTTCCTCCACTGGCTTCGTGCCCCATGCCACAAAGCTCCAACCGCTGACCATATTTGGCCAGCAACTGCGACAGAGATGGCTGAGACCTCGAGTCTCGTGCGTGTTTTATGTCCAACTGCCAGCCATTTATACATTATAAAACTATATAAACACACAGATCGGCTGGGATGCGAAGCGATCCACTGCTCACTGCGACGGGGTTAACTCACTCCCCACGCACAGTGTCTTATTGTCCATCAGATAGATGGAATTATCTACCATCCCATAGATTCATTGCCTAAAAATGTTTCCATCAAATGTATACATTTACATTCATGTTTTTATTGAAAAGCTGCCTGGTATTTTTATAGCTTTGTTTCGTCTTTGCTTTTGGATAGGCTTTTTTCTCTGGATTATATCATATCATATAGTATTTGAGATCACCTTAAGCCCACTGTGCGTGGGGGGAAAGGGGTCGGTTAATTCGCTTTGGCCATTTTAGGAGGGCCGCCGCTTCATGCCTTTGCCGTTGCCGTTGGCCTGCCATTGTCTCACATCTTCACCAAATAATTTCCATGCCTGCCCCTGTCTCCTCTACCCACATTGCAGGAAAAAGAATCATAAAAAATTAAATATTTGCACTATAGTTGCACTATTATACTCTACATAATAATAATGGTCAAAATAGTTACATTCAAAAGACAAATACAATACACTTTATATTATATTAAACTTTGAATTGCATTTGGAGGGGATTAGCAATGATATAGTTTTACTATCAACTTTAATTGTCTTAATTAAATTCTATATAATATTATTTCATAATTATAATATCTATTTTCCATTTCCCGTTGCAGGGAAACATTCAATGCCGTAAAGCATTCAATTGTATTTGGAGTTGAATAGCATTGATATAGTTTTACTATCAACTTGATATTTCTTAATTATATTCTATATAATATTATTTTTATAATATTAATATCTATTTTCCGTTGCAGGCCTGTGCTCCGCGGTACGTTTTCCACACGATGACGCCGACGAGGGCGTTCCGCATCGATCCCGTGGGCACCTGCTTCTCCTCGCACGACTTCGAGGAGTTCCGCGAGGTCTCCCCCTGCCGAACAAGTGAGTATCCATCTGTCTATCAGTGGTGTCCCCCCTCCGATCGATCCCATGTGTGGGACTAACCCACACCGGACACTGGACACCTAATTCGACCTCCGATTCGGTGTGATTCGGTTCGGTTCTGTAATTCGAGTGGCAGGGAATCCCTTGAAAAGCGAAATTTAAACTGTCTGTCAGACAGTCGCTGAGCATTCCTTCGGCTTTTGTTCCTTCGCTGTTTTTTTCGTTGGCTTTAAGTTGGTTTTACTTATTTTCTTAATGCTCGACCAGTATCGGATAACGGCAACGTGGGGAAAGTGAAAAGTGCCAAGAGCTGGCTGCGATTCAGTGTGAAATCTGTGGCATTGCATGGATTTGTATGCTAGCTTTTAAAGCTACTAAAATATCTGTAGAAAGTTCTAGCATACATGCAGTAATAACTTCACACCCCAAATTAATTTAAAAACTCCATTGAAAAGCCCTTGTTGTGACTATAAAGTTTATGATCCCATCTTAAGAGAAATGCAACATCTGTAAGAAAATTCAGGCTGCAGCTGTTCTTAGGTGAAGAATCCACTTAGTTGATTTCGATTCCTGCCCATATTTCCAACACAGTTTAGCCCTAAGTGACTAATTCGACGTCATTTGGAAACATAAACCAATGACAGATCAAATCGTAAACCTTTGCAACCCCGAAAATCCCCACCCAACTTGGATCCGGTGAAAGATTTATGCGACTTGACAGCCGACAAATACGAAGCGAAGGAAACTTGGAAAAACATATCCATTTTCTGTAGTTTGTAGTGCGATGTTTGTATATCTAAAAATATTTAATTTGATGCTCAAAGTTTTATTTCCCTCGTTCTGATGCATTTGTTTTTCTGCCTTGCTTTCACCTCACCTCACATTACTTTCCCTTCTTTTATATTCTATTTTGTTTTGTTGCTCTTGTTTCTTTTTATTTTCTTTTTTTTTTTTTTGCCTTTTGGGACAGCCTGCCAAATTTGTTTGGTTAGTCATCGGTTTATACCGACTATATCTAGGTCTATATAAAATGGGCATATATGTATGTGCGAGCACACATGTGGCATTCGCGTCCTCCTCCTCCGCAAAGTTTCGATGAGGTGTGATTATTTTTAGCATCGCCTCGCAGATGCAAAGCGTTCAGTTCAGCATTCAGCATTCGGCATTCGGCGTACATATATCTTTCTGATTTTTAAGGAGCTATATCCGATGTGCAGACGTGTGTTTACGTATGAGTGTTCCTATATGGCGGCTGGCATATGGCCATTAGTCGGGGTTGTGACTCTTGAACTAGTTTATCATGCGGAAGAATTGCCTTTGCCTTTGCTTTATGGCCTGTTTGCTCTTCGCTTTTGCTTCGGGGAAAATGGCTAAGGAAAACTGTTGCAATTCACATCAAATACGGTCAGTGCTTTGAGTCAATTGAAGTAGTCAATAACAAACTGACTCACTCTAGAAAATTTTGAAACCGATTTGGATCGTTAACTTGTAATGAGATTCTCTAATGGGAATAGTTTGCAATTGCTAATCAAACACGTTTTTTATGATCGCATTTTTGAAGAATGCCAGCTCTTATCACAATGGACCGAAACTTGTTTGTTAGAGCTGATAAAAAATATTTAAAATATTGTTAAACGATTGCTCAATTCCCAGTCAAGGGCGATTTATAGATTCCAAACACACACCAAATGGCCAGCTTGATTCCCAGTGGTCTTGTTGTTGCGTTATTATTGCTGCCCCATGATGTTGTTGTGAAATGATTAGCTGCAACATCGGCAGCAACAGCAACAGCTACAGCAACAACAACTCATCCTGACAGTCGCCTTGGAGCATTCCGACATCACTGAAAGCAATAAATACCAACTTAACGCACAAAATGCCAAACTAAATAGTTAAACGAAACAGAGACAAACCAAAAAAAAGAGAAAAAAAAAAACTCAACGAGAAGGAAAAGGGCTAAATCAAAGCGGAATCAAGAGGAGCACTGAACAATCGTCGAGTGAGCAAGCCAAGTTTAAATGCGGAGCGAAGTGGAGAGGAGTTCTCGACGTGCCCTTGCTAAAAACTAATTGTAATTCAAGACGGGGCGATTTTATTATGGGAATTACTACAACTGCGAAGACAATGCCATGGGTATGCTCACGTACGCAGTACGTATTCGACGAGGACCTGTGTGCGTTTCGGAAAAAAGTTGACTTATGCGATTGCCGGTGCCACAAGCAACATGTTGCTGCCGTCGCCGCTGTCGCTGGGCTCAAATTGAAACACTTCGAGACAAATTGTTATCGTTTAATTTGATCAAACGCACGATCTGCCTGTTGATTTCTCAGTTGTTTTTGCCCCAAGTCTCCCCCTTTACTGCCTGTCGCCCCCTTTTTTCCGGGAGGCCTGGCTTTTATCCGCACATGCGACATAAAGTTGTTGTCGTCGCAAGCAATACTCTTTTCGTAAGTAAAGGATACCATTGATCTGTCCAACTGGAAAAGGTAAACCCCACATAAAAGGGTAATACTTGGGATTAAGTCCACCAGAGGGCGCTAATAATAGTTTACTGAAATCAATGACCTTCCGAGGGCGCCACGAAACTTATGCAACAACAATTTGGTATTTTTTTGCGGTATTTATTAAAATAAACCCTTTAAAAGAGTACCTAGGCTTCGTCTTTCCACTATTATTTTTGATCTTTTTTGCTGATGTTACGTGATTTCGTATTTGGTAGCAAGGCAACATTCGCCAGACACTTTGCCGGACAAACAAACAAACAAACAAAAGGCGGGGCCAACAAAAGGATGTGTGGCTGTGACTGTGAGTGTAAGTGTGTGTATGTGTGTGTGTGTGCGGATGCCGTCTCCACTTTGGGCCTCGTCTTGATCTTTTTGTTTGCCGCTTGGCAGTTGGGGCTGCTTTTGTTGTGCTGTGTGTTTTCATTTCAATGTCCATCGCTGTGGCAGCCAAAGATCTTGCCCCAAAGGCGCGCTCTAATCCTTTTATGTTGCTCCAACGCTCGTCCAACTCTCTCGTCGACCGACTGACAAATAGCAGCGCAATTTATTGCATTGCATCGGTAATTATTTGCAATTTATTGTCCCACACGCCGTTCCCTTTTCCAATGTCCTGCAAACATTTATGATGCGTTCGCACAATGCCTAAATGGTTGCTTGGTCAACTGTGTGACTGACAATACCCCGACTTCCCTTTTTTTTTTTTGTTAAGCCCAATCACTCACTTATGCAACACATTTCCATCTCTTCACAGGCAACTGGGGTTATCATCGGCAAGGCTCGTGTCAGGCTGGATTCAGTGCAGCGATCAACAAGGTAAGCATTCAGTGGGTATACCCTATCGAATTAGGCCTATGAATATACAGTCATGGTAACTGTTAAAGTCTTTTCAAGTTGGGATAATTTGTTTTGATTTTTGAGACTGTTTAAACTATATTTTATTCTTTAGAACCATTTTATAATATTAAAAAAATTTTGTTTTGCAATTCAATTCCATGTTTCCTATCAATCCGAGGGAATTTCCAATTCGCCTAGAAAAAACCTAAACTAGATCTCTTGATCTCCACAAAGCTCCGTTTTATTTATATATTTTTTTTGGGCTTCATTGAGTTATTATATGCATGGAATGGGTCGGGGAAGACGGACGGACAAACGGACAAAGGGGCGGACGGACAAATGGACAGACGTGGGCACGTTTAGTTGGCACCTCGTTGCGGTCGTGGCATAGCATTTGCATTCACAATTGCATCCGCAGCATTCGATTTGACTATTATATTTGTAACCTCTTTTCTCCGCTCTTTTTTTTATTTTTTCTTCGCCTCTTTGTAGAATGGCTCGCGTTTGTTCATCGGCGCACCTGGCAGTTGGTACTGGCAAGGTAAGTGCACGTTTTTCCCACATGTACCGTGTACCGTTGTTCTACTTCTTATTTATTATTTATCCGTACCTCAATGCCTTTTGTCTCTTGAGACGAGTTACGAGTTACTCTTACTGTATGTATTTTAAAGTTGAATTTGAAGTTGAAGTTGCTAGTTGAAGTTCTTTCCAGTATCTCGTGTCTCAATGAGACGGACCGACATTTATCCAGTGTATTTAGTCATAGAGCTAGAACTTTAAGTACTATCCTTAGACCCCAAATGATCTTCCAAGCACACAAACACACACACACACACGTAGTCTGGTTTGAAATTTGAATTTCGTTATCCCCGTTGCCATTTAGCACTTGTCCTCGTCCTTTTCCCAGCTAAAAGCCCCCGAAAATATTGAATTTTGATTGCCTTCCAATGTACAAAACCAAAGTGACTGCATTAACATAGTTTCCCCTAGTTTACTTTACTTTGTCCCATCGTGTGTTTAATTTTTCTCCAGTGAGAGTCCTTAACCTAAGTATTTTGAATAAGAAAAGTATTTAAATGGATATTGTCCACATAATTTGGGTCTAGTTATCATATATGTTTGTACCGTAATACCTGATCCGATCTTCTCTTTAGTTAGAAACCTTTTGGTTTCCAGTATCTAACACTCAATCTGTAGTTATAAGCGGGATTTATATTGAAGATATCATCTGTAGAAGATGGAATGCTAGTCTTAGCCGTAAACTAAGTTGTAGTGAGATGTATCTAGTGTGCATGTCGCATAAAGTATCTATGGTAGATTATAAAATTAATTGTTTATAGGTCAAGGCAATTCCACTTTAAATTTTAGTTAAGGTTTTAATTCTCTTTATAGTGGTACAATTAAATCAATTTTAATTGTAAAATTGCCTTGGCCTATATAACATTTTTCTTAGAAATGATAAATGTGCATTCAAAAATCCTTTCAAAAGATGTTGACACATTGCGATATATTTTGTTATTCTTTTACCGATTAGGTACAATTTTTAAATGCACACTTATCGATAAAGTCGATTTGCCTAAGTGGCGTATATATTGTGTTGTCGAGTTGTTGTCTACCAAATCGTTTAACCCCAATTGGCCTAACGTCGCACCGTTGTCGCTGCCAGACGCTAACACTATATATTATAACAATATATATGGTAAAATTGTGCCCAACTGATTGGTACACTGAGAATAATTCCTTCTGTTAACTCCGTCATCATCCACAACTCGACAGCAGGAGTCAGCAACTTAACCGTAATTCGTAATTCGTATCTATTGTTAATCGTATTTTAATGTACATTTAACCCAATCGAAGTTAGTTGCATTTACTGTACACGATTTTCTACTGAAAACTGTAACGTTAACTGTAACTGTAAACTGTAACTGTAACTGTAACTGTAATTGTATCTTTAACTGTATCTGTAACTGTACCTGTACCGTCATGTTCTTCCTGATCTGATTAATCAAAATTATGTTCTCTCTTTCTCTTTATATTTTTTGCTCCTTCCTCCACCTCTGTCTCACTCTACACTCAAACAAAATATCCTGTGTGTCGGGGCAAAATGCATGCGATTTTGTACCGAACATGAAATGAAAATGTGAAATGCATTCTGTACCGATTTTCCAAAACCAAAAAACCGAACCGTACCGCACCACTCGATCACCCGAATCCGAATCCCAAACAACATTTATCCCTACAACTTTTGTTGCTATTAAATAATAAAAAAAAAAAAAAAAACAAATCCTGATATACCGAACACAAAAACCATAAAAAGGACAAACCTACTCAATACCGCCCGATGCCAAGTTTCGATTTAAGCCGCCTTTTTATCAGCCCTTCGGCACTGGAGGTAATAATAATAAAAAAAAAAAAAACCAACGCAAATAAAACAAAATACAAACAGCAAATACGCTTCTCACCCACTGCCTCAAAACTCAACCGAAACTGTACCTACGAACATTAACCCGCTCAAAAGAAAAGTACCTTAACCCATAAACCCACCCACATGTACACAAACTCCATCGAGAGTCCCATTAACGGTGTCTGATAATCAAAGCATACTACCAAACCTCATGAAGACTCTATCCAACATCATCCATCGATATAAGGAAACCGAAACCCTTTGGTAAACCATCGAGGACAAAGCAAACTTTATAGATTTGTTCGATGGGCTCTAATAGAAGTCGCTAGGAAGCTTTGCCAATTAACATCTGTGGTTTCAGAGGGTTAAAAAAATACGTACATCCCGCTTTGACCAAGTTAGCTTAAATGGGTGTTGTCCTAACCGCTACTCTATATTTTTTTTTGGGAGCATTCGATGGAAGAGAAATTATAAAGAAGTTACCTACTAAAAAGGGTTAATCCGTCGCTTTGATTTCTCTTTCATTTTTAAAGAGGTGGCTTAGACAAAGGAGTCACGAAACGGCAGAGATTTATCTTATGGTTTTTAAAATTCATAAAGCAGAAGAGATTCCGGGATTCGTAAAATATTATGTGGAAGTTAATACTCCTAGTTCTTGGGGTGGTCGCAAAATCTTTAGAGATTTGAAATCTTCCGTTAGTCCTTTCGTCTGATTTGAAAGAGTGAAAAAAAAAAACTTTAAAACTATTTGTACTCCTATCTCAAAATCTGAAAATATTCTCTTACTAACCAACCTGCAAAACTTTTATGTCTTCAAATTTATAGATCCTTCATTTCGATTTTCTTGTATTCGATGTAAAAGATAATGGTTCGTTGAATTGTAGTGAATCAGCAGTAAAACCATAAGAATATACAAATTAAACAATTATTTATAAGACACTCGATAGAAAATGGAATATATATTAGTGTATATCTCTTCCTGCCTGACTGATGCCCTTTGTCTGGCCCCTTGATCCGCATAATTTCTAGTTTTAAGAGCATGGTTGACGTTGACCAGTTGCCGACCTGTAGCTTAGTTCGGGTGTTGACTGTAGTAAATGGAATGCAAACTAACCATAATCTCAGCACGTATTCCCCGCATGTTTGTCAGTAGTAGTGCCCCCCGTAATCACATACACGTAATCATCCAAATCGTAGCGTACTCGTATGTTAGTAGTATCTTGTGGTAATTGTTGTTTTGGCTTCCTTGGCTGGGAGTAGTTTAAAATTCCATGTGCCATCTTACCAAGTGCCCATCATTGTTGATATCGTTGTTTGTTATTGCCCAGCATGCCCATAGCCATAAAGCGCCAAACAGTTGCGGTCAGGAGAATAGAATTTGCTATTTTATTACAATTTTAATTCATTTAAATAAAAGCATACATTACTGAAGTACTTATTGTACCAAACCAAATTCATATCCATACATTGTTATTCTGTTGTTATTCTGACCGCAACTGAAGCACAAAAAAAAAAAAAAAGAAAAAAGAAAAACTCACCTAAAACACCTGTGAAATAGAGGAGTTGCGTAACGAATCATGGGTGACCGAGTGTAACCAAAGTTCTTTCCCTGATCCGCAGGTCAGACCAGTTCCCACGACGTGACCAAGCCGGAGAACCAGGTGTTCTCCACCACGGAGAGCGCCTCGGCGAACGATGACTCCTACTTGGGCTACTCGATGATCACCGGCGACTTCGATGGCGATCGCAGCGAGGACGTGGCCATTGGAATGCCACGCGGTGGCAATCTCGTCGGCAGGATCGTCGTGAATCGCTGGAACATGGCGAACATCTTCAATATCACGGGTCGCCAGATCGGCGAGTACTTTGGCTATTCGCTGGCCACCAGCGACGTGGATGGCGATGGCCTCGATGATCTGATCATTGGTGCGCCCATGTACACGGATCCCGACAACGTCGAGGGCAAGTACGACGTGGGCCGGGTGTACATCCTGCTGCAGGGCGGTCCCGTCGAGGAGAAGCACTGGACGACGGAGCACATACGCGACGGGTTCCAGAGCAAGGGAAGATTCGGCCTGGCGCTCACCACGCTGGGCGATGTGAATGGCGATGGCTATGGGGACTTTGCAGTGGGCGCTCCCTACGACGGACCCGAGGGCAGGGGCGTGGTGTACATCTACCACGGATCGCCGTTCGGTCCGCTGGCGAAGCCCTCGCAGATCATCAAGTCGGAGCAGCTGGTGGAGGGAGCTCCCTATCCGCGCACCTTCGGATTCGCCCTGTCCGGTGGCCTCGACATGGACGGGAACACCTATCCGGACTTGGCCGTGGGTGCCTACAGCTCCGACCAGGTGTTCATCTTCAAGTCCCGCCCGGTGGCCGCCGTGAATGCGGAGACGAGCTTCGCCAGCAACTCGAAGCTGATCAGCCTGGATGACCGCAGTTGCCAGCTGACGAGCGACCACAAGAGGGTGCCCTGCATGCTGCTCTCCACCTGCTGGAGCTACACGGGTCGCTACCTGCCCGAGCAACTGGACTTTGACGTCTCCTGGCTGCTCGACGCCAAGAAGCTGCCCAATCCGCGCATGTTCTTCCTGAGGAACGAGGGCAAGAACATTCGCAATCAGACGATCCGGTTGAACTATGGCCAGAAGTACTGCATGAACGAGACGGTCTACCTGCTCGACAAGGTGCAGGATAAGCTCACGCCCCTGGAGGTGGAGGCGCGCTACAACCTGCGCAGCAGTCGCCCCTTGGATCCGATGGTTCGTCGCAGGAGGAGCATCCTCGAACCGGTGATCGATCAGAACCGGGAGATCGTCCTGCGGGACGCCATCAATATTCAGAAGAACTGCGGTCCCGACAACATCTGCGAACCAGATCTCAAGCTGATAGTCAAGTGAGTCCATCACTTTATAGAATCTCCTCTGGATTTCCCAACTAATGGTTTATGTCCTCTTTGTAGCACTGTGGATAAGTATCTGTTTGGGTCACCGGAACCCCTGGTCATCGAGGTCACCATTTCGAACAACAACGAGGATGCCTTCGAGGCGGCCTTCTACATGGTCACCCCGCCGGATCTTCAGTTCAGGAAGCTGCAGCAGCTGGGCGAGAAGAAGGACACGCCCATCACCTGCTCGCCGCCCACTCCGGAGAACAACCACACGCTCAAGTGCGACATCGGCAATCCACTGGAGTCGGGAAAGATTGTAAGTGTTCCGAGATGCAAATACTTAAAGATCCTATTAGGAGGAAATTGGGAACAATACTATTTGTAACCTACTATCAAGTATACGTACCTATTGAAACCCCAGCTCATTGACGAACTAATCCACATCTTTACTTGCCCTTTCCAGGCCCACTTCAAGATCAGCTTGGTGCCGGAGGAGAAGTACGGCAGCTCGTCCAGCTACGACTTCTACTGGGAGGCCAACTCGACGAACCTGGAGAAGCCCGGTTCCGACTTCGACAACAAGATCCGCCAGAGCGTGGGCATTTGGGTGGACACCGATCTGGACATTAAGGGCACCTCGCTGCCCGATTACCAGCTGTACAAGGCCGACGACTACAAGGAGCTGTCCAATGCCACCAAGGAGGACGAGATCGGACCGGAGCTGGTGCACATCTACGAGATCCGGAACAACCGACCCTCGATCATCGAGGAGGCGGAGGTGTACATCCATCTGCCGTACGAAACGATCGTCGGCGATCCGCTGATGTACCTGCTCAACCAGCCGGAGACCGGTGGCAAGATCCAGTGCGACGAGGTGGGCGTCAACGAGTATAATCTCCTCCTCGACGAGAAGCTGCAGCGGGTGTCGCATCTGCAGGCCCAGGGTGCCATTTCCAACTCTGCCCTCGTCGCGGGCGGACATTCAGTGAGCTCCTCGGGTGCCAGCACTTCCAGTGCGGCCAGTGAGCACGTGGAAATCGCCCACGACGGCGGTGGTTCCTCTGGCCAGCGGGTCTCCCTTACTCCCAAACAAGTCGAGGAGCTGGAGAACGAGGCTGTGATGGAGGGTCTCGGCGACGCCTCCTTCGTCCACCACGATCGCGCCAGCCAGGCGGTTCAGGAGCCACGAGTCAACCAATCCAGCTACTCCACCTTCTCCACGATCAGCTCCTCCTCGGGAGCGGGCTCGGGTTCGGGATTGGGAGCGGGATCGGGTTCTCCATCCGCACAGCTGCGCGGCCACAGCACCGCGGGCCACATCCAGATGGCCGGACCCGTGCAGCACACCAGCAGCAGCTACAGCAACGTCTACTCGCTGCCGACCCAGCAGCACCAGCAGATCCTTCTGGCCGGCGCTGGTGGATCCGGATCCGGATCGGGATCGGCGGTTAACTTCAACGACAAGTCGCAGTTTGGCGGAGGCACCGGCAACTTCCGTGCTGGCACTCTGGACCTGGGCACGCTGAACGGTGGACAGGTGGTTGGCGACAGGAGTCGGACGCAGTACCTCAATCCCGGCCAGAGCCAGAGTGCAGGCCAGAGCCAGGGTCAGTTCCATACGTCGAATCAGGGCCACTACCAGGGACAGAACCAGGCTCAGTTCCAGGCCCAGAATCCCGGCTACCTGCAGGGTCAGTCCTACCAGGGACAGACGCAGTACGGCGGAGCACCCGGTGGCTACCACGTGACCTACTCCTCGGGCAGCAAACCCTACTACGGCAGGGAGAACGAGGACGTCTACGACGAGCTCAACCGCCAGCAGGCGATGCCGGGCAGTTGGAGCAGCAGCTCCAGTTCCAGTTCGTCCTCGCAGCGACGCCTTCGCAGATCCGACGACGACCAGGAGGAGCCGCAGCAGATCGATCTGAATTCGCCGTGCAAGTCCGCCAAGTGCAAGAGCATTCGGTGTGTGGTGAAGAACCTGGGCACCGAGGACGGCGACGCCGCCTTCGTGGCCATCCGGGCACGCATGGTGGCCAAGACGATGGAGAAGTTGGCCTCGAACGTCCCACTCAACGTGTCCACGCTGGCGGTGGCCAATGTCACGCTGCTGCCCTTCATCGGTGCGCCCAAGGACGCGATCGTCAAGTCGCACGAGATCTTCTACAAGGCGGAACCGGAACCGCACCAGGTGCCCGACGTCGTCCCACTGTGGGTGGTCGTTCTGGCCGCCTGCGCCGGAGCGCTCATCTTCCTGCTGCTCGTCTGGCTGCTCTACAAGGTGAGTTATCCGTTTCCAATTGGGTTATCCCTTTCTATCTGGGGTTAACAGATATGATTAGATGTGAAGATAACATGTATACATTTTGTGATCTAAAATGTACAATCCTTTCTTCGCTTACAGTGCGGCTTCTTCAACCGCAACCGGCCGACGGATCACTCGCAGGAGCGCCAGCCACTGAGGAACGGTTACCACGGCGACGAGCACCTGTAGAATCGCCACGATGTCCTCCAGTTTAAAAAACGCAGCGAGAATTAGCAAGAGAATTAACAAAACCACGAAATACTTCTAACATCGCACTAAACCAGAACGTACTAAAAACAACGAAACGGTTCTAAGATGTACTAAAATCGAGCGCTTAGTCGAGTTTAAAACACGCGATGTCGACGGAAGGTGCCAGTGGATGTGGATAATCCCCTCTGAATGCATCACTTTAAAGGGATTAACCAGCTGCTTAAAGAAAAAAACAAAAACTCTAAAAAACTAAATGGAGAACATTGTTAGAAAACCACACATTTAATCTTGCCTAGTCACGACATGAAGAACTTTCTAATGCGTAACGATTTTTTTTAACTTTAACACACATATTATTTTGCAATTTTTTATTTTTTAGACTTTTGTGTTTTTGTTCATTGCAAAAATTTCGAGGAAAGTTAAACAAGTGCTATATTAATCTTTACTAAAGAAAGAGAAGGAACCTAGGCTAAGGTAGTGAATGACTGAAATACCGACTGAATGAATGCGCAAGTGAATGAGCGAATGTGAGTGATAGCCGATATAGAAATATCGAAGTTGTATGTTCTGAATCGAGAAAGGGGATAATGCAGAGCCAAGAGCTGCCCTATACTGCCACGCCCCCTAATTTTTGGGCAGCAGCGGAGGCCAGGAAATAAATACCGAGAAGATCCACACTTATTAGGTGCTACTCTAATTTTTTTTAATCTATTCTCTCGAGAATAAGTGGCTTTTGCCTTATGCGAAACCCATTTTTTTGTGGAAATTGATGGCCAAACTCAAAGTTTGCCGGTTGGAGATAATGTTACAACGCCAAAATGTGTTGAAAAATGCAAAAGAAATTATAAAAAAGGAAAAAAATTATTGATTAATCTATGTAATTCTTGAATGTAAACTTTTTGTGTAAATACTAAAAATGAAAACAAAAAAACGACGCGAGAAGGAGAACAGTTGAATCGTTATATTTAAATTAATATTGCATTTATTTCCAAATTACAGTGAAAGAAGCGCTGACCGACTTCTTGCAGTGTACTCTCGAAATAAAACCCCTTTATGTACCACTTAAATATAAACACCCTACTAAAATTTAGTCTCGCCCGCTGCTCACAGTTAGTTTAGTTCAATTATACGCTACTGTTTAATTTATTAACTGTACTTATTTATGCGTATCATGAATAATGATTGATTGCCCTCTATTTTTTTTTTTTTGCTTATTTCTGTATTAAATTTAATGATTTACCATAAAACTACAAATAAAAATGACGGTCGAGTTGTACAATAAAAAACGTTTTTTATTTCAAAGCTTTGATCTAAACAAAAATGGATTTGAGGTTCAGAAAATTGTATTTAGTTGGCACCTGCAGTTCCGGTTCTAGTCATTACTGTTATGTAGCGAAGCTTTCCACCACGGTCAGAGTCTGTGGTGTGATATCGTGCCTCTGGTGAAGCGATGCTATCGGTTGGAGACGCGCCAAATCAAAAACACCGCGCACGGTCACACTGCTGAATTCATCGAAACATTTAACTGCATTCGGTTGCCTTTTCTTGCGGTCCGTTAAAAGAAAAGAAAATAATTTCAAATCTTCGCGAAAAATATAACGAGTGGTATTTGGCTTACTTTAAACAATACAATCATTACGGCATTCCAATAAAAAACCTCACAACCCTGTTTTCATTGAGAATACGAACATAGCGGTTTTTTCGGTAACTGTTTTCGTTGCAGAGCGCGTAAAAATTCAAAGCAATTCTCCAAAAGATTGCGCGATTGTGTGTTTTTTTTTTTTTTGTGTGTGTGCGTTTTCGGAAATAAAAACATAATCGTGTCGCCATGCTAAAGTTTCGGAATGCCAAATGAGCTATAAACAAAAAGGTAAAACCCAAAGATTTTTCTTCTGCTCTTAAGGAATTTCCCATCGTGAGTGTGTGTGTATGGGTGAGAGTGAATGTAAGCGCAGTTCAAGCCACCGTTTTTTTTGTTGTTGTTCGAAGGTGGAAAAGTGTCGCAGTGTGTGTGTGCCGGCAGAACCGGTTTAGCAAGTGGCCAAAGCAAAAACAAAAAGAAAATAAAAAAAACACGATCATATACTTCGTTCTCACGTCGATCGGTATTACGATCAAGAATTTTGTCACCTCATTGCGACTAATGATCTTCAAACAGTGTTTGTTTGCTTAAACGTTTTTGGTGGATATTGATTTAGAAACCTTTTTTTCATTACCTGCTCTTAAAATGTATTTAAAAAGGTAGTTATTAATATCAATCACAAACTAATAAAAGATTGATTTTTTACATGTAAACGCATAAACAAAACTAACATCAATTCTGCGACGCTCTCATTTTATCTCTGCGTTGCAATGAGCTTGTGTGTGTTGCGCCTGCGTGTCAATTCTTTTATTTTGGTACCGAAAATTGCCGTAATTAATGCGTAAGAACGTCGACGTCGACAGAGAAAAAATGCAGCACGTCCCAAAAACAACAAGCCATATTTTAAAGATGATAAGCCGGTGACATTGAAAAATCCGTAGGTAACCTTGATCTTGGGCAGAAATATACAGATCTTAACGCCTGATTGGGCACTGTTCAGTTTCGCAAAAATTCTTAACTAAATTGTATTTAAATTTGCTTAGATCCACAAATATCCATATGTATATATTTTTCGTGATTATTTTTAAAATATATTGACATTTTGAGATACTTAAAGTACTTCCTTTCACCGTTTTTTCTGCCAAGTTCCTGTTTATTGGTACTCATCGTTTTAGCTGCTGCTTCCGTTGTGTTCCACTTCTTTTTGGATTACCGTTATGCCTTGCATTTTGAGCATGTGCAAGTAAGCCCGCTGTTTTTTTTTTCGTCGTATACCCCATTGTACTTCTCACGCACGAAGTCGAACCTAATAAATCCCCAATACTCCCCCGTATTTTTTACCTTTCTGCCTCCGCCCGCATTCGTCACTTTTCCATTGTCTTCGTCGCTCGTTACGCACTTTTTTGTTAATCGAACAAAAAGTACAACTCTTGAAAAGCTAGCCTTAACCGCACCTTTTTCCGTTAAACGTTTTACGGTTTCAACTTTGCGCTCGAGTGGTTTTTGCAAACAGGGGTTAAGATCAGAAAATGATAGCTCAAATTAAATGATTTACAGACGTGGCCAATAAAATATGATAGGTTCAACGGCACTACGATAATATATTACAAACAAAACTCAAAATCAAAAATATTAATTTTGAAAACCCTTTTAAAAAAATCCAAGCATTATTATTATTTTATTTTTATTGCTCATTGTTATTGTATTAATTGTTTACTAGATTGTGAAAAAAGAGCTTTGGAATGTATCTCCAACAGACACACAATTAATTACTGTTTCATGTTTTGAGTGTTTGTTCCTTCAAAACCAAAGTTGCATAAGCAAACATTTGTCATTTTTACGCCTGCCCTGCAGTTCTTAATTTGTCGACTTTTTAGTCACTTCGACTAGTTGACGACAAATTGTTGACACATTTAACAACTGATTGCGATGGGTGGGTGGTTTCGGGGGTGCGGCAAGGTTATCATCGCACCCAAGCTGCCCAATCGACACTTTTGATAATACTAGTGCCGTTCGGCGTGCCATTAACTCAAATTAACTGTCAATAGCGGTGAACAAAAAATATAAATTAGGTTCGACGGTTGCGCAAATCGCTGTCAAAATACGCCACACTTAATTAGCCGCAAAGCCAAATTGATTTTCTAATTCTGTGTATTATTATGAATGGCTAATATCTGTTTAGCGCACGTCAAAATTGTCAGAATAAGGCGAACAGTATGATTTTATAATGCCTAGTATTATTTTTTACTACCTGTCAAAATTGGTCAGCAAAATTTATTGGCCCCCACTATCTAACTTTACTTTTTTTTGTTATCTGTTGAGATTTATATGGTCGGTCGTGATTTATGCGCTGCATGTTCAAATATGGTAACTCGAACTGGAAAGGAAATAAATAAGAGGGGAAAGTCATTGTCTTTTTTTGGTTTTACAAAAGAAACACCGATTTCTTCAAGGGTGGGGAGCGGAAATATTAAACCGAAATGTGAGTACAATAAATGGGTACCTATGCTCTGAATGAATAATGTCTTTGTTGAAAAATGATTGGTTCATAATTGTAATGAATTGCATTGTGGGAAGAATAACAATCTAATTTTGAGGCAATTCTTTTTTAAGTGACATTTTTATTAGATAACTTAAAAAAAATTGAACGTTTCTTGCTCGCAAAGAAAAGCTGACTCGCACTTTATTGAGCACTTGCTTTGATTTCATTGATGTCAGATTATCTCCGACTTGCAGGAAGTTTCCCACACCTCTTCACTTTATCTCCATCCCCATTCGAACTGCGTCTCAACTTTCAATTGCGCCGAGAATAAGAATAATAACCCAGAATCCACCCCAAACTAAATGACGTCGCAGCTTCTTAATGTTTCCTACTGGCCGAGATATAAAATCTGCTTAAGTTTCATCATCGATCCACTTACTCATCACCCCCCTGCGAACTCATAATTGATTAAAGCAAAATAAGCACAAATTAGACTTGAAAAAGACCGAAATCAAAGCAATTGCAACTTGATAACGACCGATGAAATGGAGCACTTTTTTGGCGCTTGTTTTACTGCGGCACATGTTGAGCGTGTGTCGCCAATATATACATATATATATATATATTTTTTTTGCTTTAATTCGCCACAGCGGCAGAAGTGCTTTGAGCCGCCAAAGTGGCCCAGAAAACGCGAGAAGTGACAACTCAAATTCGGTAGAAAAAAAAGCATAATGCCTGCAAAAATATGACTTTCTAAAAGGGTTGAAATTGAAGACAACAAACTTCAATTTAAGGGAGCATTAACCGGCAATCTAGGTAAATAAACTTTGGTCTATAAAAACAAAATAAAAGTACGAATCATTCAACATGATAATCTGAATTCTTTTTACTTTACCTAAACCTAAATTCCATTCAATAAAGGTTTTAAATCTTAGTATGACTGTTTTTGTTGAGACATCCTTTCGTTTATCTTTATGTGACTTCTTTGGAAGATCTTATCGCTTAATATAGCTTTTCAGAAGTGTGGGGTTAAGTGTTCTCCCCACATTACTCAACAACCTGAGATAGCCCAGTAACACAACCTTCAGTTTCTCAAGTGCCTATTCAGAGCTAGACAGATAAAGTCAAAGATAATACGGAGATAATTGTTTATGGGTTACCGAATTTTCCCCACAAAACGTAGTCTCCTTATTTTTTTTTTTTAATTAAACACTTAGGCAATCTACAAAAATAATCTCTCTGAGTATTACAAAATTGATTTATGCTAACCGTGAAAAATATAAAAGTGAGACCTATCAGGTGTAGAAAATGGGTAGAGGCCTTAGTAGCAGCGCCTAGAAATGAGCAATGTATTAGGCAATAATCTCAACTCGATAAGATAAGCCATAGAAGTTTTCATTGCCCGTTTTTCGTTCTATTTTGCTATTTTTCCTAGCGTAATCCCACAACTGACCAGAACTTATCGCTCTTTTGGGGCTCTAACGACTTGCAGGGGCTTGAGAAACGAAATCTAGATTGAATATCGAGAACTTTTTTAAATGCCTATGTGCTGAGGGCTCTTTTAGCTAAATTAAATTGTGATTCACAAAGGTAGTAATGTCCGGTGAGATTGTAAAAAACAGGTAGCACTCTTTTTAAATGGATTACTATTCTATATGTAGCGAAACCCGCTTGCCATGCGACTCGATCTTCATGTGCTGATGCTCAAATTGCGCTTCATAAACTCTCGCGTGCGTTGCAGTTTCATAATTAACCTGCCGCCTCCCCCTTTTGTTGTGTGGGTGGGTGAATTGGCTGCTTTCCTCGTGGATTAAATGACAAACATGCTATACGATTTCACAGGGAAAACAAAAGCTGAAAAACTAGGTATTTCAAGTCTAGCATAACCACAGAGCAACAAAGGCGATTGACGCCCTCTGATGGTCGGCGAAGCAAAACTAAAACAGTCTACAATTCAAATAGATCTTGTTTTAGTTGTTCGGGATGAAAAGTCCAATCAAAGGCCATCTCAAAGCCTAATGCTCTAAAATACATAACCATGAGGCTTTTCACTTCAATTCTCAGTCATTCTAGTTGCATTTATTAGGCCCTCTTGCTCATTATTTATTTATTTCTAAACCCTAAAACTTTCTAATATATTATTCTTTCGGGAATAATAAAGTACTGGAATAAATTGGCAGACAGATTTTTCGTGCAATTAGCAATTAACCTAGTTTATTTTTTTAAGATCGCTGAGACGTCGCTGCATTTTTAATTATTTGCACGGCTCCCAATAGAAATTTATGCATGTCGCAAAAAAAATTAAAAATAAAACCTCCAGACAAATGATTTTTTGTCTCTTTCCCTTTCTTTTGGAAGTCTCCCACCCGCTTATTTGGATATAGGGGAGGGTGGTCCCATACCGACCCCCTAAAAGGCAAAGGCGATAAAGGTGAGAAAAATCAATTTTTCAGTTCAGTTCAAAAAAGTACTATGTAGAGGGATCAGTTTACTATACATCTAAATGATTAGTAAGTGCGTAGGTGCTTTGAAGCGTTAGATATTCAGGCAAATATAAAACTCTACTTTTTGGTCGTACTCAAAAGTAGTGGTCCGAAACCGACCCCCTATTTCTTAACAGAAAAATTTAATAACATAAAATAGAATTGAATGATTTTGACGTTTAATAAGAAATATATTGAAGGTTCTTTCCAGAAAATAAAAATTAATGTATGAAATAAAGGGCAATGTAGTCAATTGATGAAGTCTGAGTTGTCCTCTTTCTCATAGTAAGTTTTCGCGTTGTTTTCGCGTAGTTTTTCGAAAGCCGCTCGTTGATGACTGTCTCTTCGCTTTCTTCTGATGTTTTTACTGTTTCTGTTACTTTTCTTTAGTGAATCTTGTTTACTTTTTCATATTTTCCATTAAAAATACGCTATGACATATTAAGCTGCCAATAAATGGGGGTCGGTTTCGGACCATCACCAAGCGGTCGGTTTCGGACCACCACGACCTTTTCTGATTAACTGCTCGGCATTAACTAAAGACGCAAAGAGCGATGTAATTCTAATAGCGTGAATGACAGCTAGGACTATCAACTATCAGAAAACCTTACCCTCCGATTTTTATGCGGAGAAAAAAAACTTTAAAAATATTTAAGCTCAAGTTCAGTAAAGAAAAAAAACTGAATGTCAGAGGCGTTGAAACAAAACAAACGGAAAAATTGCAGTGAAACAAAATAAGTCAAAGTGGCTATCTATCTCCAAAATGTCTGTGTTATAACAGCTTTTCACTGAAGTTACCGACAATTCGGCTAGCATCGCCATCTCTGAGAAACATGGGGGGGTCGGTATGGTACGACCGGTCGGTATGGGACCACCCTCCCCTATATATTTTTTCGCCAGCCAAAGTCTTTTGCCAGTGCAAATTGCCAGCAATTGTTGTCAATTTAAAATTGAAAAGAAGTCAAATGTTGAACAGGAATGCATGCAACATATATATGCGCTTAAAGGAAAATATAAAGCCGCCAATCGTGTTTACTTGTTGGCTTTCACATATGTTATATGTTTCTTTTAAAAGTAATACATCAATTTATTTTAAGCAAGGAAAAAATGTGATTTTTTTAATAGAGGTATAACTAGAAATGTTTATGTGCCATTTTGTTGACCGCAGTTGTGTATCTGAGACATCAAGTGCATGCTATCTCTGGGCAATTTTCACTTATCTCCGATGCTCCACATACCGAAAAGGTTTCTTTATTGCCAGAGGTAGATGGGTCGTTGGGTGTACGCTGGGTCTGTGAGCGTATATAGCCCCCTATATCAGGTCTCAAGGTAATCTCTTGATTAACGAGACGGTTAAGTCGCCCGGAATTTTGTGTATTTTCTCTCGCATTGAGCAATTGCTAATGATTTCCTTGTTGTGTGCGCTCTTTTTTTCCCGTTTGCAGAGCTACTTAGAGGAACTGATTAAAAATGCCGAACCGCCTGAACTGAGGAAAGACAGAACGAGAGAGCCGCTTGAAATCAGCTGGGAAAGACCGTGATCGACGTGAATATCCACCAACACAATGGCCATCAATCAGGGCAAGTACAAGCCGACGATCTGCGCCATCGACGAGGTGGATGACCGCAGTTTCAAGCTGCACAACAGCCAGGACGAGATCGGTGGCAAGCAGCAGCTGCAGCAGATCGAGGGCAGCGAGACGGCTCCGCTGACCACCAACCAGCAGAAGCTGCACATGGACGACGGCTCCCATTTGACGCCCAAGGATCTGGAGGCGGCGCGACAGGATGCCCTCAACGAGGTCAGCGGCGCCGGAGCGGGCGGCAGGACACCGGCGGCCATCACACCCAACTCCACGCATCCGTCGGCCAATGGACTGAGAGGTGAGTCTCTAGTGTCCATCATCCAAGTTCGAAATCATGCATCTTCATCTCATTACCTTCCATGTTCACCACATCCTTGGCACGATGATAGCCTTGCTGCTTCCAGGCCGACGATCCTTCGACGCGCTGATGAGTCTGTCGCGCAAGCGGCGCATCCTGTACGTGACCACCGCCTGCCTGTGCGCCCTGCTCCTGCTGATCGTCATCCTGCTGCTGGCCTTCTGGCCCGAGGTGCCCTTCTACCTCCGCGCCCCGCTCTGCCTGGAGAAGGAGTGCGTGGAGAGCAGTCGCCAGCTGCTCCTGTGGGCCAACACCTCGAAGAGTCCTTGCCACGAGACGTACGACTGGGCGTGCGGCAACTTCGCCAGCGACTACGCCAACCACGATTACTTTGTGATCAAGCGCGGCGAGTGGAACTACGAGACTTACAATGAGTATCAGGGTGAGCTGCGGTTTATCTCCTGCAACTATCGTTTAAATCCTTATTGGCATCCGTTTTCTATTCCCTCACTCAGAACTCAACGAACTGAATCGCTTTATTTCCATGCTGCCGAACTCTGGCGAGGGTGCCTACTCCGTCGAGTCCACGGTGACGAGCTTGTATCGCAGTTGTCGCGACATCGATTCCCTGGACAAAAGCCAGTCGGATCTGCTTCTGAAACGAGCCATCAACGCAGTGGGTGAGTTCTAGGTCCCAATACCCTCAGGCATCAGGCATTATCAACTGAAAGTAAATAGTTGAAATATTATATTTTGGTATTGATTGTGAAACTTTTTAAAAAGTGTTACATACTTTTAGGCAGTGATGCTAGGATTGACCAACAGTTTTAGGAACCTTTCTATGGGATCTTTAGGGTATTTTGAATGCATACATAGTTAATCTAAAATTCTGTGATATCGTGTTTTAATCCCTTTACAATGAGAAGTCACCGTCCTCTATATTCATCTATTTCGTTAAAAATTTATTAATGCTTTCGAAAAAAAAAACCTTTGACTATTGCATCACTGTACAGTAAAATTGTTGCTATGCGTCCACGCGAGTGACAATCTATTTGCCACTGGGTGGCAGATAGGTGGCACTCTGGGCGTTCTTGATGATGGAGCCGCCGCCGATTCCGCCAGAGATTCCACCGGAGATTCCACTGGAGATTCCGCCAGAGCTGCCGCCCGAGGACGAGGTGTAGCTGCTGCCAGTGGAGCCACCAGTGCCTCCGGACACAAAGTGAGAGCTGCCAGAGCTGGCGGCACCAACAGCACCGCCGTCCAAGATGCCAACCACCGACTGGGCGGGGGCCACTCCGGCGTCCTGGTGCTCCGAGGTTCCCTCGATGCGATCGTATTCGGCTGCAGGGGGAGATATTGGATTGGATGTTGGTTAACCTATGTAACCGAATTCTATGTGATGCGAGCAAACTCACCCTGGATCTGCTGCTGGGCGTGGGAGGCCTCCGCCTCGGTCTTGTACTTGATGAAGAAGACCTCCGGCTTGCTGGGCACCGTGGGTGCGGGCGTGGCAATGTCGTTGACCTCCAGCTGGTTGTCCTTCTTGCTGAGCACATAGATGACGGTCTTCTCCTCCTTAGGCGCATACTCGGCGGACAGCTTCACGTTGGCATTGCTCGAAGATGGCGCCTTGATGAACACCACGCGGTAGTTCTTCTGCGGGCGACCGATCACCAGGTGCTTGGAGCGCTCCAGATTCTCGTGCTCCTCGGGCGCGGCGACGGTGAAGAACTGCTTGTGGATGATGGGCTCCTGGAAGCCGCGCTGGACCTCCTGCTCCTGCTGCTGCTGGTACGTGGGTGCCTGGTAGCCGGCCAGGGTGCCGAAACCGATGTTGGGCGAGGGTCCGAAGCCGGTGAAGGAGCTGCCGCCGGAGCTACCGCCGTAGTTGGAGGCACCGCCAGTGGAGTAGGTGGCACCCTGTCCGCCAGTGGAGTAAGAGACTCCTTGTCCGCCGGTGGAGTAGGTGGCACCCTGTCCACCAGTGGAGTAAGAGCCTCCGTGACCAGCGCCAGTGGAGTAGGTAGCACCACCGCCATGACCACCATAGTGGCTCACCGACTGCGGAGCCGAGGAGCTGCCCACCAAGGAGCCCACACTGGCGGTCTGGAAGGCGCCCAGCGGTCCGTAGGAGGCCACCGAGGGAGCGGCCAGGAAACCGCCACTGGAACCTCCACTGGATGAACCGGAGACGCCACTGCCATAGTTGTAGCCCTGGGGCTTGGCCTGGCTAAGAGCAGCCAAAGTGCAGAGGGTCTACAGAAAGAAAAAAAAAAAAAAAAAATTATATTCCACTGGTTAATCCTTCGGTTAATCCGCTGGCTAATTCCTCGGATAATCCTGTGAGCACTCCTCCAGTTCCTCGAGTTGCTCCAACTTACCACGAATAGACGCATGTTGAGTGGTTTTCAGTTGTTGGCTTAATGATGCTCCCCCTTGATGATTTGTGGTCTTTTATACCCCGAATATTGGTTCCTCCGCTTCTTGCCGTTTTTCTATAATTTTTTTTCTTTCTTTCCTCGCCGGTTTAATTAATTGCTCAATTATTTGGCTATGCCGAACCTAAGCGAACCGAACCTCTGACATTTGACTTGTTTGTCTTTGCCTCTCTGTCGCACGCAGCGTTGCCATCTCTTTCACGCCTCCTTTAATGTGACCTGTTGTCCGTCGATCGTTCGTTTTGCTTCTTTTCGGTTCGATCATAAATCATAGTCGCATGTATGGTATATAGATATATCCGCCGGTCGATGAAGTTGATCGCAGGTGGATCAATATCCATTTCCATATCGATTTTCAACAATCCGCAAAAAACCGCACGAAATTCGGTTGCATTTTTTCCGTTTTGTCGCATTGTTTCGTGATTATCTCCCCTCCATTTTTTTCAATTCGCATGCAAAATTTTGCATAAAATCCTCGATTGATTGATTGATCTTCTGCGGTTCATCAAGTATGACGATATGTAGGAACGTGTTTATGACTTAATTTGATCAGCATTGAGCAAAGTTCCTTGGTTCCATAATCTGTTTGCCTTTAGTCACATTTAAACATGTTCTTTTGGAATACAACTTTTCACTTTTTCACTTCAAATTAAAATGAACAATTCAATTCGTTGCGCTTAACTTGAGAACAAAATTTATCGTAATTCAATTGCATTTCACTCAACGAAATTTTTTTTCTCCATTTTTTATAGTTTTTCATTTCTAACTTGTATAATTTTTTCTTTTCGTACTTTTATGATTTTTTTTTAAACGTTCAACAGTAATTTCTTGACGGTCTTCTTCATCTGAGCAACGTGTCTTACGTTACCTGCATAAGGTCTGAAAACCTGGCGTAGAATGCACTTGGGCTCGCCGACTTTGTACGTCGAAGTGTATTGGAGTTCTGGGCTTTCGGATCGCAGGACTTTGTTGTTACATCCCAGTTCGTAGATTTTTCTCCATTCCTCCAGCTTAAGTTCTCGCTTCCTACAATTAAGTTAAAGAAAAGTGTTAAACAATGGCACTATCTTTTGTGGAATCAAACGCACTTTTTAAGCTCTGCCTGGACCAACTCTTTAAATATATTTTCGTCGATCCGAAGGAACTTACTAAAGCGCAGAGCAACCCAGTAGTTGTGGCTGATGACATAGAGAGCTGGGAACGCGAAGGGCGTGATGATCTTGTAGTTGGCCTCTACGAGCTTTAGGATCACCGGATTGGAAAATAGATGAAGTGCCTTTTTGGGAACCTATATTTTTTGGGAAATGACAAGTACATAAGCTAGGGTATAACGAATTCAGTCTCACCTGAGAACTTTTTCTCGACATGCATTTGACAATTTGACAAAAGAGCAGCTCCTGAATTACATCAAGTTGCAACCTATCAAACTTGAATTCGAATTTCAGTTCGCGGCTTGTGGATTGCAGTTCGTAAACTTTTCTCCATCGCTTCTCTCGTTCGAACTCAAGAGCCCTAAAGTGCAGTGAAAGGGAATTGTAAAGTAAAGCTACTCAAACTCAAACTCACTTTTCTCGCTCTGCCTCGTAGTTGTAGGCCAACTCCTTGAACAGGTGTTCGTCTATCCGCAGAAAGATACTCAAACTTGAATTGACCCAGTGATTGTGGCTGTTGACATACAGAGCTGGGAAGGCGATGGGCATGATTATCTTATAGTTGGTCTCCATTAGCTTTAGGATCACCGGGTTGGCCCACAAATGAAGTGCCTTTTCAGCCACCTAAAATGTTATATCGAATTTGAGATACCCCCTCATCCCAAGTACTAATCAAATAGGAAGTATTTTCAGTCTCACCCGATAACTTATGCTGGACATGCATTTGGCAATTTGACGAAACAGTGCCTCGTGAATTACATCAAGTTGCAGGGTATCGCTCATCCACAAAATAGCCTCGAGTTCTTCAAGGAACAAGATCTCCTTTTTGGTACACCTCTTCGGCCAGAACCTCAAAAGGCCAATTATCAGCGGTCCGGCTAGAAGATTGTTCCTTTTGAGGTATTTTGTAATGCAATACACCAAATCATCGTGGAAGAAGTCAAGCTTATCGTGTTTGTGCAACGGTAGGAGGATATCGACCAGTAACTGCTCTTTTTCCGCCTTGAGTGGCATTTCATAAAAGTCAATTATTCTAACAGAAAACTTAAACTTAACTCAAAAGTAACTCAATAGACCTGCTAAACTTACTTGGCAAAGACCTGCAAGAGCTCTGGGATGCCATAGACTTGCTTCGTTTCGTAAATGCAGCAGAAGAACACGTTGTTGATCTTACTTTGAATGTATGACCGCAATTTGGTGCACCTTCTGTAGGCGCAACACAGAATCGCCTTCAGATATTCCCGTTCCTCATCCAATTCGGTGTCCAATTGTGCCAAAATCTAGTTAAATCTCTTTAGTGAACTTGCAGTTCATTAAGGAAGTATAGTTTTCACTCACTTTTGGGACAATATGTTGTTTGATCAAACCCCTTTCCTTTTTCTCCTCGGGCTCCGGACCTTGCAAGAACTCCAAATAGTTCTCGTACATCGACTGGCGTTGCTCGAAGTGTTGAAAATTGCAGGTGGAAATGTCGGAAGAATCCATTGTAAAGGTTTTTTAATATAATATATAGGTAATATAGGTGTTCGTTGAAAGGCGATAAGTGATAATAGAGTGAAAATTGAGAAGTATAGATTGATGTTTTAAGAATAGGTAATGTGATATCTTTCAACAGCCAGGTAAAGAAATAAATAAATATAATAATAAATAAATTGAAAGTGAACTTTCGTTGACAGTGCTTTCATTTTCTTTCCATTCTCTTTCTATAATTTTTTACAAACTCTTTGAGAATATACACACAAGTATATATTTTAGGCTACGGCTATTTCCAACTTGATTAATGGTCCCAATTTGTTTGCTGTCATTTTGCTCAAACAAATGCCTTAAAGAATTTGTTGGTTCTTTTTTTCACGGCTCTTTTCTTTTGCCGATTATTTTCTTGGTTTTTTTTTTTTTGGGGATTTTTTGCGTTCGATTCTTAGAACAGAACCTGCTTCCGCGATGGGACTTCAGTCTGACGTATTAAGCCATTGTTAACAAGAGCTTAATTATGTTGGAGGTATTAAATAGCATCACTAAGAGCATTATTATTTTTTGTGCCACAGGCGCAGCAATTTATTGGCATTGATTTCATGCGCGAATTAAAAGCGTGAATTCTGTATACTCTTTCATTTATTTTATTCCTTATGGAGACATTGCACTTTCACGTACGATTTGCATTTAAAATGAATCTAAATAAAACTAGTTGGCTTGCTGTTGTGGCAATAGCATTTTAATTATTGTTTGGCTTCATCTGAAATTTCCGCTTTGATCTTCGGAGTTTTGACAAATTTTTGTTAGCCCATAAATTATATCATTAGTTTCAACTCGTTGGCGGCATGGCAAACGAAGCGCCGCAAAGGATTTAAATTGCCCTCAAAAAAAAAAAAAATAAAAATAAATAAAATAAAATGCGAAACAGGAAATACCCTAGGCACTTATATTATTTTAATATTTATTTATTTGTGGCTGCATAATTTTATTACATTTATTGGACAGTGTTAAGTGTGTGTTGGCTTCGGTTTTTAAGCACTCAACAAAGGGTATCTGAAAATATGCATAGATTGCGTTGTGTCATGGTCTATTTTTAGTCGAGGCGGCTAAAAGCAGAAATTCCAAAATCAAATCCACAAATCGTCGGCCGAGTGTCTCCTCTGTTTTGTCGATGAAAAATTTCAATATAATTGCCATAATTTGAATGCGTTTTTTGGGCAGGGCCGTTTTAGGGCCATTGTTTGTGTTTGCGCTTTTGGCCAAAACCAATGTGTCATTTATTCATACTCATTTTGGCCACCTTGGAATGATAAATACCCCCAAAAGAAGAAAGAAAGAGGTGTGTGTGTGGAAAGCTGAGCAGCTGGAAATCGGACTTAGAACCGCACTTTTTAGTTTCGAATTTTCGCCTCGACCTTGGCTCTTGCCTCACCTTTTTGGCCAGCCAGCCACCAAGATTAATTGCTGCCAAATTGTTGCTGCTGCCAATCAAAAAAAAGGTCGTCCAGTTGATGCCCAAAAATGGCTTAGGAAATCTCATTAATTAAATGCAAATGCAAATAGTAAATCCAAAAGAAGATTAACTGGCTGAGCTGAGCCAAAGAGGAGACACATCATAAAAAAATGCATTGCCGTTTTGCGGTTTCTTTTTTCGGTTGCGACTTGCAAAATTTATGCAGATTGTTAGTCTATTGATTTTGGCAAACCGCCGACTTAAGACGAACATTTTGAGCCCCTGCAATCCAGAAATTTCTTAAAAATCTTTAATGTTTTTTTGGTTCCGTAATTTAGTGCGTTTATTTAACATTGTTATATAGAAGGTTAAAAAATGTTTTATATATATTATTTTGGCTTGGTTTGAAATGGTGTTCTACTAGTTGTTTCAAAAGTATTCACTTTCAATATACACATTTATAAAAAACACTTAATTGAGTAACCAATACACCCTTCCTTCATAAATTCCCCTCCTTTGTCACAGGGTCAAAGCACTTTTGCCAATATCTTTATAAACATAAGGCGAATCAGATAAAAAAGTTGGCAAAAATTATACAGAAAAAAAAAATAAACAATTTTATGTACGGGTCGCCAGGTTTTGTGATAAATTCGTTTGTGGAAATGGCTTTTCAATTATATGCAAATAGCGTGGAATATTCAACGAATCGCGGATATAATCGGTGCCTCAGTAAGATCGTTCCACTGGCGCCAAGATTGTTGAGCTGGGCTTGTCGTAGTGATAGCCACCAGTGGATCGCTGGTAAGGAGCTGCCGCGGGTAGTGAGGATTCGGAGGAGGATTTGGTGCCCCGATTACCGAATGTATGGGCGCCACATAGGGAGCAGAGATCTCGGTGTTTCCACCGAGTTGATCGTACTGAGTTTGGATCTCCTTTTGGGCAGCCGTCGCCTCTTCGTTCGTTTTGTACTTGATGAAGAACACATCCGGCTTCTGTTCGGCCTGGGGTTTCTCCTGCGGCGCCACAATGTCCGTGGCCTCCAGTTCCGGCTGCTTTCGGGTCAGCACATAGATCACAGTGCGTTCCTCCTGGGGCGCCAGCTCCGCCGTGTACTTCACTCGATCGTTATTGGATCCCGGAGCTCGGATGAAAATCACTCGGTAATTCCTGCGCGGCTGTCCGATGATCAAGTGTTTTGTTTTTGGCTCCCAGTCCTCGGGATCCTCGGCGGGTGAAATACTATAAAACTGTTTCGTTATAATCGGTTCCATGGCCGGATTTGGTGGCGGAAGATAGGAACGCGAGCCCTGAGCCCAGGAAAGAGTTATAAACGAAAGTGAAAACCACACGAATATGTTCAACATTTCGCGAATCTCAGAAGGCGACTGACTCGACTTTTCCAGCCCAGCTTCACTTTTAAAAGAATTCCACTTAGATCGCCCGGTCCGATTGCACCGAACGTTTTGTGAAAATTAGGTTTTTAACATATTTTCCCGGCCGCAAATCGCTTCATTAAAAGCTGCCAAAACAAAAGACTTGGGCAACGAACTTGCGTTCGCTCAGAAAATTAATTGTGCGTGAAAATGCGGGAACCAAAAAAAAAAAAAGAAGCTGCCGAGTCTACATTTCATAATCAACGTATTTTCATAAAAAATATAATAATTAGCTCACCTTCTTGTTTACATTTAAGCAGTGGCAAATTTCAGCTTGTAAAATCCCATCAGAAGCGAATAACTCGTTTCATAATTTTCTTCAAACTTTACAGATTAGATTTAGATACAAATGGTGTTTGTTAATTCGTTCTTTTAGCCACCAAGTTCAAGGCCCAAACAGCCTTGAAAACTGACTAGCGAACCCGATTACCCCAAAAAAAAAAAAAAAATCCCCCCAACTTGATTTAAAAGCAATTAATTAAAGTTTGATGTTCCCTCTGGCCCGATTTGCTTCGGTTTTGACATACCTTTTCGTTATGCTCTCCTCACATCCCACCGCCTTGCAGGCCATTTATCATTTATCGATTGGGATTTGGATTTGGATTGGATTTGAATTGGAATTTTGGGCGGGATAAGAGCCCAAAGTGCTGCCCAACGCCCTCACCGTTGACAAATGATCTTGGCCAAGTCTTCGCCGCAAGTCTATGTTGCCATCTGCATCTTCATCGGCCAATTCCAAATCCGATTCGGATTCGGATTCGGAATCCAAATCCGATTTCAGTTATAGTATTTGTATTTGGTTCGCAGCCTCGTCGCTGATTAGTAGATTAATTTGAGCTCTTTTTTCTCATTTTCGGATCGTTGTTGTCAACAAGAGACAATTAAAATATCAACAATGGCTTCGATATTGGTATTGGCAACTGGCCCGATCTCGATCGTCTATATATATACACACACACACGCCATATGTTTGTATTTGTGTGCATCGGATTTGCATAAATTGACGCGTAATTCCCACACTTTCATGTCGCATTTAAGCAAAATGGTACAGCTAATTTGATTTATGCTCGTTTTTTATTAAGAAAAATTGTTTGGCCATATGCGATGCATAGATAAGTTGCTGGCTGGGCCTATGAAGATGTCATGGGTTATAGGTTCGTCGTTTTTTGGGGTCATTTCTAGAAGGCTTTCGAAAAGGTCAAAAGATAATGGAGTGACAAGGAGTGGGAAGCTTTAAAAATTATCTTTTGCATTGGGAAACTATTGTTTATAACCCTGAAATATAAATAAATATTGAAGTATAAAATATTGTTAGTTTATTTCGGCTAATTCAATTGCAAAATCCTTTGCTTTTCATTATTTTGTTTTTTATTTTCCCACACATTTATTTATTACCGCAATTAAATGTCAATTAATATTAATGCTAATGCCAATAAAGAGGAGATAACTTCCCCTATTTCCAAATCGGTTTGCACTTCATTGTTTTATTTTCTCGGTTTAATTTCACGATTTTTGGAGTATCTTGGGGTGGCATTAGCCATTAGCCATTAGCCATTAGCTGCGATCCAACATTAATCAATCGATCTGTGGCCCGGGTTTATGCAGCGTCAGTTTAATGGCCCAATCAAAGCAACAAAATGGAGGAAAAAGCCAAAGCCAGCCAAAGTCAAAATATAAAACTCTGCTATTTAATTAAATTTGATGAGCTTATTTTGATTTCTCACTTCATTTAAGCTAATTTCTGTTTGAAATTTTAACGGCAGCTTTGGCCTGGCTGTGTGGCTCCGATTTGGATTCCGATTCCGATTCGGATTTGGATTTTGACATATTGAAATGTGACTGCTGATTTGAATATCGGGGAAAACAAAGTCGAAATGTTTCTGCCTCGATTTATTTTTTATTTTTATTTTTGACTTTGACTTTGATTTCGACTTTAATTTAATTGCGCCGAAAAGACATTTCAATTTATTTATACGATTTTTATTAATTTTTTAAGCGATCGACCTTAGAGAGCCACAGACACACTTGATTTTTTTTTATAATATTATGAAATGGGAAATTATGAGTTTATAAAAAGGTTTGATATTATGAAAAGTCACTGGTTTGCTGGCCGTTTATCATTATAAATAAATTATTATTGTTTTTACTTACTCTTCTTTCATCATTTCACCAAAAATCCTTTGTAAAGGCAAACTCTTTGCTTGATATTTGTTTTTAATATAAGCTTTTTATTAACAACATTTCGGTATAACAACAACATAAAAAAAATACAAAAAAAATATAGATTGGCTTCTTAAAAATACGCAACACAACAGGGTTCGATAAATGGGATTGTTTTCTGATATTCTGAGTGATTCTGGTGATTCGATTCGATTCGATTCGATTCGATTCGATTCGATTCGGGGTGATGATCCCCTAGATGCTCTAGTGCTTCAGCAGACTGGGCAGATATTGGGCACTGGGAGCCACAAGGTTCGCTGGCCGATTGGCGATCTGGCGGTAGTTGTAGCTGCCATCGGGATTGAGGCCGTCGAGGCTGCCGATCACCGAGGTGATGGGTGCATTGCTGTCCTCCTGGTACTCGTTGGTGCCGCCCAGCTTGTCGTACTGCCCCTGGATCTCCTGCTGCGCCTGCTTGGCCTCGTCGTCGGTCTTGTACTTGATGAAGAACACCTCCGGCTTGCTGGGCTGCGTCGGAGCCGGGGTGGCGATGTCGCTGGCGTCCACATCGTTGTCCTTCTTGCTCAGCACATAGATGACGGTCTTCTCCTCCTGCGGCGCAAACTCGGCCGAGTACTTCACGTTGGCATTGTCGCCGGCCGGCGCCTTGATGAACACCACGCGGTAGTTCTTCTGCGGACGTCCCAGCACCAGGTGCTTCACCTTGCCATCGTTGCTGTGATCCTCGGGTGCCGACACCAAGTAGAACTTCTTGTTGATGATGGGCGCTTGGGTGGTGCTCGCCGGCGGCAGGTACTTGTCGCCACCGCGATGTGGCTGGATGCTGACCAAACCACCGCCATTACCGCCGCCGCCGGAGGAGCCACCGATGCCGGAAATACTGCCCGCTGGCGAGGATCCGCCGCCGAGGAAGAGATCCGCGCTGCTCGGCTGCTCGTAGCCGTACTGGGGACGAGCCTGGCTCAGAGCCACCAGGACCAGGCAGCCGACAAGCACTTTTTGCACAAACATGGTTAGGAGGTTCCTTCGTTGATTGCTTGGTAATCCCTTTTTTTCGAGTGATAATCCTTGGTGGCAGTGGCAGTGGCAGTGGCACTTGGCGAATGCTTCGTTGACGAATTGCTGCGAGGCAATGATTGCATTTTGGGCCGCTCCACTTGGCTTAAATATGCTCCGATTGTCCAAATGGTTGCCGCCTCTGTCGGCGTCGCTTCTTTGCGTTTCGTTGGCCGTTTATGCAAATGCAAATGCCGCCAATATCACATACACAACACACTATAACCACTAACTATATGGCAGGCCCAGCTGTCTGATCTCTCGATCCGAAGCCCGATCCGAATCGGAGCTCCGCCTCATGGGCCTATGGTCTCTATGGTCGCGATCTGACCTAAAACTTATTCAAATTAGAACGAGCGCAGCGGAGAAACCGAAGACCGAAGACGCGACTGACTTACATTCGACAGAAGACAGAAGACAGAAGACAGAAGAGTGAGGAGTGAGGAGTGAGGAGTCTTCTCTTTTGGCATTGAACTTGAATCTCACTGAGCCGGTGCGATTGACCCTGGTTTTGGACCAGACCAAACCGATGGATTAGCGAATATCCAAATATACGTCTTCATAACCAGCTGCGAAAATATAAAAAAAAAACTGCAAGAAAACTATTGAATGGATTGGGCCTAGCGAATCTCATTAAACGGCACCTCATCATCGCCGAGCGGCATCAATCTTGGCCAAAAGTAAAAATACAAGAAAAAAACATGTTTGCTGGGTTTTTTTTTTCTCCTTTTCGCTGCTCACACCTGTCATTAGTTTCGGGCCTACTCGCCCATCAATTAATTTGCAAACATCTATAACAGTTGGATCAATCAATGAATATTCAAGGGGTGCAATTATTAATGCTTGCGATTTATTTGCTATTTTTAAGGATTACAACACATTGAGGGAGGGGCTACACATTTGTTGTTTTGGTTTGTAAATATAAACAAGTACTAGTAATGCAATTTCAGGATTCTAGAAATAACCACAAGCTTCTGGTGGAGTTCATTACTTTATAAATGTAGTAGATAATTGAGATACAACAACAGCACATTTATTAAAAAAAAGGATTTCTTTAATTATCAGGTCAGGGGTTTCTTTGCTAATAAACTGAGTTAAATAAAAGTTTTATATCGTAAAAAAAGTGTAATAAATAGTTTTTTTTATTTTTTTTTTAAACAATGGTATTGATTCTGAATTTAGTCATTTTTAATATCCGTTGCCAAAAAAGATCAAACCATTATCGAGTTGATTAGCCTTCTTGTTCGCTGGTCGGGATTTCCCAACGATTTCGGTCGCTATCTCGCTTTTTTGTCGCCTTAAATGGTGACCCCAACGCCAAATCGATCGGTGACTCATCGCATCAGCGGGGACTCGAACCACACATTCACCTGCCGCTTTGGAGGTCGCATAAATATTGCCAAAATAAACGCATAAAACATAATTTGCACTCATCGAGCATATTTGAATAATGCCTTTGAATGGATTTATGGCCCCCAAGATTGATGACAGAACATAAACGCATAAAACTGATTGACAATTTGTGGCGAATGGTGGTGACCACAATGAAGGCGATTCGAATGGGCAATGCATACTATATTCTAATGGATTCCGATTCGGATTTAGTGTAGACTAATTTAGCCATTAGCCGATCAGCGATCAGAGATCGCTGCGATATCGCATATCGCCTGTGGATTATGGAAAACCGAACAAAATGATAATTATCAATTAGGCATTCCATATTTATAACCAACCACCTGCGATCGCTCGCTGTGCTGGAAATTTATGTAACATTTTATTGATGATGACAGTAATAGAAATCGATTCGAGGGACAAATCTTCGATCTTTCGATCTCAATCTTCTTTGGACCTCGGCTCTCGACTCTCGACACTCCACACTCGACGTTCGACACTCGACTCTCGACTTTTGGCTACCGTCCGTCGCTGGGCTTTATTTAGTAGGTGTGATTATCTTTATGCTAAAGATCTGGCCGCCGCCCATTGATATGCAGATATGCGCAGATCGCCGAGAAAGATACAGATGCGATGGAGATAGCATCTGATTGTGATTTTGATTTTGATTTTGATTTCTTTCGCTCGGCTGCTGTAATTGATAATAAATTTGTTTCGGGGCGTCGTTCGCCGCATCGCATCGATGCCCATTTGCCGCCTAATATATTTAGTATAACTAATTTTTATTTAATACCCTTCGGTATTTTAATGCGACTTGCATTGGTCCGATTTCGACCTTGGCGGTCTGTCTGCTCTGTCGGCTCTTGCATACCGACAGAGATTCCGATTCCAATTCCGATTTCAATTCCGAGTTGAGTTTCTTTTAAGTCGCTAATTTATTTCACCGACTCTGTTTCAGTTTCTGTTTCAGTTAAGATGAGTTGGATTGAGTTGAGTTGGCCCACCGAGATTGGCCAGCACTTTTGGAAGCGACGGGTTGAACGGGCCGGTCGATCGGGTCGAACAATTATGAGCAGCTTGCCAAATAGTTGACGCTGTCACATAGATTAGCTGATATTTTTCTCTCTTTTTCCCCCTTTCTGGGCTTTTCGATTGTGCAAGCTGCAACAGGCTGTTCAACAGGTCGGATAAGCGATGAGTGTTTTCCATTCGAGTTGAAAATGCATCATTGCTCTGACCTATAATACTAAATATATTTTCAAAGAGCTTTCAAACCATTTTCGTGCCAATTTATTTTCACCTTCAGTTTTTTTTAATATTCCTTTGCAATGCTTAATGTTTTAAAATTCCAAAAAAGCGAAACAACCATTGCGTTACATTTTTTGAATGCCTATAAGAACTCTTATACTTTATTAAAAAAAAATATACACAAAAAATATGAATTATTAAGTAGGAAATAGGAAAATCGCAGAGGTTTCCCCGGCGGGATTCCACCGCAATGTGGCCCAAACCCCAGGGGCACTCTCATCCAGTCCGAATCCCCCGAGGCTTCAATCCAGCTAAAGTGTGTCGTCCAGTGGCAGTGTAAGACAGTGTGGGTTTCCCCTTCGATGGAGAGGCAGATGATGGTTTGAGTGATTGGATCACCACCTACTTCCTCACCGGCCTGACGGGCAGATAGGTGGCCTGGGCATTGGTGCCGGTGGTCACCGTGCTGATCACCTGCCGCTGGCTGCCCTCCGCATCGTAGCTGGATCCCGCGTCCACGCTCGGCACTCCGCCGGTGCCCACGATGTTCAGGCTGCCGCTGGCGTCGGTTACCACGCCGGAGGCTCCGTTGTCGCCCAGGCTGCCGATCACCGAGGAGACCGGGATGACGCCCTCGTTGCTCGTCTCCGAGCTTCCACCCAGAGCATCGTAGTTAGCTGTTTGGGAGCAATACATTCAGTTGATTAGTGTTGGAAACATGCATTGGGCAATAGGAATTATTCATATCAATTTATAATTACATAAAGTTTAGGAGAACCAATTTTACTATTGAAACTATTGAAACCTCTAGAAAACTATGAACAGAACGAACTCCTTAATCAGAAGTTAAGCAAAGTTTAAAAGTGAATAGGTTTTGTTAGGGTTTTGTAAAACTTGATTCGGACACTACTGCATGTAACAACATTCTATTCATCCTATTCACTACTTCTTGGTTTTCTTTGGAAATTCATTTATGAAGAAACATTGCCTGATATGGATGAATTTTAGTTCATTTTGGGGAATTCATTTTGTAAAGTTTGCCTTGTTGTTTCGGATTCTACTGCATGTAACAACATTCTATTCATTCTATTCAGTACTTCTTGGTTTTCTTTGAAAATTCATATATGGAGAAACATTGCCGAATATGGATGAAGTTCATTTTGTTCATTTTGGGGAATTCATTTTGTAAATAGACCTTCCCTGGGTTGCAGTAACTCACTTATTAGTTGGTTCCCAGCTCAACAATGAGGAGTACTCACCCTGAATGGTCTGCTGGGCGTGGGCCGCCTCCTGGGGCGTCTTGTACTTGACGAAGAAGACCTCCGGCTTGTTGGCGACTGGCCGCTGGGTGACCACCTCGGCGCTGACATCGAGGGCGTTGGACTTCTTGGAGAGGACGTAGATGGCGGTCTTCTCCTCGACGGGAGCGATGTTGGCGATGATCTTGGCCTTGCTGGCGGTGGAGGTGGGGGCGTTGATGAACACCACGCGGTAGTTCTTCTGGGGACGGCCGACGTTCACGTAGCGCACGATCTGCTGCTCGTCGTGATCCTCGGGAGCACTGTGGATGTAGAAGTGCTTGTTGATCTGCGCCGGCTGGAAGTTGGCCAGGTGGCTGATGTACGACTCCTGCTCGTTGTAGTTGATGGTGGGTCCCGGCTGCAAGCCAGCCAGTCCGATGCTGTCGCTTACGATGCCTCCGCCGATGTTTCCGCCGGAGGAGGAAGAGGAGTCCACCTGGTAGCCAACCGAACCGGAGCCGCCAGTCTGGTAGTTGATCGAGCCCACACCCGAGGAGCCGCCGGATCCGAGGTTCAGCTGGCCAATCGAAGGCGACGAGCTGAAGTAGTTGCTGCCCGCAGCGGTTGGCTGATAGGAGGTGGTCACCGTGGTTAGAGGACCAGGAGCAGTCACCACCTGGTTGGCCACCAGGCCACCGCCGTTGTAGCCACCAGCCTGGTAGCTATAGCCACCGGTCAGGTGACTGACATCCGGACGAGGAGCCGCCAGGGAACCGCCGATCACGGCCAGCACGGCCAGAACCTATTGGGAATTCGATTGCTCACTCACTTACTACTGCACACAGATGGAGATTTAATAGGGCTTCCTGACTTACCACAAACTGCTTCATGCTGAACTCGGAATGAATGGATGGATGAGGAAGGAGACTGGGAGTAGCAACTGTTGCCCTGGAGCTGTTGCACTGGATTGATATGACCACAACTGGCAACTGTCACCTTTTATACGCCATCGAAGATTCGCCTTTAATTGAAGTTAATTAAAGTGGTTTGCAATAAATCGTTAAAAAACTATAACACCGAAAATCCCAAATCCAAAATCGAAAACTCAACCCGGCGCTATAACTACAAATCCGGCTAGCACGGCTGGCTTGTATTTCTTTTTTTTTTTTTTTTTGTTTTGTTTATTTCTTCGATTGCCGCAAGTGCTAATTGCAGGTGTCAACAAACTGAGGCACAATCAATTTCTATGTCTGCATGTCATTCGACTGGAAGATCAGGCTTGCGATGCGACGAGGAAGTCTGAACTGAAACCTATTTTCATAAGGATTTATAACGAATTAAATAGTTAGCTGATGGTACTTCCCATTAAAGTTGGCGGGGAGCTGGGTGTTTAAGTATCACAGATTTCAAGAGGTGGTTTTTAGAAAACAATTCCTCACAAACTATGGATTCTTCAAGAGTAACTACGTTCCAATATATTTCTTACCTTCATCTATTAATTACCTTCATCTCATTAAGGATTTTAAAAGAAAGAGTAATCAAAACTCTGCCATCATCTTCTAAAATGCCTGATTTGTATTATTCAATTTTTGGTTCAATATTTTATGATTGCAAAAGATGAGGGGACTGAGCGCCCTGAAAATTTCAAGCAGCCAAACATTTTAGCGCTTTTAATTGTTATAAACCATATATATTCGTCTATATAAACTCGTTTGTATATATACATATACGTATAATATATATGCGGATCTATGCTATAATGTGTGCATGCAACTGATTTTGGATTTACTGGCAGATCTTATGGGTTTTTGGCTCTGGGGAATTTCGATTAGCACTTGGGGTTTCCACAGGGAAGAGCAGCAGTGGCCAAGAACCAGAACTATTCGCACGATTCCACTAATTTGCGTGTCTCTTGATTGAATGATTTGCAGAGGGCTGGCAGGCATTCCGGGAGACGAATCGACTGCAGTCCTGGGACCACCGGAGGGTGCTGGTCCTCCTGCAGGCCAAGTACGGCATATTTCCCTACTATCGCGTCAGTGTGGAGAACGGCTACAGTAATCCCCACGACTATGTGATCACCCTGGACGAGGGGGAGATCGGACTGCCGAACAAGTACTTCTATGGCAACGATGCCGACGAGGAGGTGGTCCGTGGCTACAAGCTCCTCCTCCGCGATTTCGCCATCAATATGGGTGAGTACTTAAACTATTTTATAATAACTATTATATTTACTTAACTATATTCCATTTATAGGTATTGTTTCCCGGGAGGCAGATCTATTTGCCGACGAAATTTTCCACTACGAACGTCGCATTGTGAATCACATCGAGGATGCCAAAGCTGGCGGAGATCGTCAGCTGAATAAGATAATGCGTCTGGCCGATCTTAAGACTAAAGCGCCTTCCGTAAGTACACACTCGCATAAACATTTGCTACTCGTTTTAAATTAATTGTTAATAATCCCCTTTTAGTTGCCCATTCTGGAATCGCTGAAGGCCATCTTTCCGAAAACCAAAATCACCGAAGACACCGAGGTTTTGGTACGCGATGTCGAAGTAATGAATGCTCTATCCGTATTGCTCTCCACCTCGGATAAAAAGTAAGTTAAACAATATATATTATAATAATATATAACAGAGAAAACGAATGGAATATTCTTTCGCTGAACTTGTTAATTGGTCTCCTTGAATTAAACTCTAAAATCAGATTGGTTTTATAACTTCTAGATAAATGAGTTAAAAAGCTGTATATTATTTATAAAATCTAAATGTTTTCATTAAACAGATTTTTATTAGAGAAAACGAATGGAATATTCTTTAGGTTAACTTGTCCATTTATCTCCTTTAATTAAACTCTAAATTCAGATTGGTTTTATAACTTCTATGGTGGTTTAATGAGTCAGCAGTAAATTGTTTTGTTGAGTATATTAATTATGAAATCTATATGTTTTCAGGCCAATTAACAACTTCATCATTTGGTCGCTGGTCCGCCAGATGCTGCCGCATTTGTCCAAGGAGTATCGCACCCTGGCGGAGAACTTCGATCATGCGGTTTATGGACGCACCGCCAGCTATCCGAGGTGGCTCATCTGCAGCAAGGTGGTGCGCGACTGGCTGCCTTTCGCGGTGGATGCATTGCAGCAACAGCCACCGAGGCAGCAATTCGAAACGGCGGTCTCCAGCAACAGAAGGGGCGGATTGAACAAGACGCAGGGCAACGAGGAGCTGCTCCGCCTGATGTTCTACAGTCTGCGCAATCAGCTGAAGGATTCGCTCGAACAGGCCAAATGGCTGGAGCCGGCGGCCAGGCAGTTCATCCAGAAGAAACTCAACGAGATGCGGCTGCAGTTCGGCATACCCGACGAGGTCTTGGACCAGGCCGACTATCTGAAGCACTACTACAGCGACCTGATGCTAAACAATCTGTACTTCGTGGAGCACTTGGAGTCGATTTGGACATTCCGTCGCACGCGGATGGAGAAGAAATTGGGCACGCTGGGCATGCTGGATGTGTAAGTCTTGCGCAATGCACTTAAGCACCTGGTGATGGCGAAACTTTCTAACACTTTCTCCCCGATTTCCAAATCCATCCATCCCGCTCTGTTTGACAGCATTGTTTCCGAGATGTACACAAGGGACAATCCTCAGGCCATCGGCTACTCCAACAAGCTGAACATGCTGCTCGTCTCCAGGGTGTTGATAAGCTCCAATTACTACGACTACCGATACCCAGTGTAAGTGTACATAGTTTTAATTAAATACTTGTCTTCTAAATACTATAATAGAAGAACAAACATATACATTTAGAGTGTTATATCCAAATATTTCCATATCCAATGATTGTTTCTCCTCTTTCATTCCGTGCAGAGCTGTGAACTTTGCCCGCATTGGCACCGACATTTTGGAGGCCCTGATCGACAACTTCTCCACCTTCCTGCTGCAGTTCAACACGCAGAGCGCGGACATCAGTGACGCGGCGCCGGAGATCCGTTACGCCCAGCCGGATGTGAACTGCCTGGCGGCGGGACAGCCACCTCGACTCGTCCACGAACTGAACGACTTGTCGAGCAGCGCGCTGAAGAGCTTCCATGTGACGCTGAGCGCGGCCAGAACGGCGGCCCGGGCATTGAGCAGCTTTGTGGGCGCCATCGATGCGGGCAGTGCCATCCAGGGATCGGGAATCGATCAGGCCAACACGTACGAGGCCCTCGGACTCACCAGGCGGCTGAGGATTCCCGGCCTGAGGTCCTTCAACGAGAACGAGCTGTTCACGCTCGCCTACATGCAGCAGCACTGCAGCACCACGATTGCGGACAAGGACTACGCCAGGATCAAGCCGCATGTGGAGAGCCAGCTGGCCGAGAGTTATCTGTAAGATGTGGCTAGATACTTATGTGTGTAGATACTTATGCTTCGTGTTGTTGCAGCTTCAATGCCACCTGGCAGCACATCCAGTTCCTGCCACGCTCCACAAATTGTGCCGCCGCCGAGGCAAGTTGCTCCAATCTGCTCTGAAACGCAAATGACCATCCACCAGGACTTCCAGCGAAGACAGATCCTTGTGGATGAAGACGACGAGAAACATGAACTCGACTGCTTGAATGGATCAACCTATTTATTGTACTTTTTTTTTACTCCCACACATTGCCAGAGACACAGAAACAGACACAGATACAGATACAGATACAGATACAGATACAGAACAGAGATGACAGAATCCAGATGGCTACCCGCGCACACATCGCCTTAGTTGTAGTTTTAGCCATTAAGCCTAGCACGTAGATTAACCATGAAGGATCAGACTTAACATTGACTAGCCACTGTTGACATCACGCCACACATTCGCACTCTGCCACAACTTGACTCGAAGCAACCAAGTTGGGCAGTTAGTCGGCTTAAGTACGAACCCCACGCCTAATTTAGTCTAGTTCGGTAAACTAAACTTAGTTAGCTGCTAAGCGCCGTCTGCCACCCTGTATAAATTGATGAATTTGATTTGATTTTTGCAATACAATTAAACGAGAATGACTTTTCACAAAACTCGAAAAGCAATCCAGAACTTTGCTTAAGTGTTACTTTTTATTAGGAGGCATTTTTATGCCCTTGCAGAGGAAAAAGGTTTGATTTTGTGATCTATTGGTTTTATTTTGAATGGAAAATGGAAAAATGGAAAATCAACATGCAATTTATATGTTGCGAATTTAACACCTGAAAAATGTTAGATAACATTACGTTAACATTAATTTTAATTTTTAATCCCTAAAATGTCACAAGCATTTTGAGGCTACATAAAATGGCACAAAAAAAAAAAAAAAAAAAAACCCAGTTTTTTTTGGAATATCTCAGGAAGTCATCTTTCAAATGTGGAATGGCATACAGCGTTGGATTCGTAATAAAATTTTGGATCCGATGGCATTCACACCTAAAATTGTTGAAATTTTGAATCGTCCAAAAAGTGATTGGGCTCGTTAACTGTGGTCATAAGGTGCTCAAAACAGTGGTTGGTTCCGCTGTAAGTCATTATTTGACATTATTACAACCGAAAAATTACTAAAAATATAGTGGTTTTTACAAAAATGATCAATCTTTTCCAAATCAGTTTTTATCAACTCACTAAAGGATCAGTTAAATGGCAATTAAATTGCATATAATCAAATGGATTGTTGGGCTTCTCTGCGTTTCAAAACTACATATACTTTGTTTGGCTGTTAGTTGTTTCTTGCTGAAATTTAAGTTTGCCTACTTTTAGGATTCCGAAAAAACTAAGATAAATACACACTTTATTCCATACAGTAATTTTTATTTACATAATTTTTCCAATTAAATTTTTAAAATTCTCAATTTATACTACACATTCAATTTGCCAGCTGAGTCCATTAATGACACTTTTTGTGTATTAAGAAGAGTATTAAACCGTAAAAAGTTCGGTGTTTGTGTTTGGTTCTGTAAAATCTGATATAAAAAGTTTGTCAGAGAGGGGAAACCGCAGTCGTTATGTCATTGGGTCATTTTGTTGCCCACCAAGTCGTTTATATAATTGGCCACGCTGCGATGAAATTCTTTGTCCACGCTTTCAATAAGTTGGGAGCTGAGCTTGCTAGCCACTCTATGAGAAAAATCCACATAAGATTATAAAGAAAACGGAGTTATTGAAAGGAGTTATCTTACTTGGCATATATTTTCCAGGGGGCTGAGCTTCGTGAGTTGTTGTAGAAGCAACTGCGTTGGCAGTGGGCCTTGAAACGATCCCGATCCTGGAGGAGCTGATTCCAGGGATTAGTTTGCCTGGGAGTCGGTGGATTCTTGGCCTGGAACCCCTCCCGAGGCGATGGCTGCTCCGCCTGTTGTTGTTCCCTGATCAACTGTTCCTTGCACTCCCGCTGACGCAACTTCTCCCGGCAGTTGGCCACCTGCTGCTTGTGCTGCTCCAGCTCCTCCCGTTCTCGCATCGCCTTCTCCTCCCGCTCATTCAGCGGCGGACGGTCGGCGGTCGAGTTACCCAGGAGATTCGGCTGCGAGTAATGTGTGCCGCGCCTTCGCATCTCCGCCTCCATGTACTCCAGCACCTTCTTCTCGTCGCGCAGCTCCTCCTCCAAAGTGCGGGAGAAGAAGACGTGGCCGTCGGGACCTCGCAGGACCTTCACCTCCTTGAATCGCTCGTCGCCGGGCCGCAGATTCTGGTGCAACTTCTGGCGTTCCTTCAGGTAACGATGTCCCTCCCAGAATTTCTCATTGTAAGGCGATTCGTTCAGGCTGAGGGGTCTAAGTAATATATTAAAAACCTATTATAAATATTCATCCATGATTATTTGTATTACTTCCTTTGTATTACTTTCTATGCTTGATATGTGTTAGATTGACTTGTACAAGCCCATTTGAAAAGGTTTCAAAATAACACTCGCAGTCAAGAATAGAAATGATAATATCGGACGAATTGTTGTATCCCCCGTATAGATAAAGTTGAGTTATTGCATCAGCTTTTGGGGCTCTGTTCGGAAAGTGGGGTGTCCGGGGAGCCGTTGGCATTAGCTTTCATATGGACGGCCGTCACGCAAGTTTTCTTACCCAACTGGGAACTGCACACAAGGCCAAGTTCCAGGCGCCAGGCCCAAGCCTCCCAGCCACCCACTCCACTTCCTTTTCACAGTGATAGCAGAGGGCAGACCCTCAAGTAAAATTGAAACTAATCGCAGTGACCTTAACCCTGTTTTTAATAAGCTGTTCATAAGCTCTTTTTGGATATTAAATGTACAAGGAAGTAGCAAAAGAAATCTTACGAAATGCATTCAAGTTCTTTTAACCAAAAAATTGAATTGAATTGAATATCATAGCTGACACAACCGATTGCTTTCCTAGAGTATGATTGCGCGATTCATTCACTCATTCATTCATTCGTTCCTTTATTCATGGCCTGGGTCACTGGGGTTAAGGTTGCGAGGTTGCGCCTCCACTGCCTCTTTTTTTCTACTTTTGGCAACCCCCTCCCAATCGCAGTGATAGCGCACGTAAATAATATGACACAATCAGACTTGGAAGCGGAGAAGCCAAAAACCGTAGAAGAATTAATTAATAAACACCGCCCGATGAGGCAACCCTCTGCCAAAAAGAGATGGAGCGATGGAGATGGAGAGGCGCGCTAAATGGCAAAGCCAAATTTATTGATCAAACAAATAAAGCGCATCAGCAGCAGGAAAAACAAAAAACGTTGGCTAGAAAAAACCGGAGTGGAGAAAATGACGAAATAAAGTCAAGAGAACACTGGCGGTTCAGATTTATAGGTGATATCGAAAGGCCAAAAAGGGTTAAGGTGGCACGGCCCACCGCTCGCTATTTATAGCCCCACCGAAATCGGCCGATTGCTGGAGTTTGGTTAGGTAAATAGAGCCACATAAGCCCGGTTCGGTACATGCAAACTATATATACACACGGCCATATAACGCAAATTCCAACTGCAAACAGTTGTCGATTAGCGCCCGGCGATCGTAGTATTTGATTACGAACGTTCTTCATATCAGCAAAAGACCAAATTGCAAAAAAAAGCGCCAAAAACTGCCAAATTTGCACACCAAAAACAATAAAAAAAAACCAAAAAAAGAATGTGCGACATGAGACGTTAGCGAAGCCAGTAATGACCCAAAAACCAGAATCATATAAAGCCGGTAATCCGAAATATCAGAGGGAGAACGAAGAAGCGACCCTGAACTTGCCATTAGTCACCGCTCTTGACTATCTTAACAGTTAGATACAACTAAGCCTCTCTGGCCGATAAAACGCTGACGGGTAACCACAAAATTAACGTAATGTTTACAATACTACATAGTATTAGTATCATTAAAATACAACGTAGTATTATTCTCATGAAAACAATTAACAAAATTAAAATGATATTAGTATTTAATTCAAGCTTAAGCACTTCAAGTTCTAACAGTTGGGGAAAAGAAAATATAAACTAATAAAATTCACCTTGATAAAGTCATAAATAATTTGTTCATAAATAAAGTCGTCGTTAAACACAATACATATGTAATAAAATCAGAACTCTTAAATTTGTGTGGTTAAAGCAAGAATACTTATTACATTATCAATTATCTACCGTTTTTAAATTGATGGTGCTATTAAGAATCAAGTAAAATCGCTACAGCAACAAAAATTTCGAGAAATACAGGTGGGTAATAACATTATAATCAACAAAATTATTAAAACATACATATTTGCTGAAGAATAAAGCGTCTTGGTATGCAAATCAGCAACGTTATAAGCAACATTTGGGTATTTGTGTCGGTTCCGTTATTTTTAACTAAAGGGTATTTTGGCAGTCGCTTGAACTCCAACCTGCAGTCACAAAGAAAAGGGTCAACACGAGAGAGTGAGAAAAAGAGAGGTTTGGAGCAAAAGAAAACAAAAACCAAAACAACCAGTGGCCCATGTGGTTGTTGTTGCTCCTGTTTTGGCTGTTCTTGCTACCTTTGTTGTTGTTTTTGTTGCTCTAGACGCCGGGTGAGGTGAATGAGTATGAGTAACTCCATGCGAGCAGAGCGGCGACAGCGGAGCCGGCAGAGGCAATGGCGTCAGCGGAGGAGCGTTGCCAGCTGACTCCCACTCTCTCCCAGTCTCCACCTCTCCCAATCTCCCTCACACACTCTCAGCTGACGACCGGCGATGACATCATTTTGGCGCTGCCATTGCCTCTGCCGCGGCGCAGTCGCAGCAACCCCAACGTCGCTATTTAGCAAACAGAGAAGGTAATCAAAATAGCGGTGAAAATAATAGTTTAACCCAGGGGTGCTCAAGATCGTCTTATGGCAGTGCGTTTACTAACACATCCACAAGAAAACGTGTACATATGTAGCGGCGCGTTTGTGTTGGGGCGCAGCTGTGCACTGAGAGAAAAAAAAAAGTTTTAAATATTTATTTTTGGCTTTTTTTTATTTATTACGCATTGTATTTCGCATTTAAAGTTTATGTTAAAAAAACTGCTCTCTAATTCATCACTCATTTTGATCCGCCAAAAAATTTAACATAACACATACGATGGTCCACCACGAAATAAATCAAAAGCCAACGCAGACAGAAAAATAAACTTTAACCAATTACCATAATAAAAGTCAATAATAAAAAAAAAAACATATATAAAAGTCACTACATCCAATCAAAAAAAATGTGATAAAATAAAAGCTTTCGATAAAATATAGTACGGAAAACAAATTTAAACTTACTAAATAATAATTACAAGATACAAAAATATTTAAAAATACAGCCTGACATCTGTTATCTCAAATTTATGCAAAAACTGTATATGAGAACGTTAATTTCCTGATACATATGTGCTAATTTATGTACCTCAACTGTTTGGGGCACTTACAGCATCTGGAGAAACATTATTTGATTATTATTTTTAGAAATTGCTGCCACCTGGGTAGCCAACCGTAACCGTAACCATTGTACCGTTTTAACCGGAATAACCGAATCAATTTTATAACCGTAACCGAAAAAGGCAAGTGATATTGGCTTTGAATTACATTTGTTTACTCATTTAACGAACGCTAGTTTCCTAATTTTAAACATAGAATCTTATAAAAAAAGCTCTTTTGTGCAAAATCAAGTGTTAGTGAATGTGTGGTTGTTTTTATACGTAAATACTCACAACATCTGGAGCAGCATGAGCATGGTGTCCCTGGAGGGATCCCCGGTGGAGCCGGCCACAATATCCACGATGCCCTTGTCGTGCTGATCGGCCCGCTGCAGAAGCTCCAGCAGCGCGTCCCGCTTCGCTGGCGGCAGCCGCTGCGGATTTTGGACGAGCGGTACGACATGGGGCAGGTGGTGATCCCGATTATCCCGATCATCCTCGGATTCGTTTTGTCCCACCGTATTGCTCCGGGCGCTGATTATTGGGGAACCGGCCGGCACGGGCGGTGGTTGCGCCATCTGGCGACGCGCCCCCTTGGCGACCTTGGTGATCCCACCGCCACGCCTCTTTGGAGGCGGAGGAGGAGGCGGTGCCTGATAGTCGCTGGCCCGCTCGATTCGCGAGATCATAAGCTCCAACTGCTGATGGGCCTCCGCCAGGGACTTGTTCTTCGTCGCGCGGCCGCTTCGTCGGGTTGAACTCGATTGGGGCGGTGAAGGGGCGTGGCCCGTGAGGCGAGGACACAGGTGCGAGTCGACCTTGGCGCGCACGGATCGCAGACTCGGCCGTTTCTTGGTGGAGAACGGCGGTGGAGCAGGCTTTCGAAACGGAGTCGCCTGTGGCGCCTGGGGAACGGTGTACTGTCCACCGAATGCCGATCGCGTGGTCGAAGGCTTCGAGTGGAGTTGATTGCGGCTCTTGACCTCCGCTCGTCGGCTCCGCGAGGTCAGGGATCGCTGATCCTTTGCAGGTGGATCGTTCGCATAGGGATTGGAGTAGCCAAGGGACTGGAAACATTGTAAATACATTGGTTATAGTTCTTTGATAAAAAAAACATCCTGAAACTGATTTACTTTTTGTGTTAAAAACTATAATGATATAAATAAAGGAATGCAAAGGTTAATTAATGCTGGATGCGTGTACTTTTTACGCGAACGGTTGTGATTAGTTGGATATTATAATAATATAGTTAATAGTTAATGGTCTTACCTTGATAGGTAGCATCTGCCGTGGCGGCTTTGCGGCTGTCTCCCGCTGGACCTCCCGATCCCGCCGGACTTGGCTGACGGCGCTGCCGGGACGCACGACGGCCACGCCCCCTTGGGCGGGGGCCGGCAGGCGGGTGCGCTTGGGGGCGGAGCTCCTTGGGGTCACTGCATCGCGGCCACTGCGCCTGCGCAGCAACTGGCGCGACGGCGACGCCGGCAGCGACGGCAGCAGAAGCTCCGGTCCCGCAAATTCCATTTCCATACCTCCGCAGCTCCTCTGCTGCTCCTCTGCCGCGCCGCTGCTGCTGCGCTGCTGCCTGGCACGCCGACGGTCGGCGGTTCAGTTGTTAGTTTCTTGGTCGACGCTCGCCGGTTCGGTTCGATTCGATCCGACCCGATACAATAACTTATAACTGCTATATAGCCTAAAGCCCCTACGAAATACGATTCTCGGTGTTTTTTTTTAGTCTTTCGTGGACTTTTTTTTCGCGCTCTACCAACGTTTCGCGTGTTTTATTGCCGCCGCTGCCCTTTCTATCCCGCTTTACAACAAAAATTTGTACGGTACACAAAACCAAACAAACAAACAAAAAATAAATACGCAAAAATCGAGGGGGGAAACTTAATAATATTTGCTGCAATTACTTAAATTGTTTGAAGCCGTCTGTTTTTTTGTGCTCCGAAGTTGCCTTTCATTGACAGTTTTTGCTAAGAGGGTTACTTTGTTTCGGCGAGGTGCGATTGTTCAGTTTCGAAGCTAATATCAACAATAAAATATTATTTAAATACCCTTTTAAGAACCTCTGAGCTTTATATTTAAATTTTGCTGAAACACATAAATTTAAAGAACCTAAAATAACGTTAGCCGACCAAACATGTAAAGAAAGATATAAAACTAAAGTAGTTTGAGTGCTTCATTTAATCTTTTTAATGTTGTTTAATAGTTTTACTAAAATTAACGGTTGAACATTTCTTTGCAAATATTCAAAGGCAAGGAGCTGTGTTTTTTTTTTTAATTTTTTTGTTTATGTTTTCCCTTTTACTAGTTGGTGCTTTGTTTTTCGTCAAACACAAGTTTACTCGTAACTAATGTCAACCACATTTTTTTCCCATTTTTTTGAAGTTCAAATCCCAACAAGAAAACACTCGAGCAGCCGCTGCAAACAAAATGGTAAGTGAAATAGTGAAATATATTAACCAATGCGGCAAAAAGTGTGGGTTGTGGGCGGCAGGGTGCTCCAAATTCAAATCACTTTCCAACTGGTCGCCCAGCTGGCTGTCCCGAACGAAAGCCCAGACCCAAATCCAAATTCCATGCCGACTTCGACTTCGACTCCGAATCCGAATCCGAACCCCAAAATCTTTGGCGTGGGCGTCTTTCAAACAGGTTGGAGATTGCTCATACGCCGCGTTGGCCACCCATTCAAAATGTGTGCGCTTGGATTTTCCGCTTTCTGTTTTCGCCTTGTGGGTTTTCAGCATTCGGTGTTCAGTTTTCCGTTTTCTGCTTTCCATGTGCAAGATACATGGCACAAGTGTGTGAGCGGAATTTTTAGAGTGTCAACTGCCAGTGAAGTCAACTAAAATCCAACTGAAATTGTCATCCATCTGGCTTTTGGCTACCCCAAAAAAATAAAAAAAACAACAAACAAAAATAAAATTCACGCACACTCGAATATGGTTTGCCTTGCCTTATTAGACTTTATGTTAATTACCATACTAAAAATAAAAAAAAAAATACATAAAGCTAGTGAGCCCGCGAAAAAATGATTTTCAAGAGTTACCGAGTGTTGGCCAAGTGGGCGGTTCGAGCCGTGTTTTGGAAAATATTCGAATTCCGAACGGTGTTTATCTGTGGGCGAAAGCAAAAGTGCGGATTAAGGGCCTCGCTTTCCATATACACACACGTTCGTTCATAATTCGTATTTATAAAGACCTAAGGTTAAGCTAAGCTAAGCTAAGCCCAGAATATCTCTACGCCGATGATATCATCCCGCGCTTTTTACACAAAAATATCATCAATTTACAAAGCGATTTATTCGTTGTCCGCTTAATAAAATGAGCCATATAAATCAGGCACTTTGGCGAGCCTGCTTAACCAGAAGGTTTTGAAGAGTCATCACCGCGATCGTCATTATCGTCATCATCACTATAATACATATAGTGATAATCGAGATCGGGGTGAGAGTGATGGTCTCGTGGATGGAGTCGCGTCGTCTGATAAATCGAATTGGTTTATTCACCCGACCCGGCCAACATCGCGGAAATCGATGCTAGTTTTGGGCTTGGCACTTTTCTCAGCTTCTTAACTTGTTCGACTTTGGCTTTGTGATCTTTAAATGGTTTCCTTAATAGTTGAACGAAAAAAAAGCTTGCTTTTCGTGCTCAAAAGCCCGATTGTCTGTGTTGTATTCTATAGAAAATATGACTTGGAATAGGTTGTTTTTAACAATGTTAACATCATGCTAATGATATAAACTATTTTGAAGTTTTTTTTTAAACAGATATTCTATTAATCATTAATAACATCATTTTCAAAATTTAAGTTAGTTTCCTCTTGTTTAGCCAATTTATTTTTTTTGTTTTGCTTTTCTTTTTATAACTTTTTAAATGTATGCTTCCTTTTCTCTCAACTTATCTCGCCTAGTCAAAGTTTCGTTTGCAAATCGCGAATGTTTTCCCGGCACAAAAGTCTTAGCATAATCCGCAGCATCGATCTTCGCAAAGTTCCTCTGCAGATTATCTTATTTATATACAATTTGCCGTATATTACAGAGCCATTTCGGCATTTCACTCACAGTTTAAATGGTTTAATGGCCATTACGTATACGCACTGTGTGCCACACGATGTTTAGAGTGTGTGGGGGATCTTTGGCTCGTCGGAGGCGTCTGCTCCGAATTATCTGATCCAAGGCAACAGGCCATATATACATATACGTATGTTCCCCCCCTCCCCGAATGCCCCTCGGTGTACCGTGCTGATTGACAACTCTGATTGATGGCCGGCAGAGCGAACAATAAAGACAATGGAGAGCACTTGACGCCACCCCCTCGAATTGCCACCCAAAAGCCCTGTAAATTTCCCCAGCCGCCAATGATTCATGCGTTCAATATTTTAATTATCGCCTATGAATAAACAAAGTACATACAAAAAAAAAAAAAAAGAAAATAAAGAAAAGACTGTAAAATTGTTTTCGACTTGTTGCGGTGGCCTCTGATGTACTGTTTTTATTATTATTTTCACTGTTTTGTTCTTATTGCAATTGTTGCCGCTTTCTGCTGCATCTGCCAGTGTTTTTTGTTTTGCTTTTTTCAGGAGAAACTGAAAAAAAATGGAATCACTTGCAGTATTGCGGCAATTAACTGATAAGAAATGCAAATCGTCAACAGAAACGTAATAAACGTGAAAATTGCAATTCGAGTCGAACTGAGTAAGCAAAAGATGGGTGACAGTGGGTTAAGTGATGGGCTAAATGCAGTCAACTTCGGTTTTTAATTAGTGCACTTTGCAGATTATTCTGGGCTTAAGCTCCATCAAAAAGGTTATTGAACTTTTGTTGTGGCTATGATTAATTATTGTGAATTTGAAGGGCATCAACTCGTTCGCTTAATTTATTTTGTGCATTATTTCCTATTCACTTTCTTTTGTTTTATTTTGTTTGTTTGTTTGCTGCCCATTAAGAGCTGAAAATTTCGCTTAAATTTTGTTGCTTTTTGTTTTTTGTTTGCATTCTGGTTGTGCGGCCTTTTGTTATTGTTTTCTTTATCCAAGCAAACTTATTTTGAAGTGTGCGCTGGGAGCCGCTGCCCTTGGCCCCCTAAAAGTGCTCCCTCTCCTTCCCACACTCCTTCCACTTGTAGCCCCCTCTCTTTCTTTTGGAATAGCCCCCTCCCTTTCGCGTGCGTGTTTATTTAATTCGATTCTAACTCTAGCGATGATCTAAGTGAGACGTCGTCCAATGCAGAAAGAAATGCTTGTTGTTCGTACATCTGGCGCAAAACTTTAAACAAGTAGCAATAGAAAACAAACCAAAAAAAAAAAAACAAAAAAAAAAACAAAAAAAAAATGAAAAAAAGAGGGAAGGAAATGTGCGTTTAAATTGTGCAAATTAAATTTCCGAAAATGACCGCTTTACAGCCCGCCCGCCCGCCGAAATGTAAATAGAATCGCGAGAAAACATAGAGTGGGAACCCCTCTTGCGATTTTTCGGATATTTCACTTTATTCCCATTATTTATGGCTGCGTTTTGCTGCATTTTTATGAGCAATCGTTGCGGTTTTATCAGCCATTTAAGGCGGGTGGTAACTTGGCCAATGCCTGGCTTTTAGCCCACTCCTTGGGTGGTTAAACCTCATCACCTCGTCGCCTCGAAGGTGTTGCTACCAGGCGATAATGGCCCAAACGTGCTGGCCCAGCTAATGCTGATGTGTTGGCCAAAACTAAGCATAATGTTGGCCATACTCAAGCTAATGGCTAAGCAGGCTAAGTGTTGGCCTTAAATAAATGATGGTGCTGACCATTTTTAGAGTAACTTTTGGTTAGCTGTTGGAAAACTGCATACTTTTAGGGTAAAGTTCCTTGAAAAGCAGTTATGTTGGACTTATTCCAACAGATCCTTTTAATCTAAGGTATTAAAAATCTTATTTGTACTAAGCCAGCCATAGAACAGTTTTATTTTGTCGTAAAATTAATTAAAAACCCATTTCCATTTTACGATTCAATTAGTAGCGATCATAAAGCAGCACTTAAAGTATTTTTACCGAGAAATAATGTTGTGCGTATACAATGGAATATTGTCAAATATATCCAACCAAGAACTTTCGCCTCGTAGAACTTTGTTGGCAACCCCCGTGGGCCAACTCATTACTGTATAATATAATATAATATGTTGATGTTATTATTGCGGCCGCTTTGTAAATGATTTTACGCTGATGCTCATCGTTTATTGTAGTAGATTGTAGTATAGCATACTATATATATTTATTTTGATATTTCTCTTTGTGCTGTTGGGGCCTTTGGCATTTCGTATTTTGTATTGGGTATTTGGTATTGGGTTACGTAAAGTCGCGCCAGCAGCTGTCTCTGCGGTTTTTGAACCCGCTGATGAGTTGAGCCGAATCTGAATCTCAGATGAAACCCACTCGCCCGCTCCCAGAAAACTCGCCAGAATTATGGTGTACCTATTATGAGATATTTGAAGTACGTGATTTTCATTTGAATTGCCCGAAATTAATGGCTTCTATCCTCTGTTTTTTGTTCCTCTTTTTTTCTGTTTTTTTTTCTGTCAGTCGGAACCAGCGTCCGTCTGTCACAAGTGCAATGAAGTCATCGAGCAGCGCATCATCACGGCGCTGGGCAAGACCTGGCATCCGGAGCACTTCGCCTGCAAGGACTGCCGCCGACCCATCTCGGAGGCCACCTTCAACATCCAGGCGGAGGAGCCCGTCTGCTCCGACTGCTTCGTGAAGAACTACTCGGGCACCTGCTTCGGCTGCAAGCAGCCCATCCTGGAGGTAAGCAGACCCATTAGTCTATAATATCCAATAAAAATAGTGTTGGAACTGAAAACTGTACGCTAGGAGCACACCATATACATACAAGTACTTATCAGAGAAATAGTAATCGATTGGTAATAGTAATAGTAAAGCTAACTAACATATCATGTTCGTAGGTTGTTGGAATTAAATCAAACAAGACTTGTTCACTCCATAAATTAAGCTTAGCTAAATACTTTCTATAATCTAATATACATTTATCCAAGTAAAGAAATATTCTAAAAAATATTCTAATAAATTAATAGAATTAAATTAAATTATAGAAAATTATTATAACCAATTCAGATTTCTACCTAAGTTCTCTTAGACTTGCTTCCGGAAGAATTAGAAGATTAGAAAATGGTGTTCTTGGGTGTACACTGTGCAAATTCAGGTGGGCACTTCCCAGCGGGGGTTCTTCTGCGTATCTTCCCTCGATAATTCGCATCGTCTGTTTGCCATAAACTTGGCCGCTTTATGAGCATTGGTGTAATGAAATACTGTCAACATTTACCCAGATACGCTGCGCCATAAAACCGCTCAGATATCTGCTTGTAAATGCTTAGTGACGATTTAATTAAGGAAGTGATTGCGAGTCCTATTTTTAGACACTTTTCCCATTGCAGCCAGTAAGAATGTACCATATCCGATGATTTCTATTTATATCATATATTCGGGCAGCAGCAAACGTTTCGAAGAGCATTCCAATTTTCACCTTTACTGCCTACAATAACTAAATCTGAAAAACGAGACTGCACTTGGGCACTTTTTGAGCAAATAAAAGCGAAAATTCGCAAAATAGTTTCAAAATACTTTTTAATTGCTTCTGGGAATCGCTGGCCAAAATGTGTGGGCGATGCCCCAAGTGTTGTATGCATCATAACAAACAAATGTTTCTCCAGCATATCAAATGAGTAATCATGATGAATAATCGCAGGCTTACTTTCGTAATATTTAAGTCTCATTATTACATTTGCAAATATCTATAATATTTAATAATATTTAAGTCCCATGATTACATTTGCAAATATATATAATGTTATTAAATATGAAGCTGTGATGAACGAATTTTCCTTTATTTTTTAAGAGTATTCATTATTCTGCTTTGGCTGCTTCAATTTGCGGCAAGGTCGCGCTGAACTCATCGTGGGTGTGTGCTCGATTGATTGGCTTTGATTATGATTATAAATATTTCTGTATATGCACATTGTGTGCACTATTGCTTGTTGGTAATTGGAAGTAGTGGTTATCGACTCTAGCTTGGCCTTTGGCTTTCCGAATTCCTTGAAAGCGCAAAAGTATGCAAATGAGATTTCCCTATACTTTAAAAAAGATTTCTTTTACCAACTGGTTCAGAAATAATTATGAACCTTCTCAGGGACTATTTAGTTATTCTTTTATAAGTACTCAGCTTCTGAAGAAGAAAACTACAATTATGAACTAATTTGATTGTGTTATTAATATTTCTTAATGTCTATTATACAATTTATTATTTTAAAACAGCGCACCATCAAGGCGATGGAGCAGTCGTGGCACGAGGAGTGCTTCGTGTGCAACGGACCCTGCAAGAAACCCCTGGTGGGCACCTCCTTCTACGAGAGGGACGGCCATCCCTACTGCCGAGCGGACTTCGAGCAGCTCTTTGCGGCAAGATGCGCAGGATGTGGCCTGCCGATCACGGAGAACGCAATTGTGGCACTCAACGCCAAGTGGCATCGCGACTGCTTCAAGTGCAAGGTAATCAAATCAAATCAAATAAATTAATGAATAAATTGTGTTAACCAAGTGATTACCTCCAGAAGTGCGGCACTCCCATCACGGCCAGTTCCTTTGCCGTCGAGGACAACAAGCCGTTGTGCACTTCCTGTTCGGGCTAAGAAATTACGTATACGCACTCGCATTCGTATCCAAAGCCTACCAATCGCTTCGATATCCATGTATATTATCTATTCTTATGGTATTTGTAGTAATCCAAATTGTTGAACGCCAGTCAAGGTCGTGGAAATGGAAAATCGCAATCCACTCGACGGGAGGAAAAGTTGAAATCTTTGATGGACAGCAAACACGAAAAGTGCATTTGAAGTGAAGCGAAAGTGATGGGAATTCTTTCGGGGCAGCGGGGGATGTTAATGCTTAAAATAATTATAATTCTGCCTAGTTGATATCTATGCTGTTTATTCCTCTCTCACTCCCACTCACACTCACAACCCCCCACCCCCCAAAGCAGCCCACAAACCACCCGACACCATCCTCTCGCTCTTGAAATTCTCTTGACCGTTTTTGTGCTGCACAAAGTATCTGATAAATGGTATATAAATAAAAATTAATCTTGAATCATTGTTGATATCTCTTACAAATAAACGAAATACAAACAAGTGATGATGCTACTTTTCTGCGAATCATAAGTGGTTGGTGCTTAGCTGGAAGCCAAAAACAATTCTATTTGAGGAGATTAAACTAGGTGGGTTGTTCATTTCTTGGTAGTAAATGCACATAAGTTTTGTTAACAATTTAAAAGTAAACAATCTAACTTTCCATAAAAACCTCTTTTCTTCCTTTTCCAAAATGTCATTTTATTTGCATTACTACGATTACTTGTTACTTAACAATTTGGTTTGTGCCAGCGCACTTGATCGGCTAAAGCGAAGTTGGTAAAGATCGGGGAGGATAATGCATAAAGAATTTGAAGTCGAGGATTCGGTCTAGTGGTTCTGGTGATTCTGGTGGTTATGGTGGGTGCCACCACCACCCAGTTTCTCACCCAGGATGACGCCCAGCGACTTCATCAGCGGATCGAGAACCTGTTGCACCTGCGAACGGGAGACCAAGTGGAGGGCGTCCAGCAGAGCGCGATGCAGCTGCTCCTCCTGGGGGTAGGGTGGCAGCTCCCCCTGCTTCCACTGGCGCAGGGAGTCCCCCATTGGACCCATGCCACCCATGGCACCACCAAAGTAACCCAGAGTGGGCATCATGCTCTGCGAACTGGAGATGGTGGTGACATCGTTGTTCTCGCTCAACTGCATTTGCGTTTGGATGTCGTCGCCCGCAATGGACGGTGGTTCCTGCAGATCGGATGGCAGCTCCACCGGCGCAGTTCCAGTGGCGGCCACTCCCGGACTGGGATGATTTCTGGGACGGCGCACCCTTAGCCGCTTGTCCGCCGGCTGGCGTTCCTTGGGCACCAGACGCGGTTCGTAGAGCTTCAGGTCGTTGAGGCACATCTTGAGATCGTACCGCTGGTGGGAGCGCAGCTTCTCCTGCCTCGGCTGGGTGGTGGGCATCCGCGACGACGGCTTCTTCTTGCGGTGGTGCGGATTGGCGGAGTGGCCGGCCACCGGGTGAGTGGGAGTGCGGTGCATCCGACGGAGAGCCTCGCGGGCGAGCTTGAAGCGCTCCTCCTGCATGTCCTCGATGAAGCTGAGGAAGCGGGTGCACCGCTCCAGGAGGCACTCCACCACCGGATCGTGGCGGTCGAGCATGCCCTTGTCCAGGCAGCAGTTGGTCATCGTGTAGATCATCTCGACGAGGGCGCTCAGCTTCTGCGGCACCTTCTCCAGCAGGAAGTAGCGCAGCTGGCGCTGGTACGTCTGGATGGACTGCTGCATCAGTCCGTACACGCACACCACCCGCTGGCAGGCCTCGTTGGAGGTGGCGCTGTTGAAGCTGGCCACCGAGGTGATCCGCACGTCGTCGATCATCCCCTTCAGCGGATAGAGGAAGTTCCTCGAGAAGCGCACGCAGAACTCGAAGGCGTTGCGCTGCCGCTTCTGGCGCTCCTGCGCACTGCAGCTGGGCACCTGGAGCTGCAGCAGGCTGGCCTGCAGCTTGTCCAGCGCACTGATGATCCTCTCCTGCGTCAGCGTGATCTTGTTGTAGATGCCCAGCTTCTCGAACTTCAGATCCTCCAGGGACTTGCTGTAAACGACCAGTGGCTTGGGCTTCCTCTTCTTGCCCGCTCTTTCGGGGGAACTCATCCGGTTGCCTTTGTTCTGAGTGGTGGCCACTTTTGGGGGATTGAGAATGGCATTGGGATTGGTATTGGGATTGGAATTGGGGTTTTGCTGCACAGCTCCCAGCAGCTCTCCCCCAGCAGCTGATCTCACTGGTTTTCGCAGCCTAGAATTAGTATTTGCATTTCCATTTGCATTTGTTGGGTTCTCCTTTCCCTTAGTTTTGCGGATTTTAGCACTCCTTTGGTTGCGAGCCACCTGAGACTTCTGGGTGCCCCTCTTCTGGTTGGTGATCCTGCGCAGATCCAAGGGCGGCACCACCACCTCCCGATCCTCCCGATCCGCCAGGCTGCGCAGCGTCTCCTCGGACCGCTGCGAGGTGTACCGCATGGGCGAGAGACTCCTGAGCAGACTCAGCCTGTGCGGCCGATGCTCCAGCTCCACGAAGCACGGCTGGACGGATCCGCCCGTCGGAAGCTGCCGTTGCGGGGTCTCCTCATCGCTGGAGGAGCACGAGGGCCGTGGCTCCACGTAGCGCAGGTAGCCCTGCCGGTCGGCGTACTCGTGCTCCAGGTCGCTGTCCTCCAGGAAGAACGGTGTCAGTGGCTCCGGCTCCAAGCTGCCGTGCTGCTCCATGAACTGGTAGGCGGCCAGGGGCGTGGCGTCCTGGGCGTGGCAGACATTCACCCGGATCGCCTGGGACACCATGGCCGAGGGCATTATGTCCACCCACTTGGGCTGCGGTGTGTGGTAGTCCTCGAAGGACACTCGACCCTCGGCGGCCATCGAACTCTGGCCCTCGGCTTCGGTTTTCCTCGAGCTCATCCTGTTCCTTCGCCCCTTCGTTGGATTTCGGTGGCCGCCAGTGGCTCGTGGCGTTGCATTGGGACTGGTTTTGGGTGGCCCACCCATTGTCTGCAGCTCGGCGCAGACTTCGCGATGCAGTTCCTCCAGCCGCTCCAGGGTTTGGCCACTCTGAACGGGATCCAGCTGGCGCCTCCTTCTGGTAACCGTCGCTGCTGGTTGCCTCTTTCTGCTCCTGGATTTCTTCTTAACTCTTTTCGGCGACTCGGCGCCGCCACAAAGGCGCACTTCCAGCGGAGGAGAAGGCGGGCGAGGCAACTGGACATCCTCCTCGTCCTTGTCGTTGTCGCCGTCGCCGTTCAAGAAGTTCTCAATCTCCGTTTGCGAATCGAGCGACAGCTGGGTGACCACGTCCAAGTCCCTGGAGGTCACCATGCTGTTTACATCCTGGCCGGGCTGGCGAACTTTGCAGAAGCGCGGCATGCTGGGCACTTGGGACTTGTCCCGCAGCCGCTTCATTTGCGCCAACTCGGCGCCTCGCATCGCATTGTACCGCCTCACCGCATTCGGAATGGACTCCGGACCAGTAAACTAAGTAATTATAGTTCAAATACAATTACTATTTCACTACAACTACAATTTACTAAAAGAAAAAGCATCCCCTGTACACAAATAAGCCACCCATTCAATCCCCCGATCAGCAAGAGAATCTATTTACCCGAAACTCCAAGTTGCTACCTCGACCGGGATTCTCCGATTCGTAGGTGGACCCGTAAATGTCCTGGTAGTTCATCTTCCCCTCGGTAGCGATTCGATTCGATTTCGATCTGGTAGCTCTTCCCTCAATTTACTTCGTCAGTTTGTGGTTTCTTTTAGCATGAAGAGATGAACCGGATTCAATTTTGAGCTAAGCGGTCTTCCAAAAATACAAAAAATCTAAAAAATTCTGGAGTCGATTTCTGTTGATAAGTTATGCTTGAACGTTTCGATCGACTTGATTTCTAGTCATTAAACTCTGCCCAAACTGACGACGTTTGCCGCCCCGCACAGTTATTTTTACTATTTCTACTTTATTTTTTATAAAATATTTTTAATTTTATGGTGATATAGTTAATATACTTACAAACATATATTGTATTATTATTTATTATTAGTTATTATTATTTATTTTTATTTATTATTATTTATTATTATTTATTATTATTTATAATTATTTATTATTATTTATTATTATGTACTATTATGTATTATTATTTATTATTATTTATTATTATGTATTATTATTTATTATTATTTATTATTATTTATTATAATTTATTATTATTTATTATTATTTATTATGATTTATTATTATTTATTATTATTTATAATTATTTATTATTATATACTATTATCATAGGGATCCTATGTTTTATTTATTAGGGAAAATTAATTTAAGAAAATAAACATGCAATTAAATTGAGTGTTTTTTGTTGGCTTTTTGTTGGGTGGATTTTTAATTTTAGACACCAGGCGAACAAAAACGTGTAGCAGGTATATTTTGAATTATTCCAACTAATATTTATTTGACGCGACCCTCTGTCCATTTGGACAGCCAAATTGGCAATTTCTGAAAACGAAATACCAGGTGAACAGAAATACCTAGAAGGAGGCTACAAAATCCGAAATTTAAAATATGCGATCCACATACGATCCACTGGGTTTGAAACTCGGCTATGGTTATTTCGATTTTGTAACCACCTTCTAGGCATTTCTGCTCGCCTGGTATTTTGTTTTTAGAAATCTGCAATTTGACTGTCCAATCGGACAACAAAAACTCTTCGTTTCGTTTCCCCTGCCCAGAAAAAAACAGCATTGTCTTACAGAATAGATTGCACTGGTTGAACGCTTTATTCGGGACTTTCCCTTCTATCCTTGTTCACAATAAATATTACGACGAAGTTTCCAACTCTAATCCTAAGCATGCTTAAAAGAAAACAAAAAATCCTTAAACAAGATCCGCAGGAGACCGCCGCCGCCTCAGCCGAAAATGTTCGAGTAGAGGCTGTTCAATCCATTGCTGATGGTCGAGAAGATGCCGCTGTCGCTGGAGGCGGCGCCCGCGTAAGGCGGTACGGGCGGCCGGTAATGCTGCGGTGCCGGAATCGGGCGGTACAGCCCGCCGGGACCCACGCCGCCCACTCCGCTCACGCCACCCACTCCGCCGACGGCCACTCCGGCGGGACCCATGGGTCCAATACCCTCGATGCGCTGCGAAGTCAACGAACAAGATGTTATCCCTGGATCGCACCTCTTGATCCCCGAATGGGATTTGATTTTGTCTTTTCAGCATGAGGTCCAAAAAACCATTGGGTTACAAATTAAACCCTTTACCAGGGAAGCTCTTAGAAGCTACGGGTGTTAGTCCTTAAATTTGTTGGCTCGTGTATTAGCTTTAGAAAAATAATATCAGTCGGTAAACCGAACTGCATATACACCCTTGCAGCTATAAAGTTAAGTTAAGTAGGAAACAAATTTAACTAAATTTAAGGAGGAATTGGCTAAAACCACTACAAGGATATATCTTGATTAAAAAAAGGAAAAATTAAAGTAAAGGTGTTAAGGAATTAAGTGAGCGAGGTGTTTGGTTTAAGAGTGTTAGTTAGCACGTTGTTGGCCTAAAGCACTTGACCTATTATTTACACGCCGGCCATTCAATCGAGACTGCATCGCGATTGTTCAGTTATTCAGTGGATAGCTTTCCGTTGACGCGACGCTTCGCAGATTTCGTGGCGGGCACCAGGTACTGTTCGTTTATCGATTATCGGTTATCGTTTATCGGTTAGATCGGAGGGGGATCAGAGGAATTAGAAAGACAGAGGGTTAGCCGGCACCAGAGGTTGCTGCGGGTGGAAGTGGAGACCCCAATCCGCCGCCAACGGGGTGACCTACCTTCGAGGGCTGCAGCGTTACGTTCAAAAGCGTTGGATGCTGCTCCACAATCACGAACTCCACCTCCCGAGGAGCAAAGCCCTCGGCAAAGACCTTGAATGGGAATGGATTATATCATATGTTATAAATAGTATATTTCATAATATTATTTGATATAACTCACCTCCACTTTGTAGTAGCCGGGCAGGAGAATGCGCCAGAACTCACCGTACTTGGTGGTCTGGAAGCCCACGTCGCGACCCTTGATCTTGATGGAGGCCCGCTCGATGGGCATGCCCGCCGGATCGAACACGAAGCCCTGGACACCTCGGTGCGCCTCGGCCAGGAATTTGATCAGGGACTACAGTGGAAGCATTAGAAATAATAGTTAAATGAACAGGTGAGGATAGTCATTAAGATATTATAAAAAACTAGAGAGGAACTAAAGGAAATAGAAGAGACCAATCTACAATTGAAAACTTCCCCAGGAATTTAATATTCAGAGTATTCCGGATTTCTTCTTCATCACTCTACTCTATTGTACATTTATCCGTATATTATTGGATAATCAATTATATTATGTCCTATCTACACATTATTCGGTTCAATTAAACATCTCTTACTCACTTTCTTAACCAACTCAGTCACTCACCAGCTGATTGTCCTCCCAGTACTTTTTGAGCTCGTAGGCGGGCGGGAACTTGCAGCAGGATATCTCGAGGGTGATCTCCATGCAGCCGTACCACACGTAGTTGTAGTCCTGCATGCCGCCGGTGAGGGGATACCAGGCCGCTCCGTTCGTGATGCCATTCTCGAAGGCGGGCGTGGCCGACTTGCAGGCGACGCCGCGTGACATCTTGGCATGGTTGCGGGCATAGACGAGTGATAGGTGCTTGAAGACATCGTCGTCGGGGGTTAGCGATGGCGCCGCCGAGTAGGTCTGGAACACTGCGCCCAGGGGACATGTTTGGCGGAACGGAAAGAGAAGCAGACACGATTAGAGGGATCGATCTCGATCGGTTCGCGGGGACTCACTCGCGCACAGGGCGGACGAACGGCAGATCCCTTTGAGCAGCCATATTGGTGGGAGGATACAGAACGAGCTTTATCAATCGGAACGCGAAAGGTAATCGAAAATGCCAACAAAAAGGGGAACGAAGCGGGAAACACGTCCTTGCAGATTGGATACTTATTCCAAACAGAAGTTTCTTCAGAAAGTTCTCAAAAAACTCCATTACTCGAAACCGCTTAAAGTGTTTATTTATTTCAACTTCAGAGTTGCAATTAAATTCCCTACAATTTCTTGATATTAATCCAAAAATATCACTCAACTAATTACTGGACTTTGTAAGTCTTTTTTGATAACAGCCATTGACGCTTTTTTGGATTATCTTATAACCAAGTAATGTGCTAGCTATTCCCACTTTAATTATCTCAAAGAATAGTTATCAAAACAATGTGCTCCCTAACAAAGTTTCAGTTGCGATCCACTCTTTTTTAAATCAGTTTGAATCCAAGAGAGAGTCCAATAATCAGACAAAGGCTTTCAGATTGCAACTATTTGAAATCAGTTTCCGCAAGGACATGCAAATCACATAGGGACATACTCCTGAGACTACTTACTGGAGTTGGGCGTATTGTCGTAGGGATAACTGGCCACCAGGGCACCGCCATGGAGGCTGCCACTCAGCACAAACTGGATCTTGGATATCCAGTCCTTGACCGCGTCCGTTTCCGGCTGGCCGCGCTTGTTGTTCTGCTTGAAGTAGTCGGGGAAGTTGCGGTTCAGATCGAAGCCACGGGCATTGTATCTATATTAAATAGTTTATAAGCCATTACAGCTATCTATTGAGAGAGTTAAGAGGAGGAGAAACAAACCTTCCCTGACCGCCGTCGCATGTTCCCTCCTTGGAAACGGCATAGCCATCCGGATTCATGGTGGGCAGGATGTGGATCCGGGTGTTGTCAAGCAGCCACTTGACGTACTGGTCCGAGTTGTAGCTGGTCACGAAGTACTGGATGAGGTGGAGCAGCATCTCCCTGCCCACCGGCTCGTTCCCGTGGATGTTGCCCACGTACTTCACGTCCGGCTTGCCCACCATGTGCTCGTACGGCGACGAGCTGACCACCATCACCCACAGATCCCGTCCCTGGATCGACTTCCCGATCGAGTACAAGGCGGTGAGGTTGGGGTACCTCGCACTGGTGGCTCTGTTTCACGAATCATAAATAAGTCGAAGGGGTTACAAGTCGGATATACTAATAAGATATGCTAATAAGATTTATATTAATCAAAAACTACAATTAAATTCTGTTTGGAAATTACAAATAAATCGAAAGGGTTACAAGTCGGCTTTACTGCTAATCAGATTTGTATAAATAAAAAAAATAATTCAAATGCTTTCAATTTAAAAGTCAACAATGCTCGCTTTGAAAAACACAAATGGGTAACTGTCTTTCCCTTCTTCATAAAAAAGACATATCACTGAGATATTTGATAAGCTACTAAATTATAAAAAAAATTTAAGACATGCTGAATAAACAAATTTTCCTACTACTAGTAAGATTTATATAAATCATAAACAATAATTTAAATGCTTGCAATTTAAAAAACTACAATGCTCGCTTTTAAAAACAAAAAACAAAAATGGGTAACTGTCTTTCTTTTCTTCATAAAAAAAAAAAAACATATCACTGAGATATTTGATAAGCTACTAAATTATAAAAAAATTCAAGACGTGTTGAATTAATAAATTCTCTTACTGCTAATAAGATTTATATAAATCATAAACAATAATTCAAATGCTTTCAATTTAAAAATCAACAATGCTCACTTTGAAAAACAGAAATATAATATTACAATATAATATTGATAATAAAAAATGGTATTATCATGCAACTCATCTGAGAAATCTCTCAAAAATGTTAATTTAATTGGGAATTTCTCAAAGATATTTGGCAATAACCCAAGAAAGAAAGTATATATAAAATTAAGAGCTATTTTTAAAGAAAACAAATAATAATGCAATATATATACAAAAATTTTTTATCATAAGAAAATGTTTTCATTCGAACTGAAACGTTTTTTATTATTTTCTTGGAAGACTGAAGGCATTGTTTTGAGTTCGTTCTCCCTTAATTTTCGGTATATTGAAGGACTCACCTGAGAAACCTGGTGAGCTCCTCGTGGTCGTGGTAGACAAAGTCCAGGTGCTGGGCATCGGGCATGTAGGCCCTCGGCTCCGGAAGAGCCGCCTCCGGCGAGAGCTGGATCTGGTGGTGCTGCATCGCCTGCAGCGGATCGCCGGGATTGACCGTCTTGGCATCGCAGACGGAGTGCGGCAGCAGGAGCAGCTGGAGCGGGAGGAGCAGGAGCAGCTGCAGCAGGACGGAGGGCAGGCGTTGATGGAGCTGGACTTGGCTGCCGGCGAGTGGCGGCGTTCGCAAGATCATTTTCGGTCGACGGCGAGTCTGCGAATGGTCAAAACTGGCGGCCAAACAGACCATTTAAGACTTGGCTCTCTGGCGGGGAGAAATGCGGTTCGAGATGAGAGCCAACTGGTTGTGCCGCTGGCCAAATCGAATCAAATTGCGAGGCGATGGGATGAGATGCTATGCGATGGAATGGGATGAGAAGCAATGCAATGCAATGGGATGAGATGAGATGAAATTCAGTTTGTGATGAGATGAGCTCTGGCTACGTGCGAATCGAGATCTACGATCTGCGATCTGGGATCGATGGCCCCGTCGACGTTTGGTGTGCGGCATGCCTCAAACGTGTTCGCCCTGGATCTTTCCCCCCGGTGACACTGGCATTGCCACTGAAACTGCCACTGAAACTGCCACTGCCACCATCCATCACCGAAACAGAGTTCATTGATACACGGCAAAGGAAATGCCCATCACATAAACATCATATTTATCACATCTTAAACTTAAGCTTAATGAGTTACGAAAGTCTCAAAGGAGATGGAGATTGCCTCGTAAAAAAAAAACCACGCGTACATTATATCACTTCGATTGCATGTTGTATAGCGCTTACTTTAAATATAATAATTAATTAAATTTTATGGCAGGCTAAACGCTTTTTATTAGGTGTTAAAAGTGCTGTAGGTAAAATATATTATTAATACGTAATTCGCAATGAATTGTATACAATTTCTAGCGAGTTTGTTATAACTGAATATGAATGCAACTATTTTTCATTGAATGCTGAACAATAGTATATAATTTTGCCATCCCTATCGGGTTCCCAGAAACAGAAACTGATCCCCGCAGATAGCCTGATATGGCATGATAGCCTTTGCCGATCCGAGGGCTTGTCTAATCAGAAGAGGTCCGTCACCGGATGGCTCTATCTGCCCGGCCTATCCATCCGGCTATCTGCTGCCCACTCCCGATAAGATAGCCGCCGCCCCCAGGTGAGTCCTATAAGAGCTCACGCCATCGCTGCGAGCCCATCATAAGTCAAACAGAACAGAATCGCCGCGAAATGAGGCTGACCCTCGCACTTGGAGTACTCTTGGTGGCAGGAGCCGTGTCTGCCCAGCCGCAGGGAAGGATCGCCGGGGGCGAGGACGCCGTTCCCGGCCAGCTGCCCTACCAGGCGGCCCTCTCCGTCGGCGGCAGCTACAACTGCGGAGCGGTGATCGTCGCCGAGCGGTACGCCCTCACCGCCCTCAGTTGCGTCTGCTCCGACGGCAAGGACACCCCGTGAGTACAAAAAAATATGAAAAAAAAAAATAAAAATATTCAAATATAATATAATAATTATAAAGAATAAATTGCACTTAGTTTAAGAACAATAGCTTTTGGAAATAGTTCGAATAATTTGTCAATGCAAATATACAATTTACAATTGCAATAAATTTCCATACAAAATTTAAGTATTCTTTGTAAAGGTATGAATCACAGTTCTTAGAAACCTATTTTAAAAGAGAAAGCTATTCCCTGATATGTAGAATATTTTCTTTACCAATTCAAAGCAATTAAAAATTGTTCTTAATTTTGAAATTAGAATTTGTAGGAGTATAGGAATGGTGATCCCGTATTCTCTTCATAGAAAACTTTTAAACACACCCTTTCTCTCCAGATAAGATTAATGTTCCCCCTGATTTGGATTTAACTAATATAAATATGATTCGATTGCAGTTGGCCAGCTGTTCTGTTTGCGGTGACCGTGGGATCCGTGGACCTGTACTCCGGCGGCAAGCAGATCCGCGTGGAGGAGATCACCATCAACCCGAACTACAACACCCTGAAGACGGGCATCGCACTGCTCCGCCTGCAGGAGGCCATCCCGTTCGGTGAGAACGTGGCGGCCATTCCGCTGTCGAAGGAGGTGCCACCACTGGGCGCCCAGGTGGAGGTTTCCGGCTGGGGTCGCACCACCGAATCCGAGGCGAACATGCACCGCACCCTGCAGATCGGAGCCGCCGAGGTGATGGCTCCCCGGGAGTGTTCCCTGGCCAAAACGGAGGAGGTTCCCGTGGAGAACGACCAGGTGCTCTGCTTGGGCCACGGACGTCGCGAGGGAATCTGCAGCGGGGACATCGGCGGACCGGCCGTCTTCCAGGGCCAACTGGTGGGTCTGGGTGGCCAGGTGCTCGGCGAATGCGGTGGCATGCTGCCCGAGAGGTTCATCAGCATCGCGGCCAACTTCGATTGGATCCAGCAGCAGTTGCAATAAAGTGATTATCATAAAAAAAAGAGCATGACAAGAGCACTAGCTTTGCATTTTTATGGGCGTTTATCAGGATACTTTACTTAAGAACTTTATATCACATTGAAAGAAAATATATAGTTATTATTTTGAATAACAGTAGGGGGATTTATGAATCCTCCCTTCCTCAAATACAATTCAGTTCCCTGATTTCCGAGTGAAGAATTAAAACAAATGCTTGCAATCAACCAAAGTTTACTTTTTCTGCATTATTAAACTCTTTTGGCGGAAACAAGCTAATATCAGGGAAAACAAAACTATCTTTATCGGGGAAGTACTCCAAGTGAAGTGCTGTAATGGCAAAGATTACAGGATGTGAATCACCGAGGGGTAATTTCACTGAAAACACTAAAGCTGCAAAGCCATTGTATTTTTATAGGAGCTCTCCAACTGAGATTTTCCAAGCAATAAAATGATAGTTGAAAAAAAAAGCACAAATATACATTTTTTTTAATCTCTTTCCAATAAATCGTTTCCCACTTTCACGAACACCACTGCCACCATCCCGTTTCCAGCATCGCATTCATTCAGACAACATATTGGTGGATCCAGTCCAGGTGCTGGGTGACGTCCACGTAGCCATCGGGCTGTCCGGAGTTGCAGCCGCCGGCGAAGAAGGCGGCGATGCCCACCAGTTGGTCGCTGTAAATGGCCGGAGCTCCGGCATCGCCAGTGCAAAGGCCGGCCAAGTCCTCGGCTTCCGGGGCGAGACAGAGCAGGTCCTCCTGCTCCAGGAACAGCTCCTTCTGGCAGTCGGCCTCGCTGAGGGTCAGCCGGCTGGCCACCTGGAGGCCGTGGCTGAGGGATCCCTCCAGCTGGCTGGATCCCCAGCCGGAGAAGCTCAGCTGTGATCCCGCCGGCGGTCGCTCGGTGGCCAAGGCGACGGGTTTCGTGTTGGCATTCAGGGTCACCGGAGATTGCAGCTGCAGCAGGGCGAGGTCGTTGGCTCCCGCCGCATCCGAGCCGGAGTAGTTCGGGTGGATGATCACCTGGGTGAGGGGCACCAGCTGACCACCAGCCAGGCGCTGAATGCTGCCAGCTCGAACGTTGAACGAGCGGGGCGGGTAACTAGTCGTGGGGAATCGCAGAGATTAATTCCTGATTTCAAACCATTTGGGTAGGCTAGTGCTACACAGAGAAAAATTCACAATGCTTTCACTTGGAATTTGTTTGTCTTTCCTTTCTTGATAAAAAAAAAAAAAAAAACATCCTAATGTTTTGATAAGCTATTCAGTTTAAAAAAAAACTTTTAGAAATGTTGATTAAGTTTATTTATTTATTTAACCTTTTAAAAATTGTTCTTCAAATGATCACAGATTGAATTAAATTTGATTTGAGAAGTCACTGTTATTATTGTTACCTAATCTTGGTTTAAGTTACTATACATAATCTCAGACTATAAAAAATCTCAATAAAAACCTTTTAAACATTGTTCTCAAAATGATCACATATTGAATTAAATTTGTTATGAGAAGTCACAATTATTGTATTATTGTTACCTAATCTTGGTTGAAATGATTACATTACGATCTCAGACTATAGAAAATCTCACTGAAAAACCGTTTTCTTGCTTTCTAGTGTTCTATCTGATGTTCAAGTGTAAAGCTTTTCTCTGTGATCTGACTATCTTTGCTACCTTTGCTGTCCTCCTGCCAGACTGACGCAGTGGGCGGCGGTGATGACCCAGTTCTCGGCGACCAAAGCTCCTCCGCAGACGTGGACGCCATTGCGGCGCAGGGAAACGCTGTGCGGCTGGGAGCCCACCTCCGCCGGCGCCCGGCTGGAGTGGCCCCCTCCCAAGGTCACCACGACCAGGAGCAGGGGGGAGGAGGAGGAGCTTGCTTTTCGACTGAACCGGACTCATGTCGGATGGGATCTCAACTGAAAGGGGCTCCTGCCGCCGGGGGAACCTTTATAGAGCCCCGTTTACGACCATGGGTTAAGCAATCTAATCTAATAGGCAATGCCGCCCATAAATCGCCTCCTTATCGCCGAGCACCGAACACACACTCCCCATCGATTAGATCGCCAAGTGGTGACCATCGATTGCCGGGCAGAAAGCCACTCAGTTCAGTTGCCAATCCGACGCCATGGCTGATCCACGCACCACTTTCGGCAGCCCTTTGGGCCTTCTGATCCTCGCCCTGATCCTCACCAGCGGCGAGGCCTCGCCCCAAGGCCGCATTCTGGGTGGCGAGGACGTGGCCACCGGGGAGCACCCCTGGTCCGCCTCCATCCGCCTGAACAAGGCGCACGTCGGCTCCGGCGCCATCATCTCCGCCAGCCACATCCTCACCGCCGCCCACTTGGTCTCCAGCGTGGGCACCACTCCGTAAGTCCATTAGGAAAGTCGCCTTCCTAGATTACCTTAATTTGCAGATTCTATTTCATATATTTTATCTTCTTAAATATCGTATGATATCCTAGATCACCTTAATTTGTAGATTCTATTTCATATTTTTCCTCTTTTAAAATATCATATGAAGTTCGTTTTCTTTGTACTTTATTCTGTACTATTGATGATCGAGATTGAACAAATGCTATCAAGATAATCCAAAGCTTATCCGGAGCTTTTGACATGACACATTTCATAAAAATGTAAGATTACTCAGGGCTTTCCAATATTAACACTTTGAAAACGAAGAAAAATACATATATAAGCTATAACATATTCAATTAAAAACACACACATTCATTTTTGAAAATCAAGACTTCTTCGTATATATAAAATTGTATTAAAATTATTTGGATCCTAAATAGAAACCTACACAACAAACTGATGGTTATAAATGATGGTTAACTTCATCTTTCTGTCATGCATATTACCATGATATGTTTTACCTCCTTCTAAGGCTATCATTCCCAAAACCACTCCATTGCAAAGCAAATGTTGCTCCAAAGAAAGTATTAACTAATCCCCTAATCTATTAATCTAATCCAGGGTGGATGCGGACGCCCTGGCAGTTCGCGTGGGCAGCATCAACCAGTACGCCGGCGGGAGCATCGTGTACGTGAAGAGCGTGACCATCTTCCCCTCGTACGGCAACTTCCTGCACGACATAGCCCTTCTGGAGCTGGAGCAGCCGCTCACCTGGTCCGATCGCGTGGCGGCCATCACCCTGCCGACCGTCGATGAGGAGGCGACGGAGTCGGAGGATCGGGACGAGGAGCTGCCCAACGGCACGCCGGTCTACGTTTCCGGCTGGGGCGAGCTCTCCGATGGCACCGCCTCGTACAAGCTGCAGAAGGCCAACTTCAACACGCTGAGCAAAGCGCTCTGCGAATACGAGGCCGGCTACGGATACGAGTCCGTGGTGTGCCTCTCCAGGGCCGAGAGCGAGGGCATCTGTCGCGGGGACGCCGGTGCAGCCGTCGTGGACGACGACCAGGTGCTCCGCGGCATCACCAGCTTCAACTTCGGTCCCTGCGGCAGCAAGTACCCCGATGTGGCCACCAGGGTGTCCTACTACCTCGCCTGGATCACCGCCAACACCCAGGAGGAGTGAAATCCACAATAATCCATCTTCACACCCACTGAAAGGATTACCCCCTTATTTTTTTGTACATTTTTTTTTGCCGTGCATAAAGTGTGTTTTCCCAATCCGAAAAAATAATAAGGAAATCGTTTTTACTTTGAGTTTATGGTGCAAACTATTAGCCGTCGGAAATTTAGTGCTGGCCATAAAGCAAAAAGCCGATAGAGCAAAAAACCAATGGCGCCGTTCAAAGGTGTTCCTTGGAAATCGTTGGGGCTTATGGGCTGTATTCAGGGATTATCTAACCGAGTTTACTGGTTAATGGGCGGGATGACATTGGTCTTTTTGCAATTACTCTTTATTAAGCCATATATTAAAAACGAAATGCCATGGCTAACTTAGATAGAGATCTTGGGAAAACCTCATTATCTCCCCAAGAAACAAGGCCAAACTTCTGGGGAATTGGCTAGAAAAGATTGCTGATGGATCGCCAATGATTTTGCAAAATCATTATAATCTAAAATTTTTAATCTGTATAATCGCCAAGATATATGGTATATACCCATCTCGGGTATTTCCTTGTAACCATTGGAAGTAATGCTGAATATTAAGGAGCTAACTATTAGATTGATTTTGCTTAGCAGGAACTGAAAGGCATTTTAGTGTATATATTATACTTCATATATAGATTTCCCCTCTTAGTCATGGCTTACTCATCTTTTTCTGCCTGGGGTAGATGGCAGTTGTCTTGTCATGGTCATCGGGTCACCTGGACTTCCCTTCGCGATCCCGTGTAGTTTTATATTTCTCGGCCAATCGATCGTGTGAAATAACAAGTAACCGCAGTCTATGGCAATATAAAACTGGCAATAGTTGCGATAAGATTAGATTTACGCTGATGCCCGAGCCTAAGATAAGGTTTGGTCAAGAGAATGGTGAGGAGGAGGAAGGGGAGAGGGGTTTTCTGAGGAGTCCTCCACTTAAATTGCCGCCGCTGGCGTTGCGCATTTCCAATCCAACCGTCGTGGGCAGCTGAACCTCCCCCCAAAAAAACAAATTAAACAAGTAGAATTATGCAGCGGAAACTTATGCTTTTGGGCCTGATCGGCTTGAGTCTGATGGGCGTTTGCCACGCCTACGGTCGAATTCTGGGCGGCGAGGAGGCGGACCCCACAGCCACGCCCTACGCCGCCTCCCTTCGCGTGGATAACGCCCACGTGTGTGGCGGCAGCATTCTGTCAGAAACCAAGATCCTCACCACCGCCCACTGCGTCCATCGCGATGGAAACTTGTGAGTATTTTGAGTTTGTTATAAGACAATCGAAAGTCCCAAGTGCAACTAGGCGTATGCGTAATATGCGAACTTTTCTAAAGTTTGCCGAATGTGTTTCGTTTACCCAGGCACTGCGGTGTTACTCTATTCTTAGCAGCTGTTAATGATCTTATTTAACCCAAGTTAATGGTAGTTTCCATTCTCTTTTCAAAATAACTTCTGTACTACCAGTCGTATGAGTTATTTTATCTTCACTGAATATTAGTGAAAGATTAATCACTAATTAAATCGCAATCCCCCGAACAGAATCGATGCCAGTCGGCTGTCGTGTCGCGTGGGCAGCACCAACCAGTACGCCGGCGGTCGGATCTACACCGTGGAATCGGTGGTCGTCCACCCGGAGTACTACAGCCTGAAGAACAACCTGGCCGTGATCACGCTGAGCTCCGCTCTGGCCTTCACGGATCGGATTCAGGCGATCCCGGTGGCCGCCAGTGGAGAGAGCCTGCCCGCCGAGGGGGCCGAGGTGACGGTGGCCGGCTGGGGTCGCACCACCGACGGCACCACCTCGTACAAGATCAGGGAACTGGAGCTGACGGTGGCCCAGGAGGCCGCCTGCCTGGACGCGTACAGCGATCATGACGGGGACAGCTTCTGCCTGGCCCACGAACTCAGGGAGGGCACCTGCCACGGCGACGGAGGCAGTGGCGCCGTCTACGGGGGGCAAGCTGATCGGCCTGACCAACTTCGTGGTCGGCGCCTGTGGCTCCCGCTACCCCGATGTCTTCGTCCGGCTCTCCAGCTACGCCGATTGGATCCAGGAGCAGATTGCCTAGACTCCCCGTACACACTTCCCCTCCCAAAATAATAATTTCCTTTTAATTAACAAAAGAAACACAAAAAACAGAAATGGCAAGGTTGCGTTTTTTTTTATAACAGTGACTCAATTGCCTGATTTCGATAAGGATAAGGATCGCCGATTGCCACTGGACACCGGTCAACGTAATAATCACCCACTAAACACTGCCGCCCAACGTGTGAAATGCTCAGTTATTTATGGGCGTATTTTATGATGGCCTCAGTGGCTCCGGTTTTACGGCTCGAAATTCGAGATAGCGATACAGCAATGGGAGAACCCATCAATCTGGCCAATTACATTTATCAAATTCCTTTTTCAGTTTTGAAACAGGACTCTGATTTTTGCTTAAATTTTATTGATTTCCTCATGTAACTTGGTCAAAAATAGACCAACATAGCAGGAAACCAAAGTAATCGATCCCATCTACAAAATTTCTCTGGTAGTCACATTTTTTTTGGAAAAAAAATTTAATTTTTGATTTGAATGGCAATCGATTAAGAATCTTATTACGAGCTTAACGAGGTATGGCATTCCCGAATCTGCCCAATATTTCTCTTGTTATGGCTAAAAAAAACTGGGTTCTTTGGGTGAAAAATGACAATCAGACATTTTTACATTTTTGGTAAAGGGGTCGCATTTTTTGGAAAATTAAAAAAATATATTTTTTCTCAGGTTTGAATGCCAATGAATCGAGAATCTTGTTACGAGTTTAACGAGGCATTGTATGTTATATTCTAGCCAATATTTCCGTTGTTATGGCTAATACAAATTTGCAGTTCCCGGAACCAAACTACTAAATTTAGTCGCATCCGAACCCTTTCCATCGAAAGTTATGCAACCCTTTCTTGACTTCTCCCCATTATTCCCCTGTAATTAGAGGGGCTTCATTCGCAAAAAATGAGACAACTAAAGCTAACCAAATTAGGTTAAAGCTCGATAGCGACATTTACTTTGACACTTTGGGGAACTAATGATGATGAGCGCCTTAATTTCTTTTGGAATATATATAAAGCCAAGGGAAAATCCCTTTAGAAAGTACAACTTTTTGGGGAGTAAAACCTTTAAGTCATGTTGCCTTTCTGGAGCCTTCTGCTGCTGCTGCTGTTTTGTGCCACCGGAGCTCTGGGTCACAGGAACAACTCCGATGTGGAACCGCGCATTGTTGGCGGAACCAAGGCGACTGAGGGCCAGTTTCCCCACCAGGTTTCCCTTCGCCGTCGAGGAAGTCACACCTGCGGTGGATCCATTATATCCAACAATTACGTGGTCACCGCTGCCCATTGCGTGAAGCAAGGAAATAATGTGTGGGTATAACAGAGTATCATTTACATATATATATACCGATTTCAAATAACTAAATTTCCATCTAAATCCTTAGGGTTCCGGCCAGCCAGCTGTCCATCAATGCGGGCAGCCTGCTCCTTTCGAGCGGCGGCGTAACGATTCCCGTGGCCGTGGTCACCGTGCATCCTGAGTACCGGGGCAATGGCCACGATGTGGCAGTGCTCCGGCTGAAGAGCTCCCTCACCTATTCCTCGAACATTGCCGCCATCCAGCTGGCCACCGAGGATCCGCCCAACGATGCCACCGTGGACATCTCCGGCTGGGGCGCCATCTCCCAGCGGGGTCCGATCTCCAACTCGCTGCTCTTCGTCCAGGTGAAGGCCCTGGCCAGGGCGACCTGCCAGCGGGCGTACCTGCGCCAGCTGCCGGCGACCACGATGTGCCTGCTCCATCCGAAGGACAAGGGCGCCTGCTACGGCGACTCCGGCGGACCGGCCACCTACGAGGGCAAGCTGGTCGGGATTGCCAGCTTCGTGATCGGCGGATGCGGACGCAATGCACCCGATGGCTACGAACGGGTCTCCCAGCTGAGGTCCTGGATCAACGAGAAGGCGGCCTTGTAGGCCACGAAAAAGGTCGCCAGCTTGGGTGAGCAATGGGTCTGGAGAAGGCATTGTAATTTGAACACTTGCTATATGATTATTTTAAATCATTGCAAACCTTCTAGTAGAACCGAAAATTATTCTCATCCGATTTCGTAATGCCTTTTGGCAGTTAATTAACCTACTATTATTATATGTATCCTAACTTTTTTTCTGCGTTTCAAATTTAAATTTGAAATTTAAATTTGAAATGAAGCAAATTACTATATTTTATCGAGCACCAAAGTATATTAAAAGAAGCAGCACAGCAAAACCAATACAACTTGTGTTATTAATTCCTTATAGGGATACCAATATATACTTTTAGCTTGCTTGATATATGGTATACAGTGGCTCACAGCTTAAAGTATGCAGTGCATACTTTTAACTTTAAACGCCCATAGCGGTAAAACTATAAGGAATATTGGAATAAACAAGGTGCCAAATGAAAGATTAACTTATTTAGAATAACGTAACAAAATCATTTATTTTCAAAAACGGCTTAAACACAAAAAAAAACTTTAAAAATGAAAAATACAGCTTATATTCAGCTCACAGCTTATTTTATGCAGTCTCAAAAATGTTCAAAAAATAAGGAAAAAACTCAAAAATATAACGTTTTTAATATTTGGTATGGTAACCATTGTTGTCAACGACATCTTTCAGCCTTTTCGGCATTGATTCAACCAATTTTTGGGTGACTTCTGACGAGATCTTTCCCCACTCCTTCATTAGGGCATCTTTTAAATCATTTTTGTTAAAAATATGGTAATTTCTAATATTATTATCCAAAATGGCCCATAAATTTTCAATAACGTTGAGGTCCGGTGACTGAGCCGGCGTATCCACAACGTGAGGGCAATTGTACAGCAACCACATCCGCACAATTCCAGCCTTGTGCTTTGGATCATTATCCTGATAAAAGCGGAAATTGTCTTTTATTCCAAGATCCTCGGCACTTTGGACCAAATTGTCCTTTAATATTTGAAGGTATGCTTTTTTATCCATTGTCGATTCAATAAAAGTCAGTTTTCCAGGGCCAGGAGCTGACATACAGGCCCAAACCATCACGCTGCCACCGCCGTGCTTTACCGTTGCCTTCAGGTTCTTTGGTTCAAGCTCTGTATTGGGCTTCCGCCATACATAAGCGTTACCGTCTGATCCAAATATATTCAATTTGGATTCGTCTGCAAATATCACTCTTTTCCAGAAGTCGGGGGTCGGCGGAAGCCCAATACAGAGCTTGAACCAAAGAACCTGAAGGCAACGGTAAAGCACGGCGGTGGCAGCGTGATGGTTTGGGCCTGTATGTCAGCTCCTGGCCCTGGAAAACTGACTTTTATTGAATCGACAATGGATAAAAAAGCATACCTTCAAATATTAAAGGACAATTTGGTCCAAAGTGCCGAGGATCTTGGAATAAAAGACAATTTCCGCTTTTATCAGGATAATGATCCAAAGCACAAGGCTGGAATTGTGCGGATGTGGTTGCTGTACAATTGCCCTCACGTTGTGGATACGCCGGCTCAGTCACCGGACCTCAACGTTATTGAAAATTTATGGGCCATTTTGGATAATAATATTAGAAATTACCATATTTTTAACAAAAATGATTTAAAAGATGCCCTAATGAAGGAGTGGGGAAAGATCTCGTCAGAAGTCACCCAAAAATTGGTTGAATCAATGCCGAAAAGGCTGAAAGATGTCGTTGACAACAATGGTTACCATACCAAATATTAAAAACGTTATATTTTTGAGTTTTTTCCTTATTTTTTGAACATTTTTGAGACTGCATAAAATAAGCTGTGAGCTGAATATAAGCTGTATTTTTCATTTTTAAAGTTTTTTTTGTGTTTAAGCCGTTTTTGAAAATAAATGATTTTGTTACGTTATTCTAAATAAGTTAATCTTTCATTTGGCACCTTGTTTATTCCAATATTCCTTATAGTTTTACCGCTATGGGCGTTTAAAGTTAAAAGTATGCACTGCATACTTTAAGCTGTGAGCCACTGTATATATGTACGTATAATATATATTATCATATATAAGCCAAATGTATTTAGCACTGTTCCGCTTTGCTTCCAGCGAGGAAGTCGCCGATGCTCCCCTTTGCTTTTGGGGTCATCTCTACATGACTCATTTGCGAGCCAACGAGATGTGACCGCTTTTCAGAACCGTCTGATTCGCCGTCTCATTCGCATCTCTCGTCTCTTTTTGGCCGCTAAGCGGTTTATCAGAGCGCGGCTTTTCCCCGCCCTTTCCCCAACCCCCCCATAGCCAGCCAGTGAAAGTGAAAATGAAAAGCAACTCCGCACAGCTCGCCCAACTCTTTCTATTATTGCTCGGTAATTTTCCGCTTTTTTTCGGTTAAAGTTTTTTCCAGCACTCCGCGTTTAATGACTTTGTTTTGCTTTTCATTTAACTGGTCTCGCGCCTTTTATTTATTTTTCAGTTTTCAGTTTTCAGCTTCGAGAGTTTCAATTTTCCACTGATTTTCTTTTGGGCGCAATTATCGGATCGCTGGGGAGCGTGGCGTGCCACGCTGCTTTTTACTTGACCCTGCCACTAAAAAAGCGCAGTGTTTTTTATACAAAACAATCTTTTGGATTGACAATCTTTTGGTCCGCCAGTCAAAGAGCTGCTCGGAATGCAGTTCACGGCCCAAGCCATTGAACCCCTTTAAGAAGAGCTTGAAAACCCAATGATCTACGATCTTGGTGTTGGCTTCAGAATATATGAATATTTATAGCGCATTATCTGAATTCAGTCAACCCATATAATAAATAACAAATTGTTTTGGCATTACTAAGCGAAGATGTACTGAGAATATCTCAAAGAACTCATTTTTTGTTTTTGAAACCACCTTACTTTTGAAATTACAAATTAAAAAGGAGTTTAATGAACTATAATTTCTCTTGTCAGCTTTAAAATTGTCTTATAACTTTTAATTAATGCTATGAATTTTCCACCTATTTTCACCCGAACCGTTTAAAGTAATTTACAAATGTTTCATCTGAAAAAGTAAAGTACAACTCGTTTCCAAATTGACAATTCCATAAGTCAACTGCCTGCGAACCGATAATTATTTAAACTGCTTCGCACTTACAACTTAAAACTCTTGATGGTTTTAATTAGACATTGAAAAAAATCAAATAAATAAATAATTGTTACTATCTGTTTATAAATTATATTCCACAAATGAAAACTGAATTCAAAAGAAAAGTTATGATATGTTATGGAAGATAATCGCTTTTAAGAAATCAATTTCCCTTACATTAATCTTTACCAAAATTAAATTTTAATAAATTTTATAATTCGGCTCAGTGTAGTTGAAACCTGATAAAAAATCGCGGCGTTTATCAGCGCCGCCCCACTCGAATGGCTCAATTTCACCTGGAGCGTGGTTGTGGTTTTAGCTGTTGTTGTGGCTGAGCCAGTTCCAAGAAGCCACCGGAGCACCACCAACTCCGCCTGGCCAACTGGGCAACTGGGCAACTGAGCAACTGAGCAACAACATTCAAAAGTCGAGACATGTCGCATGTGGCAAACAAATTTCTTCTCATTTTGGGCCTCAGTTTCGATTAGCATGGAAAGCGAGTGTAAGTGGCTTTTAATGGTCAGAGCAATGCCAAAGCCGATCGGCGGGTTAATGGTAACGGGTTTGCCCGAATCCGGCCCGGAGAAAGACTGCCGTCTCATCGGAGACCGAAGACTGAAGACTGAAGACAGCAGGCTAAAGACTGAAGACTGAAGACTAGAGAATGCAGAGAGGGAGAGTTAAAGAGTGGAGCAGGCCAGTTAACCCACTAACCTTGTTAGCCGAAAGTGGGCAGCCGCTGGCCAAAAGGCGCTCCGCCACTGTCAAGTTCAATGCTAAGCCCGCCCCAAGGGGCCACACCCATGGCCAAAATTGTAGTGGCCAACTATTGATGGAACAAAAATATTTTAATTATTTTCAGAATTGAAGATCCTCAATTCCTTTTAAAATACTTCGCAGCTTCTTAATGTTCATGAATATTTATTTATGGCATTTTTATATTTATAACTTGCTTCTTATTAAACAAAATTTGTGAAACCAACCTTTAAAAAAATGTGTTTTAATAATGACTAAATTTATAGAGTCTGCCCATCCTTGTTATAGTGCCCCTGATTTTTGGTGTGTCCTGGCCCACTAACGTCATGGCCACTGCTGTCCAAAAAAGAGGCGGAGGACAGTGGGCGTGCCGGGGGTCAAATTGTGGCCTTCGAAGGAGGCGACATGCGCACTGGGTTAGTGAGCCAACCGCCAGGGGGCGTGGCGGGTTGGGGTGCGCGATGGTGCGATGTGGTGTGGTGTTGTAGGGGGTGGGGGTGTTTATATAACAACAATGCGAGTGCAGACTCGCCTGCAATATGACCTTCACCTTGGCAGTGGCTGATGGCTGATGGCGAGTGGCATGTGGCAAGTGTTGGCAGCAAGGCCGCGCCTGCACCACCAAGTGGGAAAGCGAACGAGCGCCCAACCACCCACGGCCATCGAGATTTGGCCTTGATCTTAAACTTTCCCACGAACAGCAGAAAGCACTTACCTGTTTTCCTGTTTTCTGAGCTTGTTACTCTTCTATTATTCTTGCAGATGCTGCCTCTTTCTTCCTCTCACCTCTTCTGCAACGGGAAATTTGCATAAAATATTCAATCAACAACTTTCATTGTTCCAGGCGGCTGACGTTGCCGGGCTTCAATTTCGCACACGAAAAAAAAATACGAAAAAAAATAGAAGCAAAACAAACAGAAAGCAAAACAAATTCCCTTTTTGTTTTTGGGTAGTTTCTCTTTACGCCCACGCGAATGCCCAAATTAGCACTAAAAAACCGTTAAAGGGGGCCAAATACTCAAATACTCGCGCGGGGTGGGGTAGACAAGTCGACAGGAAGAAACGCGTTAAACGGATTCTTTTCGGAGGCTTACACTTTTGCACTTTCCCAGGCCAGATGACAAGCACCAAAGACCAAACCAAAGAAGAACGGCCAAAAACCAGAATGAAATCGGAGAGAGAGAGCAAGTTTTGAAAACGCGTCCGATTGCCAGCGCCGTTAAAGTTCGACTAAGTTTGTGGCGCGTTGTGCGTGTGCGATGGAGGCCAGAAATCAGAAATCAGAAACCAACCTGCCAATGCTACGACCTCCACCTCACTCACAAGTGGTTGGCTCAAAAGGAGCCCCTGGAAGTTCTATAATACAGCTATATTTAAGTAAGTTATTAAGAAAGGGCAACGATATGTGCATTGTTATTACTTTGCTTTCATGTTTTGCAAACATTTTTCTTTAAAAATACACCTATTTTAAATGGATGCTTTTGCAGCAGCTAGCTTTTGTCGGCCAGCTAAGTTTGAGCGCCCGCTTCAGTTTTACAGCAGGCAGACATTGAAACGACTTAATATATTTAATCGATCTGGCAGCCGTTTTTTTACTTAACTGTTTTAAATTGTATAATTTTAATACTCCTTTTCTTAGTTCTTTATTTTTTTGCCATTTTACATATACTTGTTCATAAGGTATATACAAATAATAATAATATGTATATGATAACAACTACGTGCAGACATGTTGGATAATAAAGTAAAGTTTCTTAGAAGCCCATTTAAGATTCTTTTTTTATATATAATACATATAAAATTATATTATAAATAAATTATATCCTACTGTGTTTCTTTAAAAATCCCATATATTTAAAATACGCGCGCTCTGACAAAAACTGGATTTATTAGTAGGATTTCTCGCTTGCAACCAGGCAACACTGAATATGTGGTTGTTGTTGGCTCATCCAAACAGACGTTTTTTGTTTTTCTCTTCGCAAGGGTTACAAACACGCGCGCTCCGCCGTTTACGATTAAAATTTCTAGAGAAACATACAGATCAACAGAAAACCTATATTTCTATTCTTGCTGAAAATAAGTACAAGTTCTATAATTTGACTAACATTTGTTCCTGTAATTTTGCGTGCCGAGACCGCTTAAAAAAAACAAGCAACGGAAATAATTAATAATAAAGTGCGTGAGCTTTTTTTTATTATTATTTTTTAATGTGTTTGTGAGTGAGGTGTTTTTGGATGTGTGCGTATGTGCTTGTTGTGCATCTCACTTGTGTTTGTGGTTGTGTAGGTCAAGGTGAAGCAGCTGCACCGTTATTTCCCAACCATTGAGTTGCAGTTTGAATAGCAATTGCATGTTGGCATTGCAAATACTATATGCAGAAACCCTAAAAAGTCAATATTGCAGTTAGCCCCTCTCATTCGCACTCCCTCCCCTTCCCGCTCACACCTTTGCGAATGAGATAAGCACTAGATAAGCGTGTGTGCGTTACTGTTTAATTTAACCCTTAGGCTGGAATAAATTCAAACTAGCAATTTTAAAAGACGAAAATCGCTAAAAAATAGAAATACCTACATATTATTAAAATAATGCGGGATTTTGAATTGTTTGTTTTTATGAACAAGGAAACTAAACAATGCAGCATTTAGTATAAATATTTAATGTGCAACTTGCAACCTTGGCTAAATACCCATTTAATATAACCCCCAGGCGCAGTGCGATTAAGAAGTGAATAATTAATGTGGCAGCAGTAGCCCACCAGCAACGTGCAAATTGCAACGGCAATAGATTGTGCAACCTGCAACTTGCAACACAGGCGTCAAAACGGCGTTTCTACCGCAACGTCGCCTTTTTGGCGGCGGCAATGTGCCACCGGCGGTCTCCATGAAGCACCAGCCGCCGCCCCCGCCACTCCCCCTCAGCCAGCCGCCCGTTTTGGGTGGTGCAGCCGCTGGGGGCGTGGCCAGTGCCATCAGCAACATCAACAACAACAACAACAACATCGAGCCTGTTAAATGTCGTCCACCCATTTACCCCAAACGTAAGTAGATCCTTTCTCAAGGGTGCGAAAATACAAAACAACAGTTTAGCAAGGATTAAAAGGGTTGATGGGGTTGCTTTCGAGGGGTACAAAACATTTGCAGACCTTCATGCTGAACAGCACATTTTTCAACACACATGAGGAGATATTATGAATACTACTTTAGATCATGCAAACATCATTTAAAAACTGTGATTTTTCCTGAGTCAGTTCAAATCAAGCATTGAATCACTATGCTTACATCATTTTAGCAGTAACACTTTGGCGTTATCTTTGTTTTGTTTTATTAAATAAACTACCACTGGCGCTTATTACCAAGAACGACCTTTCAAGATAAGCGATTAATAATTTTACAACCGAATTAGAGAACGCTTTGCGCTTTAAAGGAATATTATAAAAAGATATTTTTGCATCTTTCGATGTAATATGATAAAGTTGCTACATATTCGACAGAACTTCATAAAAAGCAAACTTTAATAAAAAAAGCAACTTAGATCATTTTAGTTGGAGTGTAGGTTCCCCGCTGGCAAAAAGCCCTCGGCTGGATCGATCTTATCTGGTGTATGGGATCTCGATTGGCTTCCCCATTACGTGGCGCACTCCACTGCTTTTCCGCCGACAAGAAAATTGGCTGGCCAACTATTTTCCGATGGCTTGGAAAGTCGACGGCGGCTTCCTTTCCTTTTTTGCCAACTTCGCTTTGTTTTGGCTTCGCTTTCGCCTTTTTTTTTTTTTTTATATTTTTTTGTTTGAATTTATTTCTTGGCCATTGCTTTTGGACTGGAAGTTGCGATTGCCGTTTTTGGTAGGCGTAGACTTTGTTTTAATTTTTTCCCCCATGTTTTCTACTTTTTCTCCCCCCTTATTTTTGGTTTTGTGTGTAGCTTGCAGTGGGCCTTGGGCCTTTCGGTCTTGGCCATTTGGCATTGGCCTTAACTTGGTGGCAACGTGACCGCAGCTAACGGTACTCCTGGTTGACATGTCGTTAGTGTTCGTTGCGCATTTGTGTCGCCGATATCGGGGAACGCCTTAACCGAGCGGCCAAAGCGGTCAATTTAATTCTATACTTTTTCTGTACACATTGAAAAAATGTTATAATAAAGTTACTTTTATTAGAGACACCTTTATTTTATGTAAATACTTTTTGGAACTGCAACCAGAGAACTATATAAAAAATTAGATTCTATGAAAGTACGTTTTTACTCTTATTCTGGTATTAGTATGCTAAAAAATTCTTTGTTTGTTTAGTCATTGACAAACCCATGTTTACAGTCATACCTAGACTCAAAAATTAAACGTGATAAGATAAAAACATTCAGCAAGGGCTAATGGTATTTATAAACATTAACCTGTAAACTGAAGTGCTGTTTTATTGGACTGCTTGATTTTAGAGTATTTGCTCGCAACTTGTAAACCATTTTTATAGGGTTTTTATTAGACATATAAAAATAATTAGTAAAATCAAATAAGTTTCTCTTACTAATGCAATCACTGGCGGTGTTTGATTAGTTGATGCAACGGGGAAAAATCGCATTCATCTATTGTCCATTTATTGTTTTGCATTTATTTTCAAGTTGCAGTTGCCATCTTTTTAGGCATTCATTCGTTAGTTCCAATTAAAAATGCTGCAGTTTAGCGTTTAAAAACTCATTAAGAGCCAACTTCATTGTTATGGCGAATGAATACACATGTTCCCGCCGTCTCCTTCTCCGCTGTTGTGGCTGTCGTTCCCTTTCTTGATGTCTACTATATGTTCTGCTATATGTTTTCCATGCATTGTTCAAATGCGGGGGCGTTAACATGCAGTGCAACAGCAGCGGATACAATAATAGAACCAGAATGTCCGGAAAAATTAATATTTTAATTAAGAAAGAACCGTATATGAAAATAAACTTTTTGACTTGTATAATTAAATTTAAAAATGTTATTTTAATTAAGAATTTGATTAGTGCTTGTTCTGAATAGGCTTTTTAGCTTTTGACCCTATTTTTTTGTCCCTTTCTTTACTTAGTACACAGTGGGAGTGGAAATTTCATGGCAATTAGGGAAATCAGTGCATAAAGCTGTCAAATGCCCGGTTCCCCAAAAAGGGGTTAAGTGGCGGGAGGTGGAGCTGCAATGGCACAGATTTGAATGTTATAGTCTATACAAGCATTATAAATAGAATGCGTAAATCAGACAGGGTGCATTTCGGATGGAGCAAACCCAGAAGTGGTGGGCTGTCAAAGGCGGGACAGATCCATTTCGAAGATCAAAGTTGCAGACTGACATCGACATTCCATTAACAACTGCCGAAGAAGTAATAGATATTAATAGTTTTATGGTTTTAGCATAAAACTTAAATCTTTAATTCGAAATATCAAGTCTTTTTCCTTCTTAAAGTTATTTAAATATGTAGGGTATATCGCTTTACAATAGAATGTTGATTTTCTGATAGCCTTATGAAATACACACTTGGAATATCAAAGAATTCGATTTTCAATGGTGAAATCTGAATGGCTGTCGTTTCAACCTCATCGAAACATCGAAAGATATTCCCTGATTTAGGGTGCAGAATTTATGGAGCTATTGTGCGGCTTTCGGGTCGAGTTCATGCAACATAAACATTTTCCTGTGTGGAAAGCAATGAATTTCGAAATCGAACGGATTGAAAATGGCTCTCCGAGTGCAAGAAATTCCCTTGAAATGCTGGGAAAAGGAGCAGGGGGATCCCCATCAAGGTGACAGAAGGGGCGGGGAAATGGGAGGTGGTGGACCTGGGCAGCTACTTCAAATGCCGTCAATTGTTTTGAAAGTTTTCAGCGTGCCAAGAGCGGCGATGCAGCTATTTATGGAACCGTGCAACAAGGCCCCAACAAATGCCCTTGGATGTGCGGACAGCTGTACAGTGAAGCCTGGCCAGGTTGCAAAAAAAAAAAAAAATAGTTTCATATTCGAAAATTGTGTTTGTTGCATATTCCTTTTGAACTGATTAAAAAGCAGATTGTGCACTCTGTTTGAAAGAAAATTATAGTTAATAGGCTTGACAAAATTGTAGTTATTTTTGAGCAAGTTCTACTTTGGTTGCAACCTCTTTGGCTTTTGTTTACTTACCCAAATGCCTCTGGGGCCGGGCCGAAATGAAACCGAATGGGTTGGGCTGGAAAAAGCAGAAAAGTAAGCGGAGAAGAAACCCAATGCCGATGCACGTTCAATGGCTGCATCAAGAGGCACTTCCAGCCCCAAAGTCTCCCCCTAACCCCCTTCACACCCCCGAAGACCCCTTTATTTTTATTCCTATTCCCCAGTCTGGGCACTCGTGCGTTCAACAAGCCACTCGAACTCTGGCAAGAAAAGGAACAAGATGCGTAAGGCCCAAGAAAAATATAACAAGATTCCAAAGGCAACCAATTTCACAAATACCCTACTTAATTTTATGCAAAATTTACTCTCTAATTAAATTCGATAGGTATTAAGGGATATCATAAAATTGATAAGTGTATATATAACTATTCCCCGCAAACCCTTGCCATCCTCAAATCGAAACCCCTTTGAAAAGGGTATACGAACAAACTGAAAAACTTGAGAAAAAGTGAGTTGCATTCTGCAACAGAACTCGAATTGAACTTAATTGAAATGAAATTGAGATGGGCGAAAGGAAAGGGGGTGGGGAAACAGGGCGGATGAGTGAACGACTGAGATTGAAATTGATGTGTCGCCAAGTGTTAAATGGTCTGTCATAATGCCGATCGAGATCGTGTGACGACGGCGAGGGAAAATCATATCCCAGGCCATTTGCCAGCGATTCCGATCAAACGATAGATGCTCAAGTGCTTGACACCCAACAACCTATATAATAATTCTCGTGAGTGTGCTTTCCCTCCTCGCACAGCAATTGATGGGAATTACGAAAACACACCCGAGAAAACAATTCATTGAATCACGAAGATTGTTAAAAAAAAAAAAAACACAGAAGAAGTTTTATGCCTTGCTATTATTCATTGATGCTTTGATATTTTTTAGTCTTTTTTTTATGTGTAGGACATACAGCGACAGACAGTCGACCCAGCCATTATGACGATGACACCGACAAGTCTAGTCAATGAACCTCATCGAAGTGGGGCAAATGCGGGGAAAAGCGGTGGGGCAGCGATGGAAACTGCAACGCCCACAGAAAAGCTCTTTGGGATAAACAAACGACAATAAGCAGCGGCGATAAAGATCTCCAACGAGAGCGGCTGACACAGAGAGAAATATTGGATTTAGGAGGGGGTAACTATCAGATTTATAAAATTGAGAGCTCAGATTATGTCAGCCATGTGGGTGGGATGGAAAACGAAAAACGGAAAACGTCGGGGGTGGTGGAGCGTGGTAGATGATACTCTGTGGGCGTTTTCACATCTCGACTGATGGAGTTGATAAAGCAGGTGGAGGAGTTGAAAGAATTCTTAATTCTTTTCCAGCTTAACCTTAATTTGAACATTAAAACATTTTAACATTTTAAGAAGTTAGTTTTAAAATGCAAACTAGCCCCACTTTTGCTCTGTGCACTTGGCATCTTACCCTTTATAACGCGTGGCTGCCTGCAATTGTTTACTCAAGCCAATCCTCGAGTCATTGCGCTCATTAGCCTTCCTTACGGTCTGGGCCCGATTTCGCACATTTATCCGACAGATGCAGAAGATATGGCCAGTGGCCACACAAGCAGCGATCCGGCGAGATAACTGTACTCGTATCTGCGCCCTAAGACTCAAGCAAATATCTTGGCCCAGCACGATAATGCTGCGCAGCAAGTTCATCCGATGTTTACACGCGATTCGCAACAATTGAGCAAAGTTTACATAAAACATTTCGAGCCGCATGGTGTGAGAAGGGATAAGAAAGTGAATTTTTTCAGCTGATTTCCTGTTTGGTTTAACTTCTTGATTAAGCTTTCTTAACATTTAATTATTATAAATATTTTTTAATATATGTATATAAAATAGCCGCAGGAAGTGTAGTTCTGTTTGAAGCTTTGAGCCTTGTTTGCGTGGTGGTGTTCACCCTGCTGAAAGGACTGCATTTTAACTCATCCTTGGCCCTAATGGCTGAATGCGTTTCGTACTCGATTAAATGCAAAACGTGAGCGGGAACAATGAACTGAGTGTGTCCCCGCTGTCACCCCTGGAAACTCAGGGGGTGGGTGGTTAGCCGATCCCTGTGGGGTTGGACCCTCGGCCAAGTATTCAAGGTGGTTCGGTATGAGAACTTGAAGTTCCTTGTGAAATAATGCTGGAAACCTGAACCCCAAGCACAGGAAGCACTGTATTTGCCTCGCAGTTAAGATTATAATGTAACAAAACGTTTTCAATTTGTTTTTTCAAATTTAAAACAACATGGAAGCTCTATTTAATCCAAATACATCTTACTGTTTACATTACTCTTGCTTATCGTAAACATTTTCAGGTAAAAACTATTACTTGCAAAGACCTGAAATTCTAGAAATTCAAGATTTTGCAAATATCTGGCAACGTCGAAGGGCGACCGTTATTCCGTCAGTTTTGACAAAAAATCCCCGTAACATCTGGTCCACTTTGTTTCGGGCTTCCGCTAGTTTGAGCCAAGTTCCGAGGCGCAGGCGCGGAGAGAACGCGAATAGGGGGTGATAGTACGGGGGAAAGTTGCATTTCGGTGTTGCCACTTCATGTAACATCCTCGGCAAAGGACATGTGTGAGGGGTGGGTGGGTTGGTTGTGTGGGTGGCAAGAGAGCAGGGGAAAGAGAGAGAGCGCCCGAGAGCCCATTAAATTTTGATGGTTTTAGGGCAGTTCGCTCGCCAGTTGCAGCTCCACCACAATACAATAAAGTGTTCATCAAACTCGGGGATTTAAATTTTTTCAACGACCAAACAAATAACAAACAACCAATAACAAAACGCACAAATAAGACCAAATAAAAAAAAAAGAAAACTGCCAAACAAGCAAACAATCCAACTATGTGGCAAACTTGCTGATAAACAGGAAGATACACAGTGAAAACCCGGAAGGCAAAAGAAAAGTGCCGAGGCTTTGGCCAATTACGTTTTAAGTAGGCGTTCCGTATACACACGAAACTCGGCGGGAAAGGGAGCCGGGGGGCAAGTGAGTGTGAGGAGCAAGGGATAAGGAGCAAGGAGCAAGGAGGACCTAAGACCAGGACACACCAGCAGCAGCAGCAGCAGGAACATGTGTAAGAATCTGGTGGGGTATTCCCCTTTCCATTCACTTCTCTAACTCCTCCTGTCACCGCTCCGCCACTCGAAAGTCATTCCAACATATTATTTGCCTAATGAGACGGCGATGAAGTCGCTCAAGAACCGAGCTTCAGGTCCCAAGTGCAAGGTCCTTCAGTCGATTAGCCCGTCAAGGGTTCCCACTCCCGACTTTACAAGCTGAGAAGAAATACCTAAGATTCAGCATTAGCTACGATTTGCACACAAAACAATAAATATTTCAATTTTCTTTTCTTTGAAATCATTGAGATGACATTCACTGAATCACTGAATAATCAATTTCATCATATTTTCAAATATTATATGTACTTATTTTTGGGTTTTTCAAAATAAAATTAATTAATTATATTATTAATATAATATATATATATATTATAATAATCTGGGAAAAAACTTTAAAATGCGTAATAAATCTTATTAAAATATTTAATTAAATTTGTTGGTGTTAGCGACCCAGACCTTGAGCCGGCAAAACACCAAATATTTAATTTAATACAATTTTTGATTTTGGGTTTTTCAATATAACATGTTGAGATTTTATTTAATAGGCTTGCTACGAAGATTGTTGTTTATAAACAAATTTTTATAATACTTTATAATATCCCTTATTGCAGCCAAAACGCCCTCGTTCGACAAGGATCGGGATTACATAGGCTTCGCCACGCTCCCGGAGCAAGTGCACCGGAAGTCGGTGAAGCGGGGCTTCGAGTTCACCCTGATGGTGGTCGGCGAGTCCGGGCTGGGCAAGTCCACCCTGATCAACAGCCTCTTCCTGGGCGATCTCTACAAGAACCGACAGATGCCCAACGTGGAGGAGCGGATCGAGAAGACGACGAAGGTGGAGAAGAAGACGATGGACATCGAGGAGCGGGGCGTCCGCCTTCGTCTGACGGTGGTGGACACCCCGGGCTTCGGCGACGCCATCAACTGCGAGGACAGCTGGCGTGTGTGCACCCAGTACATCGACGAGCAGTTCCGCCAGTACTTCACCGACGAGAGCGGACTCAACCGCCGCAACATCCAGGACAACCGGGTGCACTGCTGCCTCTACTTCGTCCCGCCATGGGGTCACAGGTGAGGATAGATTCCATGAAACTGGAAAATCCACTTAGTCGTTTCGAGATGCTCGAATCAATATTAAATATGCACCTTTGAACATTAAGAATTTCCAAAGAACAAATCCAAAGCTATTTGGAAAAGGTTATCTATAAATGTGTATTCATATTCAAAATGTTCATATTGAGTCATATATTTTTAATACAAACAGTATCATCAATAAAACTGGGAGGTTTTAAATTTTTTGATTCTTGGAAACCTCATTTATATTTGTTGTTATTTTTTAACCAGTGTCCTTTCGATTCCTTTCAGCCTGCGCCAGATGGACCTTGACCTGATCAGGCGGCTGCACCGCAAGGTGAACATTGTGCTGGTGATCGGCAAGGCCGACTGTCTCAACAAGCAGGAGGTGCGCAAGCTGAAGGAGCGCATCCTGCAGGACCTCGAGGACAACCACATTCAGCTGTACCAGTTTCCCGAGTGCGATTCCGATGAGGACGACGACTTCAAGCAGCAGGATCGCGAGCTGAAGGCCTCCATTCCGTTCGCCGTCGTCGGCAGCAATACCATTTTGGAGGTGGCCGGCAAGAAGGTCAGGGGTCGCCAATATCCGTGGGGCGTGGTCAACGTCGAGGATCCGGAGCACAGTGACTTCATCAAGCTGCGCACCTTCTTGATATCGACGCACATGCAGGACCTCAAGGACACCACGCAGGTGCGTTTTTGGCTTGCGATTCTTGAATTCCTTAGGTACTTACCACACTTACTTGTTTTTTGATATTTCAGGACGTGCACTACGAGAACTTCCGGGCGCAGTGCATCTCGCAGATTTCGCAGCACGCGCTGCGCGAACGCGGCAAGTTGAAGCGGGACTCGATCAGCTCGACGAACGGATTCGATGCGGCCATCTCGGAGACGGACCGGCTGCTGCTGCAGAAGGACGAGGAGATACGGAGGATGCAGGACATGCTCACCCAAATGCAGGAGAAGCTCAAGCAGACCCATCTCATGGAGATGAAGAAGAACGACAGCGTGATCGACGTCTAGGGAATGGAAACGGGAACGTGTTCAATTTTGCACCGCGATATATGCATCTACCTAATATATAGGACCTATATGGTGACCCAGAGACAAGATCCTGGAGCAGCTGCAACCAAATCGACTTTGTTCATAAGCTAGCACAGACTTTTAAAACCGCCTCCTTTGGATCCAGAAACCACAAAAACAAAAACAAAAACAAAATTACATACAACGAGACTCCCCGAAAAGCACAAGAAGAAGAAAAAAAAACGACAACTACTTTTGACATCACAGCCTTTTTCAATTTTGTAGCTAAGGTAACGATTTCTTTTAGGATTACCGATTTAATGGAACACATCTATCTTGAGGAATTAGCTATTGATCTATACGATTACGATATTATACCAAAGTTTAAGGAGTTTCAAAAACTTAACGCAAGTAAATTGTTAATGGAAAGATGATCAAGAAACCACAGAGGCACATAGAAGTACCGTTACAAGGAAAGACAGAAACAGAACCCATAATTGTTTTATTTATTTATTTTGTATTGTTCATTTTGATTTTCGCATTGAGTTTTGTTTCGGCATTCGGAAAGAACCGAATAACGAGCAAGTTCGCCTGAATTATGTATGTGTAAAGAACTTTTACCCTTTATATTGTAAGAATATATCAGATCGGATATATATATAAATATGTATGTGTAGGACAAACCGCTGGAGGTTTTGGCACTGAATTTCTATGAATCGACTTTCAGCAAGTTCCAATTATTTATGCTAATTACGTATAATCAGATATATCTATGAACAAAACCTATTTTGTTGAAACGAATTGTTAATGAATTTATTTTAAATTAATCGATTAAGCCTTTAAGCAACAACCATAATATATAAATGAAATTATAGTCGAAAAATTATATATAAACATAGCGATTGCTAAAGATCGATTTCAATAAAGATAAAAACAACTTTAGTGGTGCATTTAAAATCGTGATTGATTCGCAATTATTTTTAGTGGAAGATTGAAAATTTGCAGGACCTGTAAAAAGGTTTGTACATAACGCTTGTAAAAATATTTACACATTTGAAGCATTTCTTATTGATTTTAAGATAACAAGTATCAAAAATACAATTAAAACTTAAATATTATGTTTTTTTGCATGAGCGGTTACACATTATTTAAAAATTGAAAAACAAACCATCGATATATCGAACGTTGATTATATCTAAGGATCGATAAAAGCGGCTTGGTTCGATAACTTATCGACCGTGAGGCCCACTTTTGTTTACTTTTCGTTCATAATATTTTGATTGACTGAAAAAATATATAAAATTGGGAAATGGACTTGGATTTGTCACGCACAGATATGATAGAACATCTTAAAATGGTGACTGTTTTGATTGAACGTAGTCTTGATCATTAAATAATATGCTTGTTTTCAGAGGGGAATATATGTGCCCGATGCAGAGGGTTTGCCAATGGAGCAGCTAGAAGATATCTACCGGGGATTCGTGGTCCCCAGGCCGAAAAGAGAGCGGGAGCGCGGGCGGGATCCTAAACCGATTCCCATGGAGATGGAGCAGTTGACTCAGCGGATCAAGTCGGTGGCGGTGGTGGGTCGAAAAAGAGCACAACCCCCGGCAGATAGCGATACGGCAAAGCAATTTAGAATGGACCGGAGCTGACATCGGATGGAATTCCATTGCTAAGAATTAGTTGAAAAACTACCGTCCATCGAGATGCGCCTGCTGCTCCTCCTTTGTGCCCTGCTGGCTTTGTCCGATGCCATATCACCCACAGCAACAAACACTCAGGTTCGTACGTGCAATACATTAAATATCCTTCAATTAGTATTATATTGATTGAATCGTTAAATCATCGTTAAAATCACATTAAAATTGGTTTTAGTTGACTGCCGGACCAATTGGCATAAAACTTCAAGAGCTCCAAGACCGATTTAAATTTACCAGCTCCGAGTTTTCAAACGACAAGGACAAGTGGGCTGACCTGTACATCAAGCTTGCCCAACACATCAGCGAGGAGAGACGGTGCTACATCAGTACCCCGAACTCTCTATCCGCCTGCGAAATGATACAGCATGTGAGGGGCAACCTGAAACACTTAATGGCTGGAGGGCTGACCAAGCTCTTGCTCGCCGAGGAGAGCATCTGGAAGTATGGCCTGTACATGGCGAACGTGGTTGATGCCGCTCTGCTGCGGGATATCCTGTGGCACGCCATCGGGGATGTGCACCTGTATCGGTCACCCAAAAAGCTGGCCCAACAGCTGGAGGATTTTGGCGCGCTTCACGGCGAGATAAGCTTTTCGATGTTGATCGAGGCCCAGCTGGCACTCTTCTCAACATATCAGGTCACGCAGTATGAGAACAAAGCGTTTCTAATCAGCATGTACCAAATACTCAACCGGATAATGAATGACAGCATGTACGCCAGCATGGCCTGGGATCTTCGTCAGCGAGTAGAGGCCCTTGAGAGGAGCATACTGCCTCCCGCTTTCAAGCAGCTCCTTGATCCGGAGGGCTTCTGCCTGCTCAACCGCTATACTGGCGGCTACCTTTATACTGCCGTAACGTGCATTTTTGACAGCGGTTCGAACAGGGGCGTGTTTAACTGGTTCTGGCCCAAACACACCGATTCCGCGGGCAGAATACGGGCCTTTGTCCAGGACCTGAACGCAACCTCTGGGAGCCAAGTTCTTGTAAAACTCCGCGGCGAGCGTTTTAAGTGGTTTTACCACGTAGATCGCTCCGAAAACAACCGAGTGGCGGCCTTACGAAAGGGCACTCCGCGTTTTGAAGACAGTGTGTGGAGCGTCGAGCACTGGGACGGCGCCCTCACGTTCCGTCAGGGTGCTCTCACCATGTGCAACGTATGTTGCGGCCTTAAGCGGAAACCTGTCGGGATGGTACCCAATAAGATAGGAGTGCCTCCGCCAGACAGTTGTCAGTGGAAGCCGGTAAAATGTGACATTTCGTATTCATGGTAACAATTTTTATACGACTTCAAAAGGAACATGAATAAAACAAAATTTTCAATATGCTTGAACTTCGTGTAAAATTAATAATTTCGATTTTTCGATTTATTCCTAAGCAGTCGTACGGACATGAGTTACATAAATTACAGTGTGCCTTTCAGTCCAGTCAAAAAAAAAAAAGTAAACAGACGGGGGGAATTATAAACGAACAGTACATAAAGCAACTGAATTTTATAAGTACACAATGAGAACAAGGTGGGAAATGTAAGTACTGGTATGCCAGAAGCACAGTGGGATAATGAGTACTTAGTCTAAAACGTTTTTGGTTTAGCTGCTGGGCTACTGCAACGGCTGGTGGTCTGCATCGTGGTCCGCGTATTCGTCATCGCTCTCCTCGTTTTCCAACTCGCGGGCGTGCAGGCGATGGCGAAACTGCGAATTCGGCAGTGGTATATTGACGCGGTGGCGCGAGCGATTGAGCAAACGTCGGCTAGCCGACGGACGGTAGTACATGCTGCACTGCAGAAACTCCTCGGGATCCTCCTGCGGAGCCGCCTCCATGGATTCCTCTATAGCACGTGAATAGTCCTCGATCTCCTCGTCGTCCAGATGCGGTGCACCATTGGCGAACATGGCGAAGCGCGTGGGATCGCGCAGGTTGCTAATCACCTTCCACTGCTTGCACTCCGGACTGTTGACAAATTTCCTGAGATCCGCCAGCGACTTGGAGGTCTCCTTGACCGTCTGATGGTGGTACTCCTCCTGGGTGAGCAGTCGTCTCTTGGGCGGAAATCGCCGGCGGTAAACGACCATGGCATAGCCCACCCACGATCGGGGTAAATAGTGGGCCACAAAGGCTATGACCATTAGGAAGATCAAGGCGCTCGTGTGCCAGCTGCTGAAATAAACCAGGACGCCACCCATCGCCTGCAGCACCCACATTATGATGTTCTGAGAGCGCGGATTTTTTGGCGGGCCAATGCGATAGCAAATCTGTTGGGTTAGAGGGAAATAGACAAAAATGATTAATAAAAGAGCTAACCAAAGAACAAAATGTATACATAATTAGTTATTATTTAGTGTTAGTGTTAGTTATATAAACATAATTGTTCAATGCTATGCAGAAATAAACAAATTATATATCTTAATGGCAATAAAGGAATTGAAATACTCACCAGAAAGGAAATCAGCCCGGTGACCACCAGGTACCACACCACATGGTCGCGGTAGGTGAGCAGAATCAGTCGCATGTTATCCGCCAACTGTTTGAGGACATAGAAGCCAATGGTCCAGCCGCCGATCAGGACGCCGTACATCATGGGACGGCGTGGGAATAGCTTGGCGGCCAAGTAGATTATCACCAGTAGGGAGGCGCAGATGCCCAGGAGGACACCGGCCAGATAATAGAACACACTGTTCTTAGCCAGCCGTCGGGCGCTCCAGAAAGCCAAAATGCCCAGCGAGAACTGGATAAGTCGCCACAGATCCAATTGGATGGTGTTCAGGAGGACACTGTACGGTTGCCTCGATGAGATTCCGATGCATTGCTGTTCGAAGGGCGATAGCTGGAGCCGCTGACGCTTCTGGGAGAACAGGGTGATGCTGAACAGCGATCGCTGTTCGTTGTAGTGCTCCAAGACTTCCTCGGGCGTCTTGCCGCCGTATTGGGCATAATCATCGCTGGCGATCGTCAGGACAAACTCCACCGTCTCGAAAAGATTAATTACGGAGTGCCGCTTGCCCGGATAGCAATATGTTCGCAGTGTCTTCGATCCGTAGGCGTTTTCAGTAATATTCAAGGATGTTCCGGGTGTGAGAAAAGCCGTGTCCGAGGAAACCGGATTTCCCAAAGTGAACACCACGGCCCCGGCCAGCAGACAAAGTACTGCCCACTGCATTGCCACTGGACCGAAAGAGATTTACTTAGTTTTACTTAGTTACGCTTTTAAATCGCATAAACACTCACCTTTTAACTGATGTTTTGTTTATTATTGCTTGTCCAAGGACCGCCGGCGATAACGATAGAAAGGAAGCCAAGCACAAGCGATATCTGCGCGACTTTCGATAGATTGTATTTCGGTTTTCTTGTGCTCCTCGGTAACTTTTTTTGTTGTCCCTTACTTGTGGTTATTCCACAAAAATATTTTCCTACCCTTCTAAATTCAACAGCTCAAAAAGAGATTAAATTCAATAGCTCAAAACGAGATTAAATTCAACGCCTATTATTGTTGGGAATACATAGCAAAGACACCAACCTCGTCCCCAACTAAGGTATTTTTGTGGTATTTTCTAGGACGTAATGTACGTGGAGCCCGATTTATTAAGCGGTTAATTTTGGTTGCTTGACTTCGGTTTGCCAGACTTGCCGCACCGCTAATTGAAGCCAATTCGCAAGCAAACATTGTTAAATGTTTAACCACATTGGAGCAGTGCGAAGTTTGCCAGCTCTGATAACGGTATCGCGAAACAAATAACAAAAGGCTCGTTCAAACTAAAAACACAACGTGTTCACAACTACAACTGCAGCAGATAAGCTTCGCTTGAAATTACACAGTAGTAAGTGTAAGTGTAGTTGTAACGTGAGTACACAGGACAAAGAGATAGGTTATAATGTATTGCGACATAGAGATCCCTTCAATCAGATATTTTAATTGCGGGCTTAAATAAGCTCTTGTTTTGTTATTCTCGAACGCATAATAACCGGTTGGAACCTAACTTTCCACACGTGCTTACTCACACGCACACAAAGTCGCTCTTCTTCTTTATTCTTCGCCGTTTGTTGCCGTGTAAACAAACCGTGAAAAGCAATAACAACGTATTAAGTCACTTGATAAGCACAGTCCATTCCCAATCAGAAACGTGTTGTGGCCGCGCTGTTGTTCTCTTTCCCCCGCGCAACATGTTGCCAGACAGACTGATGTATATAAACGAATACAGCAATTTCTTATTAGATTCGTTATGTGTTGGGGGAAACCGGCAAACTGTTAAAGTATGCGTAAAAAAACACATGTTGCTCTAGCTGCGTATTTAGTATAATGATACCCTGGAATTGTAAAAACGAAAGGCATATTGGAGCTTTGCAACTCTACCTTGTAACCTGCAAAAGCAGTTATATTTATTTAAATATAATTTTTTGTAGATTTTAAATTGTTTTTTTCTTTTTGTTATAAATATTTGATATTTTATACCCTTTTTGTGATTTGGCTGTTTTATTTTTAGTGCAACTTTCAGCAAGATCTATTGCTTCAAGCAATTACTCAATAAACAAAGTCTTCGAATCGTTTGTCATTATCGGCCACTGGATCTTCGTCTCTAGTTTCACTTACTTGTCACCTTTCAAGCGATATGATCCCCTTCTGATAAACAACCATTCTTGCTTATTGGAGACACTCTTCACAGAATATATGAATTCCAATTGGAAATCAGACTGCCACGAATTCAAAATAGTATCTACATTAACTTTGAATATTTGATAAAAAGGGCTGATTAAGGTGAAGTTAAGATAAAGGTGGGGTTTGGTAACTAAGATTATTTTGCCGACCATATATTAAATGATATATATTAGATATATATATTAAATAATATATACCAAGTATATACTACTATTTAAAAGATTTTGTATCCATTTTCTTTACTCTAACCAGGAGAAACCCATTAAATATGTCTTCCGCAAACTGTTACTTGGCACTGGAGGATGGCACCGTGATGCCGGGCCACTCCTTTGGCCACGTTCCGGAATCGGAGTCCGTCGGAGTCTCCGGCGAAGTGGTGTTCCAAACGGGAATGGTCGGCTACACGGAGGCGTTGACCGATCGCTCGTACAGCGGCCAAATCCTGGTGCTCACCTACCCGCTGATCGGCAACTACGGGGTGCCGGCTCCCGACGAGGACGAGCACGGACTGCCGCTTCACTTCGAGTGGATGCAGGGCGTTGTCCAGGCCACCGCTTTAGTGGTGGGCGAGGTGGCCGACGAGGCGTGGCACTGGCGTTCCGCGAAGACGCTGCCCAGCTGGCTGGCGGAGCACAAGGTGCCCGGCATCAGTGGCATCGATACCCGAGCCCTGACCAAAAAACTGCGCGAGCAGGGAGTCTACTCGGCCGGATTGTCTACGGAAAGCCACCGACCGAGGAGGAGCTGGCCAAGTCCAGCTTCGCGGATCCGAACACCAGGAACTTGGCCAAGGAGTGCAGCGTGAAGGAGCGCCGAGTGTACGGGGATCCCAAGGGCAAGGGACCCCGGATCGCCATCCTCGATTGTGGACTGAAGCTGAACCAGCTGCGCTGCCTGCTGCAGCGTGGCGCCTCCGTGACTCTGCTCCCCTGGAGCGCCCGCCTCGAGGAGGAGCAGTTCGACGCCCTCTTCCTGTCCAACGGTCCCGGCAATCCCGAGAGCTGCGACGAGATCGTCCAACAGGTGGGTCACCTGATTAGTTCTTCGACGAAACCCTCTTTGTAACATTATCCTCTGGCTTAAAGGTACGCAAAGTGCTCGAGGAGGGAAGCAAACCCGTGTTTGGCATCTGCCTGGGTCACCAGCTGCTGGCGAAGGCCATCGGCTGCTCCACGTACAAGATGAAGTACGGCAATCGGGGCCACAACCTGCCCTGCCTGCACCGCGGAACGGGACGCTGCCTGATGACCTCGCAGAACCACGGATACGCCGTCGATCTGGAGCAGCTGCCCGCCGGCTGGTCGGAGCTGTTCGTGAACGCCAACGACGGCACCAACGAGGGCATTGTGCACGCGAGCAAGCCCTACTTCTCGGTTCAGTTCCATCCGGAGCACCATGCCGGTCCCCAGGACACGGAGTTCCTGTTCGACGTCTTTCTGGAGAGCATTTCGCGCAGGGATGCGACCATTCCGCAGCTGATCGAGCAGCGACTGCGTCCGACGAGGATCCACGCGGTGGAGGATCCCGCGCCAGTGAAGCCGCGCAAGGTGCTGATCCTCGGATCCGGCGGACTTTCCATCGGACAGGCGGGCGAATTTGACTACTCCGGATCGCAGGCCATCAAGGCGATGCGCGAGTCGAACATCCAGACGGTGCTGATCAATCCGAACATAGCCACCGTTCAGACCTCCAAGGGAATGGCGGATAAGTGCTACTTCCTCCCGCTGACGCCGCACTACGTGGAGCAGGTGATCAAGTCGGAGCGACCGAACGGAGTGCTCCTCACCTTCGGCGGCCAAACGGCGCTCAACTGCGGCGTGGAGCTGGAACGCGCCGGGGTCTTCGCCAAGTACAACGTGCGCATCCTGGGCACGCCCATCCAGTCGATCATCGAGACGGAGGACCGGAAGCTGTTCGCGGAGCGCGTGAACGAGATTGGGGAGCAGGTGGCGCCCTCGGAGGCGGTCTACTCCGTGGCGGAGGCCCTGGATGCGGCCAGTCGCCTTGGCTATCCGGTGATGGCCCGTGCCGCCTTCTCGCTGGGCGGCCTGGGCTCCGGCTTTGCCAACAACGAGCAGGAGCTGCAATCCCTGGCGCAGCAAGCGCTGGCCCACTCTAGCCAACTGATCGTGGACAAGTCGCTGAAGGGCTGGAAGGAGGTGGAGTACGAGGTGGTGCGCGACGCCTACGACAACTGCATCACCGTCTGCAACATGGAGAACTTCGATCCGCTGGGCATCCACACCGGCGAGAGCATCGTGGTGGCTCCCTCGCAGACCCTCTCCGACCGCGAGTACCAGATGCTGCGAAGCACCGCGCTGAAGGTGATCCGCCACTTCGGCGTCGTCGGCGAGTGCAACATCCAGTACGCCCTGTGTCCGCACTCGGAGCAGTACTACATCATCGAGGTGAACGCCCGGCTGTCGCGCAGCTCCGCCCTGGCCAGCAAGGCCACCGGCTACCCGCTGGCCTATGTGGCCGCCAAGCTGGCCCTCGGACTGCCGCTGCCGGACATCAAGAACTCGGTGACGGGGAACACGACGGCGTGCTTCGAGCCGTCGCTGGACTACTGCGTGGTGAAGATACCGCGCTGGGACCTGGCCAAGTTCGTGCGGGTGAGCAAGCACATCGGCAGCTCGATGAAGAGCGTCGGCGAGGTGATGGCCATCGGCCGGAACTTCGAGGAGGCCTTCCAGAAGGCGCTGCGCATGGTGGACAGCGATGTGCTGGGCTTCGATCCCGGCGTGGTCACCCTGGAGCAGGAGCAGCTGGCCGAGCAGCTGTCGGAGCCCACGGATCGGCGTCCGTTCGTCTTGGCCGCTGCGCTGAATTCGGGCATGTGCGTGGATGAGCTGCACCGGCTGACCAAGATCGATTGCTGGTTCCTGCACAAGCTGGCCAGGATCATCGAGCTGCACGCGCAGCTCACCAGCGTTGGCAGTCGCACGGGCGCGGACCTCCTGCTGCAGGCCAAGCAGTACGGGTTCTCGGACAAGCAGATAGCCAAGGCCACCAAGAGCACCGAGTTGGCGGTGCGCCACCAGCGGCAGGAGTTCGGCATTCGTCCGCACGTCAAGCAGATCGACACGGTGGCCGGCGAGTGGCCGGCCAGCACGAACTACCTGTACAACACGTACAACGGCAGCGAGCACGACGTGCAGTTCCCCGGCGGACACACCATCGTGGTGGGCTCGGGCGTCTACCGCATCGGCAGCTCCGTGGAGTTCGACTGGTGCGCCGTCGGCTGTCTGCGCGAGCTGAGGAAGCTGCAGCGGCCCACCATCATGATCAACTACAATCCGGAGACGGTGTCCACCGACTACGACATGTGCGACCGGCTCTACTTCGAGGAGATCAGCTTCGAGGTGGTCATGGACATCTACGAGATGGAGAACAGCGACGGCATCATCCTCTCGATGGGCGGCCAGCTGCCCAACAACATTGCCATGGATCTGCATCGCCAGCAGGCGAAGGTCCTGGGCACCTCGCCGGAATCGATCGATTGTGCGGAGAACAGGTTCAAGTTCTCGCGCATGCTGGACCGGAAGGGCATCCTGCAGCCGCGCTGGAAGGAGCTGACCAACCTGCAGTCGGCCATTGACTTCTGCGAGGAGGTCGGCTACCCCTGTTTGGTGAGGCCATCCTACGTGCTCTCCGGCGCCGCCATGAATGTGGCCTACTCGAACCAGGACCTGGAGACGTATCTGAATGCCGCCTCCGAGGTGAGTCGCGAGCACCCGGTGGTCATCTCGAAGTTCCTCACCGAGGCCAAGGAGATCGATGTGGACGCCGTGGCGGCAGACGGGAGGATCCTCTGCATGGCCGTTTCGGAGCACGTGGAGAACGCGGGCGTTCACTCGGGTGATGCCACGCTGGTCACCCCGCCGCAGGATCTCAACGCGGAGACGCTGGAGGCCATCAAGCGGATCACCTGCGACCTGGCCAGTGTCCTGGATGTCACGGGTCCCTTCAACATGCAACTCATCGCCAAGAACAACGAGCTCAAGGTGATCGAGTGCAATGTGCGCGTCTCGCGGTCCTTCCCCTTCGTCTCGAAGACCCTCGATCACGACTTCGTGGCCACCGCCACGAGGGCGATTGTTGGCCTGGACGTGGAGCCACTGGACGTGCTCCATGGCGTGGGCAAGGTGGGCGTCAAGGTGCCGCAGTTCAGCTTCTCCCGCCTGGCCGGTGCGGATGTCCAGCTGGGCGTCGAGATGGCCTCCACCGGGGAGGTGGCCTGCTTCGGGGACAACCGCTACGAGGCCTACCTGAAGGCCATGATGTCCACGGGCTTCCAGATACCCAAGAACGCCGTGCTCCTCTCCATCGGCAGCTTCAAGGTTTGTTTTGTTTTCTATTTGAATGTGAAGTGAAATGAGGAACTGATTTCTCAATTTGAATTGATTCTTTTGCAGCACAAAATGGAGCTACTGCCCTCCATTCGGGATCTGGCCAAGATGGGCTACAAGCTGTACGCCTCCATGGGCACTGGAGATTTTTACGCGGAACATGGCGTTGACGTGAGTACAGAGAGAACATCTCTTTTTAATACTTATGAATTTCCAAGTGCATTGCGTACTTTAAAAAACTCTTTAAAATTCGGATAATCGGATTTTTATAACTTCCAATTTAAACTCTATAATTCTTTTAACCTAAATGTTTACTTTAATTTATTGAAAGCATTTCGAATATCAATCAACTTGAAAGATCTTGCTTCTGTACAAAAGCAATAACTATAATTACGCTTTAAGTGCTCATTATTATTTATTATTGCTCACATATAACTTTAATCAGAATGGGCTGAAGATGTTTATCAACAAAATTGAGTAGATTTCATGTTTGTTTTCCCTGACTGGTTTTTTATTTAGTAAACATATTCAATGACTCGATTATCTTGGGGAAATTCAACGGAATTCCTTCATTACCAAATGACCAATCGGGAAGTATTAAGAAACTATATAAGATATTTATGAGCTTATAACTATAGCTATCTAGTAAATCCGTTCTTATCTCTTATCTGTAACCATATATCACTAATCTTCGGGGACTTACTTTATATTATATATTATATTATAATATTATATATTATATTATTATATTATATATTATATTATATATTATATTAATATATTATATATTATATTATATATTATATATGTAGTATTATCTTCAATTGAAAGCTCCTTTGAGCTTCTGCGTCTTGCGCTTCAAGATCTCTTTGAGTTCCTCCCTCTTGGCTTCCGAAGGAGCCACTTTTTGGACCAGCTGCTCTGTTCTACTGCTGAGGGCTTGCACCTTATCCGCATCCAAGTTGAGTCTCTGGAGGATTCCGTTCAGCGAGAGAAGGGTTTCCTCCTTGGTGGATTCCCCCGAGCTCGAATCCTTTTCCGTTTGTGGTTGTGCTTCAACTTCGCTTGGCTCTCCAGTGGCTGGCACTCTTTCGATCAAGGTGGCTTGGATAGCCTCCTCCTCCTCCAGGACTTCTATTTCCTCCGTTTCCGCTTGATGATGACCCCTCAAGATTCCATTTAGCTTTTGGTTTTTGAGCTGCGGCAAAGGATTTTTTCCGCTAAGGGAATCTGGCGAGTGAATCTGCGCCACATGCTCCTGAAACTTGATGGATTTCCTTCGCACTGGCGGCGTTTGCTCCTCCACTTGGGTGATCTCTCCGGTTCCACTTGGTTGGTGACTTCCGGACATGCCTTCCATTTGGCTGGCTGCCTGCTGGAGTTCCTGGACAAAGTGCTGGGATTGCTGAGAGCAACCCAAGTGCTGGTAGAGGCGACACAACCTCTGGCCCTGCTCCAGGTACAGCTGGGCATGTCCGCGGTTCCCGAAGCGAATGGCCTGGCCCAGCATGGCCAGCAGATGGTCGAGGAGCACCTCGAGGATGTTGCTCCTTCGCAGGATCTCCACGCCGTTGTTGAACTGCGGCTGGGAAGTGTTTCCTCCCTTGGCGATCTCCGAATTCGCGTGGGCCAGGAACAACTGAAGGTCCAGGGAGTCCATTGAGCCACGTCGCTGCTCCGCCTCCGTCAGCCGGAGCTGCTGGTTGGTGGCCTTCAGGAGCTGCGTCTTCCTGCGCAGCTTGCCCCTCGTTCGCTCCTGGTGCTGCGCCAATCCAAGGAGTCCCCGCGCATCGGTGATTCCCTCCTTCCGAGGAGGGTTTCCCCGCTCCTCTTGGTTCTCCTCCCTGCTGCTCTCCTGGGCGGGAAATCCCTGGCGGGGTCGCGAGAACTTCCCCCAGCCGTGCAGCTCCAGGTAATCCTGGCTGAAGAGGTTGTCCAGCAGCCGCTTGTACTCCAGCTTCGGATAGAAGTCCGGCGAGTGCTGGAGGCTCCTCAGCGCCTGGACGACATGCAGCAGCGGCTGCTCCGCGATGCCAGCCATAATGGTGCGCAGCTTCATCAGCGTGTCCTCCGGCACGTGCTCGAACAGATTCCGCCGCTCGATGAAGTAGTCGCTCAGGTGCTTCTCAGCCAAGCGGGCGTCGAAGGAGCGGATGAACCTGACCAGGCGCTCGCCGAGGAACTCCTCCGGCCAGTCGTTGCTGTGCCGTTCGCACTGCCAGAAGAGATGGGCCCGCAGCTGCTCGAGCAGAGCTCCCTGGGATTGGCCATCGGATGAACAGTCCACGAAGGTCCGGACCAGCAGCTTCATCAGCTGGAAGACCTTCAGCTGCATGGGCGTCAGGCAGTGGCGCTCGAGGAACTGCTCCGCCTGCGGGAAGACGATGCGCCACTCGAGCTCCCTGAAGGGGTTCCTCGAGTGCTTCGGCGCATAGCCCACCGGCACCAGGTGGAAGCCGAACGAGCGGATACGCTTCCGCATCTGCTCCGTGGGCCACTGGAACTGCTCGGCGGTGTGCAGATTGGTGACCATCGGACGAGCCCTCAGCCAGAACTCGAAGGCGCAGTCGGGCCAGGAGTGCGGCACATGGATGGCGGGCACCAGCTCCTCGCTGGCGGTGTAAACGCTGCATCCGCGATACGAACCGGCGGACAGTTGGGTCTGGGTGATGCCCAGTTCGGTGGCCAACTGCTGGCGAAGGAGCTCCCCGAAGTAGAGCATGAACTGCTGGGAGCTCAGGTAGCACTGCTGCAGTTGCTCCACGCGGCATTGCCGGAGGATTTGAACGGTTTCATAGCCAGCTGGAGGGTACTTCCGATCCAGATTCTGTTCATCCTCCTCCTCCTCTTCCTCGCTGCTGGAGGACGATGAGTCCTCGTCGTCGGTCTGCTCCAGCCAAGGTGGCAGGCAGTTGGCCAGCCGGCGGATGCAGCTCTCCGGCAGAACGTTCCGCTGCAAATCGAACTCCCGGGGAAACCGAAGCTCGTCCAGCGGACGTGGTGTGTTCAGCCTGGCCAAGTAGACGTAGTCGTAGTCCCCGGAACTGTAGCCCGAGGACGAGGATCGTGACGATGAGAAGGTGGAGAAGGCGGATGCTCCGGCGGAGGGATCCGAGTAGATGCACTCCTCATCGCTGCTCACCGGTGGAGCAGGTGAAGTACTGACCACCGGGAGAGGGGGCGTGGGATCGCGCAGCTTCAGTCGCACGTAGCCCATCCAGCGGGTGAGCTCCATCAGCTGGACGAACTCGGAGCGACACGGCGTGGTGGCGTAGTAGTCCGTCTCCAGGAGCACCTTGCACAGGGAGGCCACCGTGTCGTAGTTGGCGTCGTGGGGTCGCGCCACGTCCACGTTCTCGAACACCACGTACGTCACCGGCTTCTGCAGCGGCTGCGGAGCACTCTTCGAGGATCTGAAACGGAGAGTTAGGGGAAAGATTAAATTTTAGGAGGAAAGTTCCACAAAAAATAGAAATAATGGTGAGCAATTCAAAGGAGATTCATTTCATTTTTAAAAGAAACTAAATTTATGCAGGAAAATTCTACTATAAAATAGGAATAATGGTGAGCAATTCAAAGGATTTCATTCGATTTCATTTCATTGTTAAAAGCAACTAAATTTGAGGAGGAAAATTCCATAAAAAAAATAGGAATATAAGTTAGCAATTTAAAGGAGATTCATTTCATTTGTGAAAGAAGCTAAATTTGTGCAGGAAAATTCCACAAAAAAATAGGAATTAAAGTTAGCAATTTGAAAGTGTTTTATTTCTTTTTTAAAATCAACTAAATTTTTGCAGGAAAATTCTACTATAAAATAGAAATAATAGTAAGCAATATAAAGGATAGTTATTTCATTTTTAAAAGAAACTAAATTTGTGCAGGAAAATTTTGCTAAAAAAAATATAGGAATAATAGTTAGCAATTCGAACGAGTTTAATTTCTTTTTTAAAAGCAATGGTATTAAAAAATATTGTGAAATGAAATGAACAAAGAAAACAAGATTTTCAGCAAAGGAGAAAAAAATAGTATTAAATACTTTCTCAAACTTTAGAAAAAAAGTAAAACTAAAGCAAAAAAAATTTGAAAAAAAAATATAATATATTATATATTTTATATATAATATATGTATTGTATATATTATATATATTATATGTATAATATTATCAATGTTATATTATATAAATAGAAAAGAGTACAAAAAAGTACTCACTTAAAGAGCAAATTCCTGGCGACAGCCACATCGACGGCACTGCTCTGGAGCAGGCTGTGCTCGGCCAGCTTCTCGGCGGAGCAGCTGGCTCTCCTGGCCAGCGACTCGGCGTCCACCGCCGCCATTTCGCTCTCAAAGTGCCCGAAGAACTGGACGCCCAGGAGCAGCTGGTTGAGCAGGAAGGTGTGCAGCTCCCTCTCCAGCTGGAGGAGCGTTCGCTGCTCCACGGTCCGCTGCAGCTCCTCGCGCTGCTGCTCCAGTGTCCTGGCATACAGGGCGCTCACGCACTCGGTGGCCGTGCTGCCATTGCTGCCGCCCAGCAGGCGCAGCTGCAGGGCGAGATCTGGCCGCGATCGGCAGTTGGTCCCCGATCCCCGACGCCTCTGGACGGAACCACCGCCACCATTGCGACCCGAATTGGAACTCCTTTTGCGGCGTCGCTTGCGGGCATTGCGCTTCTGGAGCTTCTGGAGCTGGCGCAGACGCTTCTCCTCCTGGCGACGGCGCCGCTGCGAACGCTGGACGGGAATGGCCGCCTGCAGGGCGTTGGGCGTGGCAGTGGATCGATCCTGCGGATCGGATCGCGACCAGGAGCAGCCCATAGCTGCGGTTTCGATCGATAGTTCGCGACTGAATTGCGCTTCTCATATCTCGCCGCCTCGGTGGCCTCATAAAAGGTGCAATCTGCGATGGCAACTCACCCACTACCAATCTCACCAATCTCACCAATCACCAACCACCAATCAGCAATCACCAATCGGCGATCTACTAATGACACTTGCAATCTCTGCGATAAGATCTGGAACGTCTCTTCCGGCTGGCCACCACCTCCTCCTCTTCCTTCTGCTTTTGAATTTAGCACCTAGTTCCTGGTATTCTTATATATTATATTTCGATAGCAAACAGAATCAAATTCCACTTCACGGTGCTGCGAAAGCATTACGAAAAGTCAAGTGGGCTACCGAAATTAGGGAAACGATAAGATCTTTAATTGACTTCCGTAAATCAAGGGAGATATTAAATAAGTAAAAAGTAGATAAGTAAAAAAATATATCTGCTCAACGAAGATCTCTCAGGCTCTGGCTTCAGTTTGATTAAAAATTGTTCGTTTCTATATCAATGTTAATTACATTTGTTACTCTATAGATATTCTCACCTTGATTTAAGTTTAACAATTGTTTTAAATAAGAAGTTGAACCACTGTGCCATCTTTATGGCCTGTCGTTCTATTGTCTGCCGTCTGATGTTGACATGGAACATCCATAAATAGTGATATCTCTATGGAGTGTTCTGGGCAAACAACTGATTGAAGTTGATGGCAAAGGTAAAGGTAAAGGTGGCTTGCGGCCTTGAAGATGACTAACTGATAAGGCTCTTTACACATTGTTAAATCGTTGCATTCGCCAGAAAAACCCTTCGATACTTCCATTTGCAGGTGGAGTCCGTACAGTGGACGTTCGACAAGACGAAACCCGACGACATCAACGGCGAGCTGAGGCACTTGGCCGAGTTCCTGGCCAACAAGCAGTTCGATCTGGTCGTCAACCTTCCGATGAGCGGCGGAGGCGCCAGGCGGTGAGTGCCACTGTTTGTTGACTTCATTTACCATCGGCCACCAGTCACCAGCCACCAGATAAGTTAAGCCATTGGATCACTAAAGACCACATGGAGTGGCAACCTTAATCTGTGGCAATCTGAGCAGGCAGTCGCAACTTCAAGCGCAAATATTTGCATTCCAATTTCACTCGATCAGGGAAATCAACCTACACTTACGAGTATTTCGTTTGGGGCTCCACTCGATTAATTTTCTATAATTTACCAAATCAGCAGTTGGCAATCAGTTTTATACGCCCAAATAAATAAACACTTGTTCGATAGCCTAATAATATGTCACGGTTTCCCCCTTCATCGCATGACTTTATTATCCAGTGGATAGTATGTAATTTGCATTTGATAAAACCAAATTAATGCGATTAAAAGGGCAATGTGTAATTTGTAATATTCGTTTAAAACAAACTATATCTAATTGAAAGTTATTGGTGATTGCTTGAAAGTCTTTTATTTCATTTCATAATGCAATTTAAAGGTAATGCTGATAGTGAATAGTATAGAACTTCAACTTGATTAGACCTTCAATCAAAGGAATACTCTATGTAAAACAATCCCAAAGTATGTAAAGTGATCCAATCAGATGCTTAGTGTTACTTACTTTAACTGCAGGGTGTCCTCGTTCATGAAAGGATACAATTTCAAAGAATCTAAAGTGATCCAATCAGTTGCTTAGTGTTACTAATTCAATTTTATTACTTACTTTAACTGCAGGGTATCCTCCTTCGTATAAGGAATATATGAAACAATGCCAAAGTATCTGAAGTTATTCAAATCAGTTGCTTATTAATACTACTTATTAAATTAAATTACTAATTTAATAACACTTTAACCGCAGGGTGTCCTCGTTCATGACCCATGGCTACCGCACCCGCCGCCTGGCGGTGGACTACTCGATCCCGCTGGTGACCGACGTGAAGTGCACCAAGCTGCTGGTGGAGTCGATGCGGATGACCGGCGGCAAGCCGGCGATGAAGACGCACACGGACTGCATGACCTCGCGGCGGATCGTGAAGCTGCCCGGGTTCATCGACGTGCACGTCCACCTCCGCGAGCCGGGGGCCACGCACAAGGAGGACTTCTCGAGCGGCACGGCAGCCGCGTTGGCCGGCGGCGTGACCCTCGTGTGTGCGATGCCCAACACGAATCCCTCGATCGTCGACCGGGAGACGTTCGCCCAGTTCCAGGAGCTGGCCAAGGCGGGCTCCCGCTGCGACTACGCCCTGTACGTGGGCGCCTCCGATGGGAACTGGGCGCAGGTCCACGAGCTGGCCAGCCAGGCGTGCGGCCTGAAGATGTACCTCAACGACACCTTCGGCACTCTGCGGCTGAGCGACATGACCGCCTGGCAGAGGCACCTCGCCCACTGGCCAAAAAGAGCACCCATTGTCTGCCATGCGGAGAAGCAGAGCACGGCGGCCGTGATCCTGATGGCCCACCTCCTGGACCGCCCCGTTCACATCTGCCATGTGGCGCGCAAGGAGGAGATCCAGTTGATCCGCGGCGCCAAGGAGAAGGGCATCAAGGTGACCTGCGAGGTGTGTCCGCACCACCTCTTCCTCAGCACCAAGGATGTGGAGCGGCTGGGCGCGGGAATGTCCGAGGTGCGGCCACTGCTCTGCTCGCCGGAGGATCAGGAGGCGCTCTGGGAGAACATGGACTACATCGATGTGTTCGCCACCGACCATGCGCCGCACACGCTGGCCGAGAAGCGCTCGGAGCGACCGCCGCCCGGATTCCCCGGCGTGGAGACCATCCTGCCCCTGCTCCTCCAGGCCGTGCACGAGGGCCGGCTCACGCTGGAGGACATCAAGCGGAAGTTCCATCGCAATCCGCGCAGCATCTTCAACCTGCCCGAGCAGGCGCACACCTACGTGGAGGTCGATCTCGACGAGGAGTGGACCATAGCGGGCAGCGAGATGAAGAGCAAGTCCGGCTGGACGCCGTTCGAGGGCACCAAGGTGAAGGGTCGCGTCCACCGCGTGGTCCTCCGCGGCGAGGTGGCCTTCATCGATGGTCAGGTCCTGGTGCAGCCGGGTTTCGGCCAGAACGTGCGCTCCAAGCCGAAGCAGCTGCCCTCGGAGGCGGCCCAGGATCTGCTGCCCAGCGACAGCGATGCCAACGACACCTTTGCCCGTCTGCTCCACACGGAAGGTGCCGCTGGTCAGGGAGTACCATCATCCGGCGCCTCCACTAAAGTGCACTTTGTCGACGGAGCCAACATCCTGCGTCCCATCTCGCCATCGCCACGCGTTCGCCTCGATTCCAGCAGCAACACCACCTTGCGGGAGTACCTGCAGCGCGCCTCGAGCCCCAATCCCGTGGCCCACTCGCTGGTGGGCAAGCACATCCTGGCCGTGGACATGTTCAGCAAGGAGCAGCTGAACGACATCTTCAACCTGGCCCAGCTGCTCAAGTCGCGCGTCACGAAGGACCGGCCGGTGGACGAGCTGCTGCGCGGCAAGATCATGGCCAGCGTCTTCTACGAGGTGAGCACGCGGACGCAGTGCAGCTTCGCGGCGGCCATGCTGCGTCTGGGCGGCAGGGTGATCAGCATGGACCAGATCACCTCGTCGGTGAAGAAGGGCGAGACGCTCGAGGACAGCATCAAGGTGATGGCCAGCTATGCGGACGTCATGGTGCTCCGCCATCCCACGCCAGGAGCTGTTTCGGTAAGTAGATGAACTAACACATCCTGGAACTGATTGGTGATCCATTTCCATTGCTTTTCCCCCACCAGAAAGCCGCTTTGTTCTCCCGGAAACCGCTGATCAATGCCGGCGATGGCGTTGGGGAGCATCCCACGCAGGCGCTGCTCGACATCTTCACCATTCGCGAGGAGATCGGCACGGTCAACGGGCTGACCATCACCCTGGTGGGCGACCTGAAGAACGGACGCACCGTCCACTCGCTGGCCCGCCTCCTCACCCTCTACAACGTGACCCTGCAGTACGTGGCGCCCGAGAGCCTCCAGATGCCCCGCGAGATCGTCCAGTTCGTCCACCAGCGCGGCATCAAGCAGTGCTTCGCCGGCCGCCTGGAGGAGCTGCTCCCCGGCACCGATGTCCTCTACATGACCCGCATCCAGAGGGAGCGGTTCGACAGCGAGGAGGAGTACAAAAAGGTGAGCTTGCCTCAGAGGAGCAGAGCAGAGCAGAGGCTATTACTTTTGTAATCGGAATCGCACTGAAAATTTACCGAAATTCACTAATTCTAAGGCCATAACTTTTCTAATTTTAATCTGATTTTTAAGTAGCATACCTCTAAATGTTTATATATTAATTCTTTAACCAACTGCATCGTTAGAAAACTTTTTTTTTTTTTTTTTATTTATTCTTTTTAATTTTTATGATGTAACCCCTTTCCAAATTTCCAAAACATGGGTTTGCCAAAAATTGACCGAAATTCATTATTTTTAAGGCCATAACTTTTCTAATTGTCATCCGATTTTTAAGTGTCATACCTCTAAAGCTTTGTATTTTAATTCTCTATCGAACTGCATCATTAGTTATTTTTTTGAATTTTTTTGGTCCACTGTTTATCACTTTTTCTTATTTGTTTCAGTGCTGTGGCCAACTGGTGGTGACGCCCGAGCTGATGACGCTGGCCAAGAAGCGCTCGATTGTGCTGCACCCGCTGCCGCGTCTGGACGAGATCAGCCGGGAGTTCGACTCGGACCCGAGGGCTGCCTACTTCCGGCAGGCGGAGTACGGCATGTACATCCGGATGGCGCTGCTCGCAATGGTTGTGGGCGGTCGCAATACGGCGCTCTAGACGAACTTCATCCGGAATACCTGCTATCTGACTCTCTTACACTTTTATTTTTGTACACTACCTTTTTTTACTACACATACACATATGCTGCAGCATATGAATAAATGGTTCCATTTGATAAATCTGTATGTGTTTCGATGGGAAGCGGATTACTTACTTAAAGCCCCAACAATCTATTCGATTGAATGCAATTTAAGAGGACTTAATAGGCGGACTTGCTTCGTTTCTTTTTACAAATGCTTCCATCTCCCTTAAAACAGCTTGATCTTGATTCCTTTATAATACATGTGTGTGTATATTAGTTATAGTATTTTATAATATTTAAACAAGCAAAAAAAAGTTCATTATGATAGGGTGTGGTGATGGAAATCCTTAGGCTAAGTCTCAGTCTCAAACGTTCACAAAAAACATCACGTGCACTTCCGATGGTTGGTTAATATATATATATATATATATATATTTCCTCGAAGCTAGTACCGCTCCACCACGACGGTGGTGTCCTTGACCTTGTCCAAGGTCAGAGTGCTCTCGGCGAACGCGGCGTTCAAGTTGCCAGCCAACTGCGGCTGATCCTGCGAAACACTGGTCATCGCCACATTGGTGGCGGCGTTGCTCTTCCGGTTGGAGTTGCTTTGGGGAAAGAAATGGAAAATGTTATTGATGTGATAAGTAAATGATTAATTAAAATAGTCTTTAATATTTTTAATATATCAATAATATATCATATATCATATCAGTGTAAATCATTTACCATCTGCACACTTTCTCACCGATTAGAACTGGGCTTTAAGGCCATTTGGACTCACCTTCTCTGCTTGCGGCAAGCCACCATCGAAACGAGCACGGCCAAGATGATGATGGCCGCCAGAAGTCCGGATAATCCGGCCACCATGGTCATCATGCCGTGGGGTTCTCCGTCGGAAGTCACCTTGGTAACTGCAAAGGCGAGAGAAAGCAGCAGGTGAGTTGAGTGATTTGTGATTTGTTGTGGTTTGTGATCGCTGGTTGCTGGTTGCTCATTGAATGATTGAATGATTGACGCTGACGTGCAGCTCCAATTTGGCAGGTGTGAAATGTAAATCGGCCCAAGGTCAACTGTAAAGTTAAGCAAAGCTAAAGCTGAAGCAAACTTTGAAAATATTCAACTAAATAGTGGGCTTTTTATCTTTACTGCACTGAACGGCCTTAAGTGGGTTATCGAGTTTAGAAAGTAAACATTTATTAATTTATGTTGATAATTGGAAAAGTAGTTTTTAAAACCCTACATTTAAAACGAAAATTTGCATTATTCCTGTAGGTTTCTATTATTTATATATATTGTTATTTTTTAATTATTTTGTAAAACCTTAAGTGGGTTATCGAGTTTAGAAAGTAAACATTTATTATTTTATGTTGATAATTGGAAAAGTATAATGCTCTTTTTAAAACCATACATTTAAAACGAATTTTGCATTATTCTTTTAGGTTTCTATTATTCATATATATTGTTTTTTTTTATTATTTTGTAAGATTTATTTCTGTTTTTTATTGATTGTCGACGACTGGCGTTGAACTTCAACTTGACGACAATCTGATCGAAATCCGATCGGATCCGATTGAAAATGCGTGGAGCGACGGCAGCAGGTTTGCATATTTAACTGGCAAAGCCGACGCCGACGCCAACGCACTTCCGTGCTTTCTAAACCGGAAGAGGGGGAATCCCCCACCCCCTCCTTACCCCCCTCCTTCCATCCACACACACACACACAATTACTCACTTGAGTCCTCGACAACGAATCGCTTCGTGTTGGGTCCGGATTGCATGTAGCCCCCAAGCTCCATTTTCAGGTCCATGTTCTGGAACGAGACAAATGAATTAATTTATTTAACATTTAGGAATTAATTGTACTTAATTGTGAATATTTTTCAAACATCATCAAGTTATTTTGTGAAGTGTAAGAGGAAAAGCAAGAGGAGGCCGTGAAACATCTGTGTAAATGCAGTTAGCTAACTGCATCGATCAAACACTAATTAATCTAACGAAGTACAGTGGAACTTTGATGGAACAACAGTTAAGAATATATATAAATTATCATATATATATATATATTACCCTAAATAGGGTTTACCAATTCATTGCAATTTAAGTAGTAAAATAGGCTTCAATGCAAGTTGAAAGTTACTTTTAAGCTTTACAATAGATCTTTAAATTCCCCTTATAATCCTAGGTTTTAAAATCTAAAATAATGCCAGATCGAAAGCTATAGAATGTCGACCGTACTGCCCCAGTTGCAGCAACCGCAGACGACGCATGCGCAGCGGCAGATCGAAAAAAAAAAGAAAGAAAAAATAGCAGGGAGCACGCTCGACTTCACCGCCTTGTCATCCAAATTGTTGTTGGCCAATCTCGCCTCTGCTGCCGTCGCTGCCTCGGCTACCGCTTCTGCCTCTCTGCCAGCGCCGCAGTCGGCGTCGCTGCCCGCGTGCTTATTAATTGGCTGAGGCGCTGCTAAGCGATGTCGCTTATCAGCAGAGGGCAATAATTCGGCCCGCGTTGAGATGTCAGTGATTTATTTGGCCATAATTACTTTGATTTTATTGTTTACAGACAATTTTCGGCGGCAGAGCGCTCAAAAGCAGTATTCCTTAGCTAATTGGAAGTGACAATTCGGTAACTAGCTGGCGAAACAGTGGGACTTCCTTAGACACTCCTTAATACATACATTTTTCAGAAAAAAAAACAAACAATCACTTGTATCATTTTCTCTAAAAATATTTAAAGAACTAATTTATATTTATAACGTTGCAAATCTGAAGATTGTTTTGTGTCGAGAGTAGTCGGCAGTTTTACTGTAGTTGTTGATAAAAACAACCATCAACCATTAAAAGCTGTGCAAACACTAAATAAATTTAAAAACTAGTTTCCCTTTTAAAAAATCCATCTCAACAAAAAGCGGAAGCACATAGATATATTTTTGTATATATTTAAATGGACGATTTGTGATAGAAAACTCGTTAGCTGTAATCGCTTCGAAGGTAATCAATATTAATATTTATATACGAAAACTCATTAAAATTACCCAAGGGAATAAGTAATATGACTTAAAGGGGAACGACTGTCACTCGAAATATCTTGAAATTGGGCACAAAACTTTAGCCGACACGTTTGGCAATTAGTCGTGGGTTGTTTCCACCGAGAACCCCTAAAAAATCGTGTCGAAGCACAAGTCAAGAACCTATTCGAAAGTAAGATAACAATAAAAACCCTTTTTTTGTGCCATTAGTACCTGATAAATGCGGGAACATCTTCAGTTTTCACCGATTATTTCGGGGTTTTCGTTTCAAACTAGCCAAAAGGGAGATTGATTCATGATCGGAATTTTAAGAGCCGTCTGATTAGCACAGAATATTTGTTTTTTATTGGGTCTCCACATGATTTGCATGCGAAACGAATAACTATCAAAAACTAAATTATACAAAGCAAGCTAAAATGCAAAAAATACACCGAACGAATTCGCTTGAATAAGAAACTAAGCAATGAAAATGCTAAAAATGTTTTACATGTTCAATATTTTATATACTACGTCACCCATTAGAGTTCCTATTATTTTAGTTACTTTGCAAATTGCATCAATCAAATATTAACTAAATTAATTAAATTATCGTGTTATTTTTTTCCGTGTTCAAATATATTCAGATAGTGATTTCGTGGGATTGGCCGGAAGGAATGGACTGTGGAAAGCGGGATTGCATGCAAAATCGGTGGAGAAATGCGAGCACGACTTTCAGCTAGTTTGATATGTACATAAAAATTCTACGATCGAATATATAATATATGTAGAGTCGCATCTTCTGTAGTTGTTTTTGCCAGCGCGCCATAAATAATTTAATTAATTTAATCATTTGTGGTGGCAACAATTTGCGATTTAATGGCACAAATTACGGTCCACGAATATAGCAATAGCACGGTGGCGGAGTTTTCGCATTTAAATTTGGCAATCACTGGCAATTTTCGCATTAAACAAATTACAATTCTGGGCCTTTTTGCTCTGGGCACTGTCACTAAATTGGCACTAATCAATTGGTTACCAATAATGATGATTTGTCGAGCGGAAACCCTAAGAGCAAGCAACTTGAGTTTGGAGCGTCCGTTGTCGATTGTTAATGATATTAGGTAAGAACCACCACTCACTTACAAAAAATATCACGCCAAGGTATCGGTTGCTGATTTCTGGCCAAAGTGGTCGGTCGATTCGTATTTGGAAACTATATTTCCGAATTTGTATTGTGTTTAACTCTGAACTAACGCCGCCGACACTCGATGTTCGACTAATGCGCTCTACGTAAAGCCCAAACGTAACTTTCGATTGCGCCAAAAGCGGTGACTGCGACTGCGACGTCGGCAGCGACGGCGGCGGCGGCGACTGCGCAGTCGAATGATCGCCGAGGAAGGGGACTTAACCCCCTGCAGGCTTAAAACTTTATTTTGGTCGAAAACCCGCCACTTAGTTAGTGAAACAAAAAAAAGGCTTGTTTCCAATTTGAAACAATAAATTACTCCTCTTAATAGAAATGTATTCAATGAGTTTCAACTGTTTTAAAATATGATTTAGTACCTGCCAACATTTTATTACTCATACGCAGTGTTGTCCCCCAATAGGTTCCTCCCATAATATTTTTTGAAATTATCACTTGTTGCATAAACCACAGTAAAATACAAAAATATATAAATACAATAAAGGTATTCCTTTATTATAAATGCTGTCAATTTATTTTATTTAAATGTTTATTTAAATGCTGTCAAAAGCGCTTCAAAAGTCTATCACTCATACGCACCGTTGACTCAACGGTCTTAATTTAATTACCATTCATTAAAACGGATCGATTTTATTGTTAAGAGATAAACACGGACTCTATTAGCTAGAAGATCTACTGACTTGATGAACTAGAGCTTAGAACAATCATTATTCAAAAAACAGTAACCACTTGAGATGATTTTCAGATATCAATCACGATCAAGAGGGTTAAATCGCAGGAGACGGACGGGATCTCTGTCAAGTTGAGCTGGGTCTACTTACTCCATAACGCCGCAACGAAAATGATCTTACATCTAATTGAAATGTAGCGAACGCACTGGCAACTGAAATTGTAGCCAAACGAAAGCGATGCCGGCGGCTCAATGCCAGCGATCAGCGAGTCAGTCAGTCATTTGCTGATAGAGCGGGCTTTGCAGTAGATCAAGGTGGGGGAAGATCACCCCCCTTCCCCCTTCCCCCTTCCCCTCCTCCGGGAACATGATTTATCGATTTGCCGATAGTGGATAGTGGATAGCTGATAACCAGCATAGAACACGACCCCCGCGAGACACGAGAAAAGAATTTGTGGTACATGGCGCCTCGGAGCGTCACTCAACCGCATGTAAGGGTGCACACAGCACCGGTCAAGACACTAGGTCTCAAGAGCCATCTTTCAATAACTTTTTACGTATAAATAAGAACTCAAAATATATTATTTTTGTATTAGATTTACTTTGACCTAAGTTTTTACAAGTTAAGATTCTTTAAAAAGGATGTAACTAAAACCAGTCAGTGTGCTTTTCAACAGCTGTTTGTTTAAATATCAAAATAAATGCAAAAAAAACTAAATGAAAGGTTGTACTCTTCGTACTAGAAACATAAAATATAAACAACTTAAAACACCTTTGTTCAATCAACTCCTAAGTTATTATATAATTCTATCCCCAACTGTTTGTGTGTCAGCACACCTCCGGCCACGCCCATTTAGACAACAAGTGGGCGACAAGTGTTTTCGCAATGACGCAAATGTACAGACCGACAGACTGTTTTCTGTTTTCTCCCGCAAATTGGCAATCCAAAGTCGCTTCCATCCCGGTTTTTTTGGTCGGAAAAGGGGAGATTCTTTCAGTTTGGATCCGCCAGCAGTTGAATCATAGATACTATATTTCACTAGCCTGAATACTTCTTAGGCTACAAAGAACTTTTAAACACAATAAAGCACTCACATCGCTTACAGTTTCCACAAGTATAATGCTTTAAAATTAACTCTAGATAAGGCTATAATAAGAAAATCATTATAATAATCTTTTGATTTTTATATTTTATAGCAATGACTAAGACTATTTGTGGGGCAATAACATATATTTATTGATTAAGCCTTTAGGTGCAGTCATGTTTTTTGTTTAAGATAAGATTCCAAATGTTTAAGAGACAACTAATCGGAGCTGCTAACAGTGTATTTAATCAGGCAATCAGGATATCTTACAAGTTGCATTGTCATTCACAAGGGGTTTTCCCAGTTCAGCCAGAACTTTAAAATATATAGAATAGGCGGTTTTGGGCTTTCCAATCGCTGACACTTCGGGCAACTTGTTCACTTTTCGGCAACTCATCTCCGGTGCGTGGCACGTAGTGGGGAGTACACAGTGAAAAACAATTTAAATAAGTTAAATACTATTTGTTATCTATGAGGCCTAGACTTTACAAATATTTGCATATTTTTAATAAAAACTTTCCAAGAAAAATGTCTTATATTTTATATCTTATATCTCAAATGTTTTTTATTCTTTTCATTTTCCTTCTGTTTTTCAAATATTTGCATATTTTTTAATAAAAACTTTCCATGAAAATTATCTTTTATTTTATATCTTATATCTCACATGTTTTTTATTTAAACTTTGGTCTTATTCTCTTCATTTTCCCTCTGTTTTTAAGTTCATGTGTACTCTATTTTTGTTTAAACAAAAGCGTGCGGTTAAGCAATCCATACGTTTTTTGACTTCCAAAAATCATGACAATATGAAATGATAGTGACGTCGGGGGCGGCAAACAAATCGCTATAAATAAGTGGCAATCGCTGGCCAAATTCTAGACGAGCATTTTGGCCGATCGGCCGGGATCGGGTATATGCATAATAGTCAATAGTCAATCAGTGGGCCCAGACAGCCGGCCACTCGGCATTATCTCCTTCCTACTCCGGTGATTGGCCCAGATAGGGCGTTTTGTTTACGGCCCTCCGGTGCGGCGGCTTTCGCCTTCAAGAAATTGCCCTCCCCCTTTGTTGTTGCCACATGAATTTGCGTTTCAGCAAAGGTAAAAATTATACAACAAATAAAGAAATGGAAAACAATAGGCGATATGGAAATAGAAATAGAAAACATTTGTTGTCGTGCGCTCCTCCACTTGTTGTTTATCAACAATTACAACGGCGCTCGTAAAAATCAAACGCGAAGTTGGGAAAATATTTGCCATTTGCTGTGGAGCTGTGGTGACCAATTGACAGCTGCAATTGGCCGCTAATGGCGAAAAGCGGTTTGTTTGGCCAGCAAAAACAGTTGACGGATCTGCAAGGGCTTCTTACGTGGCGAAATTTCCGGGGAAAAACAGCTCACAAAACTTTTATTCAACTTACTTGTGGATGTTTTTGAAATGCCTCATAAAAGAGTATATAATATATTTTTTTAAATTCCTTTTTAATTAAGATTTCTTGTTGTGTTTGCTTCGACTGTCTTGAACTTCAAATGAAAACATTTCGGCGAACAAAAACGTAAATAGACTGCTTTGCTTGGCAAACAGTGGAAATTCCCACCAGGTATGTTGTTATATTCTGCAAATTGTCTAGCAAAACCTTAAGACGACGTCATTTTGGCGCCATTCTCCCGAGTGTCTCACAGTTTTTATCGAATTCCTTGTAAAAATAATACACATATTATGGCGCACTTAAGGTTCCCATCATAAATACCGATCTCTCAGTTGAATCCAATTGTTTCCTGTTCTGGGCTCTCTCGCCAGATCGGATCTCTCGGAACGTAATGGATATATACTCGAATAATATGTCGGATCTGGCGATTGGAATTGAAGCTCCAACAGGCCGTTGACTGATGTTTGCAATTTTTTTTTTTAATTAGATTCCGTTGTTGGGGATACGTTGTTTTAAAGGCGATTTAGAGATTGTCAGGCGACCAAAATAAAACCGAAACGTAAACCGAAATCAACAAAAACAAAAACACAAAAACCGAAAATGAAAATGAAAATTTGTCGCACTTTTAATTTGAGTCAACAATCAGCGCACTGTGTCGACTCTTTTGTTTGTTTTGTCTTTGCGCAATTAATGACACAACAATTTACAAGCGATTTTCAGTGCAACACGACGATCCAAATTATTTACGGCCCAATGCGAATTTAATGTTAATTTATTTGCGAGAGCCTTGTTGTTTGTTTCATTTGTTTTTAAGGTGTTGCGACGTCAGAGGCATTTGCCCCAATGAAATCCGCCGCAGAGCTTTCCCGTTCTACTATACCGTTCGTTCTACTGTTCTACCGATCGGTGGATATATATCTTTAAATACATATATCTCCTTCTTATTCTTATTCTTGATCTTAAAAATAAACGAGAGCGTGTGTAGAGATCGTCGTCGTTGTCGGTCGGTCGGTCGGTCGGTCGGAAAAAGGCGGAAAATACCTCTCATCCCACGGCCCCAAATGGAATGGAAATGGAAATGGAAGTTAAGCGATATTAACTTAACTCACTCCCCTAATTTATGCACGTGCAAAATTCGTGACGAAATTGGCGAATTCCTAATTGCAGATTGCGAAATTCCCGCTCGGGCCAAACAATTTATGCAAATTCTGAACGGTTACAACTGTTACAACATTTCTGGAGCGTCATCGTTACGAACTGTCTGCTTTTACACTCGAAAAAAAGCGATGTAACAATGTTTTATTGGAAATGAAGTAGATTTGTTCCCTTGATAAATATTAAACCTTTTTTAAAAATAAAACGCTTTTTCATTTTATATATTGATTTGCAATAGACGAAATAATTATAAAGTTATTGGTAATTTATTATAATAACCCAACACAGTTGAAAATAAATCTGAATTGTTTAAGAAACATTAGATATATTTGGGGGATTTCTATTTTGTACATTGTTTTAATCAAAGGGGGTTTGTTTTTATTGCAAAAAAACTTAAATAATTATTAGTTTCTTTAGAGGTATAAGCACATATTTTCGCGCAGTGTAGCTGCCAATTGACGCAAGCGGCAACGCGCAACAATAGCGGTAAGAGCAACAATAACAACTGCCGGCAGCAACAATTACTTGTGATAACAGCCACATTAATTTTATTGTCAAAAAGCATCCACCCCCTCAATCGGCGTCCCTTCACCCGCACCCCCTTATATGCATATATATATCTATATCTATATATATGTACATATTCCCCGCCGATCGCGCTTAGCCATATAAATTGCCGTTGCGGCTGATAAATTACACTAATCGCCGGCGGTGCCGACGTTTGAGCTTTGTTTGCCCGACGCCCCCCTGCCACGCCCCCTCCTTGGGCACGACACGATCTGGCGTAGCAGCTTCCGATCCGCGTCTATATGCTATAGAAATCGGCGAATAAAGGAAGCGCCGCGAAAGCCCGCGGGGAGCAAAGATCTGCGGGGAAAGTGAAAGTGCTCGGCGGCAGTCACTCTTTTGATTTATTACGCAATTTCATTCCAATCCGTTTTTTTTTTTTTAGATTTACCTGATGCAGTAACTCATTAAACGCTTAATTGCTTAATTTAGTGAGGGAAAACATTGCCCAGTACTTTATAGAATAAAGTAATCGTTCCATTTAGGAAATTACGTCTAAAGCCACTGTTTGGAATTTAATAACTTGAATTTTCAAGCTATATTTATTATTTTTAGCTATATGGAATTTAATAATCTGAAAATAAATTAGAATTCCATTAGTTACTTTCGGTTTCTTAGAATACTCAAGATTAGGAATCTTATTCCTGAGATCGGAGTACTTTGCATCTTATACTTACACTGACATATTATATACATATAACCATAAAAATAAGCAATAAATTGCAATCTGATTAGATACTTATTTAATTAATTTTAAGGTTCCTGAAATCGGAGATATGTAAACCTATGGTTTCTAAACCATATTCTTTGTATATGGAATTTAATAACTTGAATTTTCAAGCTATTTAGCTACATATATGGAATTTCATAACTTGAAAATAAATTAGAATTCCATTAGTAACTTTCGGTTTTTTAAAATACTCAAGATTAGGAATATTATTCCTGAGATCGGAGTACTTGTATCTTATACTTACACTATCATATTGTTTATAACCATAAGATTAAGCAATAAATTGCAATCTGATTACTTATTTATTTAATTTTAAGGTTCCTGAAATCGGAAGTATGCAAACCTATGGTTTCTAAACCATATTCTGTATGGAATTTAATAACTTAAATTTTCAAGCTATATGGAATTTAATAACTTGAAAATAAAATAGAGTTCCATTAGTAACTTTCGGTTTCTTAAAATATCAAGATTGGGAATATTACTCCTGAGATCGGAGTACTTGTATCTTATACTTACACTATCATATTGTTTATAACCATAAGATTAAGCAATAAATTGCAATCTGATTACTTATTTATTTAATTTTAAGGTTCCTGAAATCGGAGGTATGCCAACCTATGGATTCTAAACCATATTCTTTTCATATGGAATTTAATAACTTGAAAATAAATTAGAATTCCATTAGTAACTTTCGGTTCATTAAAATATCAAGATTAGGAATCTTATTCCTGAGATCGGAGTACTTTGCATCTTATACTTACACTGACATATTATTTATAACCATAAAAATAAGCAATAAATTGCAATCTGATTACTTATTTATTTAATTTTAAGGTTCCTGAAATCGGAAGTATGCAAACCTATGGTTTCTAAACCATATTCTGTGTATAAGCTAGCAGGGGTTCTACCCAAATTCGATGATAGTCTTATTGAAGATTGTTGAAGAGATCCTTTCCTGATTGAGGTGAGCCATCCAGATTCCAGATTTCTAGAGCGACGCAACGCTGGACTTCTTGTTCCTGTTCATGGTGAGGTATCTCCACCAGGATTTGCGGGTGTCCGCACCTTCGGCGGGTGTCGCTGGGGTGCCACTGGGCGCCATCGACGCGGCATTGGCCACTCGGGATGCGGCGGCCATCGGTTGCTCCGCTGGCGATTCCATGTTGCCCACACCGTCGTCGACGGAGTTCCTCCGACTGGCGGACTTGCCCGATTTACCCGACTTCACCGACTTGACGGACTTGGCCGACTTGGTGGACTTGGCGGTGCGCATGGTGTCCATTGAGATCTGGTTAACATTCGGCATGTTGGCCAAACTGGGCAGCGGGGTGATGCCGCCATTGCGGGTCCGACGCTCCCGACGATTGCCTCCGCCAAAGAGTTTGCTCAGATACGGCATGCACATCTTTAGTTTGGGTAACTTGATGAAGGGGATATTGGATTACTCGTTTCAAATTGCAGGATGCAGGATTCAGGGTTCAGGGGATGCAGGATCGGTTCACTCCGCGACTAACGTTTAATTTTGGGGAATTTTCCCTTCTATTTTTATGTTTGTTCGGAATTTTGGCTACGACTGTTGTTTGGCTGGCATCGAATGTGGAACTAACAGCTTCTCAGAAAGTTAACTCCCTGGTAAATTTCTTCAATGTTTTCAAATATTTGAATCTACACCTGATGAATAAAGAATACATATTCTTGATCAGCAAAAACATCTGAATTTCTGTGGTTATAACAGCAAAACCTTTTACTTAATATTATAAATTAATCTTACAAACAAGAATGATTCAAAAAACCTTTTTTGAAACAAGTTCTTTCGTGATATTACTTTTCACGCTTTAAAGTAAAATCCAGAAGCTAGGTAAAAGATCCTTTCTCGGCATCGGAAAACCCAAACAAACTGATAAATTTGCGTACACCAGATCTAAATTTATCCTCGAATTGGGGAGGATTTGCTGCAAACAGTAGACAGCACTCGAAGTGCAACCAAATGCGACGCTTGGGGCAGGCACATATGTATGTCTTGGGAGTTATTTATAGAACACTATAGGCACTGTGACCCTGCTGCCTACCTCATCCTCCATCCAGACAGAAGAGGCAGAAAACGGAGTCGCAACTTCCCCGGGGGAATCAGTCGAAATTGGACCATGGCCTCGTTCGGAGTTCGCGGAATGGCACAGCCGTTGGGCATCCGCATCTGCTGCTGCCGCATTTGCACCTGCATCAACTTCGGGTTCGTCCTGTCGCGGATCGGACTCCTCAAGCTGATGCAACTCGGCCTGGCCACGCTCTGCGAGGGCCTGCTCATCCGCTACGGAGTGCCGTACGCGGAGTCCATCGGCCAGGCGTTGACCAGCTTCCTGGCCACCACGGGCCACTGCTTCACCACCACTGGGATCCTGCTCCTCTGCTACGCGTTCTCCGACAAATCGTACAACCTTATCCGCCAGTCGCTGTTTGTGAGTCTAATACTATTACTAATCGAAGTCACTTAAGAGTCAAATGAAAAACTAATCTAAATTAAAAGAACAGATACACTAATTTTTTGTTAAAATAAATATTAAAGTTCTAAGGAATTTTCATGCCACTTTTATCAGAAGAACTTTATAAACAAAGATCAAAGATCAAAGAAATTTTAAAGTGATTATCATTTGTTTATAAAACAAAGAAATTCTAAATATTGTTCTAACAAATGTTCATGCCACTTTCATAAGAAGAACTTTATCAACAGTAAAGATTAACGAAATTTTATAGTGATTATCATTTGTTTATGAAACAAAGAAATACCAAATATTGTAGTATTGATGTTATTGGTTTTTATGACTCCAGGAGACGCTGTTCAATGGCCTCGCCAGCTGCATGTACTTCAGCTCAGCGAGTTACATGGGCTTCGCCTGCGTCGTTTGGCTGCATCCACAGTTCCTGGTGCGTCCCGGATTCTGGGCCTATCCGGCCATGACCGCCTGCTATGTGAGTGTTGGAACTTAAACAAAAATAAATATATGTATATAAAAGATATATTACTCTCAGTACATAGGCTACGCGGCGGGCATTTTGCATGCCCTGGATGCCTACTTGGCATTTCGGCACTTTCGAGGAGCACGATAACAATATGTTAAGCCCGGCCAGATAAAAGCTCTATCTCAAGTTGTTTGTGGACACATTTATATAAGTTCTACGTTTAAGGCACCTTTCTTCCGATTGTCTCGAACATTCACAGTAAAAGCGCTAAGTTGTATGTGTATAAATAATAATCTTTAAAATGGACTGGTTTGATTAGCACCAAAAGGAGTGGGAGATCCGGCAATCCAGTGGCCCTCAGGCCATCTTATTGGCCTCTGCTTTGAATTTTCTGCAAGTACATAAGGTTAGCTTGTATTTTATTTCTGGTAGACAAAGTGCTTGGAACCCACTTGAGTTGCTTGAGGGCCTGACTGGTCTCAAAGTCCGCCTTTAGCAAGGCGATGCGCACCCAACGCGGCCTTTCGTGAATCGCCTTATGGATGAGAAACTTCAAGCCGAGCAGCAAGTGCTCGAAGATCACAAACGAAAGATCCGGCACCGAGGGCAGCCAGTGGGAAAAGAAGTCCCTAAATAAACAGGGAGATGCATTCATAAAGCTTAATGAATTACCCAGCAACTCAGGAAAACCCACTTGACATTTGGTTGGAGGAAGAGCAGTCCGCAGTTGCTGAGGAGCGCCATCACCGAAAGCAACTCGAAGGCCAACTGCCAGGCGCCGATGTTCTTGGCCCGCCTCGCAAATGGCCGCTTGAAGATGTTGCACAGCTTCCACATGTCGATGTGCACGGCAAAGACGTTGTTCAGCAAGGCGCCGATGGCGGCAAACGGGGCAACGGCGGCGAAGAGGACCACGAACCCGAACTGGATGCACACCTGCAGGTAATCCTCGTACGTGGAATGGTATTCATCAAGTCCGGACTCGTAGAACGACTGCTCGTAGCGCGGCAGGTCGCTAATGGATCGCAGCTTCTCCTCGGCCACCTCGCGATGCCGGAACTCGGCGTACTTCTGGCGCAAAACGGCCAGCAGCGGGATGCCGATCTCCTGGGCGATGCACAGTAACTGGAAAACGAGCAGCTGCATCATCAGCTGGTACTTCAGCTGGCGCAGATCCTGCAGCACAAAGGCGATGTAGAACTGCGAGAAGAAGTTGTTGACGATCTCGAAGACCATCAGCTTGTTGACCCGATGGCGATCGTACTGCGATCGCGTGCGGTGGTTCTCCAGGTTGGTGAGGAATGTGGCCAGCTTCTCGTACGCCCACGAGAAGATCGCAATCAGCACCGACTGCACGATGACCGGTACGTAGAGCAGCCAGGAGTCCGGTCCGAAATCCGCCAGCACCTCGGCCTCAATTTGAAACTGATAGAGGGCAAACCAGCCGGCGGCCACCACGCAGCCCAGAACGACCGGGTACGAGATGCAGTACATCTGCAGGTACGTGTAGCGCATCGGGTAGTGGAGCGTCATCTTACCGGTGATCGGATCCGGCTTCATCTGGCCCGTGTACGCCGATCGCGGCTTGTCCAGGCTGCTCATCTCGATGGTGCCCCAGCGGTACGAGTAGCCGGCGCACTTGCGCTTCCACAGCTCCAGAAAGATCTGCAATTGAAGTGGTTTAAAGTTCACTAAAGTTAAACTAAGTATTTAAAACTCTTTTTAAAATGATACTTTAAATGTACCTATGCATGTTGTAAGATTTTTAATACATAAAAGCTATTTTTATTATGGCACTTAAAAGTTTCCAACTGAAGAGCACTTAATGGTCCTATATTTAGACCTGTCACATTTAGGATTTATAAACTGCAAGGGCAATTTCCTTTTAATGCGCAAAAGATTACTTTGTCAACGGTTTGATTCACCAAACTAACTCACCGTGGTCCATATCACATAAAAGCTGCAGACCAGCGAGATATTCAGGTCGAAAACAAATTGAAGTATTCCAAAAAGAGAAGGGAAGATCAGAGCCTTTGTGTAGAACTCGATGAAGCCGAAGTAAAGGCCTATGCTAGAACCGAAGTAGTTGCGGATGTCCTCGATGGGCAGCTTGGTGCGTTTCAGGTTCCAATTAAAGCGTTCCAGGTAGAGCTAACAGAAGAGGAATAAGTTAATAAATCGTATTGAATGTTTGATACAGTAACTACTTACGATATCATGCAGGGGAAACATATCCTCGATGTAGCCCTTTTGCACATAAGACTTAATGCCATCCTGGATGACGTCCTTGATCAGGACAGGAATCTCGCAGTAGCGCAGGATCTGGTCTTTGCCCATTCCCGGCAGAAGGAAGTCCGATATGCAGCCGTGGTTGAACTTCTGCATGCTGTTCGTGGTGGTCATCTTCTCCAGTTCGGCAGCATCGGCTAAACGCAGCAATGTATCCACGCTGGCCGACAGGTAGAGGTACTTTTCGGTTTTCCTGAACGAGATAAAATCGTATTAGGAATTGTAGAAGCGTACCAGTTTTACACTTTGTTTAGGAATATTGTTTACAGTACATGTTGTATAAACAATGCATTGCTGGCCCAATTAAAAAGTAGTATTTGTTCGTAAGATTCACTGATGTATCCTATGTATTATGAGGTTAGTTGAAATGTTGTTTTGAGTATAAATTTGTTAGCTGGTTTGGAAAAGGCACTCATAACTCTTTGTTGAATTACATTAATCGTGTTTACTTTTGTTGATCTATAAACATTGCATTCTTGATTATATAAAGATGCTGTTGTTTCGCTTGATGGATAATGACTCAATGTTCTTGGTTGATTTACACGCTTCCATATTCTGATATACAGTTGGGGATTATCGTATTAGCCTTTTTATGTTATATAAGTTATTTTAACAGTTTTTTAGTTCGCAAACTTTGTCCTAATAATAACCTCCATTTTTTAAAATGTATTGGTAAATAAATCATCATTTTTATGGGTTAAGTTTTGTTAACACCTTTTCTATTTCAAGGCCACGTTAATTCCGGCTTACCCAACAATCTCCAGGGTGGTCTGGATGCCAAACTCCTGGATGATCTTCTCGACATCCTGGCAGTGTCGCAGTTTGGCCTTCTCCGTAAAGATTATGACGATATGCGTCTGAATGGAAGCAGTGGTAAGAGTTTAAGTTAACAAAAAACCTTCACAATTGCACTAACCTTTTCAAAGGGTTCCGAATCAGGGCCTAGGCCATCCACTCCCTCGCCAGATTCCAAGGTCCGCTGGCGCTGCAGTGCCTCCAATTTCAGGCTGCGCTGCCGGCGGAACAACTGGTTTTCAATAATGTTCCGCGTACGTGGTCCTGGACCTAGAAAATTTATTCGTTCGCTTAGCGTAGCTCTATTAATTCCGGGGTTCCTTGCTGTTTTTTGGCAACCATTCCCCAAGCATTATGCACTCACTCTTGGCATCTTCGGACATCGTTTACGGGTGACGGCTGATGACGAGTGGCGTCGCTGAACTAATAACAAAATATAACAATCACATCCACATTGAATCCGCCGACTAGAATACATATATGTATCGCAGAATTTCTCTTTCGGCATATACTCATATGTCTGCCATCTTGCTCGCTCTAACAGTGTGCGTTTGCTTGTTAATTGCGTGTATTTTGGCCTGTGCCAATGCCAAAATACTGAATTTTTAATAATAATGCCAAAATATTTTCGCTTTAGCGGTTCTTGCCGGTTCAAAGTGCTTTGTTGTTGTCCGAGCTTCGTGGCGCGTGACGTCATCGCCGCCATGTTATCGAATCGGTTTGTTTCGTACGCAGCAACAACAAAAATAAAATCGTTAAAGTCTTAATTGATTTAGTTTTAATTAGTTTAAATTAGCAACAAATTCCCCTTGCCCGCCAATTGGGCAATGCAGTACATCAATCATTTATCGATTACAGTGTGCAACTCTGCCAGCAATGCGCGATTGTTGCACACAGTGACCGCAAGTCACGGTAAACAATAATTTTAAATTACGACCAACTAATAAAGTTTTTGTTGGGTCTTCTATACAATTTATTCTAAATATACAATATTCATCGCACTTAATGACATTTACAGAAAATATTGATTATTTTCGTAATTTCTTCTGCCACAACAAAGCCAAACAAAATTTTGTTTGGGAGTTATTGGATCACAGCACCAGTTTTCAGGTGATCTGGCAACGCCCACCGACAGTAGGCCTATTCCAGATGGCAACCCTCCAGTCAGCTGTTTCTTTTGCCGCCGCGCTCTCCCTGAAACGTTGTGATGCAATTTTGTTGTTTTCAGGCCTAAAAGTGAAAGTTTCCACTGATAAGCAGCCACAGATTGCAGCTGCGCCCACTTTACGATCACTGGATTTCCCGATCCGTGTCAGCCAATTGTTTCGCCCACCAGGAGCAATCGAGTCACTCAGAACTCGCTCCTCATTCCAAAGGGCGGCCGCACATGGAGCGCAGGGTCAAAGCCGCGCCAGAATCCCAAAAAGAGATAGCGCCAGTCGATGAGCGGGCATCGCAAAGTGGGCGCTGAGGTCTAACCTCAAAGCACGAGCACAATCAACAAAGAGATTTCGATTCCCATTCCCCGGATTCCCAGGATCCAGAAAGGAGCTACCATCTTCGCAGGATGCAGCGCCTCATGCCGGCGACCTGGACAAGCGGTGGCAGCCTTCTGCCCTTCCGCGTCTCCACCACCACAAAGGTGTGTTCCTAAGTTCAGTCTTATATATCAAAACTATGAAAAGGATCACCAGAATACACAGCGGTAAACTATACTAAAACGCTGTCGTATTAGAATTCCAAAGTTAAGAGTCCTAGGATGAAGTTTTATATAGATAACCAATGGGATAAATTACTTATTAACTTTCCATTTTCAATCCTCGTCAGGTTGTTCTTTTCTCGCTGACGGCTGGAGTGGCTCTGATGAGCGTTCTTTCCCGCTTCCTGCGACGCCGCAAGCCACCGCGTCCGCCTCGCCGGGCGAGGAAGTACACAGGTCGCAGGAATCGCAACAGCATGCGCAGTCCCAATGACCTAATCTCGATAGCTGGATCGAAGGCCTCGGCGAGATCGGGCAGTCCCGTGGGCTCCACCCTGGCCTATTCGGACCGCCTGTCGATGGCCTCCGGTTCGATTGGCGTTGGAGCAATGAGCGTACAAAATGCCGGTGCCAGCGGTTCGATGGTCACCCAACTGACCGCCCAACAACTGGGTATGATGGGCATGGAAGCGCTGGACACGGTGATTAACTTCTGGGAGGATGCCCTGGCGGCCCACTATTCACCTGGCGGACTACCCGCTCTGTTGACCACGGCGGAGGACTCGGAGTTCTGCCGCGAGATTCAGAATCTGCTGGAGATGGCCTACACGCTGCAGGAGCAGAGCGAACTGCTCTTCCTCGACCAGCGATCGGTGCTGTTCCGCGAGGAGCATTCCATTGACGAGGCCGAGGAGGATGCCGGCGAGATGGACGACGATCGTCGGTCGCGAAAATCGGGCAGCGTTCTGAGTAGAGCCGGTTCCGATCCGAACTTTGATTCCGCCGAGAGTTTCGCCTCCGCTCTGGACCAGGTGGCGGATCTGCGGGAGTTCGACGGCTTTATCGAGACCTCGTACGAGGAGTATCCGTTGTTCCAGACCGCACTGAAGCACCACGACGAGTACACGGTGCCGTGCCGCACCATTCGGGCGGAGCTGATGCACTGCAGCACGGACACTGAATACTTGGCCAAGCTGCACTGCGTTCGGTTGGCCTTTCAGTTCCTGTTCAAGGATCCGGCGGTGGGCCAGTGGATCTGCGATTCCGGCCGGCAAATCCTCACCGATCTGCTCTGTCTGGGCGATAAGGACACGAAGGAGTTCCTCGTCGGCTACGAGGACATGGTTAACTATCTGCACGACAGCAGCAATTGGCCGTGCATTCAAATGGAGCTGGAGCAGCGCAACGTAAAGGCGATGACGTTCTACGACATCTGCCTGGACTTTATCATCCTGGATTCGTTCAAGGACTTGGATGCTCCGCCTGCCAGCGTCACTGCGGTGGTCCAGAATCGCTGGCTGTCCAACGGATTTAAGGAGACGGTACGTAAAGTTTTAAACAGTTTGCAATGGCATTTTGGTTTACCCATTTAATGCTTCCTTTTGTAGGCTCTTACCACGGCCGTTTGGTCGGTGCTAAAGGCAAAGAAGCGAATGCTTAAGTTCCCCAACGGGTTCATGTCGCACTTCTACGTGATATCCGAACAGATATCGCCGCTGATGGCCTGGGGCTTCTTCGGGCCCAACGAGAACCTGCGCGACATCTGCCACTACTTTCGGGAGCAGCTGCTCGCCTTCCTGGGCGACATCTTCAGCTTCCAGAAGAGCCGCTTCACCACCATCGAGGAGTTCTCGCAGGACGTGCTGCAGCACATGCAGACGCGCGTCAACAACATTGGCGTGAAGTTTAGCCAGTAGTTGGTTTTCATTCACTCTCGCCTTCTTATTATACTTCTTGGACTCCGTTTTACTTTTCCTTACAAACCAAACCGTTTGATTCGGTAGATTCCCTAAGAAACAATGCTCCACAAGTTGACTAATTTTAAAGCCTCATTGATTCAGCCACACACGACACCAAATCCACGCATCGTCATTGTATGATTAAGCTGCATTTAAGTCGCCAAAACATTTGTAAAATAAAACTGTTTACCGCCCGAACCGAGCGCAAATCCAGCTGCGAAGCCTCCAATTCCATGGGGGAGGAGGTGGGCCAAAAGGTAACCGACACGTCGCATACCCTGTTACTATAAAGTTCAGTGATGTTTCACAGCTGACATAACAACGCACAAAAGCAGGTACTTAAGTCAAGATCAAAACTTGAATTTGTTACTTTGTAGTTACTAAGAAAACGAAAAGCAATTCCCCGTTTTATTAAAAACTTTGCTGAATTATGTAAAACTTGTATTTGTTGAACGATTCGAGAATTATATAATTATAATATTATAAATAGCTTTATCCGAATGGTTAATTAATATTTTTGTGAAACGAACAAAGTGAATTATTAAAGACAACTAAATAAGCAGTAAAAGATATGATAGTCCGGTTTTCTGTCATTGTTGAATTATTTGACGTTCCTTTAAGTTACGAATCCCGAATTTGAAACGGCAACCCAAGTAGAAATGAGTTTTGTAAACTTTCCCTAAATATATTGATCAGATCATGGTAACTGAAAGTGCAGTACTGAGTGACTTTGGTTGCATATAGGGTATCAGTATCAGTGGAGAGGTTGGAAGCGAACGGATAAACTCCATCGGGCGGCAGTCTTTCCCGACGACTCTTTTGAGCAAGATGTGCAGGGGTTTGAGCATGTGCTGTGGCATCCTATCACTCGCCGCCTTCGTAAGTGCCTGCCCAGCTTCTGATCCCATCTCACATTCTTTATCCCACACCAGATCTCCTGCTTTGTGACCCTTCACATGCTCAACAAGATCATTCACATCCAGCTGGAGGCCGCCGTTCAGGTGAGCCTCAAAATGGAAGCGGACGAAGTCAGCGGAGCTCGCTGTCACAAAACCGTGATAGTGGACAATCTGGATGCACCGCATCTTAGCTGGCTGGAGCTGTTCTACGCCCGGTGGACAGTGGTTTTCACGCTGCTCTACTCCTTCGCGGCCATGCTGCTCATCCGGGCCAAGTATTTGAACAACGTGGACATCAACATGACCACCTCCAATGCGGTAAGGTGAACATCCAAACAAATATATACGCTATTCCTAATAAACTACTCCTGTTGAAATCAGATGATACTGATGGGTTCCTTGCTGTCGGCGGTGCTGCTGGTGGTCACGGTGGTCCTCGATCAGCGGGAGCCATTCGTGGATCTGTGGTGCAACCACTTCATTGTGTACCACTTCTACTTCATCGCCTTCACCACCGCAATGTCGGTGGTTTTCTTTTTGGCCCACTCCTGCCAGGATTTGCTTAACCTGCCGCACTTGCATCCAGATCGTGGCATGCGTTTCTGAATGGCATTCATTTAAAACATCAAGATAAGGATTTGAAAAATATATGCGACAAGAATACAACTTCCTAAGATAATTAGTGAATTGTTTTAATGATAATTCATTGGTACAAACCATTACGAATATGATAATGGTGTTGTGAGTTCGATCCCATTGCATATAACTAACTGAAATTAGAATTAAACTCCTTTATTAAATTCCCCATAAGTGACGCCTAAAATTGGAGCTGTAACCTTATCATTGAAAAATGCGCTTGCGTTTTATGTAATTTGATTTTATTCAAACAATTTGCTTTCATTTGGTTGGTTGTTTGTTTTCTTATTTTTTGTTTGTTTGTTTGTCGTATATTTGAGTGTTGACTGCAGTTCAGGAAAGGCATTTTCACGTTCCTCGAATTTTGCTTTTGCTTATTTCGCGTTTGATTTCGAAACTAGGGGCTAAACGTTAAACTAAATACATCGAATGAGTTTGTTGTTGTCGTTCGTGTTTGTGTGTGGCCGCCATTTGTTTAATTATTAATAACCGACCGTTTTTCTCGCAATCGCCATTCGAAAACGCCACTTCTGGAGGCCCAAAAGCGGACGTTTCCAAAAGTCCTGATTCCGAAAACAAGCGAGGTCAATATAATTTATTGCTTAAGATGTGAAGATGCGGCAAACATTCTCAAAACCACGGATTACCTTCCTCCCTCTCACTTCTCACTTTTCTCTATATATATAATATATATATATGTATATATATAGTTATATATATGTATACATATCCTTTGTGTATAAATTTAACTTGAAGTTTTTGTTTTCGCTTGCAACTTATGAACTTACGAACTAGTTTCAGGGATTAGGGGGGAACTATAAATCTTAGTGGGTATAAGTTAGCCAGTTAGTTGGTAATTGATTTATCATACGGTAGTTCTAATTACTCCAATTCTCCTCGCCTTAACATAGACTTTCTTTCTTTCATTTGTTTGTAGACTCGCCCTCCGAATTAACCATCGATATCTGGCGGATTTGGGGGCTAGCACGTTTTGGTAAGGTAATTTCATCTTGCTTTTCGTACTGGAGGATGCGGCACCTTTAAGGTCCGATCTGGCCTGACTCCTGACTCCTGACTCGATCTCCGCTAGCGAAAACTCCTCATCTCTTCTCTTCTCATCACTTAGGATCTAATAAATAAATGTTTCTTGGTTTTGTTTTCCATGTGTTTTTGTGTGTGGTTTGGGTTTTTGTCGTTTAGAATTCTTGTTTTTTTTTTGTTTGTTTCTCTGGTTTCAAATAAATGTTTATTCATTCCGTTTGTTCTCTGCTTAATGCAAAGCTTACTCGCCATCATCATCTATCAGTTATTTATTTATTATGTTTGTATATAATTAATTGTTGGTATAATGCAGTCTTTACGGCAAAACAAAAACAGAAGAATTATGCTATTTGATTTCTCAATTTGTTTTTCTTAGTTATCATCATCGATACATGCATCATTTCATTGTTCTCATTAAATACATAATAATCAAAAATATATCTGTATTCTATGTTAATATTTAGTTTTGCTTTTTTAAAGTTCATGAAACCAAATACACTTATTTAGGCCTTTCGATCGATCATCTGTCTGTCTGTCTGTTGGTTGTTGGTTGGTTGTTCTCGTTTTTTTTTAACAAAAAGTAAAGTGTGAAGTACAAGGTTCATATAATTGAAGCAATTTACACTCGTTCGTTTTAAATAAATTACTTCGCATTTAAATGGTTATGCGTTTGCATTTGCATTTGCTTTTGCTTTTGTTTTTCTTTTCGAAGGCAGTTAGACGTGAAGACATTACTCTATTGTTGGTTTCTTGCTTTCGTTTGTTTGTGATTTGTTAACAACTATTTTATGTACATTTCGATTACATTTAGTTTCTCTTTAGGTTCTTTTAGATTTTTAGATTGCTATATGCATTTTGGCTTAACATTTAGTATTCCGTTTCTCAACTAACTTACACCTAGGGCTTAGTGGCTAGTTAATTTTGCAATTGTAACACGTTCGGGTCTACATTCGACCTATCCACATTCGCATACACAAAAAATACATTTCGGCTCCGATCTGTTCAATATCCATCTTCTATCTTTCTCTTACTCTTTCCCTATACCTAAACCTATCTCTTTCCCTTCCGCGCTAGTTATTTGTTCCCTAAAGGCATTTCCATTTCTCGATTTTGTTTACATGCAAATCAAAATTAAATATGTTTTAGAAGTACATGCTGTGTTTTAAAAGAAAGTCGTTGATATTTCCCACTTACATATTCCCCTTTTATAATTTCATTTCATTTTTTTTTTTCTTTTGTTTAGCTATTTTGATTATGCATAAGTTGAACGATATGAAAGTTGGATTTATGTTTAGCACAAAAAGAAATTGTAAGTTAATGTACGAATGAGGCAATTCACGTTCGAATGGAAAACGTCAATTTTGTCTTGGGTTTATGTACAAGTGCGTTCTGTTTTCTGGTTTTCTGGAAGTACTATTTCAATGATTGTACAATTGGCTATCGTATCTCTTTTCCTATTTGCGGGTGAAGGCACGCCAAAACATCTAGACAGTTTATTTTTTATGTTTAACGTGAGTATTTGTTTCGTATTTTGTTTTTCGTTTTTACATACATTATTTCCATTCCATTTTTACCCCTTTTTTACAACGAAAACATTCTATTATTGCTTATGATTCGCTTGTTTGTTTGTTTGTTGCTTTGTTTTTGGATGCCTTAATATTATGTATATGTATACGTATGCTTTTGTTAATGTGTGTGTGTGTGAGTGTGTTTGTGTATGCGTATGCTTCGTTAAGTTTCAACTAAATTATGTTTTTACTTTCTGATTTTAACAACACAGGAACAAGTTTGTAAATCTACACTTAAGATGCTTCCTTTTTTCTTTTCGTTCTTTAAGTTAATGCGAATTGTAAAAAAAAAGAACATTACTATATACGAATAGATAGATATATTAGGTATGATAATAGTCCGGGGTACGCATAAGCCTAGCTCATCGAACCGAATATTCTCAGCTGGACAAGATTATATGCGCAACCCGAAAACTACTAGCTTAAATTAAAACATATTTACTTGCTGTATTTGTTAGATTTGTTATTATTGGTTTACAGGTGACCAGACATTGGTGTTTGTGGTTTATTATAATAATATTATAATCGTATTCAAATATGTTTTTTCTTTTGTTTTGTTTTGTTTTGTTTTCCTATACACGGAGGCGCTTATAGCATCTAAAACTTAGAGCAAAAACAAAAAAAAATATGGTGTGAAAATACATGAAGTTAATCAGTTGTTGTTCATCAGTTAATTAATTAGTGTAATTATCCTACGTTTTTCTCTGGTCTCTTCATCATCATCTTCTTCTTCTTCTTCTTCCTCTTCTTCGTGTGTCTGCTTGAGAATTTTGGTTTGCTTCGGAAGAACTTGGCTTGAATTTGAGGGCTCAAACCAAAATAGGAAAGCATGCGATCGGAACTTCTTCCGAATGATAAGTTGTGTGTGGATCAAGATCCTATGCGATCGATCCACTTAGGTCTACAGTACAGTATTTGTTAAGGCGGCGGTCTTGCTCATGTAAATTAGCTATTTAAACCAATCAAAAAAAAAAACATATATATAACTCAAAGTAATCCAAAGGTGTCGGGTTTCATATATGTACGTAAAACGCTGGCGTACGTATTCATCAAAACGCGCATCTTGCTGTCGTTGTTAGGTCTACACTTAAGGTTACGTTGTGGTAAGCTCTCTGTTTACCATCTGGATGTTGTTGAGGTTTGCTGGGATCCTTCGGGTTTGAAAAATCGGCTACACGCTATCCGCTGCTTGCTAGTTTGTTTGTGGTGTGTGCTTTCTTAAGTTATAAGGTCGTTTAAACGTAAATCTGTAAGGTAAGAAAGATTAGATACAACATGCAATAGATTGATTTCAATTTCGTACCTTATAAGTTAAATATTTGGCTCTTGGTTTTGTTGTTGCTGCTGCTTTTGTTTTTTGTTTTGTTGGTGTTGCTTGCTGGAAATATATGTTTCGCTTTGGATTCAAATGATTGGATTTCTTGTGGTTGTTCCTATTTTTTTGTTTTTGCTCCAGCGTCCGTATTTTCCTCGAGTTCGTTTAAATGCGTCGAACACAAACAAATGTGTGTGTGTGTGTGATGAAAAATGGCTTATACAAAAGACCAACAACGAATTCGGAAAAAGAAAAACCTCCGTCTATCTGCATTCGTGTATGAGTGGCGGGTGTTTTGTTTGGTTTTCGTTTCAGTTATCGTGTTTCCATCAGTGTATTTTGAAGTTGTTTATGTTTTGGCATGGGCAGCGCGCTGGCTCTCAATACTGCAGGTCCATCTCGTTGCTCTCCTCCTCCTCGATCAGGTCGTCCACCTGGAAATCGCTCGGCGAGAAGCTGGTGGTCTGGCGCATCTTCTTCTGCTGCTGCTGCTGCTGCATCAGCTGCAGTCGCTTCTGCAGCATCTGTTGCTGCTGCAGTTGCAGATCGTGCAGGTAGCCACTGCCGGCGGTGGGCGCAATCCGGCTGCCCGGCTTGATCACCATGCCGCCCGTTGTTGTTGGCGCCTTGGCGACGACGCCACGCATCCGAGCATTGGCCAGGGCTGCCGTCTTGAGTGGATTCCGCAGCTGTGTCGCCTGGGACTGGGATTGCGATGACCCAACATTCGAGGAGGAGGCGGCTGAGGTTGAAGCTGATGCTAAAACTGAAGCTGATGACGATGACGATGACGATGCAGCGTTGTTGTTGAGGGTGCCCGTGGTGCCGGGATCGTTGTAGCGCGGCCGCTTGTTCTGCAGCTTGGTGGCCCAGCATTCGGTGGCCCGGCGTCGGGCATTGGCACAGATATTATCCGCCGTCGAGGAGCTGGAGCCAGCTGCCGCGGCCTTTGACGTGGAAGCGCTGGTGTTCACCACCTTGTCCCCCTGGAAGGGTATGTGGCGGCGCTCCTCCTGCGTCAGCTGCATCATCTGATGGTAGTTCTCCATCTGCTTCAGGCGCTGCATGCTGTCAATCTTGCTCGTCATGATGCCCGACGTGGCCGGGGTGGTGTTGTCACCCGGCGCTGGCTTCGTGTGCGCCGCCGTTGTGTTCACAAAGATGTTGTCCTGGGCCGCCGCCTTGCTCTCGGAGACGACCAGCTTCTCCAGCTCGTTGGGATCGGCCTGTAGGCGTTGCTTTTGTCGCAGGTGCTGCAGCTCCTCGGGCGAACGCTGCTTGCGGAATTCAAAGACGAGCGGGAAGATGTGCTGGATCGCGGACTCCACATTACTAACGCTGGCCGCTAAACGCAATAAAAGGCATTTAGAGAACGTCCACTGATCAGCAAGCAAGCAGACAACTCACCCGTGACGGTCACGCTGCCGGTGGAGAAGATCTTGAGGGTGGCCTTTGGTTCGGGTTCGCGCATCTTGTAGGTAACACCCGGATGCAGCTCCGGTTCGTAGCTGGCGTTGTCGCGATGCCGCTCCGAGAAGTTGACGATCTTGATGGCCCACGGCATGCTGCAGGTGCCCAGTACGTTCACAATGCGGAAGTTAAGGAAGCGCGTCGGGAAACCCAGTTTGCCCAGGCATCTGGCATAGCGACGAGCCGCCACTTTGGCCTGAAAGCAATACAGATTATTGAATGAAATCAAAAAGAAGAGAGGGGAGGAAGAGAGTTCAAGCCGTACCATTGCCTCTGAGGTGGCACCCGTGCAGGTGATCCTGCCCGACGACCAGATGGAGGCCGTGGTATACGGATGGCGCAGCTTCATGGTCACCATTCCGTTCTCGCGTCGATACTCCACGTTCGAGCCCTTCAGCGCGATGTCGCGCAGCTTCAGATGGCAGCCGACGCTGAACGAGCAGACAACGTTGTTGATCACAATGTCCAGCTCGGGCTCGTCCTCGTTGTTGCTCCCGCTCTCGTTGACCGCATTGTTGGCGGCGGTCAGCAGGGCCAGAGGCTTCTCCTGCGACTGCTCACCACTGGGCTTGCCCGCCGCTTGGCTGCTATCCCCATCCTCGTTCACGTTCTCATCATCCTCATCGTCCTCGTCCAACGAGATCACAGTCGATTGGTCGCGCTGCATGTCCTCCACCAGCTCCTCCTGTTCCTCCGCCAGCAGCTCCGTTTTGGTCGTCAGGCCGATCAGGCTGTTGCCATTGGTGGTGGCTGCTAGGCTGCCCTTCTCGCTGCTGGCAGTTGTGGTGGTGGTGGTGATGGGGGGTTGTGCTGCTGCTGTTGCTGGTGAAGAACAATCCCTTGTTGCAGTTGGCCAGCACAATGGTATCGCCATTGGCCAGTTTACGCTGCACACTGGGTCCACCGGCCGTTTGTACTTTACTGAATTGCGAAAAATAGCGCACCGTGCCGGCGGCGGTGGACGTGCCCGATGAGCTGCCGACCACCGAGCCGCCAATCTTTCCAGTGGCCACCACGCCGGCCACACCGGCCGACGCCTGGCGATTGGCCATGAATGTTGAGGAGGGCGTTAGGTAGACGCGGGGCGCATTGGCCAGCACCGCCGAGGAGACGACGCCGCCGGTTGCAACGCCACCCACTCCCGATCCGCTGCTGGCCGCCTTAAGGCCGCCGTTCAAGTTGGCCACCGGTATGCTGACCATTTCGTTTTGCATCGGCTTGCGATTCTCACTCTCACTCTCCGTTTGTTCCCTCTGCTCCTGCTGCTCTTGCCTGAGCTCCTGCTCCTTCTTCAGGTCGAGCAGGAATTGTTCGCGTTGCACTTGCAACTTGTGAAGATAGTGCAGCCTAATGCTCCGCAGTACACGATCGATCTCCAGTTGCCTCTTTTTCTCCTTCGCTTTGCGGCGCAAGCGGCGCTGTTCCCTTTTCTTCTGCGATAGCTTCTCCTGTTGGATCTTCTGCAGTAGCTCCTGTTGGTTCTGTTGGTTCTGTTGCTCCTGTTCTTGCTGCTTCTGCTGCTCAGTCTGTTGGGCGTTTAGTCGACAGCGCTCAAGCTCTTTCACTTTCCTAAAGACGCCGTTCAATTCCTTCTTGGTTGATCGGTACTTTGAAAACAAGACCTCAACTTGACGATTCAGGCTTATAGGGGAGGCATGCGACCACCGCTCAGCGGCTTCAGGTCCCAACAGTCTGGTAATAATTGCAAGTGCTAGCTTGGGATTTTCCACTATCACTGCTTCAATGCCTTTTTCGTAGGAGTCACCAAAGTCAAGCAAATCAAGAAGTGGCGTTTGTTCCAATTTAGCGAACGATTCGGATGAATCTAAAATCGTATCGCTTTGGTTATCATCTGATTCGGATACTGATCCTGCTTCTGATCCTGCTTCTGATCCTGATTCTGATTCTTCCTTTTCGTCCTTAGGACTTTCGGGTGCCTTGGGGGAGTCTCCTTCAGAATCAAAAGGATTTGAACGATGGTAATCGGAGGAATGAAAGCCAGAAGAATTTGCAGATTCAGCAACTGATGAATCGTTCTGTTTTCGCTCTCTTTCACGATCTTCGAGTGCCTTTTTGTTTTGGTTAGGAGCTGCTGCTTCTGAATCGCTTTCTTCAGAACCAGAGGAACTGGAACTAGGATGCGAGCAATAACAACCGGAACCAGACGAACTAGATCCAGAAGAATCGTCGGATTTGTGGCCACTCTCGGAATCGGACTCTGAAGAAGAAGAATTGCGCCTTTGGCGTTTGTTTTGGATTGGTGGCGTGCACTCCTCGCTCTTTGGTTTCTCGCGTTTCCTTTCTTCTTTTAGTGGGGTAGGCTCTTTTGGTACTGCCACATAACTAGCTACGGCATGAAGTTGATTAAAAATGAACCAAGCTGGCTTAGGTGCACAGAGTCTAGGATATTTGCGAATCGCTGATCTGCAGATTGTTTCGGATCCCGTGCGTCTATTCCTGTCTATCTGAGCGGTTCGCGATACGTTATTGTTTAGATATTGATCTCTTGGTTCCACTGAGTCTTCGTTGTTTTCAGCTAGCTCGACTTCGTCACGGCTGCTAACTTCGGAGCACTCGTCTTCTTCGTTCTGGTTATTGAAGAAATCTCCAATTTGTTCGGACTCTAGTTGTGGGCTTCCTGGCTCCGAATCGTTTGATGCCGGAGAGTTTTGTTGGTCTTGGGTAAGTGAGGTCTCGGAACTCCCCTCGAATAGCTCCTCTTCGTCACTGCTTGTTAGTTCGCCCTGTTTTAGTCCCCAAAAATCTGTATAAGGCTCCTCGGTCTCTGATCCTTCGGAATCGGCGTCATATATCTCGGCTTCGTCACTGGTTTGTGTTTCGGATTCTGTACCTTCCGATTTTGGTCCCACCGATGAAGACAAGACTTGTGTCCGCTGTTCGTCTCCTGAATTTTCTTTAAAAATTGTTTTTTCGTCAATTTTCTTAAGCTTAATAGTATAAGTATAACAAATTTCTCACCTTCAGACTCCTTATGAAGATTTGCTTCTTTAAAATGGTTAACTTCTTCTGAAAGGGTAACTTCTTCAGATTGTTCAACTTCTTCAGGAAGTTTTAGTTCCTCATGTTGGATAACTTCTGCAGAGAGGATATCTTCCTCAAGTTGAGCAACCTCTTCAGGTAGGTTGACTTTTACAGGGAGGTTATCTTGTTCAGGTCGGTTAACCTCTTCAGATCGGCTAACTTCTTCGGGAAGGTTTTCTTTTTTAGGACGAATAACTTCCTTAGAGAGATTTACTTCTTCAGGATCATTAACCTCTTTAGATTGGTCAACTTCTTCAGGTAGGTTAACTTCTTCGGATCGGTGTACTTTATTCAATTGGTTAACTTCTTCAGAGAGGTCTTCTTTAGATTGGTTTATTTTTTCAGGTTGGTTGTCTTCTTCTTTAGATTGGTAAAATTCATCAAAATTTGGTTCACTTTACAGGGTTTTTAGGAAGATGGCGATTAATTACAATGCAGTGTTTGTTGCTGAGAGTTTGTGTTCGCATCTGTCAGTGAGTGTGTACTAAGTATTGTGTACGGTCTTTTGAAATTGCTGTATATAAGGTCTGTACCTACTTACTGACTGCCCATGTTATGTTTTCAATATTATATCTTGTTCTTTTCAAGGGTTGTAGCTTCGTCTCTTTTTCAAACGTCTTTTCTTATTATTAGGTTGTTTTTTGTTTTAGTTGTATATAAGGCTAAAAGTGATTTATGCTTGGTGTTCTTTCACAAATTCTTTACTTAGTTTGTGTTGTATGTGTGTGTGTGTGTGTTTGCTCTTAAGGCCAAAAATACTTCTTCTGTTTTGAATTATAATTAAAATTAGTGTTTGCAGTGTTGTTGTGAGTTCCCTAATGCTAACTATTTTGAAATACGATTATTTCTAGTCTTCCGTTCCTTTCTCCTTTTTAATATTATAGCTTGTAGTTTTTTGTTGTTTCTTTGTAGCAGTCTGAAAGAATTATTAAAAACAAATAGGGACAATTAGTATACGTGCCGAAAGTGATAAATATACATACATATGTGTATGTACCTCATAAATGACATTGTTTTGGTCGATAATGAATTAATTCTAGAAGTACAAACAATATGTACTGAATATATATGTATCTACATACATACATATACATATAAATATTTTTATCTTAAAGTGCATAATAGAATCCAAGTGACAAACAAAAATGTTATCGTCCACATGTTAACAGGAGTGGCGCTTAACAGAGCGTGTTCCACTTTTTTTGGGATCGACGTAGTGCACTGACCTTAGCATAGATTTTGACAGGCTACGAAGAGGGTGGATGAAGGGGCTAAGAAGAGGACAACCAAAAGGAAGCACTGGGTAAAAGGAGAAATGGGGAGGGAGCGTGTGCATGTGCATGCGTTTAAGCGTGTGTGTGTATTACTTGTGGGTCAAGGACGCGCTCGCAAAAGTGGAACAATCTGTCAATTGAGAGCGACGTCTCTAGACCAACAACAAAAACAACATTTACAGCAATGACGAAAATAATAGAAACAGAAAAGTCATACAACAAACAGTTATGCACCAACATTGAATGTTTTCGTCACGCTCGCACTCACTGGTTGGCAAAGTGCAAATGAAAATTGTTATTGTAAATTAGCAAATTGCCATAAATTACAATAGAGCGTTTATGGGAGCGGAAATATAATGTATGCAATGTTTATACATACGTTTGTACATATGCAATGGTATATATTTATCAAACATTCTTGAATTTTCTCACGACGAATTTCCTGCGGTAATATCTAAGAACAAAGTATAATTTGTATCCAGTTAAAATCCCAACATTTGCAATTTTAAAATGCCGGTTTTCCCGGATGTTCATTATGTCCAACGCCCCCTCAATTACATTTTTATTGGAATTATTAACCACAACAAGCAAAAAAAAAAAACGAAAATAGGGCCGAATTCACTTGGACCTGCATTCCAATGATATTAAATTAATCAAAACAAAACGGAACGAACGATATATAGTTGTGTGTGTGTGGGTGTTCGAGTTTCTTTTTTTGGGTGACCTACTAACAAAAAATAAAGAATTAAATCTTTTTAAAACTACTTTGCCCTCAAAGCTATTCAATAACACACTATGCATATGCATAATAATTTTAAATTTACAAACCCTGTGTGCATTTAATTAAATGTTGATAGTGCAGCTTAAATATTTAAAAATAATACAAAATATTTGTTGTTAAAAAGGATCACTGTTATATCTTATACCTGTTTACCGTTGTTAACTGACGGTGTCTACAACTCTGTCTTTTTCATCAGCCCAGCTTTAATTCACTTATTTGTATGGCATCTATACCCTTAAGATAAAGGATCACAGTTACTTTACGTATCAGTTTGCCGTTAGATATTGTAAATAATAATCAGCAAATAACACGAAAAAAACAAAACGAAATGAAACGTCACTCGCACAAACACAATTTCTGCGTGCGCGCGTGCGTGCGTATGTGTGCGCACTCACATGACGTCGACATTTGACAGTTTGTTTTGCTTTGTTTGACAGTTCTCCCTGTGTTCGCTCAATTCTCTCTCTGCTCTCTCTCAGTATTAATCTCTTTCTCTCTTTCTCTGTAGAGACTATTTTTAACAGCTCGGCAACAGAGGCGACACCACAAAAGAGGGTCAAAAATAGGAAGCAATAAAAGCGAAAACAAAATGCACAATAAATGCAAATGCCGCTCATCGCTTGAATTTCAATAAAGAAAGAAAAATAGCAGACAGCAGCAGCTAGCAGAAAATGCGAAAAATGTACCAAAATATTTGATCGAAATCAAATTTAGACACATACTCTCACACACACACACTCGCTAATGAAAGCTCTTAAATAAACGAAAAGAAATAAACAATTTAAATTTACGCAAAAAGTACCCCTAGATATGAGCAAAAACAAAAAATGGTAAAATTTCAGTTCATTAACCCAAAACGAAAATGAAAACGAGAACAACTGAGTGCAATGTGTGAAAAAGCAAGGAAAAGGGAAGAAGGGAAGGGAAGGGAAGCTTAACAAGAAGGAGAGACAGATAAAACAAAAGGCATTATACTAACAATAATAACCAACAAAAATACAAAAACAGTGAGCACACGGCAAACAAAAACAATATAAAGTGAACTGCAAATTTCAGGTTCAAGGCCAAATGACAAATTCAAAATTGACGAGTCGCCATATTGGGTAGACTTTTTATAGCTTCTCCTTATAATAAATCTATGATATCTGAGGCACACAATGGCCTCAAAAAATAAGTAGTCGTCTCAAAATTTTGTGATGTTTTTTATCATTGTTTTTATGTATATGTGTATATGTATATACTATTAACCAAGCTAAGAACATATTACACAACCCGTTTTCGAAATAATTACAATGACATTTTCCTATGTTTTTTTTTTATATGTAAGCATTATTTACTACCCTCTGTCCGCCCACTAATTTTCGAAACTCTTTAATTTCATTGAAATTCGACTCATTGAAAAGTACAGATTAGTTATTTTTGTGAAAGGGTTTCGAAATGTGAGCTACGTGTCTGACAAGAGGAATCATAAACTACAATAAAATATGCAAACGAGCGCACTCTCATCACCACAAACCCCCATTTATTGTACATTTGTACATACATATGTACGTATGTATTTATTTATTTCCGTTCCACATTTGATGGGTATATCAGTTTAAGAAACAAAAAAACGGGGAGTGCATTGTTTATCTGGGTATGTATTTCTTTTGACTGATGCACGTACCATTTACAATTTTTAAAAAGGATTCGTATGACAGACGATCTTAAATTCAATAAAAAGTAGACAATTATGTTCAAACAAAATGGTTGTGCTTTATATACAAACAATTTATGTAAATATCATATAACAAACTACCAGTTAGTAGTGCAAAATTCTTTGAAGAAATACCCATTTTGGCTAAAATGTTTATGAATATAAATGGAGATTTCCGTAAGTTTTGTAATGTAACACATTAAACGGTACATTTGCAATGTGACCGCATATCATAATTACAATCATCACAATTACCATCCGCCGGATATATCAAGTGCAGCCACTTGACACGCACCAATACATACGCGCAACATGTGTGTTCGTGTTCGTGCCACCGCTCACGTTCGTTTTCATGCCCCAATGAAGTGGGGAAGACAGGGGGTCGAGGAGAGGTGTGCCAGCACCTGTTTTGCCGCCTCTCCCTGTACAGAAAATTCTCAGAGCGGTAGGTGATTCACATTAACAACAACAATTGCATTTCACCAGCACTGCAAGCGACAGCTCATCTTTACAGTTACGATTCCATACATATGTAGATTGCAGTGCGTAGTAACAGAAACGAAACATTTTACATTGTATCTTCATGCAAAAGAGGGATAAATGTGTACCGATAAGAACATCTTGATAAGACATTAGGCGATCACCTTTTCGAACATAAATGCGTAAAGTTTATGCTAAAGAACAATTATTGACACACAATTTTGGGTACGAGTAAAGAAACACTCAGCAGAAACTCTGTTACTCTGTTACAGTGACCCAAATTCGCTTTTACAATGACTTTGCAAAAAAGAGACCAACAAAAATAAACACCAATCGACGAAAAACGACCCTGTTCACAAATGTACATATATCCGAAAAAGGCTGTAACCATTTTTTCGGGGAATATTTTGACGAGTTATTATTGTACATTGCCATGTTTATTGATTTAATACATTACCGAGTGCACACATTTTTATGACATCTCGGTTGAAACCAAATGATGAATATAGAGAAGGGAGTCGACAAACATGTGTCACCAGCAAACATGCAAATTGTTGAGAGAATCAAAAGGACATAATCGAAAATAAAACCATGACGAAATTGTTCAATCTAGGCGCCAGTGACCGAGTCTTAACTTACAAGTTCACAACATTTTTTAGTTCAAGTACATATGTTTTTATTAAAATGTAGTTAACTTTGGATCTTGCACCAAAGTTTGTGATTCATGGAGTTTTTATAAACGATTTTTAAACAAGCGGCTGAAGCGTGAGTCACCGTCTTTGAAGTGACATCATCCATAAGGATAAGTCATACACAGATATTAAAACCAGATGGTTTGTAAATAAGGAAAAGTCGGGAATAACCTACATATAAGATTTCTTTTATAATCAGTATTGCTGATTAGATTCGATTATTGAATTAATTAACTTTAAAAACATTTCTACTGATAAGTTAATACCAATTAGACATCTCGAGAGAATAATTAATAATAAATAAGACATATGTATGTACATAGAGTTTGGAAAGTTAGCAACAGGTAAATTTCTTAACACCTTTGCAGATTCAACATTTAGTTGGGCGGTTTTGGTTGTCAGACCTATCTGTAACAATTTTCGCACTGCTAATTTCCCAGTCACGTTTTCAAATTACAGCATCTACTTTAACCAGGCAATTTTGGTGCACATGGTAACCGAATAAGTCATGCAAGAAAACCAGTTAGAGAACTAAAGAAGAGAGGGGCAGTGTTTCAAAGAGAGACAAATGACCGGCTTTGGAGCTTCGTCATCAATTCTTCGCATTACTCAGAGAAAAACTTTTGCACGTGTGTCGACGACTGGTTAACAGTTGCGATTAACATGGCCGTATTACTGCGACCAGTTAACATTACCGATTAACAGCTTACATTCGCATTTAACATTATGCACTTGACATTGACATCGATAACGATTGATTGTTTGGATCACTTACCTCTTAAAAGTCCTTAATTATTTGATTGGTTATTCTTAATGGGGTTCCTTCTCTGTTTCTTGGCTGTTGACGCTGGAAATCTTTCTCGAAGAGTCTGTAAAAAAACCAAGGCGAAACACTTTTAGTGGGCGTAACAGTATTATAGAAAATGAGGGAAAAAATAATGCAAAACAAAACAGCTGGTCAACGACAAAAGAAAGAAACGAAGCAGAAAGCGAGGCAGGAAAGAAAATTTCTGCCCAGGTGTGCTGAAGATACAAATTAACATTTGCATGTGTGAAGCATTACCTGCTAATGCAGCTGCGGTCAAAATATTAGCACTAATAAAGGAAAGTCCCTCAATAAAATGTTTGAGCAATTTTTTCACAAAAAATAATTTTCGTGTTGACAGACCGAATACTATTGTTGAAGTGATAAAATGCGTTGAAGTCACACATTACAATTGGGTTACAAAAAAGGCAAAGGTAAAGTGATTTGTTTTTTTTTAGGTTTTCGTACATTTTCATGGAACGCTTTTCATTTCAGTTTTGTTTTAAATTTAGTTTACGTTACTGCGCTAAATTTGCGACCACTGGTGTTGCTGTATTTGAAAATCAGAGGGGAGCTACAAAATGGGTTGACAATTGCCTGGGTCAAAGAAATACATACATATGTATGTATGTACATTTAAAGACCCGGAGAGCGGAAATGCTGCGTGCACGAGAAATCAACGAGCTCTACAAAAATCCCATTAACAAGATAGAAAAACAAACACCCCAGGCCCAGGCACACACGAACACAATTGCACATATCAGCAATATACATACATACATATGTACATATGTATATGCATACTTTTGTGTGCTAAACTGCATGAATACATAAATTGTTCAGTGCACTTGGTCGACAACGTATGACTCAATATTTGTAGAACATGATAAAAAAAATTATACTTTTAATTCCTTAAAAGTACGTGCAAGTGTTGAGAAATCCACAAAATGCTCCACATTGCATACCCTTGAATGTCCGTAGCAATTCAAGAATGTACCATAGGAAAAAACGTAACAACAATATACCAATTTAAAAGACAACCCCAAAAATTTTGGGTCGCTGTCTCGCCCTCAAGTCATTGAACTGGTATATCTTCGCTACCCTCTCTCCACATTACGTTTTAACCACTTCTTCTAAGAAAGACAGAAGCCAAGAAGAAAACGACTCCAAGGAACAAAAACAAGTCGTTGACATCTCCTCCAAAAAAAAAATAATGAAAATAAAAAAAGAACTATGGGATGCAGACAGAGACAGCTGTCGATTTGTTATGATAAACCGTTATTTGGTGGAGAAAAAATGAAGAATCGGCGACAGGACAACTTCAAGGCCCCAAACAAGGGCAATGCCCATATATACATATGTGTGTATGTATTTACGTAAGTTTGTATACACGTCCCTTAAAAAGTTAAGGACCTGTAAAATAACGAGATTATCGTTTTCACAATTTCTTAAATTACATATGTATATTTCTAATATCTTTAATAACCAACCTATATTGAGATATGTATGTACATACATACATACATACATATGTAGTTTGGACGTGCTATTGAAACAACACCTAAAGAAGGATAACGAAATCAATACTCCCACCTAAAGCCAAAGTTCAAGAGGCCCAAGTTGGGGGCGTATGCTCAGGGATTTGTTGAGGGGCGGAGGGTGGGATTACGGTCTGGCGAGACAGGATAAAAAGTCAGACGGAAATTAGCTTTTATCGCTGACCTTGGGTCTTGCTCGTTGTTCGAAGTATAAAACGCAAATATGTATGTATATGTACATATGCATGTACGTAGCTACGTATGAATGTATGTACATACATACGTGAACATTTTTGAAATACATATGTGTGTACGCATGTATGTTTATGTGTATGTTCGCATTGGCGTTGAAATGGCATTGCTGTTGGCATAAACCATGTGCTAATTGATTGCGTTTTGGCTCAAACTGCTAACTCGCTGTAACCACAATGCGTGTGTTCGAACAAATAACAAAAATATAATAAAAATGGACTCCTTGGCAATGAGTTTCTCTATTATACCGTGTTATGGAGAAGTGGGTTTATCAGTCCAATTACAACGTCGACTCTTTAAGAAAAACAGTAAGCCCCTAACTGTGCCTAGTAATTTTGTTTTTAATAATTTTTTATGCGTACGTACACATGTTCTACCGATTCAACTTTTTACGTTTTATTCAATTTAAGTAAGTGTATTTGAAGTTGTTTTAAATGTTGGCTTTTTGGCTAACATAAAATATTGACCAAAATTAAGAAATTATAAGTGTACGCACTTATCTTTGAAAAGAGGCCGCATTGAATAAAACGCATGACACACTTAATTTCTCTCTCTGTCGAAGATTTCGGTTCTCTTTTGTGTTCTGCTTTGAAAAAAGACGGCACAAAGAAAGCGACCAAAACGAAGACGCATTTACAGTTATGCGATGGAAAGTAAAAGTCGAAATCAATGAATTTATATTGTTTGTTTTGGAATGTATGCGAAATGGGTAAAAAATCATTGAGAAGAAAATAAAACGAATAGCGGCAAAAACAAGGTTGTGTTCGCACAGTAAGCCCTAACTAACATAGAAAGATAAGAAAATATTTTTTTTATTAAAACAGAACATTGTGGTAATATAATATAGTTTTAATAAAAAAGTGTTTGTTTTATTAAATTTTTTCGCGTTGATCCCATCACTGGGCCTGTCATTTCATTTTTGGTGTGTTTGCTTTTTAAGCTTCGTTTTCATAGTTGGCTCTAATCTTTTACAGTAGACAATCGCCATCTCGCTCACACGCCGCAAACAAGTTGGATTTACCGTTGCGTATTTTTTTTTTTAAGTTTTTATTTTGGTTTTGCTGCTCATTTTAAATGCCCACGAAAAGAAGCAACAATAACAACAGGTTGATGATGAGTAATGAAAGAAGAGAAAAAAAATCCAAATTGAGTTGCTCTCATAGTTACAGAGAGAGAGAGAGAGAGGAGAGAAAGAGAACAAGACTGAATAACAAGAGAGCGTGGAAGAAAATAAAAGAATGTAAATATTTTTAACCAAAATAAACAAATGGTTTAAAATCAATTATCAAGCAAGAATTTGCTGGTGGCCTATTGCCTTATCACTAAAGCTTTAAAATGTTATTAAATTCCCTCCCTTGTTATTTTCTCTGAGAAATTATATGAAAAGTGAAGACACACTGTAGTAGAATTTATTTATCAAATAGCTATTTTATATATTGTTTCACATTTTAACCGCTTCATTTCAAAAAGAAAATTTGTATTTCTGCAATCAATGGCAATAACTATCATAGTAATTTTTCAAGAATAGAAACAGAAGCAAAACAAACAAAAGCTCATTTAAATGACGTCATGTGGCTTGTTTCAATGTAAAAATGTCAGACACTTGAACCAATTTTGTTGTTGTAATTTTGTCGGCGCTTTTCCGACGCCTAGCAGCGAACTGGGTCAATATCTTAATTAATTTTAATGGGCTTAATTTAAAGACAAAGGAAGCGAGCACTAACAAAGTTACATCAATCATTTGCGTATTGCAATCGTGCGGAATAAGGTGGGGAAGCTATGTTTTCTGCTCTACTTTTTGAAAAATGCGAACTCAGACAAGAAAAATATGTAGTAATATGCAGAAGGTTTTATATTTGTATATACTGCGAAGTTATCTGTAAAGTTTTTAGCTTAGGACGCAAATCTTGTCAACCTTTAGGATATAGCCAAACTGACAAAAAAAAAAAATATGTATATGTTTGTACATGTGTGTGTATTACATATGTTTGAGTTGGATATCTCAAGATCTAGGAATATGTTTGGTTAATTTTTTTGCTGACTCAAAATTATATGCAAATGCCAAAATGATTATACATACATACATACATACATACGTGCATATACATATCATGTGTAGTGATTTACTTTCTGCAAGAAGGGTAACGTTACTTAAATCTCCGAGTCGCCGCACATTCTTCAGATAATTTAATAAAAAGGGCGTGAAGTGAAAACAAGGCTTAGTAATAGTACTACAAACAGATACATCCAAATCTACACAAATACACATACTACATGAATTTAGCGATAACAACAAAATGCGGGCATCTGATTTATGCAGAGAGTAAAGAAGAGAATAGAGAGAGGGAGGACAGAAGGGAGAGAGATCAAGCCGGAAGTAACATTTTAAAGGAGGGTGTGTGTGAAGCGTAACAGATGCATTTAACAGTAACAAAAACACCGATCGTTGACAGGTAGGGCATGAACGAAGCGGATAACAAGAGAGGGACGCGAGGTAGCAGAACTGCAAACTGCGATTTATTTAGGGTTGTATGTACATGTGCGCTCATAATGCGCCTGCATATGTGTGTACAAGTCTGACCTCGTTGGCAAACTAAAAAAATAAAGAAGAGCATGAAAAAGTGTGGAATATGGCCGAGCGAACGAAGGCGGAAAAAGAAGCCGCACCTAAAAAAAAAATCTATTACATCACTAGGAAAATTGACACAAGCGTTAAACTTTTATATACAACCACACACCAAAAGCTCACAAACGTGAGGGTGAGGTAGCATATTGAAACGGAAACAAATTGAGCTTTGAAAAATAGATTCATTTTAACTCCTCAAACATGTAAAGACCAACAAATAACTACAAATTGTGGGGGAAGAAAAAACGATATCAACATAATATTTAAGTCTGTGAGCAACGAACTGACCCAAGTTTTGTAATAACCAAAAACTATGTATGAATCAATATTACTGAGAAATATGAAAATAGGAACTATTTTCGAGGTCTAACGCATCAAAGCGTAAGTCAACCTTACAAAGCCCCTCGAATACCTAATTTTCTGACAGCTAAACTAAGAGAATGTTTATATAAAAAGGCTAACTTTGTAGGAAAACTAAAGGTACCACTGTTTAAACCCCAATTTTATAAATAAGAAAATAAAAGGAAGAAAGTCTAATGGACTTAAATTTACAAAATACAATCTGAACCCACGAGCGACTGCAACTACAACTCTTCTAGAAACTTCTTTTCGCAGGAAAATCGTTGAAAATATTCCCGAGAGTGTGCGAGCCGAGAGAGCTGCCAGCGACAAAGCGACAAGTGAGCGCGGCGAATTTAAATCGCCCCGCTAGTTTAGCATTGGAGAGCGTCGATTTCGGCCGCGGAGCGAGGTTCGTTGAAGTTTTGAACGTCGGCTCCCAAATCGTTCGGTGAGTCCCTTAACAGTCGGGTGGCTCTCTCTTTTATTGTAATATAACAGGCCATGCACCGCATAGGGGTTAGACGACACACTCTATCGCTGTTTCTTTTCCACTTATTGCAAAACACCCTTTCACTCACACTCATTTTAGTGATTGTTAGGGGACTGACGTTCCCGACGAGACTCCCACTCTGTGCTTATTCTACCATGTGTTTGACAACGCGGTTCAGTCTGCCGCCAGCGCGGACCGAAGTAGCGGGATTTGTCAAAAAAGTATTTCACCGATTGCTGGCAAGCGCATCCGCTGACTCTCCCTCTCTCCTTGTCTCGCTGGCTGTCTTTGTTGCTCTTCGCCGCTGTTAACGTTTTCGAACAGCGTGCTAACATTGAGTGTTGGAAGACGAAATGCAATGGACAAAGGATAAGATTTTACCGCAGGCTATCATTCCCGATGTTGGGGCTTGAAAGAGCGAAACCGTGGACTAGCCACAGAAACATTTTTAAATGTGTCCACGCTGCCCACGGGAAGAAACTGATCACGAAGCTCTTCTGAATAAACATCACCAATGCTTGTAAACAACTCTTAGCATGATATACTTTTTCAGCTAGGCATGTGTTTTTTTTGTGTATCTCGGCAGCAAAACATGGAAAATAACAAGGGGAAGAAGCAGCAGCCCCGCGAAAAGTCAACCCACCCACGAAACACACTCTAAAGTATTGAAAAATGCAGACATTGTTGTTTGGTTTTTAGCAAGTCTCTATTTTTTGGTTAATGTTTATTGGTTTTTTTATAGGCACTGCTGAAATGTTATTATCAGCCCTCGTTACTGTAAAGTGGTCACTCTCTCCTCTCTCTCTCTCCCTCTCAATTTTTCATTGCGGAATGAAAGTGAGCCACAAAGCTGCAAATCGAAATTCGTAATTGTAATGATTTAAAGTTTAAACGAGAACAAACATAAAACATGTGTTCTTGAAGAAACAAACAGTAAATGGAATGAATTAGAAATACTTATATGCAAAACGAGTTATGAAATAGGAGCGAGAGAGCTAGAGGAAGTGTGCGAGAGAGAGAAAGAGAATAAGTTACATTATTTGCTTTAGCCTTTTGGCTTTTACGATGTTCTCTTAAACTTAAATAGGCGTACAATTTGTTTTAACTATAAAATACCACAAAATACAACTAAAACGAAAATCGAAGGGGGTAAAAAAGAAAAATAAAAAAGTAATAAGAATGAAATAAAAAAAATATCACCTTTTTGCAGTTTGACGTCGCGTTGCTCGTTCTGTCCCCCTCTCACGAGCACACTCGCTTTTGTGGCTTTGCGGCTGTCGCCGACGATTCAGCTGCTGCTACTCTCTCTCTCTTTTGTTCACTCTCTGTTGCTGCGCTGTCCCTTTCTTTCCCGTTGCCTTGCAGCGGAGCTCTGCTGCCGTCTTGCTTGCACTTGCGCTCCGCTGCTCTGCTTCAGCCGCTGAATTCGCTGTTAACTTTTCGCTGCTCTCTCTGCTGCTTTGTGGTGCTTGCTTTTATGATTTTAGTTTTATAAACGATTTTACACAGTTTTTGTTGAACGTATTTGCTTGTTATTCGCTTGTTTTGTTGCTGTTGTACTCTAAACTGGGAAATTAATAAAGGGCTATTAAATTGGAGCAAGCAAGCTAGACGGCTCGCGGCGAAGGGAAACCAAAAGCGCGGCGAGAGCGAATCGCGGCGAAAAACGGCACACTGTGGCATTGGCAATGGCAGAGCTTGTCGCCCGCCTTCCATTTCAGTGTGTGAGTCGCGATAAACGGGAGCGAAACGGGCGCCGCAAACTGAGCCATCGCAACAGCAACAACGACACAACCGCACACCGAACGCACACACACACACATATATATATACACTCGCATGACGGCATTGTACATATACGAGCGAGAGAGCGCATGCTCTCCGCCACACACACGTTTTTCGCCTTCCTTCTGTTCGCTTTTGTGGCGCCGCGCGAGTTTTGTCGCAGCAGCAAACACGCAATAAAAGTTCAAAAACAGTTGAAGAGTATACCGCGACGCGAGTAAAAATCTTTCCTTCGACGTCGTTCCCAGTTCGTTGTAGTTGTTGTTCTTCTTCTTGTTGTTTTTGTTGTGTGTCTGCTTTCCGCGAATTTTCATGTGCATGTATATATATATATATATATATTTAACAAGAGGTAAAAAAAAAAAACTCAACAGGATAAAAGTTATGAAAAATGTGACAAATATTATAGAACCCCCCCCGCAATTTCGACTTTTCGTTTTTTGTTTAAATTAATCTGCATATCATGGTGTGCGGCGGTTGCATTTCATTTATTTTGGCTCGCTGAAGAACTTGCTTGCTCCAAAACATAAATATTTTGTGGGTTTTGCGTTGCGTTTCGTAGGCTGCATAATTATTGAATATTAAGTGGGCAGTATCGGTACCAGAGGTGAATGTTGATGACCAAAAATAAATTCTGAGAGCACAAGTCTGAGCACACACGATACGATACGATACGTCTTCTTCGTTTGGCCGTTTCACTTTGAGCAGAGTGACCGTGGTGCGTCGCAATAATATGCCCGGGACGACACGTGCTAAATATGCCGTAACGCGTCGATGGAAATGCCGCGAGAAATACCACTGGCCGTATGTAAAAACCATGGTGAAGAATTCGGGTAGAGCGTCCACCTAATTTCAGTGTTTTATAGTTGTTTTAAACAATAAACAAGTTCACAGGAACTTAAAACCGTGATGCTTTACAGTTATTTATAATAATTATTACAAGAGCATAGTTAAAACTCATCGATTTTCAAAAATAAAATGCACCGCAAAAATACCAGAACTAATTTTTTCACGGACCCAAACCTACTTTATGAAACAGCTGTGTCTTCTTCTTAATTAAACGTGAGAATTTAACTTTAATCGAAGGGATAATTCCGATTAGAATAGTTCAGAAAATTCTCATGAAAATTAAATTTTTTATTGGAGAAACTAAGGATGTTGTTGAAATGTTATCCATAAATACCAAAATAAGGTGCGGCGCAGGTTTAAACCCCTATTAAAATAAGAACAGCTTAGCGGCCCTTTAATGCATATATGGTTCTTTAAACTTCAGGTTTTCTCAGCAGCTGACTACTAAGGACGAAACTCGCACCTTCTCTTGTGGAGATCATATTCATTATAACCATGTTCCACAAGATCTGCAGTTAAAGAAAATCAATGCTATCGAAGAAATCGAAAACAGATGCAAGCTTACCGACAGAAAAAACTTATTTAAAACAAATATTCAACGAGTAAGTGCACAAAACCAAAGTTTCTTCCTTTATGAGGAAAAAGAATCTTCCTTGATTATGTTAATCTTACCATTCTTGTTACAGATATGTACATTCAAGAGGGAGATGCAATTGAAATTTCAAACTATATTTGCAACGCAAGAGAAAGGAGTACGGCAAACTGAAAATCCGGGGATAGAGCATTAAAAAGGAGTCAGTAATGTTTAATTGTCGGACCCAGGTCAAGAAAGAGAATATTAGTTGGAGTAACAGATAGAATTATAGAGGAACAGTGCCGATAACTTCTAAGAAGTACAACCAAAATTCCATAGCTGATAAATATGAGTAGCGGATGCCAGGAAGAATTACTGAATGTATAATTAGCTGTTGGACTATTTTAATCCACATACAGAATAAGAATTTACTCATAGGTTCATGCTAAATGTATCCTATTAATTTAAAATAATAATTTAAGGTATCTCAGGATAAATTCCGAATATTCCAATTGAGAAAAAGATGTATGCGCTTAGACTGAACACACAATAAAATAAATCTAAGTAAATTATTTTGTACATTAAAATAATACAAACATAATAAATTTATCTGTGATATGAAGATTACATCAATAAAACATGGTTTTTAAGGAAGCGGCGTTTTGACAACAAAGCAAACTTTTTAAAGTGCTCTAACTTGCAATAAATGTGTATAAATACCTCTTCTTTCCAAGAACGAGGATTTCTTGCTTGACTTGTGCCGCGAGAATGTTACCTTGTTTGGATAATCTAAGGTGTTCCTTAATCACTGCGTGAGTTTTGTTTAATTTATTTCATTAAGAATACTTTTGGAACGAACTGATTTGCTTGACTGACAAAATCTAAATGAAGTCCCATTTTTTCGCTTACAAATAGCTGGAAAACTACCTCGATCAAGCTGCTTAGTTTTGATTAAAAATGACAGTTTGAAAATGGAAAAACTGTTATCCATAAGTGGGGATTTTTTCAGCACTGAATTTAACGGCCCAGTGTTGTTAGCGAGTATGGCTAGCAAGGTCCCACACCTACCCAGTATTTCATTTTTGCTAGTATCTAGTATATTTCATAAATGTATTGATATATTTGAACGGCCGTGATACGGTCCCTCTGCTGCCCGTATTTTTGTTAATAATACAATAAAAACAGTATTATTACTTAAATATTACACACAGGCCGGCAAAAACAGTGTCACCGAAAGGAATTCGAGGCGCAGAAGACTGAATAGATGGATCAGAATGTTTTCGGAGGCGTTCGTTTGTTTGTTGCTGCTGGTCGCACTTAATGCCGGTTCTCCATTGGGAAGGGATGACGAGCGATTCCACGAGGAACTGGTGGTTCGTCCTCTGTCTGGCGACCATGTCAACACCTACTTCCAGTTCACCACGCGCTGGCATTACGGGGAAAAGGATAATCGTGAGTATAGCTGGGGAACCCATCCCATAGGGCGCGGATTACCCAAGATTTCCGGGAACTTCAAGAATATAACTACTCGATAAAGCAAACTCAATGGTTTTGGGCATATTTATATAGGGTGACCCACAATTTAAGATTCTTCTCTAAACTGCTAGCCACATTTTTAACCGATTACAAGTGGCATAATGCTCACATTAACTAATTTTCCATCGGTTCTTGCTCCAGTTTACCACACCCAACTGACGCCCCGAGTGATTGCCGAATTGCTGCAGCAGTTTGCGGTGAAGGAGCTGCACATTGGTCTGACGCAGGGACTGTGGCGCTACGAGACATGGGGCTATCCCACCGTGGAGGCGACCAGCGGTGCGGAGATGTGGGCGTGGTTCAGCGGCACGAATCTGACCGACACCGAGGTGGATCGCCAGTGGCGGGAGTTGGCCAATGTTTTCTCCGGCGTTCTGTGTGCCTCCCTGAATTTCGTTGACAATACGAACAGTATTGCACCGCGGCATCTGATCCGTCCACAATTTATGCCCGCCAATAGGCAGAAATTCGTCAGATACGCTACACTTCCGCGCGAGATTGTCTGCACGGAGAATCTGACGCCCTGGAAGAAACTGCTGCCCTGCGGCAGTGCCTCTGGATTCGCCTCGCTGCTGAACTCCGGCCATGTGCACAACACCAAGTACCATTCGCTGGGCTTGAAGGTTCGTGTGCTCTGCGAGGATCACGAAGAGGACAACTGCATTGTGGAGCTGACGCAAACGGCCAATTTGGTCTACGATCTGCGGCTGTTCGAGCTGAGCAACAACGACTTCTCGCTGCGCCGCTTGTTTGGCATGGGATTGAATGGCTTCTGTGAGCTGGCCGAGAGTTCCAAGATCTACGTGCAGCGTAACGAGCAGGGCGAGCGCTTCCAACTGGTGCCGGCGCCCATGCACGAGGTGACGAGCACTCGTGGCGGTCACACCGTGGTCTACTCCGTCTACGACATGCACGAGCAGTTCAAGGACGCCGGCGAACGGCTCTTCAATGTGGCCTGGCTGTCGCCGAAGAGCGAGAACCGTCGACGCAATGCGGTGAAGCCGGCACTTCCACCGGTGATCGTACACCGATACCTGCTGGGACATGGCCAGGAACGGGGCAGGATTGCCACGGAGGTCACCAACTCGCACTACGACCCGCTGCCCATAATGGTGCAGGAGGTGATACCGTGGTATGTCCACGCCTACCTCCACACGCTCGCCATTCGCAGGAAGCCGCAGCGCCTGAACGAATACGGACGCCAGCGATTGCCGTTCAAGCTGCTGCACTACACGCCGGGCAAGCAGAGGGAGCTGCCCTCGCACTTGGAAATCGGCTTCGTGCTGCCCGGCCAGACGTCCGCCCTGATCACCATCGATGTGGATTACCTGCTGCTCAAGTGGCTCGAGTATCCGCCGGACGCGAATCACGGCCACTACATTGGCGCGGCGATCGTCTCCAGCCAGCTGCCGATGGGCAGGAACTACTCGGCCTTGCCGCCGGAGGGGCATCTCTTCGAGCATTCGTTCAACGCGACGCGTCCCAGCTATGTGCTCAGCTTGCACACGGAGGCGCTGATTGTGTCGCTGCCCACGCCCGACTTCAGCATGCCCTACAATGTCATCTGCTTGGCCTGCACCGTGGTTGCCTTGGCCTTCGGGCCCATCCACAGTGTGGCCACCAAGATGATCATTGTGGGCAGGCAGACGTCGGCGCCCAAGAACTTCCTGAAGAAGATCTTCAACAAGATCTTCCGACGCAGCAAGGCGGGCGGAGACGAAGCAGATGCCGTGGCCAAGGAAGCTAATTCCACAGTGGAGGAGACATTGGCATCGCCAGCAGCGGCGACAGCATCGGGATTTGGAGCCTCGAGAGCGGCGAGATCGGCGGTTGGACCTTCCGGGGATCAGCCTCTGCTGGAGGATCTCGACGAGGACGACGACGAGGAGGAGCAGGACTAGCAGCTTAGGGAGTCGTGATAAGCTCCCACTTATACTACACCTTTAAAATTCCAATAAAGTTAATCACAAAAGCATTGAGATTTTAAAAAACGCAAAGGGATAAATGGGATTGCATTTGTAAAAATATTTAGGGACACAAAAGTATTTTTAATTTCGAAACCGATCAAAATAACTGATATATTCCAAGTTACAAAAAAAAAAAGAAACCAAAAATAAGTGTGTAAGATAAAGTCTGTTAGGATACATATTTAAAACTAAAGATAAAGTATGCAATGTTTACAATTTAAAAGACCTATAATTTATACAAATAAAAACTATCAACTCATATCAAATATTCTTCTGAAAAGTAAATTATAACAATTCAAAATGTAAAGCCGATACATTAACAAAAACCAAGATCAATAAAAACACAGGTTTTTCTATAACTTTTTCAATTTTGTTTGTATGTTTTATTTTGCATTTGGAAAATAGAAATTTCTAAATGCATTTTGATGTACATATATCTAGATGTAGTCTCGATGTGGATCGTGAAGTAATCAGTATATCGAATCAGATTATATCAGATCGGATTAGAGCAGCGCAGAAATAGCCGGGCTCTCAATTAGAGCAAGAAAACTTTTGTATTTCTATTGGAACTTTCGGAAGTGCCTACATATTTCAATTTTACATCGCTAGGGGTTTTTTTATTTTATTGGTTTTCCAAAATAATTTCCCTTAGGTTTACATTTTAACTAACCTTAATTTACTTCTTTATTCAATAAATAATTTAGATATCAATTTGGAACTCTAGAGTGCAGGCAAATATTTGTAATAATTTGTTAACAGTACCTACTAATTAAGTTCTTCAGTTTACATATCAAATAGTTCCGAGTTAATAATAATATTCAAGGTTTTCTTTATCGGAATATTGGCAATATTGTTTTTCGATCTGTATAAAGAAAATTTCCCATGCGCTCGCTCTGCTTAGTTTTCCATTTTAGAACATTCTTGTTTCTCGTATTATTTTAAATTGATGGTTTATTTATGATTTCCGCTTGCTATTTATTGGTTTTCGTTTTACTTTAAATAGTAAATGTAGGCTTATCGTATAAATATATGTGGGCTTTAAAAATTACAATCCTTCAATGCAAAAATGGGGGACCAAGGATAATAAAAAATTGTAAAATTGCTACACACAAAAAATGGACGAACTTTAAAAACAGACATCTACAAAAATATAAAAAAAATTGTTTAAATAGTTGGGGGTTATTTATGTTAAAACATGCACTATTCTGCTGCTCGATCGTCATTTCCCTTACAATTTAGCATATATATATATCTATGGGTAAATCGTTTTTAAAGAGGAGCGGAACCTACTTAAGAGAGAGAATTAAATATATGTGTAATAGGATGGGTCGACTGCTAGAGATATTAAGCAACTCGAAGAGTCCTAGTTAGCTGGCGTAACCTATGGACCATTCATTCATATCATTCGCATAATTGTTTTCAGATCACACAGCCCAAAGCCAAAAGTGTCGGGATTTGATAATAAATATGTTTATCCTATGACGGATCAAAAAACAGAAAGTACGTTTTGTTTGGGATTCGCTTTCAGCGCTTTAAATTACATGGAAAGTGACACTTTGATCCCCGAACCCGGGCATTTAGTTTGCATTTTGCAATTTGTAGTTGGTTTTTGTGGTCTTGTGATCCTAAGAAATCGACCCATCCACTTTGCAGGGTTTCCCTTGGGGCCCAGGACACGGTTCCTTGTTCGCTTGCGCATTCTCATCTGCTTACCTAAAACCTACATGCATCGCTTCCCCTTTGCGGGGACTACACTTCGTGTTCTACAATCTAGAATGTTTCGGCTCACTTTGCTGTGTGGATTCATTGATCCACTGATTTTCGAGCTTCCTATCCAACTGGTTTGTATATCCTCTTGCATCTTTAACTCGGCTCTACAAAAAATTCGAGGAAATGCCGCTCTACTTGTGAACCCTGAACTATCATCCTTAATCCTCCATCTCATCCTCTTCTCCCTTACTTTCTGCTATCCTTAGTCTTATGCTTACGCCTCTCTTTCTCCTAATCGTAATCCTAGTCCTAGTTCATCTTTTGCGGCTCCTATTCTTACTCCTAATCGTAGTCCTCCTCCTCCTGCTGATTCATTTGAATCTGATTTCTCCCTTCTTACTCCCTATCTCCATAACTCCATCTTCATTTTGTCTCTGCCCGTTCCCGCTCCTCCTTCGTCCTCGTCTATAGTTTGTGATCTATTACTTCCGCTGCACATCCTCCACCGCCGGCTGTGAATCCATCCCCTCTACTCCAACTTCAGCCGGTGAATCGCAGAGTCCGGGGATTACTTGTTGTGCAGACAGCCCGGCGGCAGCGGCGGTAATAGGCTGTCCCTTCCTCATTGAGGCGGCTGCTGGCCGTAGTAGCCGTATGCCCCGGTGGGCGGCGGGCCCTGCGGTGCTCCTGGCGGCGGCATCTGTGCGCCGGCGGGCCTGTAGCCCTGGTAGCCCTGCGTGGGCGGGTACTGTGCATAGCCGCCGGCCTGGGGCGGCTGGTGGTAGGCGTGGCCGGGATAGGCGCTACCCGGCGGCGGTGGTCCGTACGCCTGCGGTGGCGGCGGTCCGCCATACGGACCCTGCGGTGCTCCCGGCGCCGGCTGGTACTGATTCGGCGGCATTGGCGGCGTGGCTCCGTTCGGCGGCGGCTGCTGCTGCTGCTGGCTTCCCTGTCCCTGGGCATTGGGTGCTCCTCCTCCTCCGCCGGCCGAACCGCCAGCCGTTGGCGGTGCCTGTTGCTGTTGCTGCTGCTGTTGTTGCTGCTGCTGTTGTTGCTGTTGATTCGGAGGCGGCGGTGCCCCGGGCTGCTGGTTGTACTGGCCCGGCGTCGAGTAGGTGGGCTGCACTTGCGTCGGCAGCGGCGCCACACCGGAAACCACCACGCCCGGCGGCGGCTGTTGCTGCTGCTGCGGCGGCCCTGTGGCGTACTGCTGGCCAGGTCCACCCGGTCCAGGTCCCGCTCCACTGCCGGCTCCTCCCTGCTGCTGCTGCTGCTGCGGCGGCGGCGTCGATTGCTGGGCATTGGGTCCGTTGGGATTCGCATTGCCGGGTCCGCCTGCTCCGCCGGGTCCTTGCGGCGGTGGCGTCTGACTCGGCGCCGTGGTGCTGTACGCCCCGCCCGGCGGTGGCGGTGGTGCCGCCCCACTGGTGGGCGGTCCACCCGGATAGCTGCTGCCCGGCGGTGCACCCGCTCCTCCGCCGGCGGCCGCCTGTTGCTGCTGCTGCTGCTGATACGCTTGGTAGGGACTCTGACCGCTGCCCGCGGGCGGTGGTGGCGGTCCATAGCCACCGGGCGGTGGTCCTCCGCCCGCTCCCGCCTGACCGTACTGGCCGGGATTCGGCGGATAGCCGGCGTAGCCCATGGGCGGCGGTCCGCCCGCCGAGTTCTGCGGCGGCGGCGGTCCGTATTGACTTTGCGGCGGACCCGGCGGCGGTTGCTGCGGTCCCCCCGTCGGCGGCGGTCCGTACATCTGGCCCGGCGGCGGTGGTCCCGGCGGCGGTTGCTGCTGTCCCGGCACCGGCGGCACCACCTGCTGGCTGCCCGGCGGCGGTGCATAGGCACCCGGCGGTGGTATTTGCCCGGCGCCGGCATTCGGCTGATAGCCACCGTGTCCGGTGGCGCCGGCCGCCGCTCCGGCGGGACCGTGATGATAGCCACCCTGGGCGGCGTTCGGTGGACCGGGCGGCGGCGGGCCGTAGCCCTGGGTCGGCGGTCCGTAGGGATAGGCGCCCTGCGGCTGGTACTGCGTCTGCGGCTGCGGCGGATATCCGGGATAGTGGCCGTGCTGCTGCTGCTGCTGCTGGTAGCTCACGCGGTACGGACTCTGCGGCGGTGGCACTCCTCCTGGGCCGCCGGCTCCCGGCTGTCCTGGTCCGCCGGGACCGCCCTGCTGCTGCTGATTCGGCGGCTGCTGGCCGCCCGGCTGCGGTTGCTGCTGCTGCGGATTCTGCGGTCCGGGCAGCGGTCCATTGTTCGGACGCTGTTGATCTGCGGGGAAGAAAGCAATTGAAATTCTTTAAAGGAGAGCTCTTAATTGTAGGAAACACACATAATTATCTAATTACTAACTAACTAATTAGGCAACAATTATGTGGAACTCAGACAGAAGCATTTCTCTCTATACAAATCTACTCTTCAAATAATAAACATTGTCGAATTTACCTCAGTTTAGAGCATTCTTCAAATTTAGTGTTAATTTTTGTGGGTAACTCAAAAGAAAGGTTTCGCAAAGCTTTTCACATCGGTTACATTTTTAATAGTTGCAATATATTAGGAAATCAAAAGTTCAGAAACTAATTCACAGCGCAAAGTGGAAACAATCAGTCGGGAGGGTTAATCTTGAGATCCAGCTTGGTTAGTAGGAACTTAAGAACTTGGATCAGCGATATCACATGGGGTTGAGTTAGATGAACTTCATGGAGTCCGAGCCGAACTCGGCCAACAGATAGTCCATCCACAAGGACTCCTCGGCTGCGAGTTCGTTTGTTTCTATCGGTTCGTTGGCTACATTACACTTACTGGGCGCCGCATTCGGATTGATGACGGACTGGCCCGCCTGGCCAGGTCCCTGTCCCGCTCCCGGTTGTCCCTGCGCCTGGGCGTTGCGGTAGACGGGATGCTGTTGCTGCTGCGACTGCGGTCCCGCTTGGCTGACCTGCGGTCCCTGCTGCTGTCCGGCGGCCGCCGCCGCTGCTGCTGCCGCTGCGGCAGCCTGCTGCTGTTGTTGTTGTTGTTGCTGCTGCTGCTGCTGAGATTGCTGTTGGGCGTTCGGCGGCAGGCCGGGATGTGGCTGCGGCTGCTGCTGGGCGCCGTAGGGCGGCATCTGGACCGGCGGTCCCTGCGGATCGCCGCCGTGCTGCTGCATCCCCATCTGCGGCGGTCCCTGCCCCGGTTGTCCCGGCACTGGACCCTGCCCCGGCTGCTGCTGCTGCGGCGGACCGCCGAGCATGCCGTGCGGTCCAGTCGGCTGCGTCTGCTGGCCGCCCTGCTGCATCGCCTGCGTTTGGAGGATGTGTGGCGGCTGAAGGGGAAAAATATAGGTTATTCAATGTTCGAAAAACGTTCATAAGTGGGCAAAAAAATAGTCTATAGTTTCCCAGTTTAAAAAATAAACCATAAGAAATACATTTCATAACTTCATATATATATAACTTCTATATATTTCCTTTGAATAGCAGTTAAAACTTAAAAAAAACTATATTATATACGTTAATTGTTAGTCAATAACAATGAAACAAATAAGACAACTAATAACAAAATAAAGAATGATTGTCATTCACCAGATTTAAGCACTGAACTATTTTAAATTTAGTGACTACATTTCATTTTCATCGAAATATAAGTTCTACAAACAGGAAAGTATCTTGAAGTTTGAACATATTTTCAGGGAAAAGTGAGGATTTTATATACACTGCATTGGTAAGCTGGAAGTATAGCCATTATAGCTGACCCACCGGCAGTATTTGTGAGATGTTCATGGCGGGATCGGCCAGCTGGGCGAGGTAGACCAGATTGCGGTGCAGGGCGACGTGGTAGGACATGCACTCCTGCGCCTTCCCCATGCTCTGGAAGTCCTGGATCGTCTGGATGAGGCCGCAGTTCTCGTCGAGCATCTTCTGGATTTGAGCGGAGTTTACCTGCGGCGGGACACCGCCACCACCACCGCCGCCTTGCAGATTGGAGCCACCGCGTGGCGTTGACGGTGGTGTGACCATTAGGCCGCCACCGATTCCTCCGCCGCCGGAGATGATGCTACCCGGTGATCCTGGCACGCCCATCGGCGGTCGCTGCTGTTGTTGTTGCTGCTGCTGCTGCTGTTGCATGCCCATGGGAAGGATGCTGCCACCACCTACGCCTACGCCTACCCCGCCCCCTCCTCCTCCGCCGGGACCAACTCCAGAACCTGGAGGCTGTTGATTTGCCACCGAATTCGGTGGCGGTTGTTGTTGCTGCTGCTGTTGTTGCTGTTGTGGCGGGGGAGGCTGCTGCTGCTGCTGCAGTTGCTGCTGCTGTTGCGGCTGCTGCTGCTGCGGCGGTTGCGGCGAATAAACTGCAGACATTTTACTGGCTGCAGTCTTCTTCTTCCGCTTCGGGGTTTTCTCCTGTTTTTCCACAATTTTAGCGGTTATTCTCGTCCGTTGGGGAAAGGAAAATGTTCGCAGTGTGCGGCGTTTTCTTCACATACACACACGCGCTCTAATACACACGCACACGCACGAGAGACACACGGCACACACACACACGTACACAAGGGGGAAAAAATATGTTTTTTTTCTCCCGATTTGCGGCCAACGGAAACACGCCGGCTGTGGAAAAACCACTCGCTTTACGTTTATTAATATCTGCTCAACGGGGTCCTCACAAGTTGGCACTCGGAAGTGGCATATTTTTACTTAACTTTCCCAGACTTTTTTTTTGCAAATTGCAAGGAACGGAACGACGCTTAAAACGATTACACGGGCGGCTCGGGCCGATTAATCGGCAGCCTGCACGATCAAGCAGAGTATGACGGCGCGTGACGTACGTATCAGTTAGTTAACAGCTGCATGGCATACCCTGTTAACATGTAAACTAAACCGTTGATTGGATTTCTTTGAGAAATGCGAACTTTTTGGGACCTTAAAAGGCTAAATAGTTCTATATTTTAAACCAAATAATATTAATGCTCTAATAAAAATATACTGGGTTGACATTCAAACTCAAACGTGCTAGCCGGTATCAACATGGTTGCCCATTTAACAGTGTCAAATAAACGTTTTGCAGTACTGGCCACTTTAGAAGCAAGTTTTTTATATTTTTAATTTCTTATTTCTGCTATGTTTTGTAAGTTTAAAAACATACTTTCTTAGTTCATATTAGAAAACCTTTATTTTGGTAAGTGATTATAATTTAGCTATTTTCAGCTTTTTGTAGCTAGATCTGGCGTTTTACAGCACTGCTGTTTAACAGGATGGCTAGTGCAATAGTTGAAAAAACCAAAACATTTTGATTTGGATTAAACAAAATTTAAATATTCGACACAATTGTAAGTACATACATTTGACATACTGATGAAGACTAAAGCTTTAATACTTTTATTTTAGCACTATGAAATATGCCGAGCTTGATTTGGAAGCAATAGGAAGAAGTCAATATTTTTGATGTACCTAGGAATTTATTTATACAATTTAAGATATGCCTTTTCTATGCAGTTTTTAAAAAGGATTTCCTTCCTCAAACTGTTTGTACATATTGGACGTACTTCAACCAGTCAAAACATTCTACAATTGTACCCACATTAATCTGTAAATTAGTTATACAAATTAATACTGTGTGTCTTTTAAATCCAATTTGAATGCTTTACAAAAATGTTGATAAATACATATATCTTCAAAACATAATAAAAATTGTTTTAAAAACCGGCAGATTCTGGCCATCAATAAGAATGCTTGGCCTATGTAGCTTCACAGATTTTGGAAACAGTTCCAAAAAACCAGATGGGTTCTGGTTTATGGCGGTTTGAAGTCGTCTAATGCGAATTTGAAGTAGGCCAACATATGTTGTCATGTCTTGTCTGCACTAAATAAAATGCAACTTTTCGCCGGATTATGCGCATGTGAGTAGAACATGAAATGACTTTTTTCTGTTATTTCGGTGTGGAATAAGTGCAAGAGTTGACTGTGTGCACTGCGAGAAAATAGGAAAGTTCACATTCAATTTGTAGTCAAAAACATTTGATTGCTTCCAATAGTTTTTAAAACACAGTTAAGATTGCCTTTGGATTGAAATTTATATGATTTGGAGTAACTGTAAATTACCGTTATTTTTTTTGTTGAATATTATTTTTTTTAAATACATGTATTTTTTGCTCTGCATGTGTTTGCCTGCAGCTTTTCACTTTATTCATGCATAAACTTGCCTGAGAAAGTTTTCGCGTGGCAAAAAGTTGCCACGGGATTTGCTTGGGTTGCGCGTAACCCCCGTCAAACCCCCGTTATTCCCATAACCCCCGTAACCCTCGAATCGCCCCTCGCTCTCCCCCTCTCCCACCGAAAAAACCCCAGCTTTTGGACACATGCAAATAACATATCGATGCTGCTTTTTCAAATAAACCCCTCCGCCCTCTCTACGCCCCCCCCACCAAGTCGTCCGATGCCACGCCCCTTTTTGTGGCTTTCGCCTGTCGCCTGTTGTCCTAGAGGGGATTTAGTGGCATTGCCGGAACGTGCTGCTGCACATGCATCAATTTGGGTGCCACCGCAGCCCCCGGTTTTCCCAGGCTTCCGATTTTCCGATCCCCCTTAACCCCATGGCCCACATTTTCCGAGTCCAACCCACACACACACACGCACATTAACCCGCTGTCTGCCCATGTGACATACGGGTATTTCTTCTACGTTGTTTTCCATTTTTTAATCGCGACAATGCCATCAATTCACCAAACAACGCAAATGTATATTCTTTTTCATCAAAATTCTCACAATTTTATTTTTTTTAATCCCATCATTTGCCCTTTTTGTACTAGTTTTATCATTTAAATAAATGTTTGCCAAAATGTCTCAAGTTTTGAACATCTTAGGGTTAACCAAAAATTACGTGCGGGCTAAATAAATCATAAGTTTAACACAATGTTGCCCTGCATTTGATTTCTGTTGATTAAAAAGCCGCAAAATTAAATTTTCCACCATAAATCGTTGGCCCTTTCACTCCCCTTTTGCCATAATTTATATAAATTTGTTTGCCATTCGGCCTGCAAATAATTGCAAAATGAGGGTCGCCACGAGAATTTCATAAATTTTTCATCGCCCTATTTACTTATTTTTTTTTAAATGTATGCATTTCTAATTTTCTATGCCTAATTTTGATTTCTTCTACTTTAAAATGAACACTTCCAAAATAAATAGTTAATCGAATACATCCTTTTTGTCGCTTACAAATTCATCTCGTTTAGCATTCTTTGTAAGACAACAAATTGACTTTGGCAACTAGAAAATAGAAGCAGCCCCCACTTTTATTAAAAATTGCATACATTTCGCATTAACTTTTTCGCCCGCAACTTTCGTAAATTCTCCCCAACATTATTTATTTATTTTAATTTTTGTGCATTTTTGTGCGCGCCCCCATGGTTTTGATTACATAAATTGCGTATACGCAGTGTGTGTGCCAAAGGGCAAGTGCCGTGTTCTGTGGCCTCTCTTAGGTGTAACATGTGTGCCAAGGTGCAGGGCAAAAAAAAAAAGAAACAGAAAAAAAAAACAGAGAAAAACAGAAAGTGAAGAAAAAAATAACGAAATGAAAAATGGTTGGAAAAAAAAAAGAAATGGAGAACCGACTCAAGGCCAAAACACTTGGCCAGAACGGGACGGCACCACAGACAGTCAGACATGAATGGGCGTCGTTGGCGGTGTCTGCAAGGGGGCGTGGCAGGTGTGCGTGTGCACCACCACCAACACCAGCACCACCGAGAGGTGCAAAGTAGTTGCCACTTAAAAGGCGCAAAAAAAGAACTTCAAACAAACAGCAGCCAAAAAGCTTTGAAGGGTATTTCTCCTTTTTTTTTTAACCTCCAGCTGCTACCGCTTTTCTTCTTCTTCTGCCTTTTTGGGGAGGCGGTTGCGGTAAGGGGGGCGTGGCAGGCGGTTTGCTATGAGCTGGGCTTTCTTGCCTCGGGCCATTGACAGTGAAACTGTTCAAGTTGACTCGCCAGAAAGTATGCAAAAATTCAAGCAACAAATATCAAAACCTCAAATGTTAGAAAAAAAGAAACAAAAATTGCCAGTACATAAGGAAATCTTAATGACCTCTTAAAGTAAACTGTAATGTTTTAAATTGTAATCAACATAATCCGCCAATTTAATAGCTTCAGGTTGTAATATCTGTTTCTGTTTCGATGATGATTTAATTTGTTTCGATCGAGCTATCAATATTCGATTCGGCTTAAAATGGTTTATCTTTTCTATTTTGTATGACACAATTAAAAATGCTGGCTTCAATAATTTCGCAACAGCTAACTGAATTTCACCACCATTTTTTTTTAATTTTCATTCCGCTTCTTTCGCAAAAAATAAATACTTTTTTACCTGTTGTGCGCTTCTGATTTATTTAAATGATTTTAAATATTTATGGCCATTGGTTGGTTTGCTAGCCGGTATTTATTATTTAAGATTCAAGATTAAAGCATGTGCTTAATTATTTTTTAATTTAGTTTGCTCGCTTTTTGATAATTCTTGTTGCCATGCTCTGCATACTTTTTCGGTTGAACTTTTTTGTGCCTTCGAACTAAATTGCTCTCCCTTTCTCCACGTGCGACTGTGTGTGTGTGTGTGTGTGTGTGTGTGTTTGTGTGTCTGGCCACATTGTTGTTGGTGCTTCTTTTGTGGCACTGCCAACATCATCATCATCGTCATCATCATCATCGCCATAGTCGCGGGCGCCTGGCAACCCTGACCTGAATTTAACTCTAAAATTTGTGCGAGCTTCGGTATTTCACTTGTTTCCACTTTTTTTTCCGCCTTCATTTCTGTGCGCCAAATCAGTTGGCGCGTGTGTGAGTCTTAATTTAATATTTGTTTGTTGCTCAACAAAAAAAAAAACAAGAACAAAAAAATAGTGGAAACAGAACGGCAAAAAAGAGTTAATTTAGAATTTTCAAGTTAGTTGCTCTCTGTGAGCTAGGAATTTAATTTAAAGGGAAACTCTGAGACTTGGAATTACCTTGCAAAAATTACAGGATATAAAATGTAAGCAAAATAATATCCATTTTGATGCTTTTCTTCTTCAATTTTCCCAACAGATTATCAGGTTAATCCCAACCGGAGTTCACAAAGAGTGCAAGTGGCACAATTAACTTGCAACCATCCGAAACTTGGGGGAAATGATCTCGAAGTTGGCCGGCAATAAACCCAGATTTTTCGCCTGCAAACAAGTGCTGAGAGACGTCGAAAACAACTCGTTTGGAGTTCAGTTCATTAATAAGTGACCAAGCGGTGTCATAAGCAGTTCATTAATTAGGGACTCCGGCTCCCTGGCAGGCAGGCGAGCAAACAATCCGCATCCTTTATTCCCCGCCCAGTTGTCCTGCTCGAATCTGTCACAAAATGTTCCGTCCCCCCCTTTCCCCTTCCAGCGAAGCGGTGAAGGAGCTTAAACACAGTTCGGATCGCCAGCTCCTGGCATTTATGCTTTGTACCAACTTCCTCCCCCTTTCCCCCTTGAGTTTTCCACACCCAAGTCCCCTCACTTTTCCCCGAAACCAAGCAACATTTTCCGTTGGCAGTGGCAGTGGCAGTGGCAGTTCCATTCCCCTGTCAGGTATTTCAGCTTGTTGTTTGCTGCAGTTTTGTGCTTAACTGCCACACACACATACACACAAACACTAATACACAGACACACACACACACATAGAGAGCAGAGTCTGCCCCTTGGAATCCCTTGGCGTTGCTCGGTGGTAAAGGGCCATGTCAACTGGCATACGAAACCAATTTCCTTTTTATGGCAAATGAAATGAAAATTTGAAATGACCACAAAACCGGACGGGGGAGGAAAACTCTAGGAGATAGTGCGGATTGCACTCGCAAAAAAGGATTTTAGTGAAAATATCTTGGATACAAGATTAAGTTAACGCAAACAAATATTTTTATAATCGAGAAATAGTTGTAAATAAAATTTTGCTCGCCTTGTAGCTTGTTTATAAAAAGTTTCCGTTAAAGTTAATACGAAACACAAATGTAATGTTTATTATTTATTTTATTGCACTTTGCAACCTATTTACTTAACTACAATAATGGTTGTAGTTTAAAGTTTACCTTTCAGTGGCAGAGAGAGGACAACACGGAGTCCCTCGAAGGTGGAAGGATATCTGCACAGGAAATGGATACTCGGACATGTTACGATGCTGCGTTGGGAAACCACTGCTCACTGCTCGCTGGAAAACCCACCGGAGGCGCCACCGATGAAAGGCGGCACATTAACGATGAAAAGTAGCAGAAACAACCGAATTAGCCATGCACCGACAGCTCAAGGAATTCCAGGATCTCCAGGCTCTCGTCATTTCGACTAAATGGTTATGTACATAACCGAGCGCCGAACATCTGAGCAGCTGCTGCCGCTTTTCCCGAGTTTCCCGAATTTCCCCCACTTACTTTTTGGGGTCAACCGAGCAATCTACCCGCAGCGGCTTTGCGGTGGATTTATTTTATTGCCAAAAATGAGAAGCCAACAAAAAACACTCAAAACGAGTTCAATTGGGCGACGTGGGTTTTACTCTAAAAAAAAGGTGTATTTTTGAGTGTATTTTAACAACAAATTCATTTATTTACAAGTAGAAAGATAAGTTATAGAATATTTATTAATTACTTTGTTTTCTATATAAGTTTTTGAGCTTGGGCTTATCCCAATCACAGTAGCCATTTTATAAACTATACTTTATGATTATTAAAATATAGGTAATTAAATGAATTTATTTTTTATACATTTGTGTTTTTGCATATTCTATTGCTACACTTTATAGAGTATAATCAGATGAAGAAACAAAAAGGCACCCAAAGCAACTGGAATTGGGATAGGTTGCGGTGGCCGTGGCCAAGTCGCCTTTTTGTGTGGTCTAGGTCCTGGTCGTGGCTTTAATCCTTTCGCCTCTGCTAACTAACCTCACTAACTGGCTTCGTCCTTTTTCGGTGTCTTTTGCTTGGGAAAGCGGTGCGCAGCTCATAAAACGCAATACATATGCGCATTTCATTTGATTTGATTTAATTTTATTGCCTTTTATGTACGTTGCTGCTTGGCTGCTCTTTGTTGCCAAAACAAAAAAAAAAAACAAAAAAAACAAAAAGGAGAGGGAAACCAAGGAAAAAACAAAGGGAAAGGCGAACAGGATGTGCCACTTTGTGTTGGAATTAATTTAATTTGATTTTTATTTATTTATGCCAATGGAAATTCGTTCGTTTTTGTTTTGAATCGGGCGAGCCAATTTACAAATACAGCCAAAGTGTGCAATAAAATTTAGTGGCAATGCGTACGGCTAAACTCTAAATTCGATAATCAATTAGGCTTAAAATTGAATTTCATTCAGATAAAATGCAGGATCTACAATAAACAAAAAAAGGACTTTCAGACTATTTTAGATTTGATATTAAACTTTACTTTTCAGTAACTGAATTGTTGTTAATATCAAAGATGTTATTTAATCGACATTTTCTTATTTTTTTTTGCTTGTTTGCCCGGCCATTGTGCAACTGTCAATCTATTCCAGCCAAGTCAGTCAGCCAGTTAGCCCGGTTCAAATGCCGAGCTGCTTTGTTCCCCGGTCTGAGCCTATTTGTCTGCCAGTGTCTTTGAGTTTTTTTCGCTGTCTCCCAAGAAGGAGCAGAAGTCGAGTCCGTTTATATGGCTAGTCATGTGGCACGCATCATCATTTATCACGGAACGCGGCGAAAACTCGCAGGACTACTGACAACAAGCCAAGAACCGACCTCCAATCTTCCGAATCTTCCGAATCTCCCCGACTTTTTCCACCCACAAAAGTCGTCGCCGTTTTCTTGTCGCTGTCGCTACTATTTTTTCCCTTTCCCTTTCCTTCAGTTCTCCCCTCTCTCCCTTTTTTGCGGCTATTCGGTCTCCTGCGTTTCCTTTCGCTTCTTCTTTGTTGTTGTCGACGCTTATCTTGCCCGTTTGACATTGATGTGCAGGCGTACAGTGGAAACAATTTGAAAAATTAAATAAATTTTTTTTTTTTTATAAAATTTGGGTATGAGTAATCACTCATACGTATGAAATATCACGCATACGCCTTGTTGCCTTTCCCTAGTTAATTTGATAACAATATTAATTAGTTTTATCCTACTATTTATTTATTTTTTACATTATACACTGGGTTCCACTGTACCTTCACCAACGTTTGTTGGTCCTGTCATGTAACGGTTAAATCTGCATGAAAAATTAATGCTGTGTTGTTGATACGAGGCGAAAAAAGTGGGGGAAAAGCTGGTGGAAATCGGTGCCGGCGGCGTATTACGTATTTCTGTGTCTGTGAGTTGTTGTGTATCGAAATTAGCATTGCGGCACAACTCCACCCACATTTTTCCCGTTGTCCGCATTCTCAATTTCGTTTATCGCTGCATTTTATTCAGCACATGCACTTCTTCTCTTTTGCTTGCCATTTACCTTTCCCTCTTCTATTTAACGGTTTTTTTTTTCTATTAGGGACCTCCCAACAGTTTTAGTTGGTTTTATTGTCTGTCATTGATTCTCTGATCTCTATGTTAAGCTAAAAACTAAAGAGATGACAATTAAATTTTTTTATTTTAGTACTCTTTTTTACCGTTACAATGGATTTATCTATGCATTTGTCCAACCATTTTACGCTTCATTTTGGGACATTTACTACACAAAGCAGCACTAAATTTCGGGATACAGTGAACACTCATTAGCTGGGACGCCATGGGGGACTTGAAAAATGAAACTGACGCCGCTGCTGCGTCGACTGCGACAGCGAAGCCGACGTCGACGGCAACTGAGACAGCGGCTCGTCTGCGTCGCGTCGCTGCAGCAGCGCTGCCGCTGCGCGGTTAACCGTTTCGCGCTGAAAGCCAAGCAGCGAATTACCATTACGCGAGTGCTGCTGCTGCGCTGCCAGCGTCAGCGCCGTTCGCCGTGTTGTTGTTGTTGTTGTTGCTGCTGTGGTCGTTGCCATTCCCGCTTTCCATCCCGCTCCCCCACTTTTTCTTCCAGTTCCTGCTGCTACTGCGGGCACAACTCCTGATACCGCTGCTTCCTTCTTTGTTGTTTTTGCTATTCCTCCTGTTTTCGCTGCACCCGGCTGCGCAGTCCGCTTTGCTGCCGGCGGCCGAGAAGCAGCGGCTGTTGAAGGATTTGCTGTAAATAGTTATCAGAAATGGTGGCAATTATCATTACTATTTGTATAGTTTTTGTTTACCTGCCGTCTTTCCTGGTGATCCTGTAAACACTTTTGTCCTCAGTTCCGACCCAGCCTTACCCGCATCCTTGGATGCTTGTTTTGCGTTCAAAGGGTGGGCCTTGCCCTCCGAAGTGGCTGCACTGCGGCCAGCAATCGTTCGATTTGCCGATCGATTGGTGGCGTCTGGAATCGCACACCGTTGGCTCTGCGGCTTGGGCGTTTTCTGACTTGTGGCATTCCGGGCTTGCTGCAAATGCTGCGCCTGCTTTTGCAGGATCTCCGCCTTGAGAATCTGCTGCTGGGTGCGGAAGGCGCGCTTGTAGGCTGACACCTGTTCAATAAAAAGAAAATACATTTATTATTATTTATTTAAGAATTCACTATGTAGCAATAAATACCTGCGAGGCACTCGCCACCAGCAGCTGATTGGCTCCTTTGAGATTTGCAGACGTTCTGGCTGGTGGTGGCTCTCGCTTCTGCTGCTTCTCTTCCGGCCTTTTCACAAGCTGATCCTGATGATCGTGATGCGATTTCTTGGGAGGACTTGCCGCAGGAAACTCGTGCTTGTGCTTCTCGGGCGAGTGGAGGAAGGCCTGATGGCTGAACCGGCTCACCTGGTTCGAGGTGACCTTCGTCACCCGCGGCTTGTCCTGATTCGCCTGCGCCACTTTCACCGGCTTCTCCAGCAGCAGCTTCTTCTTCAGAGGCTTGTCCTTTGCGCCTTTGGTCTTGAGGGGAACGGGACTGAGTGGCAGGTCCTTGGCCGTCGGGTCTTCCACCTTGGGTGCCGTCTGCAGGTTGCGCTGCTGCAGCTGCAGTCGCCGCACGGGTGCCAATGGGACCCGACTGATCTCATCTTGGCCAGAAAGCGAACTGGAAAACGATCCGGCCTTCGCCTTTGAACTGCCTGGATGCTTGGATGTGACACCCAAGGGGCTTCTGTGTGGCTCTGCATTTGCTGCATTTACTGGCGACGATCCTGATGTTTCGCCCGAAGTTGATTCCATAAGTGCGCTCAACTTTGATCTTTGACTCGATCCAGAGGAGACTCCAGCACAGTTTTCTTTGCCTTTGCTGGAACTTGCCACCGCTGGCTTATCTGCTGCTTTTAAATTTGATACCAAAGAGCTGCTCGAACTGTGTGATTTACTCCAATCCTCTGCAGCAGCTTCATCCCAATCTGTGGAATTTTCTTCCGTAATTTTTATGTTGCCAAAACTGGGCACTAAACTTTGAATCGATTCCTGAGCAGAAGTTTCTGAGAAAAAAAAAACAAATATTTTAATAGCAATAATAAAATGAAAAATATGTAAAGTAGCAAGTAGCTTACCTGAATTCCCTTCCAATTTGTTTGGCCAAGTAACTGCCGAAGTGGTCGGCTTGAAGGTGGTCCGCGAACTGCTGTCCACGCTGGATCCCCGCGTGGTGGCCCCGCTGCCGAAGGGACCGACTGGCGTGGCGGGTCGCAGGATCACGTGTTCCATCAGCTGAACGGGCTGCTCAAGGCTGCGGCTCCGCTGGCGATAGTTGGCATGGAGGACATTGTGGAAGCCCAGCTGGCGCGGCTGTTGGCCCAGCTCCGAGCGGCGATGGCCGCCATATACCATCGTGGAGTTGTCGATGCGATGCCTTGGGGTGTTGTGGCGCCGCACGAGGGCAGTGGCATTGGCAGCGGACCTCGGCTGACTTCGGTCGAAGGCGTAACTGGCCACGGGTCCATCGGCGAACTGGATGTACTCGAACTGCTTGATGCGATCGCCCAAAGTCTGGAAGCGGAAGCGCATCTCCGACGGCTGTCGACCGTTTCCGGTGATGTGGCTGCCGTTTCCGGTGGCTTGGCCGCCTCCCTTTCGGTGACCCAGTTCCGAGACCCGGGCCCTTCCTCGCCGTCCCCCCTCCTCCGCCGCCTCCTGCTCCAGCTGAGCAATCACCGAAATGCGACGCTTGAGGGCAGCATCCACCGGCATCAGGGACTCCACATCGCAGTCGCGGGCCACGTGAAGGTGCTGCGCCAGCGAGGACTTCGCAATGGCCGCCATGTGGTGCTGCCGACTCGGCGGCATCGTCACAGTGGATCGCAGGCCAGCAGCTCCCGACGGCAGTGGCGGCATGCTCATCGATCGGCCACTGAACATGCCCTCCGACTCCATCAATTGCTCCTCCTTCTCGTTGACGGCTTGCCTGCTCCTCCGTTCCGATCTCCTTCGCTCCCTCCTCGCTCCTCGGCTGTTGTGCAGGGATCCCAGCAGGATATCGGTGTGGGAGGATCGGTCGCTGCTCGCACTGGAGCAATCCGAACTGGCGGCACTGCGCGCGGAACTTTGGCCATAAACCGAATAGGGACGCGCCGCCGAAAAGGACATCGAGCGGGGACGATTCGCCTGCATCATCGACTGCAGCAATTGCTCCGTCTGCAGGATGTGGCTGCGCGGGTAAATATCAGGCTGCGGCTTCGCCTTCTTGATCCTGCGCAAAGGACCCACATTCTCTGTTCGATGATGTGGTTGGCGATTGTCTAAAGTGAGAAAATCGAAAATTACAGGCTTTTTTATAAGGTGGTACCGCGCGCGAAACTCCCGCCTCGCGATCTTAGGATAAACTGCCGGGAAAGTGCTCAATGAGCGTGTCTTTATATAGAGATGGCAGCAAAAGAGAGTCTTAGAGCGTAAGCGATAGCACTCTCCCACAACATGAGCTGCGTCATTTGCTTAATGAGCGCAAGCAGTAAGTTGCATTCTCCCAGCATCTCCCGCTCTCACATATTTGTGACGCTTATGCTCCAAGTGTCTCATTGAATTACAAACTACGCTCCAAGACTCTCTTTTGCTTTTGATGCTATTTAAAAACGCTGCCGCCCTCACACTCCCTTCAGTTGTTCTTAAGTTGAGAGGGGACGCACATTAACCTCCCTAAAAGGTCGAAGTTACCGGTTAATGATATTATAGTGAAAAATTAAAGGAAAAGGCATATAAACACAGCAATATTCTGGATAAGTGTTTGCGATCTTCTTAAACTATAAATATTCACTGTTTCTTTAACTTCATTTCAGTTAAATTGATTCAATATCTGTTGCTTAACATGTGCTTGTGTGTGTGTCCGAGTCTCGTACTAGGAGAGTAGCTGTGGTATACTGGAAGGCATTGGATGATAAACAGGTAAGCGGAAGAAAACTGGAAATGAAAAACTTATACAAAACATACGTAAGCTGTAGCCATGCTCGTAATAAGTCCTAACGGCACTTTCGTATAGCTCGCTTGTGTTGCGCAGAAACCAAGGCTGAATTCGGCTATTGACTTTGATTAGGCGGTTCAGCTGGTCGGGTTTCATCGGGACTCTTCTTCGTTGGCTCTTCTTTTTCCACTCCTTTATGTTTTGTTATGACAAAATGTCGCGATGATAACGAGTGATTTGCTTCTTCGTGGTCTTTAATGATTGGATTAGCTGCTGCCTCGCGTTTGGACTCTAATAATTTTGCTTTGAAAATTCTCCAAATCGGATATATTATTTGAATTTGTATTTGCCTGTCGCTCAGATCGCTTTTGAACTGTTTGTAATTTTCTTATTAAAAACGAATGGCTGGGAAAAGTTAGGCGAAAATCTATATTCGGACGTAACTAACTGTGGTGTACTAAAACATGCCGGTGTGCGAAAATATTAAGCATCTATCTGTATTTTGAAAAAGAAAACACACACGAAACTCAAATAACGATAATGTTAAAGCAAAGTAAAAATATGTGTATAATTTCGGACGACTCCTAATTTTGACAAAACAATTGTGGTTTCCTTGGTTGATTTGATTTATTGTGAAACAAATTAAGTTAGGTATCTTGGAGAAATTTAAATTTACCAGTAAATATGTTGTACGCTTTTGCCATTAGCAATTTCCAGGATTAGTCGACTGATTAGGCAAAGTTTTCTTTCAAACTTTTATTTCAGCTACTTACGTTGTCAAGCAAAGAAGCCTGGCATTCCAAAATCAAACCGAAAACAGTCTGAAATGTTAATAACTCGATTGCACCGAATAAGCCACCGAATTGGCATTCCCCGGGGGCTTAGGAATCGGATCCCTATTTCGATCCACAATAATCCCCAACACGTTCCATCCGCACTGTCCGAAAACCAAAACTTAGTTGGATAATTATGTGTGTTTCAATCAAATTAGCCCACACCGGGCATACATAATGCACTCATGCTCACTCATTCGTTAGTCAACGCTACTAATCCCCATCCTGCGACTCCACTTCACCCACGAAAAACACCCATTTGACATTGATTTATCAGCGGCTGTCAAAGTGCCTTCATCTGCCTCCCCAAGTTCCGCCTACTTTACGCCCACTTGACGGGGCGTGGTCAAGGTAAAAATGTAATAATTAGCCGCAGTGATGTGATGATGTTCGGGGTCACCTTTCCAAAACCCCTCGTTAGCTATCTCCCCCTATCTCCCGTTGACTCGATTTTGAGCTTGGCCAGCAGCAATTTGTCAAAGTTTGGCCTGAAAAATGAATGCTGGTCGCCCGATGGGTACACTTAAAGAAAAAGACGCGGAAAGCCCTAAGCTTAGAAAACAAAATAAAACTTAAGGGATCTTATCAACGAATTGGTTTCCGAGTTTGTGTTTTTATATCTTTTTGCTTATAAATGTTTTTAGGAAAAAAAATCTTGAAAATAGATTACTCTAGCTATAATTTATTCTCCTATAATTAGTAAAAAGATAAACTTTCTGGAATTGTTGTTGAATCCTCCACTTCGTTATTTCACATCTGTGATTACAAATATGGTATCCGGTTAAAAGAGCCATAAAATACTTAAAAAACAAGAGGCACTCTACTGGATTCAGTGCTATAAACCCTTCTCATTCAGGTATCAGCATTTTTGTCTAGTGCCCTTCTATGGCCAGGTGGTGGAGTGGTGGAGTGGTGCTAGTGGTTGCCCGGTTGAGTGCGTGTACGGTAGTAGGGATGAGTCCATTGGTTGACCAGTCCATTGATGATGTTGTTTGCTTGTTTGTTATCGCCGCCCCAACGCACCTCCGCTGGCGAAAAGTGCGCAAAGTGCACAAAAAAAGGGAGGGGAAGGTAAAATACGGACGGACGGACAGCAGGACAGCAGGAAACCGGAGCCGACCTGTAAACCCAGACCCGGATCCAAATCCGGAGCAGCTGCATCAGATCCTTGGCTAAATGTATTCTGTGCGCACGAATGCAAAAATTGATTTTAATTCAATTACAGTGCGTAATTTATGCATTGCTAAAATCGACCACTAACCTTAGTGAAACCCCCTTTGGTATTCGACCTTCCGAATCGTCGCTTTTTCATCTATTTTTGCTGTTCATTTCAATTTCGGACTTTGGGTTTTGAAGAGTTCAAAATTTATGGCCTACTTTTTGGGGCTTTTTTTGAGGGGGTCTTTAAAGTTGTTATTTTAGCTTTTTATGGACTTAAATATGTTTTAAATATTATGATAAAAATTACATTAAATTACATTAGTATTTTTGCAGTGTCTTTGAACCTTCTTATCCTTTTGTAAAATGTTTTCTTAACGTTTTAAAAGTTTTGGCTAAATTAAGTTAATTAATTGACACAGCTACTTTTTTCTCCTCTGGTTATATTTTTTTGGCCACCTTTGACCTTCCTAATTGCAGCTTAGACAAGCACGCACACATCCAAGCCGAAACAAAAATGAAAGCAGTAAAAAATTCGAGTGCAAAACTTTCGCACTCCCCATTCCGTTTTGAGGACCCCGAAAAATATGCTGAAAGCAAAGGGGGGACCCTTCCCTTTTTGTCAGCTTTGCCTTCTCCGTCTCTAAGCTGCCACATTAGCAAGTGAGGTGCAAAGTTTACGAGTGTCCTTTTCCACTTCTTCTCTTGTTTCTGTCCTTTTTTTTGCCATCACTCCTTTTAAGACTTGCTGGCACTTTAAGCTACCCTGTTACTATCTGTTATAACAATAAATATATTATATAAATGTATATTTAAGCCTGCAAATTACATTTAGTATGTGTACTCAATAAGTATTTGTCTCTTTATATTTATATATCAGGCATATGGTGGCTGGAATTGGTGGTTAGAATACAGTTTATCTTGAACTTAGACCATCAAATATTTAACTCTTTTAAGAACATATAAAAATCTTCACATTTGGAAGAGTAAAATTTAATTTTTTAGACTCTGACTTTCTCGATATTTATTTCGAAGGATATTCCAGGGTATTTCTCCCTTCTGTCCTTTTTACTTAAAGTCAGCTTTCTTTCAGTTAAGTCTGCTTATGTCTGCAGTTGGGTCGCTGTTTGCCGTTGTTTCTCGGCTTTTTTATGTTTATTGCTGTTGCCGTTGATGTTGTTTGTTATGATTTTGAGTGGATGTGATGATGGGAGCCCACCACCCACTGTCGTTTTCTTTTGACAGGTGAGAAACTGGGGAAAGTGGGAGTGGCAAGTGGCAAGTGGCAAGTGGCAAGTGACTTCGAAAAGGTGACAAATAAGACCGGAATGGACCACTGTCCTTCTTCTTCTTCTTCTTCTGCTTCATCCTTCGTCCCTGCTGTTCAGTGGCCTCATTAAAATTGACATTCATTGCATTTGGGCAATTAGACTAATTGACTTTTAACCAGTTCGCGGCACATGTGACCCACTCACAGCCATTCCACCTTTGTGCCCCCTTTGCCTTTTCATGAATTTTGCATGGATTGGCGCGTTTTGTGGGCGGGGGGACTCAGTTGCATAATTTTGTGGGCGTGGGCCGTGGCTAATTTAGGTTGCTGCAGGTGGGCAATTTACGCAGTGCAAGAATAATCTATAAAATACCGACGTACTTAATCGCTAATCGATGCGAATGTTCACCAGTCAAAGTCAATTTTGTGCTAATTATGCTCAGTTGTTTGGGTTTTATAGAAGAATAGTTCAGTTGGTAATGCTATTAAAATAGTATCATAATAAAATAAAATTAAATTTTAAACATGAACTTGTTGATTACAATGTGATATGATTTAGTGTTTAATAGCATTGATTGGGTTTCCAATTATTTTACCAGTCCCACAATTTAACTTAAATAAATGGGATAAAATAAAAATATGTGAGTTTTTTATACCCTTGTTTTTTTTTTTTTTTTTATTAATTTGCCTAATGCATGTGGAACCGTCCATGCTCGAAAAGTGTCGGAGAAAAGAGCAATCGGTGGGATTACAGGAAAGTGAAAACTGTGATAAGGATCAATCAACTGAATCCTGCGGTCCACAATCCCCTTTTTGCTGTGCCCTTCTGTCCAGTTCCCCGCTGCTCGGTTCCTTAAGCTGGACGAGATTCTGGCCCAGACCTTGTCAAGGCCCTGACAAAAGAGGCGTGTGAGTGGTGAACAAAAAAAAAAAAACAAAAACCGCACAGGAATGTGGCAAAAGCTGAAAAGCGGGGAGAGCAAAAAAAAAAAAAAAAACAAAAATGGAGGGAAAAGCAGTGGAGCTACTGCAACGCGGAATGGCTGCGAAATGGAGATGAATGATGTGCGGGGGATTTGGAAACAGTTGCCACATGGCGTTAGTCAAGCTCAGGGATGCAAGTCAACTGCGCTTAGCGTTGCACTCACTTTTTGGGGGAAGGAAGGCTGCGGGGGAAGGGATGGAAAGACCCTTGGAAAATGCCGGGGAAAACCCAACACCCAACACCCAACAACGCACACAGTCCAAGTCCATCGCTCTGGCTCACTGCAGTCGCTCATTCATTCATTTGCCCAGTCAGGCATTCATTCATTTCCTTGATTATGTTTCTTATCAATGATAAATGAATATGAACGTAGCGAGCACTCAAAACTGCTCTAAACTGGCTGGCAAAGTGAAAGTAAAACCAGCAGGGGATGCCTTGGCTTTTTACCGCACTTGGCAAGTGGATTTTGTTGTGCTGACGCGATTTTATAGGTCACCTTTCCGAATAAATTTAATATTTTTTTTTTTAATAATGGGTAATGTATTAAGAAAGAAATAGGGTGTTAAAAAAGGTTTTTTTTCAATATATATATTTTATTTTTATTTAAAATCTTGTTTTTGACCAAGCATTAGAAATACAGTGAATCGAAGAATAATTGTTTTGAATATTCCAAGTGTCAGTTAAGTATTCTATGAATTCCCCGTTTTTGATTTGGCCTATAAGAAATCAATATGCCACGCCTGCTACCTACACACATCACAAATCCCAGAGTTCGTTGGAGCGAAAGCCAAAAGGGAAAACGAAAGTCAAGCGCAGCCCAGGACGAAATAAAACCGAACTGCTCCTGATGCGGCTGCACATCCAACCATCCAACCATCCAACCATCCAACCTTCCACATGGCCACCCTTTCCAGATCCTCCAGCCATGAGTCTACATCCCGATCTCGACCAAAGCAGAGGATACGCAGCCCGAACCAATCCAAATCGCTTCACACTTGGCGAAAAAACCCTATTCAAGAAATAATTTATAATATATTTCGTTGGGAACATTTCTATATTCATTTAAATGGTTTAGAAAATAGCCTTTAAAATTTTAATATTGGCACATTCGAACATACTTATTTTCTTTAAGAGGATATTCCCATATAATACAAATTTTTTTTTACCAGTGTCGAACACATTCGCCACGCCATCTCTTGATTGCCGCAACGACTTTGGAGCGCAAAGTTCTTTGTGGTCAGGCATGCGATGGGTTAAAGGGAACAGTTGAGGGTTAAGGCGGGCGGGCGGTGGTATGGCCAAAATTCTCGCTGGGAATCAGCTAAAA